GCGACATGTTTCCCTTCGCTGAGAAGGATCATGGCTGCACAATGAAGCAGCTTCTCGGACAGTGATGCTCAGCGCGGGGATCAACTTGCGTATTCCGGAGTGCTTAGTAGACAACGCTCCTGATAGATGCGGAGCTGGGTTGACGCTGCTTGTCCAAACAACGGCAGATAGAACATATGGGGAACGCAGTTCGGATGATGTGGTGAAGCAGTTACAGAACGTGAAGTTTGAGGGATTTCAAGAAGCGAGAAACTGCAACACTAGCAAGGTTTTCCTCTTTCGATCTGTAAACCGACGCAGCTATCATCGTTTTCTTTTTCCTTACGCCTTTGAGATACATGGTATCGGTACATACCTATCCCCAAATCTGACAATCGCTTGAGATTCGTATTGAGGCTGGTTGGCTAATCGCTGATTTGGAAATGAGGGGATTCATCATCACTGACGACGCACCTGGCGCAGCTTCTGCCTTCCCTAGATTACAGACCACCAGGACCAGCCAGAGTGCAGTACAGCAAGTACCCATATCGCATTCATTCGTTTCGTTCGCAATCCTAGGCGCCTATCAAAACAACTGTACCTTTCAGTGTTGGCATGATGTTCCCCTTTGACAGCCTGCCTATCATGCAAATCAACCAAAGCAGTAGCCGATCGTCCAGCGAATGGATGGAAGGCCGGATGTAACCACATCATGATTTGCTGCTTCGCTGCGTCGATGAATTCCTTCTTTGCGTCATCTGTGCATGAGGTTTATGTGCGGTACCCGTGCAGTACCTGCTTGGGGGAGCACGACAGCGTATCACAAGATGCGTTGGTGGTGGATGGGATTGGAGGGGTCGAACGGAGAGCAGATGCATATGCCGCAATATCCAGACCAGACGAGAGTTTATAATATCCCACGATGGGGGAGAGAGGCTTTGCATGAACTCCTTTAGCGAATACGGAATCAGCAGCAGCACTTACCCCATTTTTCGACCTGCTGCAGTCGATACTCCTCACATAACAACCAAGTCGTCATGAAGTTCGTAAAATACGAACCGTCGGTGGTTAGCTGTACGCTGCGAGGCTGCGTAGCTTGGTATCTTTGCTAACCCAGGAGTCAAGGCTCAGTTGACGAAGCAAGGTGTGAAATGTGTACAGTACAGTACACTACCCCTCCTGTAATTCGTCCCCAAGTCGAAGAGCAGAGCAAGCACAGGCACGATTCCAATCACTTGGTCACTAGGCATGGCATATCATGGCGCTCCGTCACAATCGTACCACATCAGCTTCGGCAGCTCCATTCCCTCCTCGCCCTCCCATCTCGCTGCCCAATGATAATGAGCAGACGTACCCGCTTGAGGCTGCTCACTGCTGCTCCTGCTGCCCTACGGAGGTACGCTTCTCTCTTTTCCGTGGAGACCCGCGTGTGTGTCACTGTCACCTGGATGCTCCCCACAAATCGCCAGCAAGTGAGACAGGGGCGTACGGAGGTAGGGACAGCGTGGCAAGTCAGCCAGTGAGCGAGCGAATTGACAGGGAAGCTGGATTCAAGACAGGGGCGAGAGAAGGGAATCAGCTTCCATGCCAAGGTATGGAAGAACGCTCGTTGCTTTTGGTGGTGCGTGCGACGATGGCGTTGGCGTTGGCGTTGGCTGCTGGTGTTTGGGGCGAGCAGGTGTGAGATTCTCGAGAGGAGTAGTGGTGGTACAATACTGTATTGCTGGGGTTCTGACGAAGAGCCAGCAGCACGGTAGGCTATTTCTCTGGACAAGACCACTTCCACTTCGTGCCAACATACATACATGCATAACCGCTTTCTTTTGTAGCCTTACCAATCCTATTGTCGTTTTGCACCACTCTTCACCCTTTCTTCCCTGACCTCCTTGTGTCAATCGATCGATGGTGGCATCGTGGCACATTCCAGTGATTTCCGTCCGACCATCCGACTCGCTAGTGACCAAGCAGTCAGGCAGTCCAAGCAACAGCCCCCTATCTTAAAAATAATCCGCACTTGCACATGGCTGGGACCGCTAGGCTTTACTGTACTGTAGGGCCATCCGGGGAGAAGGTAAGGGGGGCTAGGAAGAACATCTGCCCTTCCACCCGAGGCATGGTGGGAGGTGAGCAGGGAAGGACGTTGTTCGTTGGGTTGAAGGTCCTGGTGCGGCCGTTTTCGACCGTTGTGCTGGGGCGTGGAGGTTGTGGCACTCAACGGCTTTTTGGTTTGGCGGTGTGATTTTGGATGCCACCATGGGATAAGAGGTTGAGAAGGGAGACTGTGAAGGTCTCTTTCAGGGCACAATCTCTGCTACCTTATGCGCCTGTTTTCCGGAAGCCAGTGTTATCGAAAAGAAACACTACTAAATAGCAAAAACAGTTTACCGCAAATAGATGAACTCATAATTCTGAGAAGGATTCATCTTGATCAATGATATCGATTGGCAAAGTTTACGCGACGACAAATTCTTCCACCCTCATATTATATTCAACCTCAAAATTCTTACCTCAAACCTAATTAGGAAATCTCCAACGACTCATTGGAACTCACCTTTAACATCAATAAAGCTTCCTCTTCTCTTTGGAGATCCCTCGTTCCGGAGGCAGGTCGGAAGTTCGGCTTCCAGAAACATCGTTGACCGTCACCGCCATGAATCTGAATCATCATATTTCCAGTAGTACTATTCTCACATCAAGTGAAACCTGCGGAATTAAAACTCCTTGAGGATCCGCAAATATAAGCCGTTCGCTTCTGCGACAATAGAAAGGACAGGAGGAATCTCCGTGTCACCTCGCTTAAGGGAAGCTGAGAAAAACATTTGAGGTGAGCGAGGTGAGCCAAAGCTGGCGGTGGCCATTAATCTTAGCCCTTGACGTTAAAGTTAGACGTCCAGCCTGTCATCAACCTAGGATATACAATCATACCATCTTTCGGCATCAAAAGCAAGGCTCGTTGTCACAATGGCTTCTAATTGGGGGCTTCGATAAACAAACCTCCCAGATACCACCTCCAGGTCAAACAAGATACTATCATGGCACATCGAAATCGCAAGAATGCGAAGAGAGAGGGCCACAGGGGTGATGCTTGGGTTCCACCTGTAACCTCGTGCTCGTGTTCCCGGCAAGCAGCGGCACGAGAGTTCAGGTACATGAAACGTCCATTTGTCCACACAGACTTCATACCATAGCTAGCTAGGCACAGCTAGAATATGCAACCTGCAGGATTGTTGTCCTGTGCTATCCTCGATAGTTATCTATCGTGGATAAACTACCTGGACGGGTGGAAGACAAGATGAACGACCGGACGGATGAGTTCGCTGTGGGGGTACAATGATAAGGAATTTGATTAAATTCCTGTTGACCAAGGTTCACGGATGGGAAATGGATTATTGGCTGTTACAGCTTTAGTTCTTTGGTTTGGTGAGTGATGGGGGCACCTGCAGGTGAATTAAATTTACTTGGTCGTTCTCTTTGCGAGATCCGATCTCAATTTTGCATGCGCTTTGTGGCAGGCAGGCAGGTCCCAACCCTTCCTTAGGGCACTGGAGAATAGGAAGAATTTAAACCTTATTACAGGACCCTCGGGCTGTCAGTCTTGGCAACTCGTGTTTTTCAGTCTCTGTCTGGTTATCTTTGTTCTCCTGTCAATGTCGCGCATGAACATTCAACCTCCAACTTGTCTTCCGGCCTGAATAGCAAATGTCTTCACGATGCCCTCATCTCAGCCCAAAAGAGAGGCGATGCGACAGGATTACAGAGCACTCACTTACCGTACCATGCGTGAACCCCACTCTGGAATGGAGACATGACCCATCCCAGTGCTAACGGCTCCATCGCTGCTTTTACCAGCGTTGATCCCTGCTCACGAGCCACTGCTCTCCGCTCTACCCCTGTCGCAGACACCGTTTGTTTTGTTTCTCCTCTCCTCTCCTCGCCCGTCCGCCCCGTTGGTGCTGGCAGAAGAGATTGTCAGGGGTTGTCGCACATGGGAGGGCACGCTTGACGTAGCCGCTCTAGTAGCGCCTGCCTACGATTATGCTATTGGTAGAGAGCTGGCCCTATGAGGTGTTCATGAATTGCCGATCTGGGTGGGATGGATGATGGAGTTCGGAGGAGGACGTTGTTGTTGCGGACGTTGTTGCGCTGGTGTTCGTCAGGACAAGGCGCCGCTGTGGTTACACCGCCGCCGTGGGGAGCTGTCAGTGATTCTGCGCTGCTGTTTGTCCTAAACTCTCTGGCTCTGGGGACAGTTGTCTCATTTATTAGTCGAGGGAGGTTCGTATGCGCCTCTTAGTCTGCATCTATGCACTAACTGAGGCGGGTACGTACATAGATACAGATGAGAGTGAATGACCTGGCCTGCTTGCCTTCAGAAGACAGCATCGTAGCCATAAATAAACTCATTCGCATCAAAGTACTCACCTGCGCCGTGTATCGTAGCATCACCCCAAGCACAGTCCCAAACAGAGAAGACGGCTCGGGTTATTCGCAATCAGATGAGATGAGACCGGGGAGGACGCTGGCTTTGGCCTCGGTCGGCGGTTGGCACAAGACAGCTTGTTCTCCAAATAACTGGAAGAGAGGAAAAGATCGGTTCCTGCCGTACTCGTAATCAGTATCTTGCGAAAGACAGCGGCTAATGGACTGACTAATCGATGAGTGCAGCTCTTGCATATTCTGGATAACTTGCCATGAGAGTGCCGACAATGCAAACGTATGTCTGATTTTCTAGTCTATTCAACGTTTAGAGTAACAGATGGAGGTGACAGTCGAGGAGATCCGGTGTAGTGTAACGGTGCACAGCATTCATGTCGCTCTCCCCACGCCTTCGAGAACGTGATATCTCTGTCTGCATCTGCTTCTCAGCCTTCAGCCACAGCCACAACGACCCAAGGAGCACTTCGCAGATACGGGCATGCAATGTCTGACCACAGGGAGATAAGAACAGATTGATCGTGCATATGGGAACCCTGAAACGAAAATCATCCTTGCGACGATGACGCGCTGCCTTTCGCTTGTCTTTATCCTCGGTGCTTCTGTGAGTGGAGAGAAATGGAAGGAATGCGCCAAGGGCCAAGATACGGGTAACGTGAAATAATACGATGCACAGGACAAAGACAGCCAACAACACTTCGTATCTTCAGAGCTTGAGACTTGCCCTGACTTGACCTGACGCAGCGCTTGCTCTGAGGGAGAGAGGCGATCCTGTTGTGACCATGCCATGGCTTGCGATGCCGTTTCCGTGCGCGGCGGTGAGAAGGGACAAGCAGGACAAGCAGGACAAGCAGGAGAAGCTCTGATGTGATGCTGTCGTGAGGGGCTACGAGCATTCCATTGGACTGCAAATTCGTACCTGATCCTCGGCCCCTGTATCTGAAGAACAGTCACAAGACCCAACGGCGATATGCGATGCTGTCCCAAAGCAATCCAGTCCAATCCAATGCAAGAGGCAAACAATAAACAGTGCAGCCAGAGAGCGGTGAAAGGAAAGAAGGAAGCAAAGGGAGACGAGCTAGTCGGTGATGGGCTAAAAGCTGAAATGATCTGGTATCATGGACCCTCTACAGCTATCTAGAACAGCGGACGGGGGGAAAAGAAGTTCACAAAGAAACATGGCGTTTAATGGTAGCAATGGAAGAGATGGAGAATAGCTCGTTAGACAGGATTGGATGGGTATCTCGTATCTCGTCAGCTCCCATGGTAGCAGCTTCCTAGATCTAAGTCGCAAATAATAAATGATCAAACGGAGGCACAGTAGCTAGCTATTTTGGATGGCGGCGGCCTCTTTATTCCTCATGCACTTACTGCTTTAGGACGCCATCCAGATTCCGCAGCTTACTCTTCCCTATCCCTATCCCTATCCCAATCCCTATCCCACAGCCAGCTCATTCTTACTCTTGCCAACTCGTGCACCTGCACCTGCACCTGCACCTGCAGCTCAGACTTTGACTGCGCTAAGGTAGTCGACCACCTCCTACCTTATGACTTCACGACTACTAGCACAAAATCACTCGGCTGCACATATACTCACACTTTCCTATACATACAGCGATGCAAATCGAGATCAACCCCAGGCCAACCCCGCGCCTCGTCCATACTGACTGACTGGCTGACTCTGATTTCCATCACATCTCGAGTGCCACGCAACTCCCACTCACTCTTACAACCTGCATCAGCCTACCTCCAGTCAAACAAACCTGCATCAACCCCTCTCACATATACAAGTAGGTCCGCAGCCTATATCCCTTCCACGCCGTGTTCACACCCGCAATTCCAGTCCAATCTCGTACAACCACGGCCCCTAGAAGAACTATTATTAAAGCCAGCCGCCAGCCGGCAATATCAGATTCCAAACAACTATCCACAAGCTGATTGACTTTTTCCAACGCACCCCTCTCCTCTATTCTCGTCTTCGGCAAAGCAAAGCCATAAATCCGGAGAATCCTACATGTTTCGACTCGAATAGAGGACTCTAGATACTTTGGACTTAAGTATTTGCTTGCGTGCGGAGCTCAAGCAGCTGTAAACAGGCTCCAATATTCTCGTGCTGCGGATCAAGGGTCAAGCTAGGATCATCAGCGATCTTCGCCGCCCTGCCCCTTTACGAATTCCTGGATTTCAGCGAGCCGTTGCCGTTGCCGTCGTTGCCCTGCCCTGTTCGGCCCTGCCAGGTTTCTATTTCTGCCCTGTCTCCCCAGGTTGCACCCAGCGGCGCATCATAATACCGAAGCAGAGGATCCAGTTCTCGAGATCAAACATACCAGCGGCTTTGTAGCATCCACCTCAGATATCCACCTCTGTCCTGTCTCTGCCTCCTGAAAGTCGGGGCAGCACACACACACACACCACACCACACCATCCATCCGGCAATCGCAATTGAAAGTCGGGCCCTAAATCCACCAGGCGTTCGCGAGTCCCCACGGCTGGGAATCCTGGACCTGGGCAATCCTTGCCTGACCTTGCTCTCCCCTGCCCTTCCCCCCTGCCCTGCCTTACGCTGAGCTAAAAGCTCGGGAGCAGGGAAGAGACGTCGACTCCACTCGCCTGGGGCACCTTGGGCTTGCTTGGGTTTTTGTGGGCACTGGGCACGCCCCCCAGGGCAATTTCACAAACGAAGCAAGGCAAGGCAAGAAAAGCACTGACTTGATCCTGAGCACGGAACGTCAGGACACTACTACTGGACAGGAAGACGGGAGCAACAGGGGAGCAAGAGAGCCAGCCCATCGACAAAACCTGCACCCTCGCCCGGCCTTGCGCTGCACTGCACACACTACAACTGCGCTGCACCGAACTGCGCTGCACCGCACTGCACTGCACTGCACTGCACCGCACTCCTTTCCAGCAACCATCTGATCCTCTCCTCTCCTCTCCTCTCCTGCTTGACTCACCTACCTGCACATCAAATATCCATTCCTTCTACTTCTACTTCTCTTCTCTGATCCTTCAATACTCTTGTCTTCACGTCTGCAACTGCCAAACAACAAACGCACTACCAATCGCCTTTAAACGTCCTTCGTCATTGTCGAGAAGCAAGCAAGCAAGTAGCCCCGTCAAATCGAGTCAACGCGCCCCCATACAAAAGTTCCTCCACGCCTGCAGCTGGATAATCAAAATTCGCCCACCTCACCTCAACACCACCCCCGCGACAACCACCTCACACTGCCGCAACAGGCCTGCTGCATTTCCTTTCAAATTAAGACCACCGATGCACTCCTGTCCAAGGCGTTCTTGATCTTTTCCGCATGACTTGACTTCTGCGAGACATTACCATCCTCCCGCTTGCGCGCGCGACCACGGTTCGCCTTCAGACATACATACATACCGACTTGGGCATCCTGCCTCGCCTTGCCTCGACACACTGCGCGCACCCCAGTTCTGGCAAGAAGATATGCGTTCGATCACAGCTTCCTCGTGCTTGTGTTAGTCCTCTCCACAACTACCGGCATCTGCAAGCTTGTGCCATTGGGCAATTCCTCCTTTCCAGAAAGTCGCAATGCCCGGTCCGGAAAGTCACTCCCTCGCGCCGCTGGCTGCAACAGACAGTTTTGAAGTCCAACCCCCCAACTCCTCCACAACCAAGATCACGCAGTCTGCAAAACCCTCGCCGTCTAGGTATACCAAACCAAGCCATGTGCAAACCAACTTTCAACCAAGCCAACCTCCAATTACCTCCTCCGCAACCTCCGTACCTGCCTCTGCCATAAGTACCTCGTCAGTAACAACGGCAAGCTCCCTCCAAGCCTCGCCCATCATGTCTCCCGAAACGACGCAGCTCTTTACGAATAACTCTTCGATACAAGGATCCCCCGAAGGCCTCCGGGGCCGTGAAGCCGACTTCACACTTCCCCCTTTCGAGCTCCCGGAATCGATAGTGTCAAGGAAAACAAGTCAGAGTGCTATGAGCGAGGCTATGGGCAAGTCCCCAAACTTGATTAGGCGGTTATCGAACAGAGCTTCACAATTTGCTGGCCGTAGGCGTCAATCGTCAACCCAAGCAATGAGTCGGGATCATAGTACAGGACCAGTCATCATGCGCCGGAGGAGTGACAGTACCAATACAGCTCCAGAAGGAGGCAGGACAGCTCTGTTCGATTCAGATGATGAGCTTAGCGGAGACATGCGGGAAGAGGTCACGATACCATACAATTATGAGAATAGGGATTTCCCCAGTACCACTGCTTCCATAGGCTCTTCAAACACCCCGAGTACCTCCAGTCCTGGCCCTGGCCCTGTCGTTCCCTCGCTACTCTTGCAGGGTACTGTCATGACAAAAGTCACCAAGAAGAATAGGAAGAAGCTCTTGACCCTTGTCCTCGAGAAGGAAGCTGCCAAGGTATCATGGGATAAGAACCGACCTTCCAAGTCTCTATACATTGACGACATCAAGGAAATCCGAGTTGGAACCAATGCCCGGAACTACCGCAAGGAATTTGGCGTGTCCGATGCCGATGAATCGAGATTCTTCTCTATTGTGTATGCGGTTCCAGACAAGAATAAAGGTCGTTCCCAGCAAAAGACCATGCACCTCATCGCTACAGACGAGGAAACCTTCGACCTGTGGACAACGACACTCGATGCCATCTCAAAACACCGACAAGATCTCATGGCGTCGCTCTCATCGTTCCATGACAAGGCCGTGCGCGCTTACTGGCAGAGTGAGATGAATCGACAATTTCAGGACAAGCCCCATACTGAAGACGAGGAATTAATCGATTTTATCGGTGTTGAGCGACTTTGCCGGTCCCTTCATATCCATGGTTCTTCCAACTACCTCAAGTCTAAATTCGAGCAAGCCGATGTTTCTCGTTCGGGTCGCTTAAACTTTGTCGAGTTCCAAGACTTCGTTAAGCTCATGAAGAGACGTGAGGACGTGAAGAATATCTATGAGAATATCGCTTCCGACCTGAAGAAAGGCCTCACGCTCCTTGAATTTTTCACGTTTCTCAGCGAAGTCCAGCACGAGGATGTGAGTGATGCAGCTTATTGGGAGAATGTCTTCAACAAAGTCATCCGTCGGTCGAAGTCTAAGGAGCAAGCACTGCAAGATGCTGCTGATGGCGACCCTCAGCGTATGTCCGAAGCAGCTCTCAGTAGCTACTTGATCTCGACGTTCAATGTGCCATTGAAGAGTCCACCATCGCAGTACTCTATGGATCGCCCTATGAACGAGTACTATATCTCGAGTTCGCACAATACCTACCTCTTGGGTCGCCAAGTCGCAGGCCAATCGAGTGTTGAAGCATACATCTCCGCTTTGAACAGAGGCTGCAGATGTGTTGAAGTCGATTGCTGGAATGGCAGTGAAGGTCCAGTGGTCATGCACGGTCGTACACTCACAACTCACGTCTCCTTTGCCGACGTTATGTCTACCATCAGCAAGTACGCCTTTGTCAAGTCACAGTACCCACTCTGGATATCGCTCGAGGTTCACTGCAATGAACAGCAACAAGCAATGATGGCCGATATTATCAAGGAGACGTGTGGCTCCAAGCTCGTCACTCAACCAATCGACCCTTCTGTTGAACAGCTTCCAACTCCATCACAGTTGATGAACCGGATCTTGATCAAGGTTAAGAAGCCCCGATCAGACGTTCCTATATTGGCAGAGCAGATGGGCGGACGGAACCGTGGCAATAGTCTCAGTTCTCCATACATCCGACCTGTGCAACTCGATAACGGTCCCATTTCAGCCGGTCTCCTACCGCCGAGCGCTTACTCGCGTAAGACCAAAGCCAATTGTCACAGCCAACTGAGATACTCCGGTAGCGAAGGTCAAGATAGCCTGAGTAGCAGCACCAGTGACAGCGAGAGTCTGACAGATGATGTCGTCCGTGCTAAGGAAAGTCGTCGGGCCAATAAGACCAGCAACATCATCAAAGTACTTGGTGAACTTGGTGTCTACAGTGCTGGACTCAAGTTCCATGGGTTTGACACCCCAGAGAGCAAGTCCTACAACCACATCTTTTCCTTCTCCGAGAGCACGTTCGACAAGAATGCCACCACACAAGAAGAGAAACGCATCATCACACGTCATAACATGCGCTATATGCTTCGAGTTTATCCGAACGGCTGGCGAGTCGCATCAACAAATTTCGACCCGCTGAAATATTGGCGCAGGAGCGTTCAGATGGTCGCCTTGAACTGGCAGACTTACGATCTTGGTATGCAAATTAACGACGCGATGTTTGCTGCTGGTATCGATCAGTCGGGCTACGTGCTCAAGCCAAGCGAGCTTCGAGAAATCAAGATGTTGCCAAACGTTCCAGAAGAGGCTGGCGCGGGCCATGCCAAGAGAGAGCGGAAGAACGTCAGCTTCTCTATCGACATCGTCTCAGCACAGCAACTCATGCGACCTAAAGGCCTTGCTTCCAACCGAAGTGTAGATCCCTACATCGAGGTGGAAGTTTATCATGCAGATGACAAGACTAAAGACAACAAGGGCGTGGTCGGAGAAGGTGGACTTGATGCTTCTGCTAAAGACGGCTCATCCGGACTCGGTGCGCCTCACCGAAGACGGACCAAGATCGTTCAAGAGAATGGTTTCAATCCCATTTTCCAGGAAAAGTTCAATTTCGCTCTCACAACCAAGTACCCTGACCTGGTCTTCGTTCGATGGACTGTCAGATGCTCCTCTGATGGCAACACATACAGTGACAAAGGAAGCCCGCTCGCTACTTACACTGCCAAACTCAGCAGTCTCAAAGAAGGCTATCGCACATTACCTCTTCACGATATCAACGGCGATCAATTCCTTTTCTCCACACTCTTCTGCCGCATCAAAATCGATACTCCTACCAGTATCTACATTGATAGCCCTGAAGCCTCAGCTAAGGGACTGAAGGGTCTCAGTCGTCCCTGGCACCGCAACACACCTATGTCTCCTAAGACATCCTTCGAGAGCGATCATCAATGATCGCCTCACGAATCCTCACCACTTCGATTCTATGTACAACAACTATTCATGTATTTGACCAAATTGTCGGCTGCGACATGTATACAAAAGTTTTCTTGGATCCCCATCGTATTCATCAGCAAGCGAGCGCTCAGGATCTTTCGAATTCCGGATTTCATAAATTTTTCACAGGCGCAAATCAAACAGAACAGAGAATTGGGAATCAAACCGGACACAGCATAACTTATGGGAATCATCATTATACAAGGGAGGAAACACAAAAGTGGCTCGCGCTGCGCTCAGCATTTATCGGATTTTCATTTGCATACGGAGACCATCTTCTCCATACATCAGCCGAAAACCACTTCGGACGGCTGCATCAAACCACTCCCACTCATTAGACTTTCTTTTGTCTTCGACTCTTCGATTCTGGGCCGGGCGGACAGGCTCCTTCGTTTTCTTGGGACAGCTGTGCTGCTTTACGTCTACCTTTGCTGCCATCGCTGCCGTGGTTATTTAGCGATGAGTTGTTACTTCTACGTCGTTCTAGGGAGCTGGGAACTCTTTTATGGCGTTATTCTTCGTTTTCTTCTTGCTTCAAGGTCCGGAACCGACAATTGTTCTATGATATCCGGACTTTCAAGTCTTCGTACTTCAGGGTTTTTTGTTCAAGGGTTGGTGATTGCGTTGGATTCGAAAGGAACTTTGATTTCCGGTTCACTATTTCTGTTTTCCTAGGGTGGATCACTTTCGCATCAACAGATCGATCGATCAATGAAATGAACTGGCGTTTTGAGGAGATTGGGACTAGGAAAGAAGAGATATCATATTGGGCCAGATTATTTCATGACCTTTGTCAGCTGGTTTTTGCATTTCCCTCGCGTGGGAGGTTTCTTCACTTCTTTGCTTTGGGCAGGGGCCTGGCTTGGGACTGCTCTTCACTGCACTGCATTTTGGGTGGGATGGAACGGATTGGCAATCTGGTGATTGATCGTGCATCGGCATGGGTTGTGGTGGAACGATCGCTTTCCAGAGGCTTGATCGATATGGGGTTTTCTTCTACACGATGATTTTTACTGGGTCTTTGACCTAGGTTTGTGGACTCTTTCTCTTACTTCTCTTCTCGATACGAGAGAGTAGAATGAGATAAGAAATGGCTTGTTTGGCTGTGCTGTCGATTATAGCGGTGGTGGATTGAGTTGGGAAGGACAGGATGAAAGACCTAGCATAGCAAGCCAAAATACGGACAATGAAAGCCTCCTCAAACAAACAACATATTCCCATATGGTATTCCCGATTGATATGAAGTGATCGCCATATCCAGCCTTCCAGAATCATTACATATGCTCAGGTACTGTCACCCTTCCTCCATTCCACCGAATTGGTCTATCTGGGGACACCATTCGGCGACCCATGTCGCAATCCACTCGGTTCCCAATTGCAAAAAAAAACCCTAAATCCACCGTATCACAGCCAAAAAAAAAAAAAAAAAAAAAAAAGTCCAGCAGGATATGAAAAACAAAAATGAAGTGTTCGTTTTAATCAAGGTATATATCCTCGATTCGCAGATGTATTGCGGCTTCTGTGGATCGAACACAGTGCCTCCAGATTACTCCATTTCAATCAATGGATGTTGGATGAAGTTTTTTTTTGGTCTTCAGTCTGGCGCTCTCCCAAGTGAGCTAAAGCCGCTGGGATGGGAATTCGATGAAGAGTAAACTGTGCTAATTTGGTTTGTGTATGGGTGAGTCAAAGGAAAATGTTTGTGCGTCAGGAGTGGGTTGTGGAGGAGATGGTGGAGAGGAGTTGGTGTGGATACTTCCCTGGTGCAGAACAGGGTAAGGGAGCTTTGGGGAAGGCAGATTCTGTGGTTTGCCTTCATTTTGTGGGTGGAATTGCTTGAGTTTGATACTTTACCAACTGTGATTCCGCGCGATTGGTGGGCTGTGTAGCTGGTATATTTGTTCTAGATGTTAGACGTCTTTCCTTGTTGTTCGTGGAAAGGCGCTGACTGGAAGTCTCGGTTAGCGAAGTCGCCTGTAAATACAGCGTAAGCGAGCCCCTGACGTCTGCTAAAGAGCCTGGAAGTTTTGCGAGAATAGCTGCTAAGCTCTGAATTTTTAGAGGAGGAATCTGTTTGGGGCTTATGATCACATCTGAAGTCATGTATTTCGTTTGAAAATGAAGTGATGGGTACATGTTGGGTGCAGGTATCGAGTAACGAGATTCTATCCCCTCAATCGCCGCAAACACACTTTCCGGGGTTCAGTGCTGAAGCATGGCGCTAAAGCTGCCGGGACGGCAATGCATCATTCGAATTTCAGCGTTCTTCGCTTAATTCCAGGGTCTCGATACAGGCTATGCACTCACTGTCAAGAATGTGTTTGATACGGCAGTTGAGGGGATAGACTTCGGCAACATAGCAATAAGACTCTATTGCGAACCTCTATTTCTCCCTTGACGTTATCAAAACATGTGGTTTACAGTCTATCCGCAGCTCAAGCCGCACCATCTACCTCCTTCTCCCCACCGCTCTTCGTCCCCTTCGCAAATAAATATCCAATCCAGCTCCCCTTAATAGTTTTATGCTCTTCGCCCTCAATCCACACATTCCCCATCCCACAACAAGCCACAACACCCAACCACATGAACGCCGTAACCGCATAGAATGCCAAAACCATTCCTCTAGTGGCCACATCTTTGAAGAACGCCAATTGCTCAGGTGTCAATCCCTCGATCGCAGCAATACTCTCGCTACTCGACGAGCTGAAATCGATGCTGTGATTCTGTAACGTGCTGTTGAAGATATTCAGCATGATAGTCGTGGCGAGTGTACCGCCGAGTGTGTTGGCTAACGCCATGAGAGACACAACGTGCGAGATCTGAGAGGGGAAGTAGCCGATACCGTGGAGGGTGCCGGGCATGAGACGGATGCCAGTACCTACACCGGTGAGGGCGAGCATGCCGTAGATGAGGTGCAGGTTTCCTGTGTTGAGGGCGGAGGCGAGGATGGTTATTCCGAGGGGCTCGAGGATTGTGCCGAGGAGAAGTGGAGGTGCTGTGGAGCACGGCCATTTGTTCATGGCGAACATGGCCAGATAGGCTCCGGCTGGAAGTGAGGTTGTTAGTTTGGACTTGGTGAGAGGGAAGCTATAGAGAGGGACAGAGTGATCTCAGAAGGGTGGAAAGGCTTACCACCAAATCCAGGCATATAGTAGACGATATTCGTTCCAGATTTCGCTGCCGAGTACTGTCGAATGAGACTAAAGTACAAAGCGACAAAATAAAGAACGGCATACATTGCCATACCCGTGACGATATTGATATAGATTAGCAGTCCGACATTGCGTCGTATAAGCAGCTTGATATGGATCATAGCCTTCTTCGTGGGAGCGCGATTCGAGAGCTTGTTACCAGGAAGAAGAAGATATTCCCATACTGCAAAGGCAACGAGTAGGACAACGCCGACGACAAGTGGTGCGATGATCCTGACATCGTCCCAAGGATAGTACGACCCAGCCCATGTGAGAGCAAGCACCAGAAGACCCATCCCAAAGAGGAAAAGGAATTGTCCGCTAAGATCGATCGTGGAGAGTCTAGCTGCGAATGTCTGCGAGAGTGTTGAGTCGGGGACGCCATCAGCGCGGCTAATTTCCTGGGGCCCAAGAAGCTCTGGTCGGAGGATAAAGTGTGCGAGAACGAGCCCGATGACACCAATGGGAATGTTGATTATGAAACACCATCTCCATGATATCTGGGTCAGGTATGCTCCGACGACAGGTCCAATACTGTATCCTATCCCGGCGACGACAGTAAACACCGTATTGTTCGCGGCGTTCTCTTTTAGGTTGACTTTGTCGGCTAGAATGACTTTCGTTACGATGAGAAGACCTGCACAGCCTATGCCTTGGAGTGCTCTTCCAACGAGAAACATGGCAAATGCTGAAGTGGGAGCAGCGGCGCAGAGGACGCTGCCCATTAGCATCGACATTGCAGCCGACTGGATTGCTACGTAGCGTCCGAACACATCGGCGAATTGTCCCCAAATGGGGATGAAAGTTGCGTTTGTGAGATTGTATGATGAGATGATCCAGTTCAATTGGGACAGTTGGTCTATAACGGGTCAGTCATGTGAAGCAATACCTAGGTTTGACAACCTACTGAAATCGGATGCGATGAAGCCTGCGGCACCAGCGATGAGTGTCGTGTCCAAAGCTTGAACCATAAATGGAAAGCAAAGCCCTATCATAAGCTTCCATCTGTATCTTGTCATTGCCTTCTTCTCTTCCTTGCAATCGCTACATTCGTCCGTATGTGGATGTCCCGCTTGCCCATCAGTGGTTTGATATTCGTGTTTGTGGGCTCCAACACCGGGCACCAAGTCCTCTTGTGTTCCCCCTCTGCCGGCCTGCGTGAAGTTATCAAGTTCGACGAAGCCATCTGAAGTACTGCTGGCTATTCTCTGATGCTCGCAAGGGTGACCAGGTGTCGGTTTGCTTGGAGATTCGTTCTTGCTCCTGTTCTTGATAAACCTTTTGTACAGATAAAAGGCCATCTTGGCGAAATGATATCAACAGTGACAGGAAAGTAGTGCAAGTTGTGAGATTGTGTGACACAGAAACGCGGTAATGAACAGTACATATTATGAAGAAATAACGCTGAGCAACTCAGAGACTGGGGATACTTATGTATTGTTCGACATGACAAAAACATGCCAACATGAGTTGCGTATACCTCTGCGTCAACTACACCGCGAGAATTGTCTGAATAGGGAAATTCTGGAGGTAGCAATCTCTACTGCCTGAAAACATCCGCCCAGCTTCAAGCACAAACTTCATATGATGCTCTTCGGCCACAATATACCCACATCTTAAGAGGCTGAGCTCCCAAGAAATGCCCTCATAGGACGCTTCGGCCAGCATGGCTGTATTGGGTTAGAGAGTGCAGCAAGGCTGAGATACTGAGATATCTGCTTTGACCCGCAAATATGTGACAAGAAGCGTTGAGGTGACTGAGAGACAAGACCGTATTGGCGGGTTTGTTGGTAAGCAACGAACTGGTAGCCCATATTTGGTTTAGTGCCTCTCGACGACTTAGTGAGGGGCACAGCAACGTCGAGTGCATGCAACGAACTTGACCCAACTTCTCAAGTTCCCCTTTTTGGACATGACATTGAGACCAGAATCGCCGTTCGAGTAGATGGCAAGAAAGACCCCTTGGCGATCAACGATACTCGACCGTTTCCTTTTCTGTCTGATAACCGACGCCGCATCTTGGAACATTCCCAACCGGAACCGCAACGGCCTAACCCCGTAAACGACGATTTCCTGCTCGACTTGCATCAGCTGGCGACCCTATGAAGGATGGTCTTTTGTGGCAAGCCCAGTGGTGGCTGTCACGCCTGTCGAGAACGCAAGACTAAATGCGACCAAGTACCTGAAGGATGTACCCAATGTAAACGGGCGAAACGCACATGTCCCGGCTACCGAACTCCTGGAGACTTGATATTCCGCAACGAGAGTACCAATGTGATCCGAAAGTTCAAGGCTAAAGAAGCTAGAGACAAGAAGGCAGCCTCTTTGAAAGCATCTCCACCGCGGTCAGTGACGTCTGGATCCTCATCATCATCACCTCCAGAAGATGATGATTGGGACGACATCTCAGATAGCTCACTTGAGATCATCCAGCGAGCGGATGCACCTCTATCTGTATTCTCTCTCGCGCCTACCATTGAGGAACGGGCTACTGGTTTCTTCGTTGCCAACTTTGTCCTTGGAATGTCTGGTCCTTCCAAGGGATACCTTGACTATCTAACAGAAGTGGCTCGAACTCAAGTGCTGGATGATGGCCTTCTTGCTAGTAGTATGTATCATCTCCAGCAAACTTCAAATTATCAGCCGTTGTCGCCTTTTGTTGGCTCTGAAATGAATTTCTATGACAAATCGTGCACAATTCGCCTAGTCAATTCAAGACGTTATGCTGACCTATTCCAGTGAAAGCAGTCGGTCTGGCTGGTTACGCACACTCGGTTCATGCTCCATCACTGCTGAAAAATGCACGCTACCAGTACTATCGAGCTCTACAGTCGACAAATGCTGCTCTGCGAGACCCAGTCGATGTCAAGAAAGACACTACACTTCTTTCCATCATGATTCTCGGCATCGTGAGTCTTTTCCCATTGTTTTTTTACATTTACTCTTCTCGGCTATCAACTCTATTTTCCTCCTCTTCCGGCCTTTTCACCCTATCATAGATCAACTCTACACTAGTCAAATTGTCCTAGAAAGACACTACTAATCATAAACTCCCCTTCAGTTCGAGGCCATTACTGGAACCAAGCAATCCTCACTTAGAGACTGGGCTCAGCACATCAATGGCGCAGCTGCAGTAATAAAACTCCGAGGCCCGGAACAAATACGGACGCCAGTCGGCCGTCGTATGATGCTTACAGTAACGTCCAGTCTGCTCATTACCTGTATCTACAAAGCTGTGCCTTTGCCAATCTATATGCAAGAATATATGGAAGAGGCTCTGAGGATCGTTCAGACCCCAGACCCAGCTTTCAGGATCCAAGAGATCATGATGCGGTTCGCCACTCTACGATCAGACATGGTGCACAAACGCCTCACAGATCCGTGGGAGATCCTCAGTCAGGCTCTTGATCTGGATGCTGTCCTACTCAAGATAAGCTCCGATCCTCCACCTGGTTGGGGGTACGAAACCATTTACACTGACACGAACTCTGACATTGTGTACAACGGCCAATATCACCTTTACTACGATTATTGGATGGCCCAAATCTGGAATGCCTTGCGCACATTGCGGATCATGTTAAATGAAACGATAAGAGGTGTCTTGTTGGCTGGATTCAGCGCTAGACCACCGGTCTTCACGGGCACGGAACATACAGCCCAGTTCCAGATCAGTACCGATACCATCTACTCTCTCCAAGCCGACATCCTCTACAGCGTTCCTCAACACCTCAACATTTTCCCTGAGCCGGCAGGATTCCGCGATCAAGGTACAGCATCCATCCGTTTGCATAAGCTTATGGATGAATTCTCCTCTGTGAGGATGTCGGGTGGCTCGTTTCTGATTTGGCCATTGTGGTTTGTGGGGATCATAGATGTTGCTACTGAAGAGATGAGGGGATTTGTGGTGAGGAATCTGAAGAATATTGCTGTTACGATGGGACTTCAACAGGCTGCCGTGTTGGCGAAAGTTGTGGAAGATCAAAGCGAGATCAAGGAATGGAAGCAGGAAGACGACTGAATTTTGATGATGAAGTTCTCCAAGTAAGCTGGCGAGGACTAGAAGAACAGGGGACATATGTCATCTTCGAGAGCCCTAAGAAGTCGAGTCGGGCAGGACCCCAAGCGACAACCAGAACTTGAATATTCTGATTCGACGGAAGCAAGAATTCTTGCGAACAGCAAAGGCCCAGAAGATTCTTGCGGCTAGCCTTGTCGGCCAACTCGGGAAACAAAAGACCCGTTCGTTCGCAGAAATTGGTATTGGAAAGAGAACTCGTTTAGTCCCAGATGAGATGGGATGCGTCGGAAAAGGACTGGTTAGAATCTCCCTTTAGGTATCACCAGACATTGGCAACTGTCGAGCCCAAAGAGGAGCATACATCAGAGTCACGAGCGCCGAAAGCCACTGTACATCAGGTCATTCTTTTACCCGGCAGTAGATAACTCAACACTGCACTATTTGCATTCCAGGACATACGCCAACTCTAGCTTCATCACAACTGTTGCCACCGTAATCCAAACAACAACCCGCCGCCACCAAAACAACATCGAGCCAATTGCTTGCAACCACAGAGCATAGGATATGTATTACAAAAACAAACGTGTAGTGTAGAAAGTGGTAATCTAGGTTACATATTGTAGATATGATCCATAGATCTCAACGAAAAGCTCTTGAAGCGAACTTTTGATCAACAATACATTGATACATTGAGTTATCCTTCCTTCCTTTCTCCTTCTTTCCTTTCTCCTTCTTTCCTTTCTTCCTTACCCAACCCTTACTCAACAGCTCTGTCTACTTCCTGTAACACATCTCCACGCTCGCTCCCCCAACGTGTTATGATCCAATCCAAGTGCAGTCGAAGCTCCTCTAGAAGTCGACAAACACTAAACCAAACCGAGTCAATGTAACAAGCAGGTACCCGGTTCAATGATGCAGCCTCCCGATGTCAAAAAGGAACCATTTCATGCCTTAAAGGTCAGCAACATTGTCATGCTTCATCAAAGATTGAGACACAATTCGGTACAGAACTACATAAAGTCTGCCCCCACAACTGCTCCGATCACGGCTGAAGCCTGTACATCCCCACAATTACCTTCCACCAGACCATCCCGTTGCGAGAGACAGCTCCACAAGGCCACGACCCGAACCCAACTCCAAGGAACCAAGTGCAAGGTATTTTGGAAAGTGCACTCACTCACTTACTTACTCGACGTTTTGCAAATGCTTACACAAACAAAAAATTGAAACATACAAACATCTTTCCTCCTCACTCCCTCCCCCATCCATATTTCCACTTTTGAATTAACCTCATCAGTACCCCTTAAGGTTCCTCTATATTATCATCTCCCAGCCTCTCTTCCTAAGGTATATACAACCCTTTAATATCCATCTCTCCACACCCAGCCAGCCAGCCAGCCAGCCACACCCTCTCAATAATCCTCCGCTCTCAGACCCCGAGTAGTACAGTAGTAGGGATCTTTCCGCTACAGAATACTGGGCCTGGGAGCTGGGGCTGGGGCCGGGGCTGAAAGATGGTGGGTACTGACGTGAGCACTGAGCACTGAGCTCTGAGCAGTGGGCACGGTTTAGTGTTTGCTGGGGTTCGGATTCGGAGGTTGGATTTTGGATTTTGGAGGTTGGACAGCTTGGAGGCGGCGGCTAAGTTACGAAGAGAGAAGTGGATGAGGGGGAGGAGATGCGATGCGATGCGATGCGATGCGATGCGATGCGATGTGAAGTGGTGCGATGGAAAGGAATTGAGTTCAAGTTGAGTTGAGGAGAGGTGGTGATTGTGAACTTACTCCTGGAAGCTTTTCAGGGGCATTATTGTGATCTGTATTGCATTGCACTGCATTATTACAGTGCGCTCAGTAAAGTTTGAACTCAACTCTAAATGCCGATGGAATGAGGAGAGAACGGAAAGTATCGTGATATTGGGTGATTGCGTGGCGAATATTTGGAAGATATGCATGTATCCTGTATGTATCCTGGATAGGGTGCAGAGAAACGTGCGGAGCAAAGTCTAATTCTCGGTTCCGAGACTTTGTGTGGAGGAGCGAGACGAAATTTGAGTTAAAGATAAGGAAATGTGACAGAGTCTAAAGTTTGATGTCGAATGTTGCGGACATCAAGCTCCGTAATGGATTGGGAAGTTTATGTATGATACAGATCTCAAGGGGAAAATACGAATACGTCTACAATGTCCGTACAATCCTTTGCTCCAAAATAGTCGCTCAGAAACTCCCCTGCCTTCCTGCCTCATAATGCCATGAAATAGCCCGAACTGTTCAATTCCAGGAAATAACACTTGTAATTTACAGTACTGTGCATACGTGATGACCCTCAATCCCTCCCCTCCCTAATCTCCCTATCCTTCACATCATCTTCAATCGAGATCTGCCACGTCGTGGCAACCCTAATCTCTTGTAACATCGCCCTAGGCGGCTCTTCCAGCACAGGACTCGGCCTCCCACCCTCAGCGCTTGTCTTTCCCCTTGAGCCATTCCCAGGGAAAACCTCCATCGCAATAACTCCTGATCCTTCCTTCCCCTCCGAAATCAAATCCTCGTCACTACCCCAGCGACTCGGCCGGCGTCCTCCACCAGCGGTAGGTGTTTTGGTAAGGATGTTGCGACTTTCGTAAGTGAGCGGCTGGACTTTGTATTTAGATTTCTTGTAGCCGCGATCTTGGAGGAGGGAGACGAGAACCAGGGCATTGGAGGTGAATGTTGCTAGGAGCATATCGAAGGAGGCGACGAGGGAGCGGAATGGTTGTTGGCCTCGATATTCGATCACACGGGGGAGTTGGTAGAGTGTAAGTGCGATGCTGAGGATGGGGAGGCTCAGGCGGAGCATGATGGAGATTTTCCTGGGAGGCGTCAATGGTTAATTCAGATGGAAAGACGGGAGGTACGTACTGGGCTCGGGGAAGACGTGACTTGACAATCATGGGAATAGGGAAGACGATGAGGGCGAGATTGGTGATGATGTTGAGAATCCCAGTTGTGAGGAGGTGGGCATAACCTTGTCGGCATTGTGGCCCTGGATCTGGTGTTACTTGCCAGTAATGAGAGAATGGTTGACAGGCGCCGAGGTCACTGATGACCGTTGCGATGAATGTTACACCCAGGAAAATATGCAGGTAGCGCAGCATGCGTTGGTGAGACCGTTGCCAGACGGATTCTGTGAGGGTTTGCAGAAACATGCTGGTGCTGTATTTGATCGCCCATAGACTGTATCAGATTAACATTGTGCTCCATAAAGTTGGAGAGACACATACTATGCAGCATAGAATATCCTGGAGGCCAATACCAATTGACTTCCAATCTCCCTGTCGTGAAGACTCTTTTCGGATAACCCATCTGTCTTCGTGTTGTTTGTTCCATACACGAGTACGACATGAGTGAAAGCCATTCGAATGAGAAGTGGCACTATGGCTAGAACCATAATGCCATCTTCGAGGAAGACCTTCTCAGCCCGGACATAACGACCACAAAAACGAAGGAAAATAACTGCAATAGCATAGGCCGTACACCACCAAGACACCAGCAAAGTCGGCTTGGTGTCTCGAAATGTCTGGATGTCTGGAGCCTCACTTACGAAGCGACGGAAGACGTCCATGGTGGGCTGGACTGGAAGTGAAGTTCATGTGGTCAGGAAAGGGAGCCTTGAACTTTTCGTACAGTGTTCAGGTCGTTGAGGAGGCCAGCAGATTTCTAGAAAGTCTGATTCTGGCTAAACAGCCCTCCCTTGCATGCAGGCCCGAATGCAGGTACGGTCTCTCGTCAGCTTTATTGCACGACCATTCGGTACGGGTATTATTGTTGCTGACATCAGCTGTCGACTTCCGGTAACGGGAGGGATAATGGGGAGCAGTATGAAACTTTGGACTTGATTTGCCAATGCATGAATGGGAGAAGATTATTGAAACTGATCAAGGAGACTACAGACCAGAAGTAGGAAAACGCGGATCCCCTCCCCCAGCCGTGCTTATGGATCAAGCTCCAGACTAGGTACGCTCAGGAGAGCAGGCTAGAAGTGGACAGCCATCCACCAAGACGTAGCAGGGTGCCTTCGGGTGAGGACCAATTGCTGTAGGCCATGCCATGAAGCCATTTGGATGTGGACGTGGACATGGACGGGGGCAACTCGTGGGAAGCATGGAATGCCAGGAATAACACCTACCTACGGATGTGAAAAGTACCGTCAGAAGTCAGGGGAAGCATCCTTCTGCCCTGCCAAGACTGTTATCCACGTGGAAATTTCGAGCATTATTGGATGCAGAACAGCCAAAGGCCCAAAGCCCGACCCGCATTCCAGGCTGGAGAGCAAAGCAGGGACGCCAGCAGGATGCAGGACGTTGAAGTTGCGCAGTAGTACAGTAGTGCAGTGAAGCGAGAAACAAGGACGAGGACAGGGGCCCAGACGGCCCAGACAGGCTGCTACTGTAGTCCACTACGAGCGGGCGTTCCATTGCAAGTCGGACCAGCAGCGCACCTTGGCCTAGGCCGATCGACCGCGTGTGCTGGTCCACCAATTGCCCAACTGGAAAGCTGGAAAGCTGGAAAGCGAGTGCAGCAAGACAGATAACGTTTGGTCTGCTACTGTAGCTAACTTACCCCTTTTCTTTTTCTGATATTTCCGCAAGCCTCGCAGCCGTTCATTTGGGATTTGCTCGTCACCTTCCTTATCTGGTCACATATCACGTTGCGTTGGGGAAGCAAGACGTGGAAGCTCAGTCCTTGGCTGTCATTCGCGGCAGCAACCTTCGGTCGACGGGGGATTCGGATTCGGATCACCACCACCACCACCACCACCACGGCCACGACACGGTAGGATGGACGGACGGGCTGTTGGATTTGAAATGAAATGAAATGACTTTGTTGGATTGTGACACGACATAGTATTTATTGCATTGGCGTGGGACGATCTGAATCCTGGACCATCAAAAATGAGCTGCTCTCGTATGATCGGATCGAAGCCAGTCCAGTCGGTCCATCTCATCGCTCTTCGATTCCACTACTACTGGGCTGCGCGGGGGCTGCGTTGTGATACTGCGATACTCGGTGACGAATAATAGTCTCGACCACTGTCGTTCTTCTAGGCCAGGACGAGCAATTTCGGATTAACTCCATTATTATGTCGCCATGCTGGGCCATGCTGGGCCAAGCCAAGCCAGGGCTCAGCGCATGGAGCACCAGTCGACGCGTGAGGACCAGGATTTCGCATCTGACAGTGCTGATCAGGGTCGCGAGCTGCGGCAATACAGTACAGTATTCATCCAACGGGACAGTCGGATCACCATCGCAGCTGTGATGAGTTGAGGGGAGTTGAGGTGAGTTGAGTTGAGCCTGTTCTGTTGATGATGATGGGTTGAATGCGGTAGTAGTGGACTGGGAAGTACTGTACTGTACTGTACCGTACCTCCGTACTACTGTATCTACCTAGTGAGGGATCCAAGGACTCGAGGAGGTTGTGAGACGTCGTATCGTTGATGGTCGTTCCTCTTTTCTCTTGTTGCAGTGCCACCGCCTGGCCTGGACGAATTTACGCCACGAAATGCCTTTTCCGCTTCCACCTCCGTAATCACTCACTCGGCACATCTTGGACCATCGTGTGCCCCGGCGCCGGCGCCGGCCCCCTCCCCCTCCCCCTCCCCTGACGATGCCGAGGAATAGGTAGTGAGAGACTTGACTTCAAACTCGAAGAGAAACGGCTGCAGCTTGCAGTCAAATAATAACTTAAATTTACATACAGTACAGTACAGTACAGTACAGTACAGTACAGTACTAGCGTTCTCGCTTGCCCCTGCCCCTGCCCCTGCCCCTGCCCCTGCCCCTGCCCGTCTTCTTCATGCCATCCTGGCGTCAAGTCCTTCTTGTGCCCACAACAGACATCCTCACCCGGTTGTCCAGCATCAATACCTTACCCCTGGTAACCCCACCCACTCTAGCGGACCTGGATTGAACTGAACTGAACTGAACTAAAGCAAAGAACCCTGACCCTCCCCTCATTATTACTACTGTATTACTGCCTGTCCGACGGCCTGGGATGCGCTTACTTTCCTGCTTCCTTATCTCTCTCGCGCTCGAATCAATTCTTGCTACTGTCCGTCCTCCGTACAGTACATACAGCTGCGGCTCGGCGATACTTCTTGTGCGATGCAATACTGCGTGCGATACAACGGCGCTGAGCACATGTCCACCCCGTAATTATTAAACACTCCACAACTGCCACTTCCTGTGATTTAGCTTGGTCCCCCAACCAGGAGCCGAGAACGGTCAAGGAGGTCAGCTTACAGACTTGTACCCCTTGGCAATCTCGAGGCCAGTCCATTCAACTCGACCCTCCTCAACCTCCTCCAAATATCCATGCCTGCGACCTTCAACATACAAAGGATTTGCTCCAAACTCCATCATCACCATCACATCACAGATGGACGACGGCTTCATAAAGATGGAAAATACTAAGACGTACACGGCGTCGACGTCGACCGTCACGCCGTTACTCACCAGACCGAAGGGCGTGAAGAATTTCCCGACGACCAAAGCTTTCGACAGCTTCAGAAGCGGGCCTTCAAATGGCTTTGCACCAACGATAGGAGAAGATGGCCGAACTTATAACCCCAAAGCAGCCGCTTATAATACAGCAAACACCATTCTCGTACGGAGGCTCAAAGGACGACATCTTCAGATGATAGCCATCGGTGGCTCCATAGGTATGTACCTTCCCGTCTCGACTCAACTTTTCTGGCCGGCCTCTCACGTGAGCACCGAGCACGTCGCTGATCTCGAGAACCAGGTACCGGGCTCTTCATCGGATCAGGGTCTGCTCTAGCAACCGGCGGTCCTGCATCTCTTCTACTTGCATTTATTCTGATCGGTGCTGTACTGTTCTGCACTGTCCAGGCGCTGGGAGAGATGGCTGTTACCTTCCCTGTGGCGGGGAGTTTCTCGGCGTTTGCCACGCGGTTCATTGATCCTGCGTGGGGTTTTGCCTCAGGATGGAATTATGCCATGCAATGGGCCATCACGATGCCTCTAGAAGTTATGGCTGCAGTAATCACCCTGGAGTACTGGAATCTGAATTTACCGTCCTGGGTGGCCATAACGATTTTCCTGCTTCTCATTATCGGCATCAACTTATGTGGGGTCAAGGTGTATGGAGAAGCAGAATACACTTTCTCGATATTGAAAGTTACAGCTGTTATTGGCTTCATGTGAGTAAGCTCCTGCTAAAGAAAGCTCAATGCTAATGTTTCTACAGAATTCTCGGCGTTGTCATCAACTGTGGAGGAACTCAAGACAGCGGATATATTGGAGGGAAATATTGGGCAAACCCAGGAGCTTTCCATAACGGCTTCAAAGGATTCTGCAACATCCTCGTAACAGCTGCATTCTCCTTTTCAGGAACAGAACTTGTCGGTCTCGCAGCAGCCGAGACTCACAACCCCAGCAAAGCATTGCCTACAGCCATCAAGCAAGTTTTCTGGCGGATTGCTCTCGTAAGTCTTCTACCGATTGTTTCTCGTCCCTGTTCTAACAACTATATAGTTTTACATCGTTTCAATAACTATAGTTGGCTTGCTAGTCCCCTATACCGACGACCGCCTCATCGGGCGCAACAACGTCGACTCCAAAGCCTCTCCCTTCATCATCGCCATCCAATCTGCCGGCATCCAAGGTCTCGACAGTGTCATGAACGCCGTCGTAATGATCGCCGTCCTCTCTGTCGCCAACTCCTCCATGTACGGCGCAACACGCACTCTCCAAGCCCTCGCCGAACAAGGCCAAGCACCCCGCATCATCGCCTACGTCGACCGCAAAGGCCGTCCTATGGTCGCGATCATCATCTGCTCTGCCATTGGCCTACTTTCCTACCTATACGTCTCGTCGATACAAGGCGAGGCTTTCACATGGCTGCTTGCCCTTTCTGGACTCTCAAGTATTTTCACATGGTGCAGCATCTGCTATGCACACATCCAGTTCCGCAAGGCATGGAAAGAGCAAGGAAACCTCCTCTCCGACCTCGTCTACAAATCTCCCATCGGAGAGATCGGCTCCTGGGTGGGTTTCTTTGCCTTACTAGCTATCCTCGCTGCGCAATTCTGGGTAGCGATCTCGCCGTCTGGAGCGAGCAGTGATCGGAGTGTGGGCGAACAGGCGGTGAATTTCTTCGAAGCATATCTGGCTATGCCAGTCGTGCTGCTATTTTATGGATATTATAAGATTTGGTACAAGACGAAGTGGGTGCGAGTGAAGGATATTGATTTGCAGACGGGGAGAAACGACTTTGAGACAGTGCATGTGAGGAGGCAGTGGAAGGATGATAAGAGCGAGTGGCCGAGGTGGAAGATAATTTACAAGACGCTCTGTTGAGCTGGGCTCTGGATGCGAGGATGATTGGATGGATGTATGATATTTGTCGATTTGTGATTGCGGACTTAGAAGATCCCATGCCAGAGATACCACTTTGTTTGATATCCTAATGAAGTTATGCTTTTTGCCTTTGCTACTTGCTCTGCTTGCCTTCCATTGAATCGGTCTTTACTCTACAATTAATTAGGTCGGCATTGGCTGGAAATATACATCGTCAAGTCGCAGTATTTTGAAATTGGCTGGCCACTAAAGCTATCGAATGACATTGGTCTCACACGCACTTATCAACAAGAAGTCTCGGCCAAAACCAGTCTCCAAGTTGTTTCTGCACAAATCTCTCAAAGTCTTCCAATCAAGGTCGCTGCTCCACACCCAATAGGAAGTCAGCCAACGAAATGTGGCTGACTTGTGATATTGGGGGCAAAATGTCGCCTAATCCTCAGCTCGGCTTCTCAGCCTCAACCACAGCACAACCTCTCGAGGTCATTTTCACCCGCAGATCGTCGAAGACCTAGCCTTGACATCACAACCTGCAGATCCGAGTACCGAAACAAGATTGTTCTTGATGTCGTAGAACATAATATCGGAAAACACCAGCAGTAGCACGAGTCGAAAACCATTATTAAGTGGGTAAGGCTGTGAGACAATCTCCAACCATACGCCCTCCATCGCCATCAGATTGACAGACTTGTAACGCTGATACTCACATGATGGATTCACGTACGCTCATCGTGACCACTCTTTCTGTTTTCCTCGAATTACCTCTCAAGGATGTCAATGCTATAGACTTCACATCCTATGAAAACTACCTCGATGACCAAATAATCCAAGACGACGATTGGTGGCATGGGATCTCGACCCGTCCAACATTCGAACTCGCTTTCCACACCGACATTCGAGATATCGTGCATATGCTCACGACGCTTCTTTCGGCCAATGTACCATGCCGGAGGGCTGACCTCACCGACGCATTTCTACTCCACCAAGTGCCATGGACTGCAGAATTGGCCCAGCCTTTCAAAGAGAGTTATGCGAGCTGGTTAGATAAGCTGGTGGACATGGCCCTCACATTGCTGCTCTCTTTTCCTGTTGGTTCCAGGGTTTCCACCTCCAAATCCTTGACTATGGATCTAGCGCTTTGGGACGAGAATACGACCTTCCAAACGTTCATCGAGAGCCAGTTTCCCGAACCGACAGGGCGTGCTGGTGATGCAGAGGAGACCCTACAGACCTCCATTCTGACAGGTGTGGCACTCGTGCGGAATTCTGGGATCAAGGTGGAATGGACGCATGATTTTCGTCACCATCTCAGGTTCGATGCCAGACATCATATTCTGAGTATCTTTGTCTTGAGAGAATACATAACCAGATTAGGCGAAAGGTCCGTCTGATTTGCAGATCTCTTGTGATACACCTCCTCAAGAGGATTCCCGCTGACGTGTGGGCAGAATCACCCAGTTCTTCCAAAGAGATTGGTAGATGAGTACAACAGGACGATGGACATTTTCTTCCCGGGCTCAGACAGTCAGACTCGTAAATTTCTCGTGAAGAGTCAGCCTGAATTGGTAACGTCGAGCGCGACGCCGGCGTTGACGACGTTGAGCGTTGGGGACTTCTTCTACTATCGAAACAGGCTCGCGGATTTGCACGACCACATTGCATCACAGCAGCCAAGAACCCTGGCTCAACTTTGGAGGCAGCGTAGGCAGGTGAATGGGTTAGCTGGACTATTGAGCAGACGTGATGAGAGACCACTCCCTACCGATGTAGGATTACTGCCCCATCGTTTCAGTGGTAGTACACTTGCTTTCTCGATGTACAGTTACGGAGGATTGAACGAAGAAGATGCAGATGGAGATTTGCCGAATGAGTCGGACGGAATACCGGTAGCTGATTCGCAGTCGCCGTCGGCCGTCTCTGTTCTGAGAGAGCATGCTCATCAGCCGCTAAAGGATCGCGATCCTCTTTCAACAATCGTTGAATGAATGTACAAAAAGTATTGACTGTTCGAAGCTCTCAAGATTCAGTCGAGACGTTCGGAGGGTTCTGGCATTCGCCTCGATCAATACGTCAATGGGAAATTCTTCGAGACGAGGCAAACGCTTTCCACATACCGGGAACTATGTCTATCACTTCAAGGTACTCTGCGAGGCAGGCAAGCGCATGAAAAAGGCGGGAAGAAATGACCACCCTTGTAGCTCTGGAGTGCTGAACTCAGATCATATGTTACTCAAAGTACGACGATACAGCGGTATAGGGATCGAATGGACATCAAGTCTCAGTGAGCATCTCGACCTCAATAGAGAAAATTGGTTGCTGAAGATCTTTCGGATAGAGCACTCTGCTTATGCGTTAAGGAAAATGAAAGAGCCAAGGAGTGAGATAAGACCAGTTCCACTCTAGCCGTCCTTCACGTGCCGACTTTGTCCAGTTATAAATCTTGAACAGTGAGATAAATTGTTCCTAATGCAGTTGTCGACGAGTACATTGAGACGACGAATCTCCTCCTCCCAAATTCAGTTCCAAAGACCCAGAATTCTTGAGGAAGAGGTTGAAGGACAGTCGTTTGGGATGGAAGGACCTGTTGGATATCCAGGACCACTTTGCCTTTCCGACTTCCACTTTTGTAGGTCTTGGTGCTGTTATATCGTAGAAAGCATTTCTTGCTGATAGATGATTCTAGGGCGAGGCGGCCTCTCGAATTTCTACACAGAAAATCTGTCAACCACCTCCATCGATGATCCAACTCTTCAACGTTCGTAGGAACGTTTTGCAATGGTATATACCTTCTGGTTTGTTGTTGTTGGCTTTGACCCTGGCATTCGGCAGCATCTCTTCAGTTACAACATGCTTTTCTACTACCAGATTTGCATATGAAGCGTTGCAGCTTGCAAGAGAAGCGGCGGACTCTACGAAGGCTTGCCCAACGTTTGCCTGTGGACTTGAAAAATGATGGGTGGCTCAGAATAGAAAACATACATTATTGCTAGGCTCGAAATTGTCCTGCACGTCGGAGGACTCTTTGAACGGGCTAGTACCCAAATCAAGACCCATGATATACAAGTAATCCCAAAAAGTGCTCCAGATAGACTTTGATGGTGGCCCATTATGAGGCCCATATGCGCCATGCCTTGACAAGCTCCGTACACCATATCCCAGCGCATTTACATAACAACACAGCATCCGTCCAGCTTCTTCAATAGTTTTGGCAACAGCTTCTTAGCCAGCTTCTCCATCTCATCATTCTGGCCATTCTGCTGGTTACCATGTTGCTGCTGCTGGCCATGATGTTGCTGTTGACCATGATTCTGCTGACCAGGATACCCGCCCTGTTGATGACCACCCTGCGGTTGCTGTCCGTGATAACCTCCGTGCTGCTGGCCCGCAGGTGGCATTATTGCTGGTGCTCCAGTGAGATTGACATACATCCTCCCAGCATTTTCTTCCGTGGCATATTGGAGGCCCAGTTCCCGGCATACTTGTTCGACACGAGGCTTGATTTTCTGGACATGGTTTACGGAATGGTTGCCCTTGCCGACGATTACGTGCAAGTGCGTCTGCCCGTTCTGCCGTGCGTATCTTATCCTTTGCTCGAGGATGTCTTCTGCCTCCTCTACGAATTGCCCGTGCAAATCAATCGTGTCGTCCGCAACTCGGCCGGGCGCATTGTTCTCGCGGAAGATGTAATCGGATGCCTGCTTGTTGAATTGATCCATCTTCGCCGCATGTGCCTTTCCTTCCTCGGACAATTGATGCGCCGCAGCTCCATCGCCTCGTTCGTACGCTTGATGCGCCTGTGTGCGATGTCAGGGTTATATTCTATGTTGCGATTGCGCCGTGAAATGGGGAGCGAGATTCGCAACGTACTTTATCGAAACAGGACGAGCGCTTGCCCGCTTCCTGGCGCGCAAGGTCGCGGAGTCGATCGTATTCTGCTTCAGCATCGCCGCTCGAGGAATGATTGAATGCTGCGGCGGAATGTCAGTTCTCAATGTCTTCCCGCGCAATTCGGAAATTGTGTCTCTGCGATTCGGACTGCACGCACCTTTGCCGCCAAGACGGGTCATTGGGTAGGAAGCTGAGGAAGACATGATTGATGCTGGCGACAATGCGATGGGAGAGATAAACGAGTGTATATGAGGTAACAATCGCGCCGTTGTGCTTTTGTGCCTGTCGTTCAAGTAGACTGGGGATGTTGGCAGCTGGCTAACCTCCACTAGCCAGAGCAAGTATCAGCTGGACAGGGGGTGTTCAGCGATCGGCTCCAGGGTTTCAATTGGTGGGTAAAACCAGACCATCAGCCTCGTTTGGACTGTTCGGACCAAAACAATTGTTCGTGGAGGGTGGAAGGGAAAGGGATTTGCTATTGAATCCTGAGATAGAGACTGGGGCAAACCCGCACAAAATCCATGGGGGCTGTTTATTACCGGCCATGCTTAGCTGGGAACAAAACTGCTCAAACTGGGAACTTTTTGCTGCATTTCAATTGACCTCTTCATTCTACCAAAATTGGATAAGAAGCTTTTCCGTCGTGCCCATCTGATTGGATAGGTTTCTTTGAAACCTGGCTGGCCTGCGACATTTACAGTGAAAGCATTGGAAGGTTATTCATGAACTCAGGTGGGCATTTTTTGATAATTCAGTATTCAGCACTGTTAGCATTCGAAAGTGCCATAATTTCACCTGTACCACATGAATGCTAAATGTCTCCCATTTCTGTATCCCAGGAATGCGCAAGTCACGTAGAGAGTTTTAAGTTCCTCGTATACCATCAATGGCTGCCGTGGTTCTGGGGAAAGTCTTTGAAAGAGGCATCGACTGGTCAAGTTGCCAACCAACCCGCCTAGCGAAAATTCAATATATCGATACGGCATACTATAGTCTATATAGTTTGGTGTATTTGATGAAGGCTGACATCCTTGTAACATTTCTTAGCTGTTGGTTCCCATCCATTCAAACACAGAGGGCGCTAAATCAGGAGCAGAAACCGTTCCTTCGCTTAATTAAGGGGTGCATAAATAAACAAATCCTTTTTGTTTACATCCTACGCATGTCTCCCACCAGATGATTCTGGCCCCTGAATCACAGAGCTATATCGTACCGGCTATATTATTAATTGTACACTGTTCTGGTCGCACTCAATGTATCGGTATAAGGCTTTTGCTGAACTTTTCAATAAAACGCCGGCCTCAGTGGATCGCCTGGTGGTCATCTCTGTCCAAGCGTACGCTATGCGCTTCGAGTGTTCCTGTTCAAACCAAGCTCGCATTCTAGAATAAAATTTCTGTCCTTGCCTACATTTATGGTGCTACTTCGTGACAGGCTCATATGTATTTTGGTCGCTTGACTCTAGGGGTTGCCCTTAATTTTGCCGAGAACAGATAAATAGCATTCCTCCCTTCAAACCTTGCGACCTGAAATTTCATCCTAAGAATCGTTTGAGCTGAGTGAAAGGACTTGCCGAAGCTAATGAACGTATTGTTTTCTTACTTTTAGCCCTTGGGCCCTTAGAAGTACCTCGAGATAGCAGTAATCCTCTCAGCTGCAACTTAAACGACAAAACCCTTGCAAGGCTATCTGATCTTGAGTTCCCAGCTGCCCCAATGTCGAAGCAGAATTTAGGCAGCTCTTTACTGATCGGACGATCAGAAGTAAAAAAGGGCCTCTCAGTGTGTCATGAGGTGATTACTTATTTCGGCATATGGCCACAATTGCATGATCTACGGCGTGTTAGGCTCTCCACCAAATCCGTGGTGGGTCCCTATCAAAGAAAAATACTCCACGCACCCATGACAGAGAAAATTAAAAATTAATGGAACCAAAAACACAAAAATAGAGGGACTGTGGCGATTTTGGAGTTTATAATCGGTATTATTCGTTATATTGCGTTATTGCGAAAGAATTATTATTCGTCAATGTGAAGAAAGATTACCCACTCTTTGAATCATGCCTCTCGGCCACTGCATCCAATGTTCCCACTCCCTCCCGAGATAATCTCCAATCGTACCCACCATGTATCCAGGCTTTTCATGCCACCACCACCATTTCCCTCTATTCCTTGACAACAAGTATGCGGCAGCAGCATAGTAATGCGCCAATATGACGAGCGCAATGCCGTCAAGTTCCCCAATTAGGTCGATGAACTCACTAGGACAGAGAGATTGCCACCGCAAGAAACACGAAAGTAGTTCTTCCAGCACACTAGGCTGGAGATCTTTAGAGGTGGACGTTGAGAGATAGAGGGTGAGCGACTCGATGCGCTCGACGTAGATATCGCGGTGTACAAGGGCAGGCGAATCTTGTGGGAGGTGATTGAGAAGGCTCATGAATTGTGCGCCAGGTCCCATACTTGGGGTGACATGGGGCAAGAAGAGCCTTGGTTCGACAAGGACTTGGAAGCGGCCATTTTGCGTTGTGTCTGGACGATCGGCCAGTACTGACGGAATATATCGGAGGAATGTGAGGGAACTGTCTTGGGCGGGGATAACTAGTTTGAAGTCTAGGACGGAGCATGCATGGAAGCTGAGGAGAAAAGACGTGGCTAGTACGGCGTCTTGATTTGATTGTGCGTTATTGTGGAAGTCAGCATGGAAGGCTGTGAGAGCTTCGTGGTGGTGGTATTGTTCGAGGAGTTTGTAATCTGGTTCTGGACCACTCGTCAGAGAGCAGGGAGCCTTTTGAAGATGGCGTGCTGAGAGTGTAAGAATTGCGTGCATGAGGAAGCTATGCTGTTTTATATGAGCTTAGAAAGATGAAGTAAAGAACTGTTCAGTGCGTAAGAGCCCTTACCTGGAATGCAAGCTGCATGGCATCCTCAGTCCAAAGCTGTTGTGGCCCAATCAGATCAAGACTGGTCGTCGATGTAAAATGCATCAATAGTAAGACATCCTGTGTTTCAAACAGCTGAGATTGCTCCAGTGGCATAGGGGAAAGTCCATGACCTAGGATATCGAAGTTGTTGAAGAATGAGTTGTCGTACTCGAGAGGTGACTGTTCGCCAAAATTTGAGTATGGAGGAGATGGCGTTGATGTATAGCCAAAATCGCCTTGCATCGAAGCTACTGATGTAGCTGATGTAGTTGAAGGAGAGCTGAATTCCGCCGCGGAGGGTAGTGAGAAAGTGTTGACGGAGCTTTTCCACTTGGGCACATCATTCGTGGGGTAGACGCATGCTTGAGACGATACTTTGCATTTGGTACACTTCGGTCGTTGTTCGTCGCACTAAATCAAATCAGTCAACTTAATTGGATTGCGGAGGGGAACAAGACCTTGATTCGCTTTTGCTTACAAGACATACAGCCTAGCCTTGATTTTCCATTTGACTTGCGAGTTCTGACTGTGGGGGCATTTTCAGACGGACCAGCCTCCGTCCGGTGCATCTTTCGTACGACAGTTGTCATGAGTTTCCTTCTTGAACAATACAACAATCTATAAGGTCGAATACGAGGAGATATTGCTGGGGTCTAGGGCACGGTACTCCTCAATTGGCCGTTGGTGATTGGTATGAATAGATTTGCATAGAAACGAATGCCCTTCTGTATAGAACTCTTTTACATTCCCTCACAGCATTAAAAATCTCTTGTTGATGGCTACAAAACAAATTGGTTACGAGAACGAGGAGTCAGAAGTCGAATTGAGGATGTATTTGGAGTTGCCAAGTCCATGAAAGAAACAAATTGGTGCCGATATCTCCGAAAAGTGTCTAGACGAATATGGGACATCTCGAATATATGAAGTTCCAGAAGCTCGAAGGAATGACCCTCTGAGACTGGCCTACGAGGCGGAATGTTAGGCAGACGCGAAAAGAGGAGGTTTCATTTGTCCAGTGTGCCCCAGTGTTTAGAAAGGTACCATCCCCATGCGTGCAAGCGGCAATGGTTCTTCACGGTCCCTTAACCGAAGCGGACAGGGTGGCTGAGCTTGACGACCCCTTCGTGTCTTTCCCGATATGGACATAGCTTATTTGCACCTCCAAAAATGCGCTGTCAAAGAACTTGCTTCCATCTGTGGGGTGATCGTTCCTGGATGTTTCGAGCTCTCGTATCGTCTGGTGATGCTCTCTTGGCACAAACAAGCTTTGGGTTGGGACGGAGCATCTGTTGTCTTGGTATGATTCAATTGAGTACATCAATAGCCAAATTGTGCTAGGGTGATGGCAAATTTTGGAATGCCCTTACCTCAGCTAAATGGATTTTTCCTTTTCAAACAAGTATAAATTCAGCTCGATGCGCCTATGGTGGAAATGCATCCAAAGTGACTGATTCATCAATGACTTCTGTGCCTGTCATCAACGAGCCAGCCACCTACTTTTCAAGTCAACACCTACCCACCTCAAAAATGGGCGCAGTCAGCAATGTCGTGCAAAGCTCGAAGTTCTACCAAGCTTTCATGCCAGAATTGCCAATGCACACATAAGATTCGTCCTGTTAGTCGTGCCATACCTAGGACCCAGCCGATCATCCTTGTCCAATGGTGTTCTTATCTCCTGCGCCAGAGTAAAGGTCCCCTATGCAGCCCACGACATCAAGCACCGTACTCGGTCATTTATAAGGTCAAATCTGACCGGTAGTCTTCTTGAGGGTGTTCTTCACCAAGGATGCCTGCTTGGCCACCAAAGCCACAAGCATTTGAAGATATCTGTTCTGAGCAGAGAGCATGCATCACAGCTTTCATGAGCCCCAATTGTGCCGCAATTTATATATCCTGAAGGAAATCATGGCCATACTGCACAGAGAAATGACGAATTGTTCCGCTCTAGTAAATACTTGCTTTCACCGTGCTTGAACTCATCCCACTCGCCTTTGTCTACCAGATGCCGCATTCGTATTGCAGTAAGAACTGCCTCACACCCATGCGGCTTAGCTCCAGTGGGTCTGATCAGAAACGCCATGTGCTTGGTAACCGTGTATCTCATAGTTGAAAGTTCTCTCATAATTTCTTCATTTCTCGTCTCCGATCTGTGGGCTGGTGGTTTGCCTGGTGCGTGCGCTGCAGCCAGCGACAGGGCAGTTGACTTGTTCCAATATATTTCAGATGAAAGAGTCTCTCCATCATCAGCCGTTTTTTATTACCCAAAGGAGCGGAAAGTGTTTCAAGCTACCAACCGGCACGCCAAGTCAGGGTTATTCGAGGTGTTTACCGATGCAATCAATACACCCCGGTCGTCCGATTGAAAACAAAATCTGGAAACCTGAGGATATCAACATTCTTGACTCCAAGTATATGCTTGTCAGACTTTTGAATTCAGCCTGGCTCATAATTGTGTTACCCAGAAGCACAAAGTTGCATGCATGGCACAGTTACGTGTACAGTCAGACCAAAACGGAGGTCTCGTCAACTTCGAGGTAGGCCCTGCCGTGTAAGTCTCCAAGCGCAAAACTTAAAGTCTACTTGCTTGAATTTACATGCAGGGAAAAGACTTGGGAAGGATTAGAATGATCAATCAAAGGTACAGAGGGTTTCAAACAGACGCTTGGGTCTCATAAGGTAGTGAAAACATATGTATCACATGGTAGGGGTATGATATGACCGATTGACATCATGGCCACAACAGTGATACTTACGCCACCAAACGTTAACCTTGCAATAGCAGAACTCAGGGCACGTACAAACTATCTGCGAGTATAAAAGGAGTCTCATTGTGGGGTTTCCTTCTCACCAGAAGGTGCTATCCACGCCTGAGGGGGAAATTACATGCTCGTGTGCCGACACTGCCACAGAAGAATCTTGATGCTTGTAAGAATCCCAATCAAGAACCCGACCTCGGCTCCCCATTTTCTCATATCATAGATGTGCATATCTTGCAGCTTGCACCAATCAGGTTCTCATATATGCGGGTTATCACAAAGTGGATGGCTGTGCAATGATGGGCACAACTCTGTCCCACTGATGCACAGCCCCCTCATGTATGGTGCCTTTGTCGAACACAGCCCGGCCCAGGAACTGGCTTGCAGAAAACGGGATATCTTGAGCTTGATCGGGCCTTGTCAGCCGTTTTATGCCCGTCCCGAAACTTTGGGCTTCTAAGCTCGAAGAGAAACACGAGGAGTCTCGTCTAAATGGGACATCCAGCCCACCACGTGATCAGACCAAGATCTTGATGTTTAGATCGAATACCATTTGTATTGAAGTGTTAGTAATAGCCTCCTGAATACGACTATCGATAATTTTCGCGAAAGCTTTGTAAATGGAGAATTTTCTCGCAATGATAAAAGGCTCTAGGCAAGCAAAGTGCAGCATCGGTAAGCTGATCAGAACCAAAACATTATACCTTAGTTGGCATAGCTAACGCCACATAAGTGGGCTTGACTTTTCAAGCACCGAAACAACGTAAAACACGAGGGCTATAGCAACGAAGATATTCACCGAAACGCGTTGCGAAGACATAAAGTGTCTCACGAAGTACAAAAATCCTCCTGTCGCGAAAATGCGCTCCCAAGAACGTGCGGAATTGAACACACATTTAGACCACGACTGGACTGGCTACCTTGGGCAAGCAAGAGTGATTAACAATATGGACCCAAGAGCAGTGTATCAAAGTGATAGGAATTTGAGACAAGATTCTCCTGCAGTCCGAAGACTTGAGAGAGTGAGGACGTCAGTGATGATCTAGGTTGAAGCGCAGGTGCAGCTCGGTTGAGTTGGGGACAACTGTACGTGAAGCTTGCCAAATCGACTCCTGTCGCAAGCCATCGGCGCGAAAGAATTCCAGTAGATGATAAACGCGAGAAGATATTGCATATGCACAAGTCTGAGGTGGTGTTGCACGTATGGAGGTGATGATAAGTTTCTGGATACAAGAAACATCGAAGCCTCGGAAGCATAGCGGGCCAGGCCTTCGGTAACACGGCAGGAAAAACCTTCCACCGATCCGCCCCTCAAAACAACCCTGCCGTTCCATTGCGGAAGCCAAGCTCCAGGTTACGTCGCTTTTGCCATTCTGCATCCCCAACATTTTCCTCGTGTTTGCATGTGAATCATGGGACGATGGCTTCTCCACTCGGACTCGACATAACCTAGGTCACCTTGAATAATCATCAATCCGGTTTCCGATTTGGCGACGACACGGTATCCCTCCGAAGCAGGCAAAGATTGGGCCAGAAAGACATGGTCGATTCGAGGCTCTCAAGCTCCAACATCTCGTCAACAGCACCCCGAAATGCCGGAGCAGCTCAAGCCCGTCTCACAGCAATGGCATGCTCAAACATTACGAGTAGATGCCGTGCGCCGACTCTCGCGATCTCCCCATCCATATCACCGCCAACAATTCGAGCTTCCATATGGCTCTGAGCGGTTCAACAATGCGAGCTCGAATGCCCTTCCCACGAAATCACCCTTGCGATCAGCGCAGACCACGGACGATGAAGATGTACAAGAACAGAGGCGGCGGTCTGAGAGCTACAAGGAGTCAACGAATAGTGACAGTGGAACAGAAGCAGATGACGAGCATTTTCTGAAAGGACTACCGGCGCCGAGATTACGGCTTCATAAAGGTCTTCGAGGTGTTGATAGTAGCCCCTCTGGCACACCAAGTCCAGTACTGTCACCCACTATTCTGGATGAAGACTCTCCGCGGGCACAGGGCTTCTTCAGACAGCGGACATTGCCATCTGCTGGACTGGATAGGGAGGAGGCTGAGAAAGCTTTGGAGAGACTCCGCCGGAAACGCAGGATAGAGGTTGTGAGACGATCTACCGAAGCAGGAATTATTTGCTTCGTAGGCGCAATGCTCTGTTTTGATTCCCAGGTTCAGAGAGTTATATACATATGGAGGAAGGGTGAGAAGAATTATCCGGTTTTCTCCTAACTGTACTGACTATAGCAGAATTGGGCTGCCAATTTCTTATAACCTCAACTCTCATTACGGCATATCCACTGAGGCTACTGCGGCATATACAGCCCAAGCATCCACTGAAGCTGCCTCTCCCATTACGCATTCCGGCAACTTTCGAACCAGCAGCTTTGTTTTACCCTTCATCAATTACAATGCTCGTCACTTTACTACTGTCCAGAAAGAATCCCTTTGACTTCTTGCCGAGTATAGTTCTGGGAATAGCGTCACTACCTAAACATCTTATACCATCAACGGGCGGTTTGAACGGTTCCAATATTTCGCACTGGGCTCTCACGTGCCTTCCAATTCTGATTTCAAGAACGACCGAGCTCGAACTGGTCCATTCTTCTTCGGCCGAGATACAAGCAGTATTGGACCGAGAAATTTTGGTTCTTCTCTATCCGCTACATCAAGCGTTATGTACAACTCTGCATTACTTAACGACGACAAGTCTTCTCACTGCCGAGCTTCAATTACTTTCGATTTCTCTCATTGAGTTGCTCCTGCTTGCTACGTCTCCCCAAACAACCATTTTGAAAGCACTTCTTTGGGGCGGAGGAGTCGGAGTGCTCATCACCTGTGGACGTGTACTTGTATGGGGAGTGGCTCTGGCCAGGGTTCCAAAATGGCGTTTTAGACGAGCTGGAGCACCTATGAAATCCACGTCAGATTTTGTGAAGAAGAGATCCCCACTGGGGAGAATTGCTTCACTGTTTGGGAAGAACGTCGCTGCCACCGATTCAAGTGAGGATGAGAAGGTCGACGAATTGCCTCCACAAAGACTTAAGCTCAATACTCGAGACTCGATGCCAGTGTATGACATGTCCCAAGAAAACGGCTCTGTTTCAGCAGTTGACCCTAACTCCAAAGTCAATTTCATGAACAGTGACACGAAGTCGGGGCTTGAGCAAACTTTCTCAGCGAATCGGAGGCACACTCTTCCTTCGCTTACCAGTCTTCCTCCAAGGTCTAGTAACAGAACTCCCTCTGGTCGGAGAAAGAGGGCTGCCTCTTCCAGCGTTCAAGCGTTCTTCTACCTGACACAGAAGCAAGCAAGTATCCGGAAGTGGCTCTACGCAGGTTATGTCTACTTTTGTGTTCTGGCAATCATTCTCGTGGGTATTAGGGAGTACGTGCAGAGATTTGCTCTGCACGGAAACGAGCCTATTGGATGGGCTCTGGGGTACCTTCTCGGCGATCTACCATGGTTCAGAATGCAGGTTGTTCTTTACAATCTCCAACGCTGGATATGTCTACCACCAAGAAACGGTCGAGAGCACGAAGAGTCTTGTTACATGGGCTGGGTCGAACATTTACGACAAGCATCTTTTGGGCCTGCGAACACCCGACTGATCTTATGTGCCTACTGGCTAGCCATCATTATTGTTGGACTGGCTATCGTACTTCGTCTTTCATCAATTTACGAAGTTGATACTCGGCGTAAAGTGTTTCACTTTATGATGGTAGCCATGCTCCTCCCTGCTACATATGTGGACCCGACATTTGCAGCATTAGCACTATCCTTGATGCTTGCGATCTTTCTCCTCCTCGACCTTTTCCGAGCTTCTCAACTCCCGCCGCTCTCCAAACATTTGGCGTATTTCCTCACACCCTACGTGGATGGAAGAGACCTCAAAGGTCCTGTTGTAATATCTCATATTTTTCTCCTGATCGGCTGTGCCATTCCTCTCTGGCTCACCCTAGGGACTCTCCCGCGGACCGGGAATGACTATTTCGCCGGCTGGGAGGTTCCCATACGAGAAGTCAGTATGGTGAGCGGCGTTATTTGCGTGGGTATGGGTGATGCAGCAGCATCCCTAATAGGACGACGATACGGCAGACGTAAATGGCTTTGGGGTGGCGGCAAAAGTATTGAAGGCAGCGTAGCATTTGCTACAGCCGTGGGACTGGCGTTAATACTTGCAAAGGCCTGGCTTAGAATTGGTGGCTGGCCAGCTAATAATGAAGACTCTTGGGTTATGACTGTTTTGAAAGCGGGCGTCGCGGCTGGCATAGCGAGTCTAACGGAGGCGGTTCTCACGGGCGGGAACGATAATGTCGTCGTTCCGGTCATTCTTTGGCTCTGTGTCAAGGGTTTAGATATTTAGACTTGGATACCTGAACAGGGGAAATATCCATATTGGACTTCAAATTCCTTCTCTTATACATGGCTTCCTGTGATCGCTAGCTCCAGACACCGAGACAGGTTTATTGTGCTGGCAGTGCTCTCCAGTTGCGTCATAGCCTCCTGTGGATCATACTCTTTTAGTGTTCTATATTTAAAATCTATTATTGTCTGACTGAAGGAGCCCTTTTGAGATGTATTTAGAAGTTCTTTATCGATACCTATATTTACTCGAGGCTGTTTTTGAGAAAATTACAACATCTAATCGTGTCAGCTTGAGTGCAGCTTGAGTGAAACTATTTTGGGGTTAAAGAAAGAAGTTTATTGTGAGCATCTAAATATACTCACTTCTTCTTTTTATTCTCTTTAAGAAAGTCTATAGATCTATAAATTGTCTGAAAGAGTAGTTCTATTGTTGACTTAACATACAATTTTTTTTCGTCTTCATCAACATTTACTCACATCTGAGTGCTGAGAATAGTCGTGATCTATAACTGTCTGAAGCAAGGAGTCTATTTTCATGTCAAATACAAAGGGCTTCGTATAAAGCAGAAGTCAATCTAAGCAGTATGCTCGAAAGCTATGAAAGCCCAAAGGCCTATCTGGAATACACCCCTTCTTTCGAAATCAACAGTCAAAAAAATTACATCTACTTCTACAAACTCCATTACATTACAAAATCCTCTACCCTGCAGTTATTTCTGGTAAAACTGCAAATCCTTTGTGTCGTCTGCACAGATACTGCGCCCTCATATCATCCATCTCGGTGTTGATTCAATTCACGAGCCTGAAGTGTCTTCCGCAACCAATCGACCACTTCCTCTACACCTTTTAACAGTCAAGATCCCAAAGATGTGTACCGACATCACTGCCAAGTTCACCTGCCACACCACGCAACATGGAAGTAACCTAGAATACACCGACCATTGCAGGTCGTACAATGATGCATTGGCAGCGGGGTTCGCAAATGTCTGTCCTGAAAGTAAATCGGACTTTGATACTGGCAAAAATGCTATAGGTGTCGAGGGGAGACAGTGCCTGAGACTGACGACGACCTTCGTGAACTGAGAAAAGATGTTTGGAGGAAGGAGTCTTCTAAATGGAAAAACGGCCCGTTAAAGTTAGCTTCTGGCATTGGGGATGTGTGAGTTGCGGAGGTGGGGAGGTATTGGAGGACCACCTACGATCTCGTTTGATTTGCGGTGCGTAATGGTATTTTGGATTTGGCAGAAAGGCTACTTTTCTTATCGTCGTTCGTTAGGATTTAGGGTTTCTTCGCGTTGCTTTACAGATCATGATCTTTCAGTCCTTCGTTTACATCCTTTAATTGGAACAGACACTTTCACACTATCATGTCTACCTGTCAATTTTGAATGTAAATTGGAGTAAATATGACCCTGAAGTTTTATCATGTTATTTCTTTCTGAAGACGTGAGACTTAATGGCTGTCTGCTAACGTGGGGTGGGAAAAGACTTCACCCATCTTCCTCATGCTTCTCCTTTTACTCACTCAAGCTGAACCATAGCATACCACTTTAAACTCCCCATCTTCTCCTTTAAAGCCCCATAGTAAGCGGGGATATCAAAAATAAAAATCGCCTCTATAACCTCCTTCCCCATCCCCTCAACCAACTCCTTCGCCGCCAAGACTGTTCCTCCCTTGCCCAGCAGATCATCCACCAGCAACACTTTCTTCCCCTCCACACCCTCAAAAGCATCTTTCTTGATCTCTAGTACATCAGGTCCATACTCCTTGTCGTATGACACGGTAAGTACCTCCCCAGGCAGTTTCCCTTTCTTCCGAACGGGGATGCATGGGAGGTTAAGACGGGATGCTAGGATGGGTGCGAAGAAGAAACCTCGGGATTCGATGCAGACTATGCTGGAGATTGTGGAGAGGTCGTGGGTTGCTTTTATGTGAGACATGAGGTGGGATATCACTGCTTCCGTAGCGGCTGGATCGCGGAATATAGCTGCTAGCGTTTAGCAAAGGGTTGTTCATTGACGTGGAAGCGTGGATCTCTATTTAGATGGAAGTCAAGTGCCATCTTATTGACAGTGCTTGAAAGATTTTGACGTACGGAAGATATCAGCGAATGGTTGTCCCTGTGTTTTCGGTCAGACATAAAAATTGACGAGAGACCAATCTGTCAGACTTACAGGAACTGGGTGGTCAATGTAAATTTTGATTTTCGAGAGTACAAGTGCTACGTCCGCCATTTTGATGGTCCACTTGGTTTCAATACAGCTTCCTGTAAGCTGGATGATAGTAAGATACTTGTTGTACGTCGACAGTGGAGGACTGTTGTCAACGATAAGCGAAAGCCGAGACACGGAAGTGGCTGACGAGTGATGAACTTGGTGGGTCTGACAGATACCGCCACTAAACTTTGTCAGACGTGGGGGGTCGAACTTTAGGTTTACAGTGTCTATCCCCACCCTAGCCCAGGTTGAATCAAGGAGCAGATGGTGAGGCTGCTGGTTGTAGGTGATATTCGTAAGTACATAGTGATGTAGAACATTCAACGCTACAGAACTCCAAAGCTACTACCGTTTCACTTTGAGTTAGATCCGGGCTGAATATACCAGTCTAGAATACATTATATGGATCTGTTTCATCGAAACGGGGCACAAAAACTTTGAAGAGAATTGTTGCTCCTCGGATTGCGTTGAATAGCTGACATTGAACTTTTCTCTGTTTACTGGAGCATCTGTGTCACGACCAATCAAATGGGTATGAATGTCGCTTAATCGAGGAGATTTGTTTATGAACTATTAATCTTGAAGATTGCATTGCTTGCTTATGTTCTATGATAATCGACATGCATGACAGGCACATTACGGTATACTCATAGATTCTTGTCCTTGCTGTTCTCGGTCCCTTACAGGACTTTCTTGAGAAGAGCATCTTTGGAGGCAGCAACAACACCAGCGGCAAGCTTCTGAGGCATGCTCAAGAACGGTGAGTGAGAACTGTTCATGGTGTAGGTGAAGGAATCAGCTGGGAATTGGGAAGCCATGGCTTTTTGGGTTGCGATAGGAATGGCTTGATCCAACTCCATAAAGAAGAACCCGACCTCGACCCCCTGGTTCCATGGCTCATAAGTGGTCTTGTCGGAGAAAATGCGGGCTGGCTCAGGCTCGAGACCAGCAACGGCCTTGGCTACGAGTGCAGCGTCGGTGACGTCGGCATAGAAGATAGTTTCTGGGGTTGCGGGGGTGACGAAGCCATCCTGTGAATATCATTCGGTTAGCACTTACATTTTGTGGAGAAGGGGGGTGTTGGGTCAGGAATTGGCAATACTGACATCTCCCAAGGTCATCCATGGCAAATATGATCCTCCAAGTCCATCCAATAAGCTAGTTCCCTTGGGCACGGCGAATGCGGTCATGTAGATCAACTGTGGGGATTCCAGTCAGCTCTTATATCTCGAATTCGGATGGATTCATGCAGATGGCAGCCTTAGGTCATGACGCATCTGCAACGTAACGATCCGGAGAAAGAATAGCTGGAAGTACACTCACCATGATAACACCTCCGGAAAGACCAGCAGCAGCACGTTCAGCGTAGCCCAGGCCCTCAACGGCATTGGTGCCAACCACTCCACCATAAGAGTGAACGACCATGATGACATCCTTCCCGGCATTGGTGAGTGTCGTTAGCTCGGCGCGTAAAGCAGATGCGTCCTCTGTAAGACCAACAGTCAGATTGTTGGAGCCCACGGAAGGTAGAGCAACAGCCTCAGTCGGGTAACCGAGAGTTTCGAGCTGGCTTCGGACAGTATCGAAGGCCCACGTTCCGTGCCATGCTCCACTTGAATAGTATTAGAATTTATTATCTGGATGCAATCTCTTGGAAACTTCGAAGGTAAGAGCATAATTAACTTACGGTGTGAAGACGATGGTGGGTAAGATGTCTTGCTTAGCAGGAAAAGCTAAAACAGACGAAGCGAACAGAGCAAGAGTGACGAAACGCATCTTGAAGGCTATTGGTAAATTCAAAGGAGAGTAATGTGCCGAAGGCGTATATTAAAATGAGTGATAGAGGGTGAGAGAAGGGAGTCTCTTGGTGGGACCAACCTGGCATGGAAAACCTTTGAGTATATGTAGTTCCTGCAAACCCAGTGAGTATCTCTCCAGAACCTCAAAGCCGCGTCTTGCGCGCAATCTCTCACATTGAGTCAAGCACTCGTCCCTTGAGCATATAATCGCTTACATCCGAATAGCAGTCGTTCACGGCAAATACTCCACCTGCCTGGATCGGGAGGTGCAAGATTCATCGCGTGGTATTAGGGAGTGGGAAGACCATAATCTGGTCCACAGGGATCGGGAGAGGGGTTCGGAAGAAGTCAAACTGAGCGGGAAAGAGATCAGACCATGTGGATGTGGATCCATAGATCTTCAAGCATTCGATCGATAGCTTCGGCAGAAGAGTGGAAGCGACCTTGTCGCATTCTGCCAGGCCCTTCTGTGTAGCTGCAGGTACTCGTCTGAAACGAGTCGAGACTCCGACATGACTTGGACTTTAGCTTTTTTTTATGTCGTGAGAGAGTCTGTGTCGTGAGAAGGGTGGACAGATTCCCCTCTTTCGTTTGATTGACTGAAGTATCGCTGTCATTTCTTGACTCCTGGAAATTCAACACTGCAGCCAGGGTGTGGCATCAATATCATTTCAGGCCTTTGAAAAAGCAGATTAAGGATTGAGAAAAGCTTGCGAAAGATGAAAGTGCCAATGGATTACGGCAAACCGTTGCCCGCAGGGTGTTGGCGTGTCCTCACAAACGTGCTGACCAGCATCGCCCCTGAAAGTTTAAAAGTGCGATCACCAGATATCCACAATATCAGGGTTCGAAACTCAAAACTGTGGTCTGTTCTGCGACCGGTAAACTTGTCAATCTGATCATCAGGACATTTCGCAAAGTAATCTAAACGTGGAAGTGCGACTTGAGTGCGCAATAAATCGATCCAAGGCAATCCTTTCAATTATTTTTGACCGAGAATGAGTAGAACGTGTGCGATTAGCTGCTCCAGATTAGCTACCATGCTACTGATACCCCTGATACTTTTAGCTTCGCTGGTAATCGATACCATAAAATTGAGTAAATTGTCCACGACATACTCGTCTCCGCCAATCCTGTTCATGACACAACAAACATCATTAACCGCCATGTATCCATACGGGAGCTACTGAGCTACTGATCTAAACCTATGCACTTGGCGACTTGCAGCCAAAGCTTGTAGCCTGGCTCCCACCATTGAACGCAGATATCAAGCCCAAGCAACTCGAGTAGATCCCCAGAGCAGCAGTGCACAATGCTCCTAAGAAATAGATAAAGTTGAATGTGTTCAAATGCCACTTGACCATGAAGCCTCTGACCCATCTCTTAACGCCCCTATCGATGCCGTGATATGTCCGGGTTGCAGGATCGAAGTGCTCTTCGGGTGTCATGGCGTCTTTCTGAATCTGAAATCCAAAGGCCAGGATCGCTGGGAAGGTGTACGTGAACTGTAGGATGCAGACTGCACCAACAAGACCAGAGATGTAACTGAACTGTGGAATAGCAGCACATACGACCCAAGCGAGAACCCAGTATGCTGGTACCAGAGCGACCCAAATAAGTTTGCCTCGCTTGGTGGTCAAGGGTGGAGCATGGAGGAGTTCTTGGAATACTTCAACGTAGGCTACTTTGATGCCGATGTTGCCGTACAGCGCGGCTGCAATCAGTCCCGTGACAATATTCATGATATTGCAGGCAGTTTGCCAATTGTATGGCGAGAGACCTTGCATGACGGGATTGTAAGCATATTGGCCTTGGTAGGAGTACACAAAGAGACCGAAAAACATATAGACAACATAGATGAAGATGTCGGCGCAGAGAACTCCTTTCCAAAAATCCCATGGGTGACGCATCTCAGCGAGGAAAGAGATGAAGAGCATAGCTCCGCCGTAACTATAAACGGCTTGATTAAGACCATTCAGTGAACCAGTGAAGCCCGTTCCTCCGCTTGCCATGCCATTGGGAGGTGTGCCGGCATACTTGTGGATCGGACCAGGGCCGAAATCAGATCCGAACGAAGCTTCAGTGGCTACGAAGTTGGGAGCAGAGTTTGCGGCAACTCCCATGCTTGGATGAATTTAGCGACAAGAACTTGAGAGTAATTATTGGTATGACTTACACAATGAAGATGATCAAGAGGTTGATCCAGATTGCAAAATTCGCCAACCAACTGAACCTTTGAAGGGTTCGAATCTGTCCAACCACCATACCAGCAGCCATAAATATGACCAGGCAGGCGATAAAACAGACACTGGCTTTCGATATTTGAGAGATTGATTGACCGTTGGACAGGATCAAAATCGAAACGGTGAAGAGAAGTTGTATCGCTTGCAGAATGTTAATTGAATGGCGAGCCCATCGACCATAGACTCTGAAGAAGGCATCGGCGTAACTCTTCATTGGATATCGATCAGAATCCATATACATGAAGACCTTCCAGAGTTGGAATCCAGAGTACATGGCAAAGCCGCCAAAAACGGTATAGAGAGCAACACCTGGGCCGTAGCCCATTTGAGCAAACGCCCAGCTACTATGGGTCAGCAATACAGTTGACTTTCCTAATTTCTATGAAACCTACGGCACAGAGAATGGACCCAGAATATCGGTGGTAATGAGGTAGAAGACACTGCTCCAGCCGGCCGTACGAACCGCACGAGAGGCATTCTTCCACTCTGCCTCAGAGACGAGTCCAAGATTCTGGTTCCCAGCAGATGTTGGCACAACATCAATGCCGGACTTCTCGTTTGTAGAGCCATGGTCTGTTGGCGAGGCGACTGTTGTAACATGGCCCTTTGAGAATCTGTTTTTAAGAACGCTCTTGATAGTCTTTGGTCCCATTGCAGCGACGTGCTTCTCATTGGCAATCTTCTCTTCCGCGCGAGTAATAGCCGCATAGTAGATATACTCCTCGAACGTGACACTGGGGTCGTGACTTCCATGAAGCAGTTGCGTCTCTATGGGCTGGTTATCATGACGAGCGGGGTGAGTAGGATCACGAGGATCTTTGCCCTCAAGGGCAAGGTTCGCTGGAGTGCTCATGACGATAATGAGGTCGATGCGGCTGGACAGGGTGTTGGGGAGAGAGGAAGGCTTGCAGAGCCAAGAGGTGCGGGTAGGAGAAGGGTTTTATGGTGCTTCTTGCTCTCTCCGAGGTTGCCAAATCGCCTCCTTGTTCATCACACACACAACATAGTCAAAGGATCCTCGTAAGACTGATAGATGAATAACCGAAGGAAGATTGGTTCCATTGGGCGCTAGACCATTGATTTTCCATCCGCGTTCTAGTGCATGTTGATCGGTGGCACTAAATGGCAAGCCACTGACACCATGAGTGAGTAGCGTCGCAACTGTCGATCTTCACAGTTTCCATTGGATAAGAAGAATGATAAGCTTTCCCCGGATATTTCGGCTTCTTTGGCACCTTCTCCAATGGGAAAGGTAAAAGTACTGTACAGTAGGTACACAAGTCCTCATACAGCCGCGTGTTGCTGCCCTTCTGGCGGAGCTGTTCCACGATACCACCATGGTGGTGTGGGTGTGTTTATGTCCACAGTAGGTTACAGTCAGCACGTTGTACGTCTGACAGCTAGTGGGCGGAACAGATCGCCTGTGCTAAAAAGCTTGTTCCTGGACGAGGAAGCAAAGAAAAAGACTTGCTTGACGTACGAATTGTCCCCAGGGGGCGCATCTTCCCGCAGCTTTTAGCGCAACATTCGGGCTGACTTTGAATTGTTTTCTGATGGACCTTCCGCACCTGGTAAGGTCCTACTGTCAATGCTGAATTGAGTGGTCTGCAAAACGAGAAATGGTTCGCGATCCGGCGTACCGCCTGTGCTATGTTGACGGCGAGGAGAAAAGAAAGAAAAACCGTGGGACTCTGATGGCTTCCAAGGTTTGTAGGAGCGTGAGATGACAATGTATCTTGCTGGCTCTGGTCTGGTGAGCCAGTAGAAAAGGTCATTCTACAGCTACTTAGGTGACAGAGGTGATAGAGATGAGCAAATAAGGAAAGAAATACACGGCGAGTAACTAAAAACACAGGAGGATGACAGGCAAGAACGAGAGCATTGTCAGAAACAGGTCAGCTTCCAGTCAGTCCTCCCACTCAGGTATCCACGTGATTCAGACCATGGCACCAGTGAAAAACCTGGTACCGAACCTCGTATCTGTCTGTATGTGAGAGGACTACTATTTTGGGTGGACTTTCCAAGTCTTTCTGGCGGTCGCACGACCTTATTTTCATCACTGTTGTGGCACAGCATCAACTGCTGCAGAACACTCTCCAGGCTTAATTCAATACATTTTCGACATGGACGAGACAGAGTGAAGAAAAGAAGTCTTCTGGCAGTACTGAGGACTTCTACAGTCCAGTCAGCACCGATCAGATTTGATGCCCTTCAGTCAATGTAATTTTATGTTCGAAAAGTACGAAACTGAATAGGCCCACCGGGGCCAGGTCTTTCGATAGGTAAATTACTGTTATGATTCGTGCCGCGGGAAGCTCCCTGCGAGCCTGCAGGAACTTTCCGTCTTTCATCTCATAGAGTCATAGTTCAAAATACCCGGAATTCTCGCGTCTGGAGAGGAATCTGATTTGATAATTCATCCATTCTATCAAGAAGCGGAGATTTACTGTGGATATCATCCGAGATCCGCTCAATTCCTCCATCCGTGACCCGTCAAGCGCCGGCGGAAAGATCGCGAGTGCGATTAGCAGGTTTTCGCTGCTGTAAAGGCAAGACATACATTCGGATTGACAGTCTGACAGCTTTGAAACAAACAGGTTGATGACAATCGTGTCATCGTTTCACGATCAGACACAGGCGCGTTGTTTCGAAGGAGCTCCCCCTTTTGGAAAGTTGGAAGCCCAACTGTTTCAGGAGAACCACAAGGTTTGCTCAAGGCTGCGAGGCTGATTATTTATCTTTCCGTTCGGAAGGACGAGCTCCAATAATGCCAGCAGCGCCAAGCAAGTCCTTCTTATCAGCTCTCCCACCGCAATCTTGTCTTGTCTCTTGGTCGCTTTCATGATAGATCCCCCCGGATTGGGTGTAATAATTCAGATAAGACCTGGTTTCCAGGCTTTCGTCGACCCCAGAACGACATGGGGGCACTCAAGAGAGGAGATTTGAAGCTATTGATACACATGCTCCGTGACGGCTGATTGGGTCCTCGATACAGAAACAGGTATAAGTACAAGACCGTTGAGGCGCACCTGGGCTGGGCGAAGCGAATGGATGATAAGCAGAGTGTGGTGTGGACCGTGTGGGAAGAAAGAAGGCATGCAACGCCTATTAATCTCGACGCAGAAGAAGTAGCACAAGCACCTTCGTACGGTTCTTACCGTGTTGGCTGTTCAATAATGACGCCCGTACCCAACCCATACCCAACCCATACCCAACCCATACCCATATTTCAAGCATTCCGCCAATGCCACCCTCCATGACTACTTCGTATGGCCATGCATGGCCCTCACGAGCAATTTAGAGAAAAGGCAAAAACACGCCGCATCAGCGAAGAGTGCAAACCTACATAACTGTGCATATGCCCGCCCTGGGCCGAGTCGCGCTCTCGACCCTTTGCCCATTGATATGATAACACAGGACCTGGCCTGGGTACGTACTTTACTTGAAGCCAATATCGGAGGCTACTCGTGCCTACATTGTCCGTTGGACTGAACTTTGTTGCGACTGGATCCCGCGACCTCCCAGTTCTCTTCTCTGCTCGTCCGCCCAACAATTGGAACACCGGCACACAGCGGTGTTCGGCAGGCACACGACACGACATAACATAACACGACTCAACCAAACACGCGGGATGCAGTACCACCGGGTACGACAAGAGGTGGATGTGGAGGAGGAGGAGGAGGAGGAGGAGGAGGAGGAGGAAGACGACGAGACGAAGGAGAAATCCATATCCATATCCATATCCAGGTCTCCACCACAACAAGCGCAACCAAGTGGAAGTCGGCGGCGGGCCTTGCCACCCTTGCCCAAAATAGAACTGCACGATACGAAGTTTAACCCCCAAGGGAACAACAACAACGCTGGCAGCAGCAGCAGATTTTCAGGCGAATCGTATTCTCCCCTTGGAGGATTGAGCTACATGGTCAATTCCATCGTGTCTCGCAGTTCCAGGAGCACCCGGAGCACGAGTTATGATATGATTGACAGCGACGACTTTGCAGACGATGCATCGCCCGGCCTGAGCGCGGGCAAGGGTTCACCTGAAGGGCCTGAAAGGGAAATCTCATGCTCTCAACCACAGCGAGGCCACATTCCTCCAGCCACAGCAGCACGATCACCGCCCTCCCACGAGCCAATTGTACGAACAGCTTCAGGACACAACTTGGCTCTCCGACATCCCACACCCGACTTGCAGGTTTTCCAGGGCGCCTACGTAGGCAATATCGAGCAGTTGGAGAAGACGGCAGAGCGATTGAGCATGACCTCTTCGATTGATGATGCCATAAAGTCCCTCCACGACGAACAAAAGCGCAGCGACAGTCGCAAATCCTCCATGCTGTCTTCGCAGGGCATGCAAGCCATATCTCGGCAAATGTCCAACGCCTCATCCATTGTCGAAGTCAATTCCGCAGCGAGGTCGGGAGGCTACTCACCTGCAGGATTCATGATGTCCCCGAAAGGCTCATTCACTGCTTCTACTCGAGCAAGATCTGCCTCGAAGAGTTCCCGGTATGGTTCTCGACCAGAGCCAGAAATGGAGGGCAGACCCCTCGACTCCTTTGTCAACATGTCCTTTACGAATTTCTCGTTGCCGCCCCCGTCCCCAGATCTCAACCGTACCACATCCATTGCCGAACAAGAAGAACATTCCTCGACTCTTACAAAACCAGTGGTAGATAAACTCGACAGCCCCAATATGGTAGAAAGACCACCAAAACGGAGCGACGAACTCGATCGCCCGGCTACATCTGCGTCGATGAATACCATTGAGCAGGCAAAGATATGGGAGGATTTTGATGGCATACACAGCGCACCAATACCACAACAGTCTGGAGAACTCCATGATTCGGACATCACACCGAGACCTCGACCCAGGGCACTATCTGGTGACATAGAGGGTACTACGCAGGACACTCAGCGGAGGAGGACTTCTGGAATCGGCTCCGTACACTCAGATGACAATACACAGCGAAGAGTATCTTCGGGAAACAGACTTTCCATGGCTTCTTTACCCAGACCTCAGTCATACGCGGATCCAAACACTGGACAACAGATGGTCTATTATCCTGCTCCTGTACCAATGATGCTCAATCTACCACAAAAGCTTTCTAAGAACCCTTCTTCGATGGCAAGGAACAAGAGGCGATCTCAAGTTCTGAGCAGCATACCTGCAGCGGCTCGACAATCTGCCATTTGGCTTCCTGACGTTTTGGAGAATGAAGAAGACAAAGATGCTGTAATTGAGGACGAAAGCCAGCAGCAAGAATATATGGCTCAGCACCAGAGAACTAGTATGGGCGGGCGCCGTTTGACTCAGGATCTCTCGCACATGCCTCCACAGCTACGAGCAAGTACCTTCTTCGAACTCCCAGGGCCAAACGAAGTGGTGGAACTGAAGGACCAGTCTGCAGTCGCAACGCTAGACAGCATTCTTGACGCATCTGCACATGCACCCGTGAGTGCTTTCACAGACCACGCGTTCGCAGGACATCTTGGTGCTGAAGTTTATGGGCGTACACATCTCCGCAATAGTCGAAGTAGCAGCCAGTTACTCGAAACACAGAAAAAGCGAACCAGTTCTTTCAACATTCTACGTGGCAAACGGAACAGCAGCAATGACTTGCTCGCCTCAGAAAAGCGGGCTGCGACAATGTCAGGAGTTGTTGAAAGCGCTGTTAGGATGCCTCTTGATGACGATGAGGATGAGGACAATGTCAAAGATACAACACCTTTGAACCAGTCTGATGTAGGCGATCCTCGTTCTCGTGGAGCTAGTGGTGAATTTGAGGGCAAGGAAGATGAGGAGTCAGATGATGGCCAGCGCGATGATGAGATTTATTATGGCGCACCAACAACACTGCTCGCTGAATTACAGCTACGGAAACAACAGCAAAAGCAGCGGACGCGACCGCTAGCCAAGGCATACCCCAATGGCATGCACTCAACTCTCCTCGAAATGGACGCTGTTGCACAAGTGGAACAGAAGTCACGAAAGGGAAAGAGAATTAATCTTGCTTGGGAAGATCCAGCCCTTCAGGCTCAGGATGATGGAGAAGGAGATGATGAAGATGTGCCTTTGGCTATGCTATACGCGAAGAAATCACAAATCAGAGACATGAACCGGCCCATGGGATTGATGGAGCGACGTGATATGGAGGATAACGAGCCACTCAGTCAGAGGCGGAATCGTCTGCAAGGTCGCCCCCTCGGAGGTCGTGCTGCGACCATGATGAATCTATCTGGACCACTTCCAGATGAAGTAGAAGGAGAGACCCTCCAAGAGCGAGTACGTCGGCTGAAGGAAGGCGGAAATGAACATGGCCTTCCAACGGCGCGACCGATTTCCGGCGACTTTGCTTCAGAGATGATGAGCCAGTTTGGAGGTGATGCCCTTAACCCAAAGAACAAAGGTAAAGGCAAGGAGCTGTCCATTTCTCCACCCCCAGAGGAAGAAGAAACTCTGGGACAACGCCGTAAACGTCTCCAGGCCGAACGCGAAGCCCGCGCTCAAGAGGTTGGCGTTATGGGCGAAGCTCAACCACAACGACCTGAGATTAAGACGCGTCGTAGCATGGCCGACATCTTGCACGCTCATCCGTCTGCTGGTGCCGATCGGGCGGTCAACTATCAGAAACCTGCAACCGGCCTCTTGGGCATGCACGAGAAGAATACTGCACGGAGATCCAGCACCATGCTCAATCTCAGTTCCCCAAACCTCCTCGGATCGCAGGCACAAAGGGCACCTTCCGGTGGCTTCAAGAGCGGTCAGTTCAACGATGGCCAGGGAGGTATTGTCCCTCCGCCCCGGCCACAACAGCAAGCCCCATATAACATGTATGGCGGTAATGGGTTCTTCCCCCAACCTAGTATTGGCAACTTCAATGGATTCAACCCCAACGGCTTCAACAACCAAATGATGATGCCTTTTACAAACCCGTACGCTATGCAAATGGGGATGGGATACAGTCCAAATACCATGCCAATGAACATGGCTATGGGTATGCAGATGGGGCAAGGCTTGGCTCCGTTAAATCAGAACCAGCTTGACATGGTTGAACGCTGGAGGCAGAGCGTGATGCAGTGATCTTTAAAAATTTTGAGATGACAATTTTCTGACACAATATCTTTGCCACTGGCATAAAATATACATATCTCGGCCGGGTTGGGAACATGTACAAGATTTGGGGGCATCTGCAGGTGTTATGGCACGGAACACTGTTCATATTGAATTATCATGAGCATTTGAGCGAACCGCTTCAGAAGTTTTTGTATACTATCTTACAGCATGGTTATGGTTTGTTTTGGTATTCTATTGTGTTGCCGTCAGGCATGTTCTTCGGGCCAAGACGAGGCGCTTTTAGAGCACGAATGAATGACGAATAATGGGATGTAACCAGGCACCCTGGCTGCCTCCTTCCTTCTTGGACCATGGTACCGGAGTTCCAAAGTCTAAATCCATTCTTTGACCCCTCACGATTTGTATGGGGAAACAGAATCCGGTGGTTATCGAGACGAGGGTCTACGGTACATCAGCGCGGTACATACTCCGAGACATTCAACGGTCCGATCGTCGTACAGGGTTCCAGACTGGGATTTCAAGTGAGAGTCAAAGCTCTGGGGAGTCGCAATGGGAAGGTGTGAGCTATCACAGCTTGTGAGCGCAACTTTGTCACTTATTGATGTTACTTTCTAATATTTACTATTCTGAATTAGGAGCTATTGGGCTATTGGAACTGTCACAACCGTCCGATTGCAACGCGAAACTCTGCTCCGGATGTCAAGCCGTCAAAGTTGGGGGTTTTCCGCAAATCCGGATAGGACTGCTGACGACGTTTCGAGGCGGCTACGAGTGTATTGTGATCTCTCTGCCAGTTTGATGGAAAAATATCCTACAGAACCGCGTAGGTCTGAGGGTGAGACAATAAATTGGCTCAGATACGAAACAATCAAGCTGGGATCACCTTTGAAAAAATGGGGATTCCCCATTTGGACTCAACTATTAAGGTCCCGAATTTGAAGCAACATGACTCGATTCTGTCCACGTGGGTTTTTTTCTATCAATATATCCACAGGTCCACAGGATACTTCCCTTACTCTATGTTCTGCAAATTGGTCCTCTTCACTACCAGAGAAAGCTATTACATTGGTTCCGTCAGAACTCCATGTAGAGGAAAGGCCCTTTGTAGACCACTGAGAATAGAGAGTCCGAATCAATTGCTCTATGTAGGACGTAACAGTTATCCGCGTATTTTGAGTCAGATCTAGAAGTCTCAGTTCTATCCACAGAGATCGAAGACTGGTTCGTCCCCATAAATGAAGCTTTCCGGCGTTATTAACTTTCTTTGACCAGTCCCCTGACTCGCCTCGCTACCTTTCGAGAGGGATGATTGGAACGTATTCCGCGTAGACAAGTGCCCTGTGTGCTCTGTAGAATGACGAACCGATCAGAACCAGGGCACCCCAAACAGACATAAGATGGCAGGTGCATGGAAAGCGGGATGGTTAGAGTTTCTCCACTCCACCCGCCTGGGTGCACTGGGTGCATTCCGTCCTCAGTCCGAATTGGCTCCGACACGGATAACCCGAACTCTTTCTGCCCTCACCGTCTGTTGTGTGTACTGTCCGTGCTGCTCTTTGGTTTTCTCCAGACCTGGGGAACAGCCACCATATACAATTCTGTTATACGTGTTGGCGAGCGCCACGGCAAATGTGTCACTTGTTGTATACAAGGCTGTATTTGCATTTTGTTCACCGAGCTTAGTTCTTGTAATAAGAACAACCATTCGACTGACGAGAAGTCGCCTCCCAGATATCCTTGAGCCGCTCCTTGCATATTTGCTGGCTATGACAAACCCTATAGGAATGAGACATCCGGAGGCGCAAGTTAGCCTTGGCCGGAAGTACAAGTCCAGGAAGGAACGGCCGTAAGCTTCCCCAGATTCAGATGCCGATGCATGTAATCTTGTTCTATGGACAGTACTGATATAAGCTAGATGTGATGCATGTCGTAAGCGCAAGATATGTTGTACAAGAGACGCCTACGAGAAAGACTGCTCGTTATGTCGAACCCGCGGGGAGAGCTGTCAATATGTACTCCCTCCTAACGTAAGGAGGAATCGTCAACCAACTACAACACCTCGAACCGCGACGAGTAGTCCAAGTTCTAGCAGTTCCGCTCCTGCTCACGCTTTGGAATCGAGACCTCGTCCTCCTACTTCTAACGGTAATGGAGAATGGATTTGCCAGTTCGTTGGCTTCAGTGGCGACCAAGATCCTTATGTTCTACGACATTGCTCATTCAATCAGCAGAACTGCTATCGAGGAAATGAATGGGCAGTATTAAGGATCAAGGGTGACACAAATGGAGATGTTCCATTGCATTTCACTGCAAGTTCTTGACACACTTTTGGAGAGCATCTGCTGAATTGTAAAAAGGTAGTTCCTGACACCCATCTTGATGCTCGGCCTGAGTTCTATCCAACAACAGACACAGAGTCGGTTGTAACGCCTCATGCCAATGACCTTTTACACACATTTTTTGATGTCGTCCATCATTCATATCCACTGCTCGACTCATCTCGCTTCAACACACCGCCCCGAACCGGCGATCCTGTCCTAGCAGTCATTTACAATCTCGCAGCTCCGTTCTGTTCATCTTCACCCCCACACTTCCCAGCTCTTTCATCCTTCGTCCAGCAAGCGTACGTCACATGATTCCTCGTTCTCCCTTCGATCAACTAAACCACCTCCAGCCTCCCTGTCGAATCCCAACATCCTCGTCTAGAAACGCTTGAAGCATCTCTACTGCACCTACATCGTCACACACCCACGTCTCGCTCACCTACTCTTCCGGGCATCTCATCTTCTATTGGCTCTCTAGTCGGCATTGCCTATGACCTAGGGTTGAACAACGACCCCTCAAACTGGACACTCTCCCCTACAGATACCAACCGTCGGATTCGAATATGGTGGGCTCTTTACATCCACGACAAATGGAGTGCCCTGGGCCTGGGCCGACCATCATATCTGAACGACGAGCATAGCAATGTTCCTCTCCCCACCATATCCAATTTCTCACACCTCGGTTTGGCCAATACCCCTTTGACCCTAACACCCGCTCTTCAATTTATAGCCATGGCACACTTATCATCTATCCTATCTGACATCCTCGACACATTCTACACTCTAAAAGCAATGGAGCGTATGAAGCTGGTACCCATCGAAATGCTCTTCTCCAGCCTCCATGGCTTTCAAGGGCGACTGAGGACTTTCAGAGACGAACATCTCTGTCCTCTTTGTAGCGGGAACACAGGAGGCGGCTTGGATAGTACTGGTAGCGTTGTGCTGGCATTCTATACGATGGAGATTGTGCTATTCAGGGCTGTGTTGCGGTGTTTACCTATGAACCATCCGGGATATACGGGTGTAAGAACGCAGGCCAGAACGACGTTACTTAATGTCGTTGAGTTCCTGGAGAAGATGAGTGTCAACAGATTGAGAGCGTTCTGGTGGAGTCGTACGTGCCCTTCCCAAGGCTATCTCATTGACATAATCTTCTATAAAATGAAGCAGGAGAATGAGGAGCTAACATTCGCACTAGCAATGACACGCCTCAACTTCTCCCTTGCCGGTTCGTTCATGTTCTTCCAACTACTCACCAGCCACACCACACTCGACATCGAATTCTGGTCCGGGACAATTGCCCACTACCGCTCCTTGCTCCGCTTACACTCCTCGTCGTTCGAGATGACGAGATTGGCGAGCATGAGGTTGGATTTGTTGGCCCAAGGAATGGGTGTGGACTCACCACTGCCGTTGAACCTTGAGAGGGAGGATGGCATGCGAGCGTGTGGAGGAATCCTTGGAGGCGGATTTAGTGGCGTCGGATCCGGTGTCGGGGTTGGACTTGGAGGTCAGGGCTATGGGGATATGATGGGAGAGGGCGGCTTAAAGAGAGAAGTTATGGATCCCGGGAGCGCGGAGGAATGGATTGCAAGGCAAGGCAGTGGAGGGTTATTGATGTGCTAGTTGGTTCAGCTTTGGCCGGGTTGGCTAGTTTGGGCTGCTTTGGATCGCTTCGGATTTCGCATTGTGAATGTTATATGGTGGCACGGGTTTTGGTAATATGGGAGCATGGATGGGTAGCAAGGGACAGATAATGGCTTGGAAACACTGGCTTGCATTTTGGCACGACCATGGTGGGATCGGTAATGAGCAGGTTTGCATGGTGGATTCAAGAAAGGCAAAAGGCATTAAACGGAGAATCTAAATAACGCTCGGATAAGTGCATGGCACATACGACGATTTGTCTGAAAGATTCTTAAGAAGCAGAATTAGGACATTTTTCGCCTATCCTGCCCCCGATCTAGCGAAGAAAACAATGGACATTTACCAGGAATTGGGTCAACGTAACGCCCTGTCGAATTCCATTTTAGATCCACCTCCAATTCCATAGCATGTGGCTCGAAGCCAACAAGATGCGCAACTTAAGCGTACATTCATATCCATTCACTCCAGAATCTCCGAATTTCATCCCCTTGCTTTGGTAATTTCAATTGCTCAAACTCCATCCAACATACACCTTTCTCACATACAGAGTCCCCCACCATCCTTCACAAAACAGCCTTCCAGCCACCAGTCTTTGGTTTATCAATCCCCAAATGCTCCGTGACTTGCGCAATGTGATCAATTCCCCAAAAGCCTTCCGTTTCTCCCTTCGAGTTGGTAGCCACAAACCACGGCAAGCCGAATGCTCCATCGGCAAAGGCTTTATCTGTGTTTTTGGCCAGTAGTTCTTTTCCTTCTTTGCCTGCCATGGTGAGGACTACACCATTGATATACCGTCAACCAGTACATCCAATTGGATCACTCAACTTATCCATACGAGGAAGCAGGCAAGCGAAGTATGAAGGGGCCCAATCATAAAACACACATACCCTTTTCCGCCTCCTCCTTCCCCAGTACGCCATTCAAGACGTTCGCTAGCACCTCTTTCTCATTCGTCTTCTTGTGCTCAACCCAGAATGCCTTGAACAACGCATCAAGCGCTTTGCAAAGAATTTCCTGGCCATCTTTACCCGGATGCAGGATGGTGAGCGCGCAGAGAGCACGCATGATGGGTAGTGTCAGGGGAGGAAAACCTTCCGGGAGTTCTGGGCTCATGGGGACGTTGAAGAGTGTTGCCCAGCGGGTGCGCTCTTTGCCGATCCATTTGTCTTTGTCTGTTGTATTTTGTGTCAGTAATCAGGAATGTAACAAGAGCTGTATGAAGCGAAGAGAAGAAAAAGGATTCTGATTCATTTTTTTTTGGCGTGAAGCATGAATGAGTATAATGATGGAGAGTGAAACGGAGGGTCGATATACTTTTGATATTGATTGGTGGTGTGTTATTACATGCCTTCATCACTCCTCCAAGGAATATAGGGATATATGTGATATCGCATTTCGAGAAAACAGGATCATTCTGCAAAGAGATCGAATTAGCTCAGCATTTCAGTCCTATCTTGCCAACCTGTCACATCACCCCTCTCAACCCATACACAAAGGCTGCAGGTTTCATGTTCCGAGAGAGGGAATGAAAAGTAAGAAATGTCAAGCAGAAAACATACCCGGAGAATGTAGTATGCGATATAGCCAAACGGGCTGACGGTGTCCACATAGAGTGTTATCTTTGGTTGCGCCATAGTTGAAGTTTATTGTCAAATCTGAAGCTGGATAGTAATCAGAAAGTTTCACGGGACAAGGCTGGCTCATGAAATGCAAGAGCTTGTCCAGAGCTCTGGAGAGTTAGCCGAGGCTCGTATTCCCGAGCCGTTAATGTTGACGCGGGGGCGGGAAAAGTTCGACGTCATGGTGGACTTAGCGAGAATACCATAGGTTGAAAAATGGGAAGGGTGACTTGCAGTAAATAAGATCGCGACAAAGTGATTCTTTCGATAAGGCATCTATAATTTATACAGTACATCTAGATATGGGTATCAAAGGTCGTCTATCATGCTCTCCGTTGACGCCTACGCTAGTTTCCTGAGTCTTTGAGACTCCAAACTCCAGAAGCCCCAATATATCTCTCAGAAATGTTAGATCGTAAGCCCCCATTGCACGACTACAAGTTTTGCTCATACTCCTTCATCCAGGATTTCCGTTACTGCTATATCCTACGAATTGTCTAGAACCATCTCGTGAGCTTAGCTTGCAACTTTCCTGACCGCCTTGACAGCTCGCATATTGGGCAGCGCGTGTTGCCTGCCTGGTTTCCGGCAGACTTCAATCACAATCATGCGAATAAAATCTGGACTGGACCAATAACTACTATGGGCTCCGAGCATGTTAAGATACTGGATCTCAAGTGGCCCACCTCCTGAGCTCAAGAACCAATCGACCTGGCCACCTAAAAGATCTTAGATTTAGCTTTGTACTTCATTTTGACTTGTAGATGTCTCGATAGTTGGGGTAATAGACACACTGGAAGTTTTGGCAGACTTGAATATAGACAGGCTACGGGTTGGAGCTTGAAGCATGGACTTACAGTCATTGAGTAGGAAAAATTTCTTCTCGGCCATTTCTTCTCGAGTGAAATCATGGATCTCCATCTCCAGTTGTGAGGGGAGCCGAGTTATCGCTGCAGGCTTTGCAACCTGGCCGACAGCGAGATCATCGGGAGCCGATACACTTGGAGTAATCGACCGCATTGCATTTCCTATACTCTCGAAGAAGCCTGTCGTAGCACTAGGCACGACTGCATTCTTCAGATTTCCCGCGAACTGTGGATCGATAGTAGCGTTGAGTCGATATGCAATCGGGTCATTATGTGCAATGACATTGTAGATATTGTCGACTGCTAAGCAACCCAGAGTCCCAGCTTCGTTTGTAACGGTCTCGTCGCGCTCGTCTTGACGATCCGCGCCAGCCTTGCCCTGAAATCTCCTTGGTACCAGACGGCCTTTATCCAGAAGCAGGAAGAACCCTACAGGGCTGCCAACGAAGAACAGATTTGAAGTGCAGAAATCAAAGTACTTTGTATTGATCTGGCTCTCTTGCAAATCGATCTTGGGAACAGTAGTTGGCTGCTGGCTGAGCACCTCCAACGCCATCACGCTTCCCAGAGAGTGAGCGATGATATGAACTCGACCATGCTCGTCGAAGTCTGGGTTGTTCTTGCACCAAAGTCGGTATACCCTGTTCGCTTCGGATATCAGAGCCTGGATCATCTTTGGCTTGTGATGGGACATGTAAAACGGGATATCCAACATGACATCAGAGATCATGTTCCGTACAGCCGGAATAGTGGAAGGAGTGATATCCTTCAACGAGAAGTCCGTTCGCTGGACTTCCTCGCCTTTCTTCATCGGCCCACCATCTTCGAAGGATAGGTTTGCTCGCCAATTTACAGGTAGTACCATAACACCACCAAGATCGTCGCGGAGGGCTCGATGCACTGCCTCGTTACTGAGCTCAACGTTGATCGATCGTCGAAATTCATTGATAGCATGTGTGAAGTGGAAGGATTCGACTCGCTCGGAGAGCTTTTGACCAATTCCATGGATCACGAGGACCAAATCCTACATAGAGTCAGCAATTGCAAGGTCAGGGCCGATGCAGCTAGCAGACATATCTGGGGGCATGTTAAGACATCCAGAAAGGGGAAATATGGAGTTTCACCACGGTACTTACAGTGACCTTCCGGGGCTGCTCTTGGACTCTACATGCTGGGCAAGAACTGCTCTTGGTAGCATTCGAGTCTCCAGCAACAGGAGCATTCTGCTCTGCTTTCTTAGCAGTGCTTGATTGCTTAGAAGGATGGAGCCTATCGCGACGTAAGCGAAGGAAGAAAAACAAAGCCAGAAAATCCCAGAAGCCCTAGACTCCCATAATATGGCAAACGAATACTATGCACTTACTTTTCCCAAGCCTTCCAGTCGAATCCTCTTACACAGTGGATGCCAACTTTCATACCTCTTTTTATCTTCTGCAGAGGTTTCCGGCCGTAATACGCAGATGGCGCAAGGGCTGGCTTGAGGATGAAGGCGTTCGCTGCATCTTTGTAGATGACCTGAGAGTTACGATACTTCTTTACAACAGTCATGGTATCTGACGCTTGACCTGCAAGGTCTTCAGGATCTGTACTGCCCTCTGCAGATGCCTCTCCATTGGAGCATCTAGCAGCACAGAATGGATCAGTAGATAGCTCAGGTTTCGTAGACTTGATAGCCTTCTGGGCTTTCTTTGGATCTTCTTTCGGCCAGAGAATGTGTGAGATCTTCTCTTCACCCGCAGCTCCGACCTCTAATGCACTGTTCAGCTCATCTTTCCACGTCTGAGACCAAGGTCTAAGCTCTCTGTATCCCATTTCCAATTGGTTCGCAACAGCAGGCTCAACTGGGCACATCGTGTCTTTGTAAAACCATGTTCCGCGGATGACAGCAGCTATATCGTGAACTGGAGACCAGTATATTGGATGCATCTGCAACGACGGCATCTTTACCAGATGTAATCGTGATACGCCAACAGGAACCTCCGCCTGACCTTGGGATTTGTGTGATTTGCAGTCGTTGATATGAACTGTCTCTACTTCTGCTGTGTCTGAGTCGTCTCTGCTAGCATTTCTAGATTTGCTAGACTCTCCTTCATCGAATGGCTCGTTGGAAGGCAAGACTGGCTCCTTAGAAGCGGAGAACTGTGCGAATGGAAGACCTGTGGTTCCGGTCTCTTCACTTTTTGTTGGCAAGCTGGTAGAAAGAGCATCGGTGGTCTCTGCTTGGAGGTCCAACAAATCCTTCTTTCCATATATTGGCTTACCGGCCTCAAACTCGCGGCTCTCCTCATCTGGAAACTTCCCATGCTTGGTGGACTTGAGGTGGCTTTCAGAGTCCTTCTGTGATGACGAAAGTTCCCCTATTTTGTGCCTCTTATGTGCTCTGGTGTCCGTTATCGCAATCTTCTTATCAACAGAATCCCTCCCGACATCACGCTCGAAATGGTCGCAGCACGACGGCCGTTCAGATGCAGACGTCAAACTCTCTAGGTGAGGTGCCGCAGATTTTCCTGTCTTATGATTCCCCGTATGGCTTTTATGACCTCCAGCAGAAAACCCCAGCCATATTTCTTCGAGGGCATTGTTATCGCGTGCAGAGAACGGTCTGGGAGGGTGTTTCGTAGATTTGGAATCTCCAGTCGGAATAGGAATGGCAGAGAGTGGATCGTCCAGAGGTAGAGGAGATGCATAGAAGAAGTGTGTCCTCAGTGGCGGTATTTCACCTTCATCATCTGAGCCAGATACGGCGATAGCTGGGGCAAGATGGCATCCTGGCCCGTACGTGTGTGCTGGCGACATTCTTTCCGAAAGTTAATGTCTGCCTGTGTTGCTCTCGGAATTATTCATGACTTCAGGGTGTAGGTGTGAGGAAGAGGAAGAGGAGGACAACAATGCGGAATGCTGTGTTCGTGTTCATGATTCAGGTGATAGCGTGGACCGCTGCCTGAAATTCTCCTGTTGTGCTTGTGCTTGCCTGAGCTGTGCGAGTTGTGCTCGCCCAAAAAGTTGCCGATGACGTCCTTTACGGGAAGGGGCTTGGCATGGACATGCTTATTTTGTGGAGGCGGTATTTATTTACTTCTTGCCAAGAATATCTAGCTTGGGAGCTTGGCTCCGTATGGAAATATAATTCTACCTGCGACAGACAAGCAATAAATGGGGTAAGGCTAGATTCAACATGCTGTAATGTCTAAAGGGTACTCTAGCTAGAAATCCTTACTTTCCATAAACCTGGATTTCCTTGGCCTGACTTGAATCACAGAAGAACGAAGTTGAGGTATTATCTGTTGTTGGATCTATTGCTACATCAACGACAGCTGCGAGACAAGCGCATAGCGGTCATCCTGCGTCTTCAATGTGCCTCTAATGTCGTGGTTTCCCATTCTGCAGTACTAGAAGTGAGGCAACAACAAAATCTCACCACCAAATCAAATGCCGCGTAAGTGCCGGATATTAAGTGCCAGAATTTAGCAGCTTTTTGATATGACTTAGTAGCGCACAGATACGTACGAGCTCTTACCCATGGGTAGCATCAGGGTAAACCAAATGAAAACAAAAAGAGAAAAAATCGGGCAATTATCGAGGGGAGCATGAGAGACTATTGGAAACACTCGACGTCTTCTCCCGGTAAGAGGCTGAGTACAAGTCTCTGTCTATCGCCTTGGAGATGATGAAAGAAACCATAACATAAGAAGAGTAAGAGGACGCCAATGTCGAAAAGCAGGCTGCTTTTTATATCGTATGAGAGTCTAGTCACCCTCGTTGTAGGACTCTGGGACGAGCTTCATACCACCATAAGGGACAGTGTCGACCGAAGGCCCACGCGAAGAACCTATATTCGTTGACTGGCCAAGCCATGTTGCTGCTCTACCAGGTGTAGCACTTCCAGCAGCATCTGGTGGACCTTGTAGGTTAGTTTGGGCTCGCTTTCTTTGCCTGGCCAGTCTCATCATCTCGTTGGCGGTTGCTCGGATCTGCTGAAGTCTGAGCATGATGGCCTCAGTACCACCAAGAAGTTCAAGGATCTGCTCAATATCAAATAAAAGCTTCAGTATGACTGTATCAGCATCACAGAATGTGCGGATAGCCATCATGCTTGCAACCTGCTTCCAGTTGTAGAGCATGGAGTTGATGCGGACATCATTACCAGCTCGCTCGCCGTAGAACCGGAAGTTGTGCTGATTAGCTGCAACCAGATCACGTTGAGTTACTTGGTCGTACTGGAATTCGATAACGACATGTCTTCCCTTCGCTTTCCAGGCATCTACCGTCTTCTTGATCGAGTCAACAGCCATGCGACCCTGGCTGAACTGGTTCATGAGGAAGGTATTCGCGGTGTGGACAACCATAAGTTCAACCTCCATGAGTAGTCTAGCCTGCTCTGGTGGTCCAAGAGAGACAGATAAAATCGAGATCTTAGGGTGTTTGTCGTTGCTGGATCGTGCAGCTCTGCCTGGACTGAGATCCGCCTTTTCAGCCTACATACTATTAGTCCTGTCCATTGTACCCACGCACTAAGACTTACAAACTCGCCCAATTTGTTCCTAAGCTTGCCCATCATAGTTGGCTTGTCTTTTTGCATGGTAGCGGCCTTCTTGACTTGGAGTTTCACATCTTGGATCTCGTCGGGAGACTTTCCTAGCCAACCGTTCTCACCGAACATCTTCTTCATTGGTGATCGGGATCGCTTCTTGGGATGTCTTGGAGTTGGAATTTCTCGGAACATATCGGATTCACGATTCTCATCACGTTCAGCAACATCATCGAGTGCCTTGACTGGAGTCTTGCCGGAGTGGCGTCCGTGGACGGAGGGCGGTGCAGAGTCATTACTCTTGCGGCGAACAGGAGAGCGGGAGCGGGACCGAGTTGAGAAGCTTTGAGAAATGTCGTGGTAGGTTGGAGTTTTGACGAAGTATTCGTACTTGAGGTCGGATCGGGACGGAGAGGGTGAGCGACCACGGTATGGCAGAGCGGAATGGGTGAACTCGTCCGTATAGTAGGCAGAGATATCAGGACTAGTGACTCTCTCTATGGGTGCGTCAAATCGAACCTGAATCAGACTTGGAGAGGACTCGCTACGCTGAAGGGTGGCATAGCTTCGCTTTGGTGGTAGCAAGTGATCATCATCTCGGGTAATGTACGATGTTTGTTCATCGGACCGAGCATTTTTCTTGTGTCGATGTTCTGCACGAGGAGGTGGGCTAAATTCACGGCCGGGATGCTCAATGAAGTCCGAGAACTGGGTTTGACGCTGTTCTTGACCAGCATATGGTGTGTCTGGCTCGAACTCATAAGGGTTCGTAGGACGTGGAATTCTGCTGGGCGACCTTGGTCTTGCATGCCTACTCTGTCTCAGCATCGATCAAGGACTTCTGCCACAGGAGCAACTTACTCAGCCATAGAAACCTTTCTACCACTCGATGATGAAGAAGCATGCTGGCTAGGCATCTTGTTACCACCAACGGGAACAAAATTACCTATGATGTCCGATGAGTCGGAGAGGTAATGCGCGTGATTGCTTGAGCCGGTCGATCGAGTACTATTAGAGGTCGTCATGGAGGGACTCGACGCGTCAAACGAAGTATCGGACAAGAGATCTCCTTTGCTTGAGATGGTTGATCGATATGCAGATGGAGTTTCGCTGTGTTGGCGCTGGTGTCCCTGCTCGCGATAACGAGAGGACGGAGACGCGTTCACGTCGTTAATGTTTCGAATGGATGATCGACGAGGCGGGTAAGCAGCACTAATAGAGATACCGTGGTTTCGATCGTTCATGTTCAGCTGGTGGTGGCTGCGGGCGACGCGTAGTTGTCCAGAAGCTTTGCGAATTTGTAGTGGTCTGGTGTCAGAACTGACTGCAGGTTGCACAAAATCGGAAGTCGAATCCATTGAAAGGCCTTGACTAGACATCTGCGAGGCATTCCTATTGTGAGTTGCACTGTTGTGGTTGCTATTGTCCTCCACTTGAGATTGCTGTGTCATGGTGTAGCTGGTGAATAGACTGGAGAAATCACTGATCTCGTCACCGAAAGCCATGAAATGTGAAAGTTGTGACCTGAAGTTGATGCGAGGTGAAAGATATATCCACACGTAGCTCTATGGCTGGTGTATAAACAGTTTGTACGATAAGAAGCGAATATTCGGGAGTTTTGAGACAGCTTGTTTTTGTTGACATTAAGCGGCATACAGCTAGCGCGTCCAATACGGTTTCTGCCCGGTGAGCAAGATAGTTATTCCGGACTCGGCCACCTGCTCAGGGCTGATTCCAAGCTTCGGTCATTTGGCCAGACTTTGTGCCTGTATGAAGTTTCTACAGCCAAGATGGTGCTTCCTAGTGGAAGCATCGCGACCTCGTAATCTCAGATCGGGGTATATCCGCCAGCTTCATCATACAAGGGCCGGACCTTGACCAATGTGCACACAATATCATGCATTCTATTCTGGCAATATGGACAATCTGCAAAGTCTCTTGCCTATAACTGTGCGAGCAATTGCTTGAATTATTCAACTGCTAAACGGCAGATCTTTCCTGCGTACAACAAGCTCAGGCGGACATCGTGGCACAACCGTGCAGAGATTGGCAGTAGAGTCCTCGTTCGCAAGCGCATTTTCCCATGGTGATGAACTTCTTGAGGATCTTTAAAGATAGAGCGATCGTCGATATAATCCTTTCGTGGTGGATATTTGTCTATACCACTTGCTTCAACTTTCGGGATATTTTGCGACATACTGTAAATCAGAGAAGCGCAGAGCTAGTAAGAGCTACCATGTGCCAGGTTTACTGCCATCACATAGGTACCCGTGGGATTGCCAACGGAAAGTTCGTGACGATGTTGCAAGAACGACCATTGCTGTGGCAACTTCACAGACCACTGGTGCTTTGAGCCACACCATCATCAATGAGGATGAGTCGCAGTAAAAGACGTTACTAGCGCTGGAACTCAAAACGGTCTTGAGTAGAAAGCAAGCCACAGGTTAGGAGAGAATAAAAGAGCAAGCAGCTTGAATCGCGAACAGTCAAGTACAAGAGAGTTCGAAGTGGTAAACTGGAACCCTAGTCCAATTCCGTATCTCTCAGGCTTGATCTTCATATGCCATACTGTGCCCATTTCCACATTGCATGTACCTTAATAACATTAGCGGATGTTGAATTCTCGGTACTACTCGGCCGCAGAGGAAGATGTTGCTGACCTGCTTGCTTTCAATCTCACCATGGCCCATTCGCTCTCGTTTGGGCATCGTTCCCCCAGTCTCGCAGTGAATACTCGTATCTTCTGCTACCACTTCTACAGCCACGGAAGCGAGATCTCAATAGGTAGGTATTGTTCGAGATTCACAGATCAAGTTGCAAGTTGACGCAACTAGCAACTGGATGGAGCTATGGAGCTCCGTTTGTTACCTTATCCAAGTGGAGGTTCTACTCGTAATGGGCAGCGAAACAACGTTGCACCCCGCCTCCACCCCCACTGGCTTCCCCGAAGGCGTAACAAGCTCGCAGGGCAATGGAATGTATGGTTGTGGATCACTCTGTGTCCATGACTCCATACAGTACAGTAGAAAAAGCGCACGAAATGAAGGGTTCGGTTAGGTCTGCCGATAATTGTTCCCGAGTTCAACGAACGAGGTTTGGCGAACGCAGTGCCGACAACTTGGGCCGGCGACGTCTGTGACACGCCCCCACCGACGCCTTCGGGGCTGCCATTGGCTCCCAAGACGCTTCCCCGCAAGCCTCGCCTCAACTCTCCACTCTTCCTCCAAGACATGCTCGCAGCTTTCAGTTCCCGCATTAACAGCCGCTCGCAGCTGTCCGCAGTAGTCTGGACTTGGACTACTACTGTGGACTGGTAAGTTTACGACTGACTGGAAATGACGGGGAATGACTGGGTCCTTCCTTTCCTAGGTAGTGACCTAGTACTTCGCTCTAAAACAAGGCAAGGCCGAGAGTTTGCCATGTCAGAGTCGAGCATGATAAAATGGATAACCTCCCCGCTACAATTGCCGTCGAGGACCCCGAATCTTCTCTCATGACTGGTAGCCCCATATCTCACAGCTACTTAAAGCCCGTCTTCTCCCCATCCAAATCCTCAGACCAAAAGTATCTCTATTCTCTAAGCATTTGATATTCCCCAGATTCCCCATCTCATTCCAGTGTCACTATTCTCTTCTCTGTATCAGCTATCCATCATCCGATCTTCGCCAACATCATGGACGATAGCTTCACACCGACTGAGAGGGTCGGTGGCAGCCGCAGGTCATCGACGTCAACATCTAACGAGTATGATATTGTCATCGTCGGTGCCGGGCCTGTTGGCCTTCTCCTGTCAACATGCTTGGCACGGTGGGGTTACAAGATCAAGCACATCGACAATCGGCCTGAGCCAACCAAGACCGGCCGAGCAGATGGCATTCAGCCGCGGTCCTTGGATCTTCTGCGCAATATGGGCTTGAAACCAGCAATCATGGCCCACGAGCCCGCTAAAGTCTACGAGGTTGCCTTTTGGGATCCTACCAGCGCCGGAAAAGGCATCCAAAGAACCGGGACTTGGGCTAGTTGTCCTAGCTTCATCGACGCCAGGTATCCATTTACGACACTTCTTCACCAGGGACTGATCGAGCGGGTTTTCATTTCAGATCTAGAGAAAAATGGGGTGCAGATTCAGAGACCGTGGACTATCACAGGGTTTAGGTCAGATGAAAAGAAGAACCCAGAGTACCCTGTCGAGGTCGACTTGGAGCACGTTGATGGCAAGCAGAGGGAAACTGTCAAAGCAAAGTATTTGTTCAGTGGCGAAGGTGCGAGGTCATTTGTGCGGGATCAACTGAAAATTGGCATCAAGCACAAAGATCCAATTGCACATGTTTGGGGTGTGATGGATGGAGTGGTCAAGACCGACTTTCCTGATATCAAAGTAAGTTCCGAAGGAGAAATATGTGATCGGATACACACTGACAGCCATACAGATGAAATGTACCATTCACTCGGAGCATGGCTCAATAATGGTCATTCCCAGAGAGGATAATATGGTCCGTTTGTACATTCAAATCGCTTCTTCCACGGATAAAGACTGGAACCCAAGGAAGTCCGCAACAGAAGAGGAGGTTCAGAATTCAGCTAAGAAGATCCTGGAACCGTACAGTATCGAGTGGGAGCGAGTAGAGTGGTACTCGGTCTACCCAATTGGCCAAGGCATTGCAGACAAGTATACCCTGGACCACAGAGTCTTCATGGGTGGCGATGCTTGTCACACACATAGTGTAAGAACCATTGTGCTCTGTTTTGTGACCTTTTTACTGATTGACTTCAGCCCAAAGCTGGCCAAGGAATGAATACCGCTTTCCTCGATGCCCTCAACCTGGCATGGAAGATTCATCACGTTGAAGCCGGATTTGCAGACCGGTCCCTGCTTCACTCATATGAATCTGAGCGAAAGCTAATTGCCGAAAACCTCTTGAATTTTGATGCGAAGTACGCTGCCCTGTTTTCCCAAAAAGCACCAGCAGCAAAGGATGTCGCTGCAGCCACAGAAAAGTCTGGTGCTGGCGAGGAAGACGAGAATCAATTCATCAAGACTTTCAAGGAATCTTGCGAGTTCACGAGTGGCTATGGTGTTGCCTACGATCCAAACTCCCTCAACTGGTCTTCATCACATCCGGCCCAATCTGATCTCATCAACCCCAAAGGGAACAAGAACCGCACTGGCCGAATTCTTATCAACTCAAATGTCACGAGGGTAGTAGATGCGAATGTGGTTCATCTGGAACAAGAAATCCCGGTCAACGGGTCTTTCAGAGTTTATGTCTTTGCTGGACAGGTATCGAAAACCCAGCAAGCTCTCAAAGATTTCGCCCAAAACCTAAGCAAGAAGAACTCTTTCTTCAGCTCCTATCTGCGAAAAGATATCGATTCTGTCTCGCATCACGAACGTCACAACCCTCACAGCCACTTTTTCACATTTTGCACTATTTTTGCAAGCAAGCGGAGCAGTATCGAAATTTCTAGAGATGTGCCCGACTTGCTGGCACGATACAGAGACAATGTCTATGCAGACGACATCTGGGACCAGAGAGTGCCTGATGCAAAGGCTGCAGCGCATGCTAAGATGGGTCTGGACGAGGAGAATGGTGGCGTCATTGTTGTACGACCAGACGGTTATGTTGGAATCGTAACTGCTTTGGCTGAAGGAAGTGGAACTGTTGATGCCCTAAACCAGTATTTTGCTGCATTTTGTTCGAAGACGGTTGGCGAACCCCGAGCGCAATTATAATAGCTATGACATGATGATATGAATTGTACAAATAGATCAAATTACTTCTTTGACTGTTGACTCAGGTTGTACACCAAAAAATGATTGAATCATACGCAAAGAACACATCGGTAGCCTTGTCAACAACCTTGCTTGCGTGTGAGCAACAATTGGTTCTGCGACTCAACCCAGAACTATTAAGAAAAGTAGAAATGTTTTAAGACAAGTTTCCACGTGACGGAACTTATGATTAAGCACTGAAGTTTTTTTTTGCTTCAATTATTCAAGGAAGGTAATTCTGAAGTATCTAATCTATTGTTGTCACCAAAGAGTGTTGGTTGTTCTGAGCCTCGCCTACAATTCCAGCCTTGTCGCTGCTGCAAACAAACAGGCCTAGCTACTAGCGGCAACCTAAAAACACACCCCTGCAGCACGTTCATTCACCTTGTCCTCTTCTTTTGTGAACAAACATCCTGCGAGATATTGCCTCAGGATCGATCTCGATGCTCTTTTCCTGGGAGTTTCACCACCGTGGCACATTTCCGAAATGTCGGGCCGCAAAAGAAAAGCAGAGAGTCAAAGGACGCGTCCCGCGGTTGCTTTCGAAGAGGTAAGGAAGCCCGCCAGTTCACCAGTGCCACGATTTGCGCAGCTAAAACATATCTAGCCCATGCACATAACCATGGCTTCACGAACAGCAGCAGCTCCGCAGCCCAATGTGTTGATGCGGATTTGGAATGGGATCGCGAGCTGGGTCTACCCGTATACACAGCCGGATATGATATCTGAATCGAAGGAAGAGGAGGGTAAGGAGTCCGCAGCGAAAGGTGAACTCGTGGCTGATGGGAGGGGAGCTTTCGCGGACAGTCATATTCAATCGTCAATTCAACGACTCGATGGCACAGTCACTCACAAGCGGCAAAGAACGCGACGAATAGATGGAAATGCCAGACCGAAGTCAGCGAACGACGCGAATCGCGCGAGACAGGCGCCAACAACTCTTGCTAAGGGCCCAATAAATTTTGGAAATGCTCGAGATGACGGAGAGAGGGTGCGAATACTGGACCACTATTGGGAGCCTCCTAAGCTCGGATTCGGATCGACAAAGATGTTTCCAGAAGCCAAGACATCAGAAGAGGACTCTGGTCTTGACAGCCTCGACGAGTCTCTGAATAGCATGCGTCTCGATGCTGATGCATCACAAGCGTCTCCATCACTACGCGACTCCGTACGGCAGTACGAAAGTTTTATGCCCAGGAGGCCTTACGATAATCCACTCAGGACCTCGCAATCGCTTCCTCGAAGTATAGTCCGCCCATCCAAATCGACAGGCAATTTAGGTCGGGATGATTGCATCGAGACAATTTTTGACGACGATTACAGATTTGAAGGCTTGAGAATTTCGGACCGAAAGAAAACTGCCCTTGAAGTGTTGAGAAAGGAAAAGGAACGCCGATTGTTGGAGGAAAAGCGGAAGGCTGCAAAACAACGGCGACTTATCCGGCAGGCACCACTAAAACCTCTAATTCAAGCACTTGATACGAAATGGAACGATCGAGTCACTGAAATACAATACTCTCGAGAATTGCTACGAATTCTGACCAAATCTTTCGAAGGCACAGAGCTGCGAGTGAAAGATTTCGGGACACTGCTGGGAAATAGAGCTTGGCTCAATGATGAGATCATCAATACCTATATCGAATGGATTGTCATAGCAGCCAACAAAGCAGCGATCGCCGAAGCAGAGGCAGCTGGAGAACCTGTCTCTACTGTGCCCAAGTTCCTTGCGCATAACAGTTTCTTTTGGAACAATTTAAGGGATAAAGGCCCCAAGAGTACGGAAAGGCTTATGAAGAGGAAAAAGGTCCCAGGTACATCTCTGCTAGAAGTCGACACGGTCTTCATCCCTATCAACAAAGGTGCTCATTGGACAATTGGACTCGTTCGCCCTGTTGCCAAGACAATTGAGTATCTTGACAGTATGGGAGGCCGAGGAGCAGATGTGATTCCAGTGCTGAGGGAATGGGTCAAGAACCAATTGGGATCACAATACATAGAGAAGGAGTGGACAGTACCTCAAACACCAGTTGCTTATCAGTCTAACAGTTATGACTGTGGAGTGTTCGTCTGCACAAATGCTTTCTGCGTTGCCCTTGGGCTCAGCCCAGACTGTTACCATGAGCGAGATTTGACGCAACAACGGAAGAATATTGCTGCCGTATTGTTGAACAGAGGCTTTGAGGGGGACTTTGGCTGGAATTCGGAAGGGTTTCTGGGATGAGATGGTTGCATTACTGGCGTTCAGGAACTGGGAACGGAAATATACCCATTTGTTTTAACGTAGGCGCAGGAACCTGTTGGTGGATTGGCCTGTAGTTTGGTGGATTGGCCTGTAGTATGCTGGGAAGGCTTGGACAGAGGCTCGGCTAGCTGCAGTTGAGAACGGAATCCGATGCAGCCCTAATGGCGCGCCGAGACACTGTAGATATAAGCTCAATTCGTCAAAAGAGACATCAAAATAACCAACCTTTAATCGCCAACATTTACTCTTTGCGTGAGATCGGAAGAGAGGAAGAGGCTCCTTTTTAGCCGGGCGGCTAGAAGCTGTCAAAATGGACACGAGCCCAGCCTGCAGCAATTGGACCTACGCCGCATTGAACTGTGGGGGGCAATTCTGCCTCTGATCCACCTCCAACGGGGATCTGGTTGTTGGTAGTGCGGAGCGAGCCCTTTGCCTGGCCCTGTGCTTCATACGTCCAAGTCCAACCTGCCTCCCCGAATTGTCTCGACCTCCTCCGCCTAGCTACGAACCTTCCATTGCCATTGCTTGCATGAAACCGTGCGACCGTCGTATGTCTTGAACATCCCGATCCGCATGATTGCTGGAGCGCGATAACAAGGGGAGATGGCCAACAAGAAGGCGAGGCAGCGGATTAGTTATGGTATCTACCTATTTCCCCGCACCCCGGACGTCGCTCAAAGTTCAACGAGATACTGACTGGTACCTGCAGTCCTGCCACTCGCGAACTCTCCCGGCGGACATCGACTAGGAGTGAACGGCCTCGCTGTCGACCGCGATCAATCGATCCTGTAAGTAAAGTGCTGTGGCCGCCAGGATTATTGTCCTAGAGGTGGGGTCCGCGTTGATCTCAAGGCTAACAGGCTTGCAGCTATTCAGGTGGAAGAGATGGTGCGATTTGTGCCTGGAATTTGAATCTCGACCTGAAGACGCCAATTTCCTCCGAGAATCCTTTCGATTCCCCCGACGACCCTACTTCAGAGACGAGCTCGAACACCCAAACCTCTACAACCTTCCGCGCGCAAACCCAGGCACACACTCACTGGGTCAATGATATTGTTCTTGCGCAGAACAACACTGCTCTGGTATCGGCTTCTTCTGATCTGACAGTCAGACTATGGCGACCATTATCAAACGAATCTGAGGCTCCTCAGACCATTGGACAACATGCCGACTACGTTAAGTGTGTTGCGACAGCAGGTCCGCAATCAGATTGGGTTGCTTCTGGAGGACTGGATCGACGGATATGTCTCTGGGATCTTAGTGGGGCAGGAAAGAAGCTCGAAATAGAAGTTGGAGATGAGGAGAAGAGCGAGAAGGGTTCAGTCTATGCCTTGAGCGTGAGCCGTAGCATTCTTGCGAGCGGTGGTCCAGAATCAATTGTGCGATTATGGGATCCAAGGACAGGAAAAAGAGTCACCAAGTTTGTCGGCCATACGGATAACATCAGAGATATCCTTGTGAACGAGAGCGGAGACACTATCATGACTGCTAGCTCGGACCAGACAGTCAAAGTCTGGAGTGTTACAGCTGGACGATGCATGCACACTTTGACTATGCACAACGACAGTGTCTGGTCGTTGTTCTCTGATGATCCTGATCTGGGTGTATTTTATAGTAGTGATCGATCTGGCTTGGTTGTGAAGACTGATGTCAGAGGTACTCTTGGAGAGATGGACGACGGACTTTCTCTTGCTGTTGCTCATGAAAATGAGGGAGTGAACAAAGTCATTGCTTGCGGAGAGCACATCTGGACTGCTACGTCAAGTTCTTCCATTAATAGATGGACCAATGTCGATACCGGATCCGACATCCAGTTGCCAGAGGCCTACAGACACCACAGAGCTTCCAGCGCAGCTTCTCGTCCAAGGCACCTGTCGCCACCTACGTCCAGTGAAGCGCCGAAGAAAGAAATACCTTCCCAGTCAATTTTGAGAATTTCAAACACTGCCAGCTTCCCAGCGCCAGCTGCGAGAGACGCTGATGCTACCACGACATACTCAACTCTGAGCGGAACTCGAAAGGCCTCAGAAGTTATTGTAGACCCTGATATCGGTGTCATCGTCCCTATTAATGCACTACCGGAAGAGACCATCGAGGGCCAACATGGTCTGGTGAAGCATAAACTGCTGAACGACCGTCGGAGAGCTTTGACTTTGGATACAGCAGGTGATGTGTTGCTATGGGATCTTCTGAAAGTACGTTGCAGCATGGTATCTACTTGAATTTGGCTAATCGAGTCAGTGTATTCCAATAAGATCATTTGGCAAAAGGCATCTTGAGGACGTCGAGCCTGAGGTCAACACAATGGAAGCAGTCGCTCCCTGGTGCTCAATTGATACTCGAACTGGACGACTTGCTGTTGTTCTGGAAGAGTACAACTGTTTCGACGCTGAAATGTATGCGGATGAGCTTGAACTAGAGGAGCCTGTTGAGTTCAGAGACGACCAGCGAAGTAAGCTTTATTGGCAACTCCAGAGATTCAATCAGCTGACTTGAAATCTAGTCAATCTTGGAAAGTGGATTCTTCGTCACATCTTCTCAAATCTCGTTGATGAGATGATTAAACGAGATGAGGCGTACCGCAAAGAGCTCAATGACAATATCAAGAAGAGTGGTAGGGCAAATGCACCCACCTCGATTCAGCTCCCTACAGTTGGAGGTAGTTGGCCGGATAACTCTGCTTTGACACCCAAGGGCAACGGACACTCATATCCCATGACACCTGGAATGGGCATCGGCGTTGCGACTCCCGCCCCTCTGAATCATCTCCCTGGAGTTCCCGAAGACGGTGCACCTCTAGACAAACGAGCATCTCAAGCGAGTCGTACATCTGCCGAGAAGACCGGCGATTACTTCTCTAGTGCTCCGCTTCCTACTGAAGCCAATTCTAAGCCAGCCGCGGAAACTCATGAAGCTCCTCCAAAATCACCTTCAGATGCCGACAAAGAGACTAATGGGAAGGACAGCAACACCCTTTTTGGGAAGAAGTTCCGCATGGGCATGGGCAGCATGTCATTTGGCAGCAAGAAACTTGGCAGGTCTGCATCTACAGCGACAGCAGAGAAGCCTGTTGTAGTTGATGAGAAAGTCGAAGATGGCTCTGAAACTTCAGATAGTGGAGAGAAGGAGAAGGAGGTGGACGACAGTTTCCATGGAATTGTCCAGAAAATTCACAATGAGTACGAAAAAGCACTCCTTGAGAACCCTGAGGCCCGAGTCGAGAGTGGAATCACTCCCAGCTTGCCGAATGAGACGCCCGTCTTGAAGCCTCCGCCAATGACGACTGTTATCATCCAAGAGGAGACATCGGGAGGTAGTGCGGACTTGTACAGAGGAACCATAGCTACCGTTGGAGAAGATGCGACTTTGATTGCAGAAAGAGCACCGATGTGGCTTGGTGATCTACTTTTGCGGGTAAGTGAGAACATGATTGCCAGAAGGCCAATCTAACATACCATACAGAACAGGATTCCATTGAAGGAACCGGTCAAGGTCTCCTTCGTTTTGCAGCCATGGCAAGATCAGCTACCAAGCATCGCTGGCCCAGATGGGAACTCCCGTCTGAACGCCAACAGAATGCTCAGAGTAAAGAAGATATTGGCATATGTTGCAGAGCGAATTGAAGCAGCTCCAGAGCAGCCAGATCCAAATGCTCTACGGCCAGAAGAATACCTCGAGCTTTATTGCTACGATCAAGTAAGTAGTGATTGTGAAATGGCATTTTAAACAACCATGCTAATACAATGACAGAAATTGCCAATCACAATGAGCCTTGCTACTCTTCGTGCTCACATTTGGAAAGGAGGAGCGGATGTTATGCTTTACTACAAGAGTAATGGAAAGAAATCTATCGCCTATCAGAAGGCACCAGAAGCACCATCAGAAGCATCAGCAGCGACAACAACATCCAGCGCATAAAGATTCTAAAAGGATGTTTCTCGTGTATTTGGGCATATTAATACTGCATATACTCCTTAATGTTGGATTCGTGTCGATAGTCTCTTCGATTATCATCGCTCATCTGTTTCAATAGAGTGCAATGAAGTGTGTATAGCAACCTATCACCAGATTGATACTGGTTGAAAGTGACTTTGACTAGCAGCTCTTCTTGGGGATTCAATATACAAGATTGATATACAACTTAAGTGACAGTGTGGCGGGTATCTCTATCTATCTATCCCAGACGCCATCTATATGCATGTGAACTATTTGAATTCTATTGGAAATCCTCATGAATCTCCTTCTCCAGACAAAGCATTATACGCCCATTGGTAAGAGCCTAAAAAGATAGCACCTCCAGCACTAATCCACAGAATCCTCGGTCCAATCCCCGCAAAGAAGGCTCTTGGGCCACTATCCCTCAGTATCTGCTTCAGCAATGGTATCACAGCCGTCTTCTCCTTCGCCAACATCATCCTCGTCTTCAGCACATCCAATGGTGTCGTCGTCCCCGCAGCAATAGCACCAGCCGCACTCCCAAACAGCCCACTCTCCCACGCACTTATACTGTCCTTGCCTGACTTCCTCCTCCGATACTCCTTCATAGACTCCCACAGCGGGAACTGAATGACAGTAAAAGGCACCTCGCGCATAATAGTGACTGACCACCCTCTATACAGCTCCATCCACACACCCGACACACCAATCGCTCTTCGCTGCGACAGAATCGCCTTGATAGTTGACAGCGACGAAGGGTACTGCCCAGCTTGCGTCCTCTGCTTAATGACCTCTGTAGGAACTCGCACTGCACATGCAGCTACCTCTCCCAAGCTTGCGGCAACCATATGTTCGATCGGTGCCGTCCATTCTCCGCTCTGTCCCTCTATTACTTGCTTCGCATGTCTCCTAGCAGACAGGAACGACTTCGTATATTCGTAGGTGCAGAAGAAGAGAGCTGCGCCGGGTGCGGACCCTACGATCGCGCTGCCTACGCCGCGGTAGATTCCTGTGAAGCCGCCGGAGGCGAGGAAGCCTGATGAAGATTGTAGGCGTGTTTTGAGCGTGTCGAGGGGAAAGAGAGAGAGGTCGACGGTGGTTCCTGCGAGAGCTCCTGCGAGGAGGGCCGTCGTGAAGGCGGGTTGAGTGGGAGCTGACATTGCGGCGGGCTCTGTAGAATGCCGCGATGTAAATGTGCTTTTCTTTCTAGGAATTTTCAATTAGAAAAACTTTAGTCCTCGATTTCTAGAAGCGGCCGAAGCCGGCTTGAGCTTGGGGATGCCATGGGTAAGGTGATGACGGAGTTGAAGTGAGGTCGGAGCTCGTCTAGATTTATTTTCTGAACGGGTCTTGCCTCAGATTTCTCAAAGCTAAGTCAGTCTATCGACACTCGTTTTAACCAAACACATTTCAACGACAATGGGATGGGCGCCGCAACTCGTATTGCTGGAAAAGTAGCCCACCTTCATAAATTTACTCGACCAGGTCGCCCGATTTCAGCGGTAGAGTTCTCAAAAGTCTGGAATGGAATATGGCTCAAATCACTGGAATCTGGCGTGGATGCCAACCGAAGGCCTACAATTGGTACTGAGGATTCATCATTCTCTTTTTTAGAAAGATCATATGTTAACAGATATTCTCAGGTTTGGCGATTAGTGGCGGAGTAGATTCTATGGCTCTTGCTTTCCTATGCTCTAGCATGAAGGAGAGACTTTCGGTTGAGAATAGAGTAGTAGACTTTCGAGCTTTTGTGGTCGACCACGGAGTTAGGGATGGAAGTGATATTGAAGCGCAGGCCGTATCGAAAAGTTTAGAAAAGAGAGGTATTTGATTTTTATTCTCAGCACGAGCAGCTATTGACCTTGTCCTGAAAGGTATTCCAACTCAAGTCCTGAAATTAGAATGGCCGTCATCTCTTCACACATCAGGACTACCAAACTTTGAATCTTCAGCTAGAAAGTATCGATTCCGTACGCTTGGGAAAGCATGTAGCGAGTGGGGAATCAATTCGTTATTTCTGGCTCATCATGAGGATGACCAGGTTGAGACCATAATGATGAGATTGATGGATGGTCACAGGATGGGTCTCACAGGTATTAAGGATCATTCAGAAATCCCTGAGTGTTATGGTATCCATGGAGTTCATGAGAGTGGCGGTCTCGAGATTAAAGCCAGAGAAGAGCTCATCAAGCACCAAACCACCTGTCATGAAAACACGACTCCTCTCAGAGATCATCCCATCGAAGAGTGGAGTCCACAGCTTACCCCCGAGACTGGAGGCGTGAGAGTCTACAGGCCTTTACTAGGATTCAGTAAAGCGCGGCTAATAGCAACATGCAAAGAGAACAACGTGGAATGGTTTGAAGACGACACCAACAAGGACCGAACTCTCACCAAGAGGAACGCGATTAGACACATGCGAGCTAGCTACTCCCTACCGAAAGCTTTGAGCAAACAGTCTCTGCTCGCACTATCTACGAGTATGAAGCAACAAGAACAGAGACGACGAGATGTACTCGAAGAATGGCTTTCCAAATGTTGTATCACCTCAGTGGATCTTCAGGTGGGTACTGTGGAAGTCAAATTCGCGGACTTGAACCAATTTAGAGAGATTCCGTCATGGCCAGGGGAGAAAGCGGGCCAAATAGCAGCGGAGCTGCTTAGGAGGATCATTATGCTCGTGACGCCTCATGAGCATGTCTCCATCTCATCTCTCCATGGCGCAGTGAGCCGTCTGTTCCCCGAGCTCTCAGGAGATGAACCCCGATCAGGGTCATTCACAGTATGTGGGGTATACTTCCAACCTGTTCAACATGATGCCTTTGATAGAGAGTCCCTCGAGCACGACCTCAAACCTACTTGGCACATCTCCCGTCAACCTTTCGGAAGCAACGAGCTCACCAAACATGTTCTCGCCTTTCCACCCACCCTATCGCCTCTCTGGTCACCGTGGCAGCTCTTCGACGGCCGATACTGGATCCGAATCAAGAATGCCTCCTCTTCAATCGCACTGATCCAACCGCTATCGTCCGCTCGATGGCCAAAGTTCAAAGCAGAGCTCGGCCAGCAGCGTAACAGGGCGCTGAAGATCGTGAAGGGGAAAGCGGCTGGAGGTGTACGGTACACTCTACCTTCTCTTGTGCTTCGAAGCAAGGTCACGAGTTCCAAAGAGGAGGATCGTGCAGTAGCTTTGCCGACGTTAGGGATCTCTCTTGCGGAGATCGAAGAGCTGAAGGAGGTCGAGTTTGAGGTGCGGTACAAGAAAATTCATACGGCTGGTTTGCCGATGGTAGATGAGAAGTCTACTTTCTTACAGTAAATGCAAAATCTTAGTTGAATGAGGATCCATATAGAAGAAGCAGTTCGAAATGCTGCGTTCACATCAAGAAAATGTTGTGAAGAAGATTGAATAGACTCAATTAGATTCTCTGTCTGTCTGATGTATGTCTGTCTATTTATGTGTCTGTTCTTTATGCGATCTAGCTGTTGGCATGGCTCACAAAACTCAAACGCACTCCCTATGACCACAACCTGTCAAAAGTCTGGGGTATCCTTAAACGCCAATAGCCAACCCAGTAATACTGAAATAAGACCGAACGCCGGAATATGCAGCCTGAAGTTTTCTTTCATGCTTCTCCCAAGCAGGAATATCGCTCAGGATGCAACATGTATACAATGCCACTCATAAAGTCTTGCAGATATTGTCGTCAAATGAAGTATTTGCGATGTAGCCCTGAAACCATTGACGTGAATCTGAAGACTTCCTCATGCAGTACTACCAGTAATTCGTCTGTGTCCTAACTCCACGCTATGCAATATGATGATGCTGTCTTCAAGGCAGTCTCTATCTCAGATGAAGAGCCTTCTTAGCGTTTTCGTAGACCACGTAGGTGATGCTGACCGCGGGGACGACCTTCAAAAGATTCGGCGTAATGCCCTTAAAGAGTCCTTTGAACCCTTCGTTCTTTACCGTCTTTTGGGCGACATCAATTATGCCGGTGTAAGTGGGAGGGTGAAGAACAGTTCTGTCGTAATGTCAGAATATACTATCGAAGCGCCTGGGCTCGTGCGCGGAAGACATGGCTGTCAATACAAGTCACAAGGAGAAAGCTTACCCTTGAGCTTGGAGTCTCGTTCGCAAAAGGTTGATTGGGTACACTATGCTGGCACCAAAAGCTCCCGAGAAGGCTCCAATACAACCCGTAGCAAAAGACCCCGGAAGTGCGTCTTCTTCATGACATCCCAAGATCTTAGCATTACGGCTGGCAATACGTGCTTTCAGGTACTCGAATGTCCCCAAGTCGATGGCAGAATAGGGAAACATCCCAAGAAGACCCATAGTCAAACCTCGGTATGATGATTTTATAGCCCCTTGTTTGATCATTTTTCTCGCAGTCGCGATGATGAGTGCGTTGCCGTGTAGACCGCCTGAAACAGTCTCACATTGCATACTGCTTTTTGTGAGCTTTGCCAACAAGATTAGACTTTAACAGAGCTTACCGAAACTTCAATGTATCTATTGGATAAACAAAGAGTCTACGTTTATCAGTACGGAGCACAATGGTGGGATTGGAAAACAAACTGTGATATAAGCCCACCTACTCCTCCAGCGACAAACTTAGAATAAGGATTGATGTTTTGCGGGTCATTATGACCTTCCATGTGTGCCAATGCTCGCTTGGCGCATTCGTAGGATCCAAACTTGATTGCTGATTCGGGCATGACTTTAATGACATTCAAGCCGTTACCTAGAAAGTCAGTTCCACCGCGCTTTGTTTTGTGGATCTATTTACCTGCAAACAAGCTTCTCATCCCGCCAGCTTTCCAAAGTTCTTTGGTAGCATCAATGAGAGGTCGTCCGACCGTCTTTGCTACACCAACTGCATCACCCTTCTTCATCGCGTTCACTGAATCTTTTGCTGGACCGATATTGGCGATGAGGTAGACCTTTAGCCGATCTAATGGGGCAGTGGATGTTCTGGAGACGACTCCCGCAACTGCGCCTGCTGCAAAATAGCCTGGATCGGGCAGAATGTCCGTCAGCAATAGTTTCTTCACAGGCGCAACATCCTCCGAAACTTCATCCTCTTCTTCATCTGTTGTTTCGAGTTCCAAGTTCATAGCCTTGTCAGCAGGTCGAGTTCGTTCGGTAATCGGCGTCTGATACCCAACAGCAGAAGATTCTAGCGAAATGTCTGGTTCTGGTCGTGCTAGTGCAGAGTCGGTGGGCGAATTTCGATTGGCTTTTGGTGAAGGATCCGCGATTTTGATTATGGCGCCAAACAAGACTGACAGGGACGAAAATCGAGATTGTGATTCCATACCTAGGCCTTCCAGCGTCTCCTCGCTGATTGAGGTATCGCCTTCGGCGTTTAATGTGACAGCAGATGAGTAGTAGGACATGACAGCCGTCAGCCCAGGAGAATTTTGTGTGGGTAAGAAGAGCAAGAAATCTCTGTGACATGTCAGCTCTTGCTCCATCAAGTGTATAGCCAATTTCACGATTGACAAGAGGAATTTTCTAGGAAAGAGAGCTTACCTCCATTCCGCAAAACTGATGTAGCCCTATTGTCGTATTAGCATTGTGTCTGAATAAGTGGCTGGGTGATATACATCGTGGTTTTGGTCGACCTCGCTGAAGAACTGGTCAAGCTTGGAATTTGGAACTGCCAGGCCAGCTGTTCTGAATGCATTTCTCAGCTCGCCCTTATTCAGCTTCCCATCTTGATCCCTATCGATAGAATGGAACAGTGAGAGCAGTTCCTTCTCCGTTCTCTCGACGAAAATGCGAAATTCTGCGCGTCGAATGTCAGTGACGTACCAACAGAGAAGCGGGCATATGAGCCTCCGCCAACTATTAGAAGACATACCCTCATACTGTATCACTTCGTCTCCATTCTTGTCCATCGCTTTGATAACGTCTTTGAGCATGTCATTTGCATTTTTCAAAGCTGCAAGCTCAGTTAGAGGCAGTGATTTGCGATATCTAGGAGTGGCAGACTCACGATGATCAATGCGAGTCAGGCCCTTCTTCAGGCCATTGAGATCCAGCTCTCCTTTATCCTGCGGATCCAGCTCTTTCCACAGCTTCTCAATCCGCGCATCCCTCGAGTTCTGACTCTCCGGTAGCTCCATCTTGACGTCGGGGTTGTTATCAGTGATCGCTCATTGCGGAGGACAATTGTACGAGCTATTAAGACGTGTTGCACAAGTCGTTATCATCGAATCGATGTTGGAAGCATAGGTGGGTTCTGCAGATATCGAAATTATGACAGAAGGACAAACGGTTTGTGTGCGATACTATGTGCGGATTGTGTCTTTTCTTTGGGGACCGAATGCGATTCTGGACTGGTTGGCCATGAATTTCAAGATCCTTATTCCCTTCTGCCCTCAGTGCTCGCAGGTCTTTCGTCACAAGCTCGGTCCGGAAAGGGTCCGTTGCCAAGCCCAGGCTAGTCAGCGGGGAGACTTGACGTTAGCCGACTCATCTTTGTAACTCACAGTACTCGAGCACGTATGTTCGTCGGATCATTCTTCCTCTTCATGCTTCACATCCAGCTCAATTGCCAGCCTTGACATCACTTTCAGCAAATTTAGTTGAATGGAGTATGCACAGCTTGGAGTGAGTTAGCATGCCAACCATGCGGCAGATTTGTACGTCCTTCTGTCGTCGAAGAAAGCGATTACTCTTTCGATACTCGACCCCGCCAGTTGCTACAGTGAAACAGCTATAAGCTCAACTGGTAATCGCCTAATATAATTCGAACTCCATGGCTTTCCTATTGGGACCATAGATAATAAACTTGATCTGCCGATCTTGGGGCAGCGCCGCAGATTCCCCAAGTAGTCGACACATTACGATCCAAGGCGGAGAATATGCCATATACTTGTCTGCTATGGAAGGGCTGGGACGAATAGGTCCAGGCCACATTATGCAACAAGCAATCTGAGAACATACTGGAACCATGTACTGGTACTCGACAAATCTGGTACTTCACGGAGAGCACGCCCGCCTTCAGGGAGCTAGATAACATGAAGCAATTAAAAGCCCAGAGCTCCAGTCAGGCTCTCGAATCTCTCAGATCGCAAAATCACCAGTCATCTGGACGGAACTATTTCATAACAGAATGCCACATTTGTGCACCCGTACGGCAAAACACAAGGACCACTCCGATGACATTGAACACAAGTCACGAAGGAGCAACTACTTTTGGGTCTCATTACTGATTGCGAAAGTCCCCTTGGTTGGTATTTTTCGTTGGTCGGTCTCCATCCTATTACCAGTTTCTATTTCACTTCCCATAGGATCTCTTTGTGAACAATATCTCCCTAGTCCGCGTGTGCAAGCTTATAGTTAAGCACAGTACTATAGGTACCTTTCGTAAAGGCAAGGTGAATTTGTATTTCAAAGTCGCGAGTCTTCTACAAGAAGCTCGTGGCCAACATAGAATAGAGCCCTCGCATGTTTTTCTGCCAAAAGTCCAGAAACCGTATCACAGTTCAATCGTGATCGTGATCTCAGGTCTTGAGTGCTCTATTTACTTGACCACTTGTTCATGCTCAGACCAGTTGTCAAAGCCGTATCTAAAATATGACCGGCATTGAAATCACAACCATGGTTCTCTTACCGGTCAGCTCAACGCTGAAAGCTGCTCAATCATCGGCGACTAAATGAATTGCTCTCACGAACAATAACTTCGTCCACTAGCAGCGCAGCCTCATGCACGGGAAGCCATGGAGGGATGGTACCCAGAATAGTCTCTCCAGACTCCAGATTTTAGACTTCGGAATCCCATGCGGGGTTTGCCTAGACTGCCGACTGTCAAACATTGACAATTGGCACAGCCATCAGTTGATCTTCAAGCAATCTTCAACTCACAAAACTTTCTCCCTGTAGTATAGTGGAACAATATGGGCGGTGTGGCCGTGTCACAGAAATCGAAGCTGGCCTGATTGGCCATTTTTTGTTCTGGAACATCAAGGCGCGCAAGCTACAGCTGCAGCTGCAACCACTACGAAAGCGGACAGAGATGGCTGGATGAGCTTTATCTTTGCTTACAGCGGCTGCTATCGCCGTAATGCTCCGACTACAGTAAACGCCACGCATTCTGCGTTCAATTCATGCTTCACTTCATGCATGTTCAATTATAGATTGCGTTTAATGTCTGCCGGGAGGTGGCTGATGCAGCAGAGCGAAGCAGAGCAGACAGAATGGAGCATCATGGTCGAGGGAGGGGTTGTAGTTGAGGGGAGGGGGATGTTTGAGATCCAAGCGTTGACCAGCCCTGCCAGCCAGAGCAGAAGCAAGCACCAAGCACCGTCCATACAGGGGTCCAGCAGCAAGCAGGAGTGGCAGAGTGGCAGAGTGGCAGAGTGGCAGAGCAGCAGCGCACCGCAACCAGCAAGGTTGCACCGAGATGGCAGCTTTATGCGGGATGGAGGGGTGGTGCTGGTGGTCGTGCTGTGTTTGCTGGAGAGGAGAGGAGAGGAGAGATGCTTTCTCGGCGGTTGACGGCGCCAACCAGCGGGCAGGGCGACCTGCTGATCCCAGCCAATCCAGGTTCCAGATATTTTCAGGGTGGCGAAGGGTGCTCCTAGCCAGCGTCCAGTCCCCAATGAGCGCAGTGCTCCGAGCTCTCGCTCTCCTCGGTGAGGGCGGGTGCGGGTGCTCACAGATCAATGGGATTATGGGATGCCGTAGTATCTTGAAAAGCTGGCTCGAAGCAACTGTGCAGCTCTGGACAATGCAATGTCCGAGATGACGGATCTTCAGACTGCACTGGCAATGGTATTGCCTCTATTCAACGATGCAGCGGCAGGGCAGAAGAGAGAAGGTCGATCAATATATGGAGGCCGTCCATTTGTTGACACAACAAAGGGACGGAGAGGAGAGGACAATCCACTCCAGTCCAAGGATCCAAGGATCGGATGGGCTCGGACGCATTCCTCAGGCCCGCTGTCAGGCCTCCAGACCTCCAGATGCCACTCGCTCGCTCGCTCACTGGCGCAAAGGGTCGTCATGGGCGCGCCCACCATCGGCCCATCGCCGTGCTGCTGTTGGCTCGCTACGCCCGTGGGGCAGCTGTGTTAAACACCGAACACCCACTAGTACCCATTGCGGCCAAGCGGCTACAGGCCTTCGCCTCTTCCACTCACACCCATTCATTCATTCCCTCCCTCTCTTCCCGTCCGCTTCCCCCTCCCCTCGCTCCTCGCTCATATGCTCCAACCTCCTTCTCTCACCTCACCCTACCTCAACAGCCCATTCCCACCTTCGCCCGATATCTCTCGACTCCATACATAACTACAACTACAACTACAACCACAATCAGTTCGCTATAACTTCATTAATACTCGTCTGTGTCGAATCCTTCTACTACCCTACCATCAACATCAAGAAATCTCTGCCACACCGCTGCATTGCTCTTCACAGCCTCTCGGTCGCATCAGAACCAACCCCCAACCAACCATCAACCCACCGACTCGATCCCATTAATGAGCCGATAAAATGTCGTCCTTCTACCATTACAACACTCATCAACACCCTACCTCTGCAAATGCACAATCAGCCTCATCATCACATCACAGTGGTCGTGGCCGCAGAGCTCCTCGTCTGTCGCAAAATGCTCACAAGCAATTCCGGGGAGCCAGAAAAGACCTCGAGGAGGCTGCAGTCGTAACAAGCTTCCGTCAGCGCTTTGAAGCTGGTCGATCATTCGACCTCGACGATGACTTGGAGTTCTGTCCAAACCTCCTCACCGAGAGTGATATGGTCTCGATCCATTCCTCGTCGTCGGATCGCTCTTCGCTGTCAAGTGGGTCCCCAGAATCCAGCCCCCAATCCCACCAAGTAGCGCCAGACTCCAACTTCACCCTCAACTCCAACTCCGTTCCATACATGCCTTCTTACCAGAGCCAACCAACGCCTCTCAAACTTCATCAACCAGCTGCTACTCGGGTTCGTAACGCCATCCCGATCGTCAACCCAAGCACCGGTATGTCGATGGCCAGCCCGCCACAGAGTGTTAGCCCAGCCAGAATGCAACACCTGAACCGACGTTGGTAGATTGACTCTTCTTCTGTTCCACCCATTAGCAGAGTGGATCTTCCATCATCGCATTAATTGACATTTCGCATTCTTGTCATTACCATCTGGCGGGCACTCTCCCTGGCATCGATAATCCTCCGGTTACGGCACTTTTAACCTCAACGAATCCTCTCTGTACAAATTCTTCCCACGACCTACCCACCACCAAATTCCTTGAGACAGTAACGGCGCAACAATCGATTTCGATACCACTGTTTAAGTAGGAGATGGTGTTTCCATCCTATAATGATGGCTTGATTTTGAGCGCGCATTGCATATTTTTGTGACGGTGTTTGGGCTGCATTGCTTTTGGGTGGGCTACGAAGCGGCGACTTCAATGGGTTTTATGAAAAAAAGACACATCATAGTTACATAGAACGATTTCCTTTCGTCGTCGGAGAACGGGCTGTTTTGCAGGTGTTATGTTTTCGGATACCTATACGGATGGGAAAGATCTCTCTCAATCTTTTTTGTTTCATGGTTTATCAGTAGGCGGGCTGGGTGTCGGTTGGTATGAACAAAGGTTGTGCTTCCTTGTATGATGAGCGCTTCAGGTGTTGTGTCTTTGGTTTGATACTTTGGGATACTGGGTATGGCTTGGCTTTGAGCGGGTGATATCTGGCAGGTGCATTATCGGATCGGATCGACTATGTCTGTCTACGGATGGGTTGGTTATGAATGATATACGGTCCGAGATGGGTGGGCAACGGTCGATTAGGACCCTACACTCGAAATATATTGTCTTTCATCTTACATCTCCTTTGGTACCAAAGCTCTAGGGCACGTACGTATCTTGTTAAGAATATGAACGAATTGGATACGATGTTTAATTCTAAAACTGTTTACTCAATTTTGAGGATGTTGTTCGTGTATGCTTCGAATGTGAAAGCCCCATTGTTTTAACGCATCAGTCAGCTTTACAGCAATCATCCCAGGTGGCAGTGGAGGAATGAGATGGGAAACACTCCACTCTCTCATAAAGCCAAACAGCAAGCCAGGTCCCTCTCAAGACAGATCCGTCCACAAGCCAGCTGACTCGTCCAAAACGAGATCCCCCACTGCCAACGGTTACCGTAGCTTAGTAATTGCATCTACATATTTCCATTGAGAAGAATCTGACCATTCAGTATGGTAACGACGAATTCATTCTCGATCAAATGCTATCATATACGGTACCTGCAGCGAGATATGTAGGCCTGCTCCATTCTGTGCCGTGGATTCGGGAGCATGTAGCAGCAGCGTCTTGCAGTGCCGGCTTTCAACCCTTGTTCTCAGCCAATAGGTTGAAATCGGAGCGAGACTAGGTCCCGCTACCAACCACATACATGTGAATCCCTCTGTCCTGTTACCCGAAAGTGAACTCAACAATAAACAACACTTTTTCAATCTCGAATTACTGGCTTGTAGAGTCTCAATTGTGTTATCTTTCTTAAAAGAAGGATCAGTACTGAAAGTCGGTACTGCCTCATCCAGAGCCAACACTTGCCGCGACATCTTCCGCATGCCCGAGTCGTACGTGTCTCAAAGTCATTTGGGCACTCGAATATCTACCAAAAACAGCAAGCAGGATGTCCGGCACCGTGACACCAACAGGATACACTCCTGGTAATCCATCCTCGCCCCAAGCATACGTCGTTTCCCAATACTCAAGCGATGAAATCCGTCTCCCGTTCGAGGGCAACCGACCACCACCCAACACACCCGCCAGCGACTTTAGCATGTCCCCGCGCCATTCCGAGTCCGTATTACAGTTGAAGCGAAGCAGGAAACCGTCGAATCTCAACCTGGTCCATTTCGTCGATCTCAGAGCCGTGACTTATGAGACGGCTGTGGATGAGAATCTCGTCTGCCCGATCTGTCACTGTCCGCTAGTCGATCCCGTCGTGACAGAATGTGACCACATTTTCTGCCGCTCATGTATCGAAGAGTCTGTTATTCACAGCAAGACTTGTCCTATTGATCGGTCGACGCTGGATCAGGATGTCAGCTCGTTGAAACGAGCGCCAAAGATTATTCTCAACCAGCTCGATAGCTTGAAAGCGAGATGTCCATGCTGTACTCTCTCATTTGCTCGCTCCATGCTTGCGAATCACCTGGAGAAGTATTGTCCGGAGACCATTATGAGATGTCCTGGCAGGAATACGGAAAAGGAGTGTCCCGAGAATGTTAAAAGAAAATACGCCAGTAGAGGGTGTCTTCACTATGAAACCGACTGCCCTGACTGTCTGGAATCTCTACTCGAGGTAGAGATGGAAGAGCATCGTGAAGAGCTGTGTAAGGAAAGGTTCAAGCAGTGTGAGCATTGCGGGCTCGAAATTCTACGATGCAGGGTATCCGAGCACGATAAGGAATGTTCTGATGTCATAGCACCTTGTCGCTGGGCTGCATATGGCTGTCAACACGAGGCGAAACGGAAAGATCTTCATCTGCATACAGATGAATGTAGTCTAAAGACGGTCGGACCCATGACAGACATGCTTCGGAGGGAAATTGGCGAACTCAGATCCGAAGTTCGTACTCTCACAGAAGCCAACCAGAGACAAGAACGCCGCATCAGATTCATGGAAAGCGGCACTTCTCGAGACTTCAGCCAACCTCTCTACGCAACAGACCTATCCAGTCCATCATCACTACCCAATCTCCCCGAACCAGCCAACACGGAGCCTCTCGACTCCGGTCACCAGTATCTTCTCTCTCTACTGGAAGCACAAGAGAGTAACCTAAGCCACCTATCAAGCAGTCTCACCGAATCAGAAGCAAAGCAGACGACAATGCTATTCAACGAGACAATCCCTATCAAGAACGAGCTAGCTGAGATTAGGAGCATGCAGCAGACTACTAGTATGCACGTTCGCTGGCTGATGAGATTCCGGATCCAGGAGAATAGTCGACGAACTGTCGGTGGACCTGGACCGGGACCTGGGTCTAGTGGAGGTGGTTCGTATGGAGGTGGAGGTTCAGATGGTGCTGGATCGAGTGGTGATTCGCTTCTTCCGAGGAGGTTGAGTGATACGATGTCGAGGGATTTAGTTACGAAGCTCTGAGCTGCCGAAGGATGACGATAATGATGATTTATGCATTTGGAAGAAGAAGGTGTTAGTTGCTTGTATGATATGTATGTGATTGTTGCATATGGTGGGTACCTGGTCAGTGTTTGAATGATGGCGTTTATATTTGCACAGGTTGGGTTCACAGTAGAGGGAGTTGACGATCTTCAAGTCCACTTAAGATAAATAATAAATAAAGTAAACAAAGGAGAACCAAAACCTGTCCTCAGTCACGCCGCAGCCGATCTTCCAGGCGATGTCATGTAAGTCTCCGAAACTTGGATACACTTTTCCCATCAAGAGTCTGCTCTTCACATCGTTTCCTGAAATTATACTCTCACCTATCCCTCATGTACCTGCCCCCGTTCCTTTTTCACAGTTCCCCCCAACCGGCCATCTTCAGCTCTCTCCCTTTCTGATGTCGGGGTCCCGAGCCCAACATGATATGCCTTCCCTATCTAGTAAGAATGCTAAAGAGCTAGGTCCAAAGGGGCATCCGCCATGAGGTGAGTGAGGAGTTACTGAGTAACGAATGGACGCAAGAAAACACAACCGAGCGTTCGGATGTACGGTCTTTCAAGAGGAGGGGCTTTTTTTCGAAAGGATATCAGGAACAAACCCTAGGAGTCGTTATCTCAAGGGTACTTGCGAGAGAGATCATTACGCTGAGGTCGTCGGCTGTATGAGCAAAGTACACTAGGAAACGAGATAAGGATCAGAAATCGCGAAGAGTAGGATAATCAAGTATCTGCTTCGGTAATCACGAGGTGCAGGGAGAGAAAGCAATTGCACAAGGTTTGACTGCATATTTTTTTTTTTTTTTTTTTTTTTTGGATCGGGAGCTTATGATGGATCCGTATTCGTAGTTTGCATTTTGACACTGCTCAATTTCAGGAATGGAAATGATTTGGACGATGAGATGGATCGAATGTTAAATTGAGAATATTGAAGAAATGTATAGATTCTTAGTCTGGTGCTGATAGTAGATTCTCAACCTCAATAGAGTATGATTACCCCAAAACGGACATTGAGATTTCAGACTCAGTACCTCAGTGTTCCCAAGGTCATCCAGGAAATCGCGGAGCCACAACATTGCATAATAACTTTCAGAATGGCTTCGGGTTTACAGCAAGGGCGGAATTCACAACAGATGAAGAAAGAAGAACGTATCGACATGAATTCGCTCAGTATAATGCTTACAGCTATGCATCGCTTCATCAAACATATATGCAGTACTTCTTCACCAACTCGAAGGTACTCCATCTACAACAGAGAATGGCAAAAGGAATAAGTATCAATAACGAACAGATCTCATTTCTCGTCAAGCATTCGCTCAAATATGTGCAAGAATATAAGAAGGCACAATCCCAAGGTTCAAAGTAACGACGTCCAACCCACCACCAAAGCAGCTACACCTACCAGTAGGGTAGCGCTAGCACGAACATCCACTGCTCCACTCTTCTTGGTGGTTGTAGCTGCTGGAGCTGCACTCGTTGTTGTGGTTGCCCCTGACGGATTATTGCTTTGATCTTCAGGCAATGGAGTGATAGCCAGACCTTGAATGACATCCCCATTACTTTGCTTTACTTGCTGAGTGACCTTGGTAGCTGTGACTGGAATGATCTTACCGACCGGGGCATTGGCAACGCCGTTGTCGATCAGATCCTGGACTCCAGGAGGGACTGCAGGGATTGTGAAGTTGTTGTTGAAGCCATCATTAGTGATCAATGAGGCGGTACAATTTGGAGGACTGTTGGTAGTATTTGCGGCGGTCATGCTTTGGAGTTCGGTGCCATTGAGGGTATTGAATTGCTTCTGGAGCGTATCGTACTCCCCGAGAAGATCTGCAGTTCCGTCACTGTTCAAGGTGACAAGTCCGTAGTTCGACGTCTCTTGCGTGTACTCGTAAACCAGACCTCCTGAGAGAACAGGGGTTACAAGAGGCCCATAGAGAACAGGGACTTCGGTAAAGACTCTTGGGTATGGCACATTGCAGCCATATTCGGAGAAGTAGACCGGGACACTAGTCTTGGCGAAATCTGACACGAGGACATCATACTGAGCTCTCTGGAAGGTTGACTCGCCACACCAGGAGTAGCTGTTGAGGGCAAAGACATCGACTCTAGAAGGATCTGAGGTGTCTCCAGTCGTGGTACACTGAAGGTAGTTCCATGTATCAAGAAGGATTTCGCGGACATCTGCAGCGCTGTATCCCACAGGAATCTTTCGGTCGCAATGCTTTGCAACGTAATTCTTGAGATCTCTAGTGATAGCCTAGACAAATTAGTCATAGTAGATGTCGAGGAGTTGTCTAACTGACTCTCATATATGGAGGAACGGTCTTGCCAGTAGGTAGGTCGTTGATGACCTCGTTACCAGAGAAGAACATCATTGTGTTTGGGTAGCCCTTGAAAGCCTCCACTACTGCAAAGGTGCGATTGACGTAGCCCAGGTAGTAGCTCTCCCATGGTGCGCTCCGATCAATATTTTCACCAGCCAGAGGGGAGTTCACGTCCAGGATCATATAAATACCGACCTGCAAAATCAGTATCAAACCGCAGTGCATTTTGGGCGTAACTCACGGCATTGAATATACTAGCACACTATCTAGAGTCAGTATTGATATATATCATAAGCTTTGGGTGGCCAAAGTTGGACCTGGACATGCAGACGGCTGGGTAGGCCAAATGATTTCAGAATAACCTCGTAGACTTACAGCATCATGATTGACGTTTGGATCGACATTGTAGACCCGAATAGCGTTCACCCCTACTCCAATCAGTCTCTTTCGAATCGACGTTTTGACCTTGTACAGAGATACGGACCCAATCGTTGCATCAATGCAGCATCGCGCAAGCAAATATCCTTATCACTTAGGGGATCTGATCCGGGATTATAACCTGAACTTCCCGCCGGTTGGTACGCGACACCAACGATCTGAAATCGATCTCCAGTGACCGAATTGACTAGATCCGCTCCATTGATGGTGATTGTCTGGACAGCGAAGGTGGAGGTCGCAAGGAGCGCAAGGGTCGCGAGCTGGACCTGGTAGGTGATCAATCGGATTAGCGAAATGTCTAAGAAAAAGTTGGAGACGAGGATCAGGGTCTACTATGATCTGCTTGTGAAACACATATTCCAGCAGAAGTAGGTATTCGGCGGTTGCGCGGGTGCGCGCATGAGGTGTCGTCGCTACCAACACTGAAGCGGGAATTCAACGTACCAATCGAAACATTGTTGCTCGAACTCCAAATTCCTAGTAATGTACCGAGTTTCCGCCTATGATCTCAGTCTGTTCCTCTAGAAATGAACGACTCGAACTCCGAGATATCGAGAGAGAACTACGAGCTGCGCAAAGTAACGACTGACGTTGGATTTTGGTTGCAACAAGAGGAAAGAGAAACGAACTCGAGACTCGAAGGAAGGAGGGGCTGGGATTGCTTCATATCAATCTTGAATCTGCATGCTGATACGGCCTGGCGCGATTCCTCTTTCGGCTAGGTCTGGCTACCAGGCTTGCTTTGTTTGGCTGACCGTTTGGCGGGAGATCGGCTGGGATGCACCTAAAAGGATAGCGTGTTTCCTGCCCTGCTTCTGGGGAATTAGCTCCCACCCAGGTAAGAAAGTGAAGATATAAACATTCAAGTCGAACGAATGTCATAAACAAAAACAGAGGACAGACAAATGACCATTGGCTTGTAAAGATTCTTTGATGCTGCAAAATCTGGCTGCACAACTCTCGCGGCTAAAGTGCCTTTCTGCCAATACGAGCTCGCTTTCTCTGGCACAATGCCCAGCCTCGTATTTTGTCGAGTATCCCTCATCACACCGAGAACTGCAGCAGAGAACCCGTTGCTCTCTCTACTCTCCACTGAGTCTAAGTGTTCCTTGAAAGTGGATTTTCTCCAATTACTAGAGAAGCATAAAAAGCTATGATGTGTTTATTGAGTCCAATCACAGAACCACTGTTGACGTCCAGAAGATTGAAGGCAATAGAAATGTACACAGCACAATTGTATTAGATGTCACGAGTTTTCCCTTTAACATGGTTTTTTCTACCTCCTTTCGAGTAGCAGGTATCGACTCGCCTGCAACTCGCTGCATCCACGTGTTTCATCTATGTTGTCAACAAAGACCTCGAATCGAAGTATTTCTTCAAGGACTGTTGTCAAGTGCGTCTTGATTTGCGAATCGTCAACTCAGCATCAATTGAATACGGTACCATATTCCTTTTCTGACTCGTCGCTGTCCTGCCCATCGATCAATGGGGAAAATGTTCAAGACGAGGAACAACTTTGCAGCAATCTTCCACTAAGCGAGAGCCTGCAGGTTGGCACATACTTATCTTAAGTTCATAATGCAAGATACAGACACATCCGTAATCACTATGACACATGTTTCCATGTTTCTCACTCCCAAAAGATTTCCACACGAAGCAGTATCGCACTCGCTTAAACTTCAATAAAAACTCGCCGATACCACCATCAAGTCAACAAACGCCACGCCCAGCCCCGCCGTGCATCACTCCAATTAAGGTACACAGACTCGCCAGCCCAACCATAAACACCCCGAACATTCCCTCATCTCTACCCCAAACCCACACTTTATCATACCACCTTCCTGTATCAATTACTTCAAGTCTGATCATGTGGCCTACATCCTATCCTGTTCTGTCAAAATGTTCCTTCCTAATATCCCCCATCCGGACTCCGACTGGTCTCGGGGGGTTTTCATGTCACAACACCACATTACAGCACCAGGACGGCTCTCACACAGTAACTCGGTGACATGGATTCATCAAAATGAATGAATGAAATCCTATAGTACTTGAGAACCATAACGGGCAATGATATATGCGTCCATCCATCCATCCCACTTTCTCTTTTCGGTCTCGGAATCGGAACATAGAGTCAGTGATGTACGTGTGTGGCTGATGGCAACGGTCCGATCCTACATCCACGAGCACACACACCATCGGAGAGGCGGAGGTCTTTGTGTCACGATAGTCACATTCATAGCATAAGTATGCCGAAGGCGTGTGTATGGGATTATTTGCGATGGATGGGTTGATAATGCACAGTGACTCCCAGGTGAGTGTTGTTAAAAATAGAGTATTTCTTTTCTTTTGTGTTTTGGTTCGGCTTTGTTTGAAGTGGGAGAAGAGGACTATTTCGGCGTCAGTTTTGAAGTGGACAGGGGCTTCGCATCCATTGGGAGGGAAGGAGAGGGCATGACGGAAGGTAGAAAAACTTTGGTGGCTTTTAGGGTTGACTTGTCAGTAATGGGGCCCCTGGATACTCCCGAGCGCATGAGGCTATTGCACGTGAGGTGATATTGTGATGCGAATGTCCTGTAATAATCTAGAAATCCAACACAATTACTAGTCGGAATAAAATATACGGACGACACATACTTTTTTGCCTACCCATACAATGAAATACAGAAGAGTTGACCCAGGGTTTGACTTTGTCATGAAAATGGAGGAGGAAGGGCATTATGAGTATCTATTGTAAAGTTCCTAAGCAAGCAACAAATTTGTACGCCATGTAAGGAGCTGCTTCCTTGTTCCAACAAAATGCTCCCAACAAAATAAGTAAACCATCTTTCATCGAGCCTCTAAGCCTTGAACTCCTCCACCTTGCTCTCTGCCAATCTCCCAGGGATGAGAGCGAGAGGAACAATACCACTGACGTGCATATCTGGTCCGTATACGTGCATGTTCAACTTCAACTCTTGTCCGACAGACTTGATGTTCTTCAATCCCTCCTGGTAGTTAGGTCCAGCACGTCTGACCCAGATCTGAACATTGTGCTCGATAAGCTGGGGTGCAACCTCGCGAAGAGCGCGGATGACACCCTTGAAAGTGGAGGCCACATTGGTGAAGTTGGCAATACCACCACCAATGAAGAGGACCTTGCCCTCAGGTGTGATAGGGGCACGGAGCATAAGGTCGAGAACTGTGCGGGCGTAGTGGAAGGTTTGTGTCTCAGTTGGTGCACCAGAGTATTCACCATAGTTGGCGAGCTCATCAGCGAAACCACTGCTGGCAATAGCATCAGCGTAGACAACGGAAGCACCACCACCAGCAACCAAAGTCCATACACGGCCGTTGGCGTTCAGGATGGTAAGCTTGAGAGATGCACCAGTCTTAGCATCGAGTTCGGCAATGTATGCCTCCTCCTTGCTCATGTCACGACCGAAGGGAGCTGGGAACTCCATAGGTGGGCCAGCATCGATGTTGACCTTTCCATCGGATGCCTTTATGGCAGCCATTCCAAGAGCAGCTGGTGAGCGTGCAATGGCCCATTTGACACCGCACTCAAACTCAGCAGTCTGATCAAGCTTAGCAGCCAAATCCAAGAAGTGAACCTCTGCAGAAGTAGCATCGGCGTTTGGAATGACAACGAGAGGGTTGATCTCGAGGTATGTAAACTGGCAGTCGACGTAGACAGCGTACAGTCTGGTAATGAAGTCGACGAGGACATTGTGAACACCCTTTGGAACCTTCTTGAGGAGCGTGGCAGCAATCTCTTCGTTGGATGGGTATTCGGAAAGGTCGACAGGAATCAAAATCTTCTCGGCTTTGGCATCGACGTCACCAACATCAACACCTCCCTCGTGTGTGAAGAGAATCCAGTCACCCTATCAAAGAACATGGTCAGCACGTGGCAGAGGGAAGGTAGTGTTTCATCGGAGGACGAATGAAGGATGGCGTAACAGTAAACACCCGGCAAGTAGCAGCGGGTTGCGGTAACCCTGACAGCGGCAACGATAACGCACATGCAGATGCAGGTACGAAATTGCAATTGGGGAGGTTGGTGTTTGATGACAATAGTGGGCCATATTGGAAATGTGTTCCTTAGCCTCCGCTCGTCCGTACCATATCTCCTGCCGAATCAGGGCCGACAGAAACAAAAGGGACGTTGGAGCCCACATGCAAAAGCCACTTTCGCAGTGTTCCAAACTTCGATTTTCTGGCATTCGCTTGAGTGCCAAAAGGTCTTTTGGATCTGCAAAGCGCTACTGGTCGGCAAATAATTCTTTGCAGTCCAGCTCCTGCTTTCGGGCCGCCAACCAGCCTTTGGGGGAAAGTATGGAAAAGGTAAACATACCTCTCTTTGCGAGTTGATGTTGATATAGTATTCGGTTCCGTCTGGATGAGGTACAAATGGCTCAACCAAGAATTGTCTGAGGTAGCCAACTGTGGTCTCAACCTTTTGTTCCTTTCCAGCACGAGCAGCAATCCACGCCTTTGCCTCTGGCCAAGTCTTGTTCAGAGCTAATAGTCCACTTTTGCCTCGGCGCTTGATCAATTGATCTGGCTTTGCAACGAACTTTGAGCCTGGAACCAGAAGCCAAGGGTATGAGGTCTCGGCCTGGTCGAGAATGGACATCACCTCTGCATCTTCTGGGAAGTATAGCGAGGCGAGCTTTGGAGGAGCGTTGTGTGTGGAGGACTTTGGGAGAGGAGAAGGCTTGATGACTGGGGCTCTGGTAAGGTGGTAGTTGAGGATAGCCTTTCCGTCGGCCTCGAGGATGGATTTGGCGGCCATTGTATAGGATTTGAAGTGTGTTTACTGTTCAAAACAGGTCAGCTCAAGCTTTGATTTAGGTTGTAGTATGCTGACAAGAAAGTGCACACAGTTTATGGGCTGTATTTACAGGTCCGGATTTCGATTGAATGGAAGTTCGAGGTTGCAAAGAAATTCAAACTTGAATCGACCGAATCGTCAGACTGACCGGACTCTTGTCAATGTGCAAAGGCAGGCCGCAAATTCGATTAAGTATGAAAGAAGAGGAGTGTGGAAGAAGATTGGAGGGAAATTGACCAAAAAAACAGGAATGGGTGTTTTGTTCTGCGGAGCTGAGGGGAACTTGATGCGAAGGGAGAAGGAAGCCCAACATACCTCGACTATTCTTATTTCAAGGGTTTCGGGGTCGGATCAGAAGGAACTCAACTGGCGGGAGGATACGGCGAGAAGTCAGGGTGATGTTGGATTTGACAAGAATAGGAATTGTCTGAATGTTGAAGGAAGGATCTGGGAGAGCTGTGTAGTTGTGCTGTCTTGGGGGGCAGCGATGGGATGGGACGAATGTGGTGGGTCGGCGAATACAATTATTCGCACCGTCGCTGGAATGCTTCGTTGACCGAAAGAATCTCACTGGGGCGGCGCGCAAGTCCTGTGCCAGAGCGACCGGCCGTGCTCTGGTTGGTTGGGACTGGGGAACGGGAAGGAGCGGTCGGTGTTGAGGGACGCTAAGTGAACCCTGCAATTCAACAAAGCCCTGCTGGGCCTGCTGGCCCCCTGCTGGCCCTGCGACCCTGCCAGACACAGCTCGGTATCGGACGACCAGCGCTCAACAGCCCCAGCATTTCTCTGGCATTCCCGCCGGCCAGCGATCCATCAAGTAAAAATACGGACTCCTCCAAAATACCTACCTCCTCCCTTCGCACCCCCATTCCCATTCACACACCACGCTACGACCACGCAAATTTACTTCTGTCTCTCCGCACTGCACTCTCTCCATCGTCCTCTATATTCGACGATTGAATCTGCATCTTCGCCTTTGCTACGGAGATTGGACTTCGGCAATACTGCTCCTGTTTCGACAAACGAGCGTCTGTTCTGTTTCTACTCTCAGCAGCTAGTGTTTCCGTTTTGATGTAAGTACCGATTTACCCATTTCTGCCTTTTCTCTCCATCTACTGCCGGCACTCAATCTCTGCATTTTCCAAAACAACCAAAGACTGCTGTAGAAAGCAGGAAGAGCTCGAGTATCGAGTTTGTCGCACAGTTTCGAAGCTACAAACAATACAGTGCAGTTGCTGACTTGGGTGTCGCCTGAAGATTCCCCCCTCCCTCAAGATGCCTTCTGCCACAACCAACGGGTCTGCCAATGGCAGCTTAACCCCAGCTCCAAGCTCCGCAAACGACAATATCAGACGATTCGCAGCTCCCAGCCGTCCTCTGAGCCCCCGTGCCGAACATACCCTTTTCCACGACAAGACAAGATGCTTTGTGTACGGTCTCCAGCCAAGAGCCGTCCAGGGCATGCTGGATTTCGACTTCATCTGCAAGCGCAAGACTCCCTCCGTTGCTGGTATTATCTACCCATTCGGTGGTCAATTCGTGAGTAAGATGTACTGGGGAACCAGCGAGACTCTGCTGCCCGTCTACCAAGACGTCAGCAAGGCCATGGCTAAGCACAGCGACGTGGATACCGTCGTCAACTTTGCCTCGTCTCGTAGTGTTTACACCTCCACCTTGGAGCTTATGGAATTCGAGCAAATTAAGTCAATTGCTATTATTGCCGAGGGTGTCCCTGAGAGAGTAAGTGTGCAAGTCCGATTTTGAAGTGCTCGTCTAATTATCTTGTAGCGTGCCCGTGAAATTCTTCACGTAGCAAAGCGTAAGGGCATTACAATCATCGGCCCTGCAACTGTCGGTGGAATCAAGCCCGGATCCTTCAAGATTGGTAACACTGGTGGTATGATGGATAACATTGTGGCCTCCAAGCTTTACCGCAAGGGATCCGTCGGATATGTCTCCAAGTCTGGAGGTATGTCCAACGAGCTTAATAACATCATTGCCAACACAACCGATGGTGTCTACGAGGGTGTTGCTATTGGTGGTGACAGATACCCCAGCACAACCTTTATCGACCATCTCCTCAGATACGAAGCCGACCCAGAGTGCAAGATCCTTCTGCTTTTGGGAGAAGTTGGAGGTGTGGAGGAATACCGAGTTATCAAGGCCGTCAAGCACGGATTGATCACAAAGCCAATTGTTGCCTGGGCCATTGGTACTTGTGCAAGCATGTTCAAGACCGAGGTTCAATTTGGACACGCTGGTTCTTTCGCCAACTCTCAACTCGAGACTGCTGCGGTTAAGAACAAGTCCATGAAGGAGGCAGGATTCTTCGTCCCAGACACTTTTGAGGACATGCCAGCTGTCCTTGCACAGGTGTACCAGAAGCTTGTTAAGGCTGGAACTATTGTCCCACAACCTGAGCCAATCGTACCAAAGATTCCAATTGATTACTCTTGGGCTCAAGAACTTGGCCTCATCCGAAAGCCTGCCGCATTTATCTCTACCATTTCCGATGATCGTGGACAGGAGCTTCTCTACGCTGGAATGCCCATCTCGGATGTCTTCAAGGAGGATATTGGAATTGGTGGTGTCATGTCACTCTTGTGGTTCCGCCGTCGTCTACCAGATTACGCCAGCAAGTTCCTCGAGATGGTTCTCATGTTGACTGCCGATCACGGTCCAGCTGTATCTGGTGCTATGAACACGATTATCACCACCAGAGCCGGAAAGGACCTTATCAGTGCTCTTGTCAGTGGTCTCTTGACCATTGGTTCCAGATTTGGTGGTGCACTTGATGGTGCCGCCGAGGAGTTCACCAAGGCTTTCGACAAGGGTCTCAGCCCACGTGAGTTTGTGGACACCATGCGCAAGCAAAACAAACTCATTCCCGGTATCGGCCACAAAGTCAAGTCCAGGAACAACCCAGATCTCCGTGTCGAGCTCGTTAAGGAGTTCGTCAAGAAGCGTTTCCCCAGCTGCAAGATGCTCGATTATGCTCTTGCTGTTGAGTCGGTTACTACATCCAAGAAGGACAACTTGATCCTGAACGTTGATGGTGCCGTCGCTGTCTGCTTCGTTGATTTGATGCGCAACTGCGGTGCATTCAGTGCTGAGGAGGCAGAGGATTACATGAAGATGGGTGTATTGAACGGTCTCTTCGTTTTGGGACGTTCTATTGGTTTGATTGCTCATTACCTCGATCAAAAGAGACTCCGCACTGGTCTTTACAGACATCCTTGGGATGATATTACCTATCTCCTGCCAAGCCTTTCGTCTGGCGCACCGGGTGCTGAAGGACGTGTGGAGGTTCAGTTGTAGATTTTGCCGGTCTGGTCTGATGGATGAGCTTTTTCGGTTCCGGAGTTACTCCTTTTAACGCAATGTAGCATGTAGACAAACAAAGTGCTAATGGCATACCCCTAATTCAAAACATATGAAATACATGACTATGTGCAAAATATGTTGTGACCATTATTGTCCTATGAAAATTGAGAGCAGTGGGATAGCATGGGGAGGGATATTGGCGACCAGTGCAGCAAAATAAAAGTCGACAAGGATATGGTCAGGTCTCGTCACTGCAATGGTTAGAAGGTATCATTTTTTCCTCCGTACCGATCCATCTTATGGCAGGTTGGTGCAAGTGCCAGTGCCATCTGTGTATTGTACAGCCAAACTCCAGGTATCCATTTCCTCTCCTGTACCTGGCACTCAAACGCCTGAACCCGACTCCTGCAAAAGTAAAGTAAATCATTCCATCCTACCCGGCCCCGGATTATACACCTCGCCCAGTTTGAGCCCCCGTTCCCCAGCATATTACCCCTCAATGTGTAACATACCAAGCGATCTCAAGCTCAAGCTGCATCCCCAACGACAAATTTCGAGCTCATCAACTCGTCAACATATGCACGCTCAATCTTGTCATTACCCTTCTTCTCTTCCTTCAGTAGAACGGCAAGGACTTCAATCGGAGGCGCAAGTCCCAGTTTCTGTGCTCGAGTCCAGCGTTTCATGCGTGCAATGCCTATGGCAGGCTACAAACATCCAGTTGTCAGCGATGCTTCCCCATGAACAGCTCGAGAGCAGATCATGCTCCTTCGAATGAACCTTGAAAGGGAAAGATGCAAAGATACAAGACGGGGAGACAGAAGAAAAGGTAAAACTTACGCCATACTGACTACTCATATCAAACAGTCTCAGAATCTTCTCCTCCACCCCCAACTCCTCCTGATGCACCCTCTTCGTCCTCCTCTCCCCCTCGCGTTCCCTCCAGTATTTCTTAACCTGCGCATCTGTCACCTTCTCCGCCTTAATCACATCCTCACTCTTCCCATCTCCCTGTGCTTGTGCTACTATCTCCGCCTTCGCCTGCTGCGAGACCGCCGCGCTGGAATCAACATGGCCTGTGTCTAGCTCTGCTTTGACTTCTTCCGCGACTAGTTCTTTCTTTGGTTCTGGCTCTGCTTCTGCTTCTTGCTTGATGGAGTTCTTGAGAAGGTGGGCTTTGGGGGACGAGATGTCTTTGCCGTATGGGACGGCCGTTGTGGGTTTGGTGACTTTGTTTCCGAAGGAGAGGGTCTTTTGGGCGCCTTTTGCGGCGGGGCCGCTTGAGGTGCGGGATCGGCGCGCGGGTGGCATTGTTACGGTTGCTGGTGTTCTTGTGTTTGATTTCGAGTTTGGCGGAAGGTGTGTTGAGTTTCCGTGGTGTGGTGGAAGGTGGAGTTCAAGGTGGTGAACTGTGGAGGGTTTGTCGATGACGCTGCACGCCAGAGCTCGATTGGCATGGCAACCTGGCTCGCTTCGCGATGAGGTGGGATGACCCCTTTTCAAGGGATGGCGCCTAATATAAACATAGAGATTATTGAATTCGTGAATTCTAGCAATTCTTTTTACGTGTTAAAAGACCAATATTCTGTAAAGGCATACTTGTTGTCTTTCAAGTTGAAGCCCAGAATATTGAGGGACTACATGTTCATCTGGACGAGCTTGAAGTATTTACATTCCTACCCAAATGTACATTTACGCTTCTCCATCTTGCCTGCTTCTATACGTCCCTTCACACTCAAGAAGAGTGCGCTTTCAAAGCCTCAGCAATAACAGCAGTCATCTCTAATACTTTCTCGTCTTCCAATCGCCTGCCAACACACTGCAACGCAACGGGCGTTCCATGATAAAACTCTGGATCATAATCTGCCTGAATCTTTCCATCAAGCTCATTCAAAGGCTTCCAATCTTTCCTTGGGTTATCGATATTCTTATCTGCAAACGTAACGGGGAAAGTACAGGCCGGGTAATCTATTGCTATTCGTTAGAAAAATATGTTCCACTTCTGTTGCAAAGTCTGGAGGGGATCCTCGACTTACCAAGAACGTTAAAAACTCCCGTATAATTGACACAGAAAATCTCTTGTGTCAACCCCAACCTCGGCGCTGTCCATGGCGATGCCGCGATGATAATCCCATCCATGACGTCTTTACCATCTTTAGCCGTCGAATTCCACTTGTCGAGATACGCTTTCTGGTACGCATTCCTCTTGATGATCATCTCTCGCAGCTTCGTAGGACCAAGAGTACCATGCTCCCCCTTCTGGTATGTCGCCTCGTAGTTCTTCATAGATGGGTAGACTGGTTCTTCATTTTGCAGTGTCAAATCCAGAATGGCTGCTGCGCCTAAAGTGTGGAATGAGCGGTTCATTTCGTCCGCCATTGCTGGGTGGTTCAGAGGCTCCCACTCGAAGACTTCGTGGCCAGCTGCTTCCAGAGCTTTCTTGGTTATGTCAAGACCGCGACTGATGGGTGGTTGGACATGGATCTCGCCATCGTGCTCAAAGACTATGCCGAATCGCAGTTTGCGTCCCTTGGGTTGGATTACTTCTTCTCTCCATGGAACAGCGATACACTTCGGATCGAGGTTCCAGGGTGAGATCTCAGTTGAGAGAACAGCTCTGCAGTAGAGTCTCAAAGTCTCGATTGATCTGGACATGGGTCCGTTGTTGGAATAAATGAAATCTTGTCCTGTGATACCGGATTTCGTTCCATAGACTGGGAAACGACCAAAACTATGTCCTTGTCAGTAATTCTTATCAAGAAGGATTTTGAGGCTGTTAACATACGTAGGCTTCAGTCCATAAAGTCCATTGAAAGCACCTGGAATGCGAATACTGCCTCCGATATCCGTACCAATTCCCAGCGGACTCCCTCTCATAGCCAAAAGCGCACCTTCACCACCACTGCTCCCACCACAGCTCGTACCACTATGATAAGCACCATTCGTCTCACCCCAAATAACATTGATAGTCTCCATCATCATCATAGCAGTCGGCACATTAGTCTTCACATAAAATACCGCACCAAGCTTTGCCAAAACACTAACAAGAACAGTCTCCTCATCTGTTGCTTCATTTGCGTAGCATGCCATTCCAATTGATGAAGGATGCGGAGGAGTAATCATGCAATCCTTCAAGGAGATAGGAAGACCATGGAGAGCCCCGACCACCTGGCCTGTCTTCTCTAAATGCTCATCTAGAGATTTCGCACGGGCAATAGCTTCGGGAAACAGGATCTCCGTCAAGCAATTGGTCTATTCGTCATGAGCCACTCATCCCAAAATAGCATACATGAGAAGCAGTGGAAGACTTACCAACTGCTGTGCCACAATCGACGCTTTACAAAACGCCTTCGTAACAGCCAAAGAAGTCCATTTCTTCTCTTTAATTTTCAGCAAGATTTCCTCGGCATCCGCCTCAATGATTTCAAGCTCAGCTGGTGTGAAATGTCCTGAGCTCCTCGGGATCGTGGTTAAATTGAGAGGGAGATTGGTGAGAGCTGTTTCTGGGAGGAAATATTCTTTTGGAATGGCATCTGCGCGACGCTTGAGTGCTATGGCTGCGACTTCCTTGTAATGTTGTCCCATTTTTGGAAGAGTGGGTTGGACTTGGTTGATTTGGAAGTGTGAGCTCGAGGTGGCGAACTGATTTCAGGTAGAGGACGAGAAACAATATTAAAAATGAGAGCAATTGCTAAGAAGGAACTGCGGGATATTTCGAAGTTTGATGATGCAAAACATGTCTATTTATACAGTTCAGGTAGCAATCGGCTGATTCCTGATCTACTCATGGGTTGAGATACAGTAGTTCATGGTCGTCTCCATTGCTGGTAAGTGGGGGTTCCGGCGGCTCCCTTCCTCGGGCAACTTTAGATCGGCAATTCCATAAAGACCCTCATACTTGGCCGGCAGCTCTTGTAAATAGCACATGTGGCCGTGAACACTCCTGTCGAACTGTGCAGCTGCCGTTTAAGGAATTGGTAGTAGATTGAAGCTGCAGAGGTGTTTCGGTGAGCAAGCTAACGTTTTGTGCCTCCCAATACCTCGGCTTGCAGTTTTAAGGCAAGAGGTGATGTATTTCAGACCTCATAGGAGTGATTATCGCTGTCTTTGACACTCGCTTCATTTTCAGTAAATGAAAACCATTTGCGAAGTGATGCATATTCTTTGAATTATTTAGTCGTTCTTTAAAAGTGGTTGTAAAGTCTATACCCAAGCTTGTCTGACTCCACCACTCGGCTGTACAAAGAACTGTGCCATACTCCTCATATCATTATTACCACAATGTCATGTCTCAAATATTGAATATGGTCAAGTCCCGATCGGCTGAGACTGGGGAAACAGACACGGAAGCACGATGAAAAGGACAACGATAAGATAAGAATATATATAAACCGATCATACGGACTTTAGATAACCCAAGGGCAAGTAGAATTCTAATGTCTCCTCGTGACAAAGCAACAATCTGTTGGGTTTTACAGAAAGTGGCTAAACCATGAGGGGTGTTTGCTCTGCCATCATCTATAGACATTTCAACCCATAGTGTAAAGGGAAGAACGCATATGCTCAAATGGGGTTTGTATGTGTAGACCAAAAGAAATTCACGTCGCGGGATTACTACGAAAAGAAAACGTTCGTTGTATTCGTCCAGATTCTCCAAACTCCAGTTATGCCTACCCTTCCAAAACAATTGTATCCGTCCAACGCCGTGGCATGCATAAGTATAATATCGACCCAGATTCTCATGCTAGTTCTGTTAGCTGAAGTATCAGAACTCTGGAAAGCTTAACTCACTATCAAGGAAATCCGCCGCCATTAACAATTCCAAACACAACTCAGGTGGAATGTCCATGTCAGGTACATCCTCTCGATTCCTGTTCTTGTAGTTGTAGTAGAAGTACTCGGCTACCTTTTCGAGGACAATGCCACTGTCAAACACCCAATGTCAGTTCGTTGAGGTTTGGGGTAACAATGAAAATGTTGAAGAAAAGGCGGTGGAAAAATAAAATCAACAATTTCAACACTCTGATCCACTTTGTAAGGACAGGGGTACGCCAATGAAAAGCTAAGAATAGAGATTGGCATTTCAGCCTTCAAAGCTTCAAGCTTCCCCTGCATGGGTGCAGTCTCTCTCCAGATATTCGGGGGTTTGATACCAACAAGGGCTTGGAGGCATAGTCTCATATCAAGTGTATTGAGAACATCATTCAGCGTCCGTACTTTGCTCCCTAGGAAGCAAGAGGGTCTGTAAGGACTCTTATGGTATAATCATAGACCAAGGCTGCGAAATTTTCCCTGGTATAGCTCCTTCATCTTCCCTAAATATGCGTATGTTTTGGTGTTGGTTCGCAAAGGGTGTGGATGAGTTGGGGAAGGACGAAAAGAAAGGTTGCCGGGCATACTTGATTTCCTCAAAGAAACATCTTCCATCAGTGGATTCCTTGAAGCTACCTGCAGAAAGAGAAGAGTCTCAGCATATCTTCAAAGAATCCGGGGCAACTGGTGGGGTCTGGCACACTTACTCTTGGGGTCCAACATCTTCTTGATGGCACCACTGATGCAAGCCGCCTCCCGCAGAACCACGAATTCGAAGCCATCGCTTGAGATGAGGGTCACGTATTTGCTCAGGGCATGATTCGAGTTTGAGGACGCCATGTCGGAGCGATTGCAGGAAGGTTGATGGGTGAAAAGTCGCCGAACGCGAACAATTCTGTCCGAAGGCAGCGAGACGCGATTAAAGACTTGGCATTCCCAAAGGTCCGCATGCTCGCTAGGGACTTAGTAAGCCAGCGCTGAACGAGTTACAGTACTGCAGACTAAGTATTGTAGCATTCTACATTAAACAGCACGTCTTTGTTTTCCAATGATGTAGAAGCATTTGGCTCTCTGCTCAGTCCTAGGTAATCTATCAAGATAATAACTTCACTAATGCAACGCGACATAATTCATATCTTCACAGCTCTCCCGCATCTCTCCTTTCCTCAAATTCTGGCATTAGATGTAGCATCACGAATCTGGGGCTGTGATGAGAAAAGGTTCACATCTTATCTTCGAACGAACCATAGGGAAATCTTCTTGGATCGCGATGATATTAGTGAACATGAAGCTGAGCCCATGCCCTGCATGGTGTATCTCTGGACTTTTGGATTGCAAGGGCTTCCAGACATAATACTACGTGCTTGTTGTCATTACCTATGGTACAGCTTGAAAGACCGAATGTGGCAAAGGCGACCCAGAGAATCATTTTTCGTATGGTAAAAGTTGCACAATGGTATTTAACGCCCTAAAGAAGCTGGTAAGTTTGCAGTCCTGGGCTTGGCACCACGGCTCAGTGCTGATAGAGTGAAGATGGGATGTCATCCGTTAACTCAAGCTTCATCTGAGGTTCTGTCGGACTGGGGATCATGGCTCGGACAAGCGTCTGTGTGAGGGAACACCACCTATGGGGCGAATTGAACCACTTGAGGCGAGTTTTGTGAAGTGTGTTCATGCTTTTCATGCTGTGGAAGCCACATGGCCATTTTTAGGCGAGAAAATGAAATCATATCTGTCACACGAGCAGAAGGAAACGGTCTGCCGGTTTGTGGTGAGGGGAGCGTTGTAAAGATAGAAAGTCGAAGCCATATACCGCCCCATGGCTCGTTCGGAGACGTTTTACAGAGTACCCTAGTATTCGTAAACAAACTTCAACGGCATGGCCATCCATACCTAGTATATTGACGTCCGGTACTCGACCTACTGGGCAGCTGGGTCGGGTCGGGTACGGCAACCGAGTACGAAGTGCCCTGTTATCGTGGATCTTATCATTATCAGCCTTCGGGGCACACGACAGTCCGCGCCGACGCTGCAATACCTACAAGCCACACCCGCTGGACCTTGGGAAGCAATTGATTACTCGTAGTAGGCTAGTTCTGTAGCCCCTAAAAGAACTCTAAAGATTTTAGACTTTGGGGCGTGGGATGGACCTCCCCGTCCCTACGGTAGGTACCTACTTATACTTTATATTTTGGCGTCAGTGAGAATTTGCGGGCTCAGCCTTCAATTTCAAGCCTTGAGAGGAGAAGTGCGATTAAAGGAAGCAATGCCCCAAGTGTTACGGCATTGCCATCCTCCTCATATGCCTCTTGCCTCTTGCCATTGGTACTTTCTTGATCCCCGTCCACGCCTCACAGCGGGACGGGATCATGGCCGGAGCCACTTTGCGATGAGAAAATGCGGTCCACTTGCTGACTAGGAAGGAGCAGTCAGGCAGCCTTGGCTAGGCTACTCCTTAATTGCTGACCCCGATCCGCCCTAACTTCACACATCTCGGTGGACCATTATTATTCTCTCTTCAACTCTCCTCATGGGCTGCAGGCTGCGAATTCTTGTATCTCTCTTTTCTTGAATATCCTTCATCATGGAGGGAATTGTAAACGCCGTTGGGCGTTTCTTCCTGCACATATACCGCGTATTACTGAACAGGCAAGCATTCTCTTTTCTCCTGTCGATTCTCCCAAGACGCCAATCCCTCCGTCTCGCGCCTCGTGCTGACCGGCCTCGCAGACATTCTTTTCTTGGGCTGCTGAGACATATTCTCATTAACATGACCTTTATCCTGATCTGGATTACAACCTTCAAGAATGGTATGCGCTGCGATCCGGTAGAGCCGCATTCGACTGTCGCTGACTCCCTTCATAGCCTGGCGGATAGACTCCTCGATCCGGCCGGAAATTCACGTAAACGACCTCGAGCAGGCAGACCACATAATATTCGACATCACATTCACAGGAGTCTTCATACAATGCACCGTCGCAGTACTGGGCTATTTCTGGATGTACGCTCTCACGCGACGATCGAAACTCTCCCTCTTGGCAACTGTGCCCCCCTTTGCGCTGAACATTCTCCACGCCGCTACACATACCCTCTGCGGACCTCTTGATGTTTTTGTAAGCGGCAGACACTCCTTCTCATAAGACTATACTGACTTCCTAGGCCTGGCTCTCATATGGCGTAATCCACTTTATTTCCCCCTTTCTCGCGGCATTCTGGCTCTGGCTGTTTGCCTCCCCCGGTGTCGTGTCGATCTTCGCCTGGTGTTTTGGAATACAGAATTGTTTGGGAATAATTACACATCTATCAATGCCCACCGCGGCACCTTGGTATGGCGACCAGTACGGGTATCCGCTCCCTCCCGGAAACTACAGCATGCCAGGTTCTGCCGCAGGACTGGTTCGTGTAGATGACGTGTTGGGCACACATATATACGCAAACGCATTCAAGGCGTCACCCCTTGTATTTGGGGCATTCCCCTCGCTCCATGGAGCCTTCAGTTGCTGCTGTTTCTTGTTTGTCGCGAGATATTCGAGGAGAGGCGCATACTTGCTAGGCTTCTACGTTCTATGGCAATGGTTCTCAACCATGTATCTCCGCCATCATTGGCGTATCGACCTTCTCGGAGGCCTCGCCTATTCTGCATTTGCGTTTTCGATATTCTATAGGAGTTTGCAGCGGATGGACAAAGCGTATACCACAGGAGTCAGCGGTGACAACGGCTGGCAGCGATTGTTCGAAAGCACGAGATTACAGTACTGGTTCGACAAGAAGCCCGAAAAGGGCTATGCAGTTGTTATGGGCGACCGAGAAGATGGAGAGTATGTACGATTGAGCGTAGATGAAGCTGTGCGGAACCACAGGGAGCAAGATTTGGAATCAGCATGGGTCGACGATCGGGGTGCAACATGGAGAACCAGGGATCCAACAGAGCACATGTCGGGCAAATAGATGGTGAAATCTGGACATCAGAACTCTATCCGTTGGTATAGCATTGGAAAATGGGGCTGGACTCGAAGCCTGTAATGATCAGGACATAGCCTCTGGGCTTCGAGATCCGTAATGTGAACATAGGAAAATTAAGATATCAAAACCCATGGAAGATTAAGACCAATGTCACTCAAAAAGTGAAGACTAGCCTTGCTCGTGACATCATACCAATAAAGTGCCAAAATAAACAATAAGCTAGCGAACTCTGTCCCACACCCCTATTCTCGCCTCTTCCACGTGATAAGCCTCAACCTCAAGAAGCCATACCTAGGTACATCGCGACACCACTCCATCTCAGCTGGAGGAATATCAGTCTCAAACCCTCGAAATGAGACCTCTTCCGCTTCGATCCATCACCAATATTCACAGAATTCATTGTTTCAGCTGGAGCTCCGCCCTAACACAGCATATTAGATTCATCGCGTCTGCACCCAGCTCATCAACGTCCAAGCCATCTAGCTCAACCCCAACCCAATCACACTTCCACTTATCCAACAAAACAAGTCTCGTAACTGGCGCATCCCGCGGTATCGGCGCAGCCATCGCTCACGCTCTTGCAAAAGAAGGCGTGAGATGCATTTTGGTCGGCCGGAATAGAGACTTATTGGAAGGTGTGAAGGCAAGCCTGGATAGTGTTGATGAAGCCGAGGAGAAAAGTCATAAAGTCCTTGTTGGCGATGTTGGAGAAGGAGCCTTTTGGGAGGGTATTAGAAAGGAGGTGAGTCTTGGAATTCTCTCTATTTCAGGACTTTTCAAGCCATTTTGCTGCTTGCTCCTTGAGCCTTTCAAGATGAAGGCTTTTGAGGAGATTGGAAAGCATAACCTTGAAAAAGTTGAACAAGACCATTGACGCTTCTTCTCATTTAGGTAAATATCGACATTCTCGTCAACGCAGCAGGTATAACGCACTACTCGCCTCTTTTCGTCACGAGCCCTACTTTGCTCGACGAAGTGCTGCAAACGAATCTCATGGGTACGATGATGGGGTGTAGAGCTGTCGGCAAGGGAATGCTGAGTAGGAAAGGTGGTGAGTCTTACAATATCTTGGTTTTTGACTCGTCTCAAGCTCGAGTCGGATTTCGCTTTTGGTCTGGTTGAACATTGGCTTTTGGGTCCTAATGCTTGAGGTGCAATTTGGGGGAGGATATGGAGATCAGTATCTTTTAGGACAAACGTGACTGACGAGAATTAGGATGCATCATCAATGTGGCATCACTTCTAGGAGTCAAAGGTGGAAAGGGAAGTTCAGCATATGCAGCGAGCAAAGCTGGTGTCGTTGGTAATTTTCCTGCCTCGATACTCTATACTAAGCTGATCATAGCAGGCTTGACAAGAGCACTGGCAGCAGAACTAGGCGAGAAAAACATTCGCGTCAACGTAATCCTACCCGGTTACATCGAGACAGATATGACAGATGGTATGTGCAGACCAATTGCGTTCGGAAAACTACATTCATGCGTTCAAGCCTGGATATAACTAGGCCTCATCTCCTCTCCCCGCCTGTTTTGACGCCCCAAAAATTCGGTTTTCTAATGTACAAGTGTAGCCATGACGCCAGATGCTCGAGCAGCAGCCCTCAACTCCATTCCCCTGAAACGTTTTGGACAGGCCTCTGAGATCGCTGATGCCGCTGTATTCCTGGCTAGGAACAAATATGCAAATAATTGCGTGCTCAATCTCGATGGTGGATTGAGTGCCATATGATCTTCTATCCTGATTTAGATAATGTGGAATCTGGTAGGAAGAGGGCGAAGCGAAGAGCGTGAAAGTAATGACCAGGATCAGTCAATCAGAATGGCACCATCAGCATCGTCCAGAACGATAACACCGCCATCTTGCTCGTCGGTATTCTGCTTTGATTTCTTGCCGGAAGGAATATCATCACCGAGAGCATCGGCGGCGGATCGCTTTACCGCAGAGCCATTGCCATTTGAAAGAGTGACGGAAGAACCGTTACTTTTTAAGGAGGAGCCATTCGTAGCATCTTCGGTGCTGGGCTTCGGAGTTTTCTTTTTGCGTGGGATGGGAGATGTCGGAGCATCATCGTTAGTATCCTTGGTGATGTCCAAGCTCTTAATAGGATTGTCGTCTGCAGTGGTGCTGTGACAAGGGTTAGCACGTGAACAACAAGAGACAGAGATGTGTATATACGATTCCTGAACAGTTAGCACAAGGTTGACGCGAGGGTTTACATCATCTTCGTCAATGACGGTGAGGAAGCTGTCACCCTTGATGCCTATGAAGTATTAGCCGAGGTCATTGGGCAGAGAGTGGTTAAGTACCGAGTTCACTGAGCTTCTTTCTCAAATTATCAGTTTCCTCCACGTCATAAAGTAGGTTATCGCCGTGATTGATGACTATTTCCTCTCCGTAGCCGAGCTCAAGCCGTAAGAATTTTTCAACCAGGTCTTCAAGAGTAGCTCGTGACATGTCAACGAGGAGACGAGTCTGAGCAACACTACAGACAGGGCAGTCCGGATTTGGCAAGCGAAGGCGATCTGATGCCAGGAGCCTTTCCGGGGCAAATGGCGAGAGAAAGATCTGTGCATATTATTATCAAAGAAAACCGGCACTATGGAATCCGACTCACCTCCTTCGTAGAATCGTATTTGCCATCCATAACTTTGAACGACTCAAGGACGCAGAGACCAGCTACAATTGCATTGGTCGTCGCGATTGCTGGAATGATGTTTCCGGCCATCTGCTTGATGTCAAATCGAGACTTGGTCTCGATTCCAAAGACTAGCGAGCGCAGATTTGCACTGGCAGCAACAAAGTCGAGGGTGTCATCATCGTCCTTGTCAAACGTGATCACTGGTTCTGCCGTGATTTCGCCAGAAGTAGCCTTCATCTCTGCCATTCTTCTACTTAGTCTCTCCAAGCTGCAGAGGTGTCAGCACAGCCAGAAATGAGTTCCAAATCCGAGCTTACCTGTCTTTGAAGACTACGATGTTCTCTTCCAGAGTCCAGATCTTCTGGCCATCCTTCAAAATCTTCTGCTTCCTTGATTCTGCATCAGCAGCCTTTTCAAGCGCCGAAGCATAATCAACAGGCTCAGGAGGTCGTCTAGTCTTCCACATTTCCTCCATTGAACGTAATCGAGAGATATCATCCTTGTAAACCTTGTCAAAGAGTAATTGCGGAAATGACTCGGTGCCCATGGCCTCCTTGATTTGCTTCAGAGCTTGCGCCTCTTGACGTAACTTCTCGATTTCCTTGGCTGGAGGCAGGTCAGCAAAGAGTACCAGACCGCCAGATAAGAGAACAAACCATTTTCACTGTCTTCGGTATGGTCCAGTTCTGGGGCTTCTTCCTCGCTAGCACCAAATATTTCACTTGTAGATTTCAGCATCCATTCAATATCCAGCACAGCAAGCAGCGAAATTACCTCAACAGATAACTCTTGCCCCAAACAATGCAATGAATAGGCTGGCTAGGTGTGCTCCGGATTGTGCATACAGGGAAGCTCTTCGGTGTCTCCTTGGGCGAGCAGTCGTAGCATGCTGTCGTGCCTTTCTTGATAACCTGAACCTGGCCATTGAATCCAGTCGTACCACTTTCAATGAGAGGAACATCCGCAGCCAGGCACATCTTATTAACATGTCTCCGTGCCTCCAAGTTATCCAGAGCATTGAAGACCATGGTGAAGCCCTTGAACCAGTCGACATTAAACTGCGGATCCTTGATGTTCGCATGGTGAGCCTCGAGCTTCACGTTTGGGTTGAATCTATGCGCCGCATCCTTAGCTACCTATTTTTCCAGCAATCAGTATGTCTCTTCTTATTCTGCCAGTATGCAACCGACCAAAGCTTTCGACTTCTTGATATGCTCGTGCCTGAAGAGGAATTGCCGGTTGAGATTGCTCAGATCGATGGTGTCGAGATCAACAATATGGACTTCGCCGAAGCCAGAAAGAACGAGATTCTTGAGTAGTTCGCATCCAATGCCTCCTGCGCCGACCATGAGAATCTTTGCCTGTTCCAAAACGTTAGCAAACGATCTTAACTGCACGAGGCGCAACGCTTCAAGCAACCGCCGCTCTTGCTGAGAAGCTCAGCGGGCCAGATGAAAGCAAGAAAAGCTCTACTTCGAGGACTCGGAGGTGGCTTCTGCCTTCATTCCGTTGACTCTGCACCGTTGAGGAAGAAGAGATGCTCAGAGTCGAGGCTCTGTGAAATTCTCACCTCTTTCACACGTCTGTTTAATGGAGGACCGAGCGACTTGGAGTTGTAGTAATCGCGCTTCGTAATTGAAGCCATCGCGTTGGATGCTGGCTGTTCGCCCAGTCACTAAAGAAGTAGATTGGGCGAAGGAACAAGGTAGAGCTGTGGAAAGATGGTGAAAGAGGAGGGTTGTTTGCGCCTCGATAATCGGCCAGGTACGAGACAAGCTCCGGCCTTGATTGGAGACGCGACCAACAGGCACCTCGCGATACGATAACTCACTCCTGCCTAAGCGAGGGAGGCCTGCAGATGCTTATCAGTTTAAGTGGTGTCAGAGTAGCGATATGGATTTATGGATTTATGGATTTATGGATTTATGGATTTATGGATTTATGGATTTATGGATTTATGGATTTATGGATTTATTTTTATTTTGAAAGTCACTTGATATTGATACGTAAGGAACTTCGATACTGTTCAGTTTCAATTTCCATATAGTCTTTTGATGATATTGAGTTGACTGTTGCACACCTCTTTCATCATCCGCTACCTAGGTAGATGTTGACCTCCAAGCCATTCCACGTGCTGTGTTACTTCAACACATAGACAGTTTACCTGTCAACAATGTTGTACAACGCATGTTCGACAAGTCAAGTATCAAATGTCCTTAAGGGAATTGTAGCAAGACATTTTGACTACTTGGAAGAAGTGGGCAGGCAATTGACCACAGCCCTAGGCCCATCAACAGGTAGCTACTACAGCATCGACCTAGCGTTTATCCGAACAGAAGCAGTGTCTTCACTGTCATATTTGATACTGTCGAGAAAAACAAAGAGCTACCCAGAGCATTACAGGATTGCAAAGCCGTTTAAATGTTTAATAACTTATTTTTCTGCCAGAGTCAAGACTTTTTGCTTGCCAAGCTTAATGTATTCCGTGATACAGCAGTTTCTTATTTACTTTACAACAGCACTGATAGGGCTAAAGATGCTGGACTTTGAAGACAGCCTGTAATGCTCAGAGTCCTCTTCTCTTGAATCTTCCTAGCAAGCTCTCTTCCCAGATATCGTCAAAAGCAATTTCGTGAAAAACTAGTCCATTTTGGGCATGGCTCGGAAGCTGAAACGGGAGCAAAGCAAACCAGTCTTATTTTGTTATCAGTTTGCATAGATAGCTTCATCTTGTTTCGAGGACCTGGAAACTTTCAATTCTCTCCCCCTTCTTTACGTCTATTAGTCTCGGTAATCTTCGGACGATTACGGCGTCCTAAGATATTCGATAATTCAGAGAGACAGCCCTTGAGACCTCATCGTCAAAGGCTTCCTAACAACTGCAAGTCGAGTCGAGCTGTTCGCTAAGCTTTATTTCTCTTCCGACAAATTGCGGGCTTTGAAGGCCCTGCCCTTACAAGGTATCGCGATGTCAGATGATGAGCCGGATCATGATCTCCTTGACTTTCTCCGCCAGCATTTCCAAAAGACTGCTATAGCTCCCGCAATTCCAGAGACACAGGTCCTGGAAGGAGCGGAATATGTCTACGACAATGCCATTGACGTAGCGATCGACTACCAGTCAACAAAAGTAGCAGCCGCTATGATCTATGATCAAATGCAAAAGAAGGAGTACTCAACGAAAACTTGGTCATCACATGAGCTGCACCCAAAAGCGAAGGATGAGAGCACTGTAGCATTTATATTTACTATGGACTTGTTGAATTTCTCATTTTGGTCTGAGAAAGATGATGACGAGAGATTCGCTATCGAGTACCAGGGGAAGACGTGGACTGGGTATTGGAGTCTGGTTGCTGCTTTGCAAAGAGCTCTTGAAGAGGGTTAGTTCAACCTACTTCTTCGCCTGATGAAGCTTATCTTCTCTTTGCAGGTATTCCCATAACTTCCTCGGATTTTTGGCAGAATGAAGACGAATGTAAGGTATTTCTATTTCGAAACAGGCCAAAGTGGGCTATATCAATTCATCTTGTGGTTTCGTTTGCTTTACCATGAATTCTTGCTCTCAGATCTTTTTGGAACGCTTGCTGGGAATTGGCGATGTCAAAAATCTGCTTTGGTAGGAATGGCGTGTTGGCTCCTTTTCACATTATGTCGTGCTTGGCAAAACTGGAGCAGATTTATGAACAGGGTCCACGCCAGCAAGTCAACAGGTTCAACGATTCTTTATCTGTAGATAAGTCTACTATCTAGGAAGAACGCCCAGACAATTTCCGTCTGATCTTCAATGTCGTTAAAGTCATTGCTCTACATGCATCTTACACACTGAGCTGACCTGTATAGTCACAGAAGAAGTCTTGAAGCACGTCTTCCGAAGCTCAACAGAAGAAGTAATTCCCCTTCTCAAAGAACGGTTCGCCTGCCTCCGTGAAGCCGGGCAAATCCTCTACGAAGTAACTTTAGCTTCCCTTTTCCACTCCCTGCCTCCTTGCACTAACACCTTGCAGAAATATCAATGCAGTTTCACCAATTGTATCGATCAAGCTAATCACTCTGCTGCCGGTCTCGTGAACCTCCTAGCAGAAAACTTCCCCTGCTTCAATGATGTTGTTCGATTTGAGAACAGGAAAAGCGTGCGTCTTCTCAAGCGTGCCCAAATCTGCGTGGCTGATCTCTGGGCCGCTTTTGAAGGCGAGACCTTTGGCGATTTTGACGATATCGATAAGATTACTATGTTTGCGGATTATCGTGTTCCGCAGATTTTGAATACGCTGGGGTGTCTGTGGTATAGTCCGCTGCTGGATCACGCTGTGAGGCAAAAGAAAGAGATTGAGAGTGGACATACATGGGAGATTCAAATGAGAGGTATGTGCTATTGAACCGATCCATTCAAGAGAGAGAATTCGGAAGACAAAGTAACTAACTGCTGCAAAAATTGTAGGATGTAGCATCTGGTGCGTTGAACTGATCCGGAGAGAGATTTTAAGAAACCATCCAGACGCGAAGATCAATGCCATTCTGATTGATTTCTTTCTTTATGATACGATGAAGGAAAGGGAAGGGGCTGGAAAGGATGAGATACCCCATCATAGAACTCGTAGCATCTGGTACTAAGATGCTAGTACAACGAATGAAACGTAATTCACGCCCCTTCTTCTCCTTGCTGAGGGCATCACCGCAAGAATGGCAGAAACTGGCGGATAGAGTCTTCCTTTAATGCTTATTCATTTTACACCTGGCAAAATATCTATGTACCTTTACTGCTCAGCCTAAAATGCTTCGTCTTTGCCATGCTCCATACCCAGTGACTCCAAATCCCATAACCTATAACGCCTGTTCTACCATATGCATCATCTATGTACAGGGGGTCTCGCTATGCATAGGTCCACCCCTTGCATTTATTTCTCAAGAAGCGGCTGCTGCCTCCAGCTCAATCTCATCTCTTATAGTTTCGATGGGCATGGAGATGGGGAATGGCGACTGGCGAGGCCTGATAGGTAAGCTTAGTGACGGGCGAAAAGACGCACCGTCGCTTGACCTCAGAGCCACCCCCTTTGGTAAGGTAAAACGCTTCACGGCGGGCAGACCAGACTGCTTCACAGTCTCAACTTCCTGTTTCAATTCTGGCTCGCGAAGCCGCAAGAGTAAGCGGCGCTTCGCAATGAAAGCTGCGCTTGGAGGATGATGGTCAAGCGAAGTGAGGGCTGCATCGTATTTTGCCTTTTGATCATCCGACAGCTGGGCGTATAATACGGACGTCAACTCCGATTCGAAGATCAGGATGTCCTTCTGTCGCGCATCCACCAAAAGTCCTAAAGCTTCTAGTCGACTCCAACGACTAGCAATTTCTAGATTTCCCTGGTGCTTTGCGCGGAGCTTTTCTTCAGTAGCATAGTCCTCCATCACTTGCATTGAGAGACCGATATCCAGAGCTTGCTGTACTTCCGGCGTTTCTTGTGAGTCAAAATCGCCTGCTTTGGCGGGTCTAGTCAAGCTCAGAGATTGATTCAGTGAGACCGTGAAATCAGCGCAACGATTGAGAGCTTCGTCAAGAGACTCGAGATGCATGTAATGTAACAAATCCTGTAGAGCATCCCAGGATGCTTTGATGGGGAGACTTTTGGGGGATTTGAGAGATGTGTCAAAACCACACATGACCAATAGCTGATGAATGAGCTGGCGAAGATCCTCGGTATAGACCGTCGCCATATATCCTACCCCCTTTTCCCATAACGAAAGAATGTTTCGAAGCAATGATAATCCAACCATCAGATTCGTCTGATCCACGCAAGCGCGGATGACAGAACAGAGGGTATCCTGATGGACCACATGCCCTTCATTTAAAGCAGACCGAATATGGCGGACAGCTGATTGAAGGCCCACCAATTCTAAGCTACCCTTGATCAACGAATCGAAAATTGCGGCGTTCCGGGGTGTTTTCTGATGCAATGCTTGGTCCCTAAGAATTGTCTTCTTGTTCATTGCCCATTCCTGAACTGCTGGCCTGACCAAATATTCAAGATCTCGCTTCTTGATCCTCATGCAAGGAGTCATATCTGGGCCCTTTCGAGTTGCTTGCATCCGTGAAACTATTGACCGAAAGCCATTGGAATCTCCCTTGGATCGGTAGTGATCTAGGATAAGCTTAACGGTCGTTCGACTGGGTTTGAATTTGCTATCGTGCAAAAAAGAGTTCACCACCAGTTGCCCAAGATGTGGTTGCCCTAGCCGCGTAAATTCGGCGAGCAAGAGATTGTATGTCACCATGCTGGGAGGACTGGTAGAAACTAGCATGTTGTAGGATATTTTTGCCAGCATCAGGTTGATAGCATTCCGATCATTTGGATCCGTGATTCTGCAAAGTGCGTGCAGAGACCGATGAAGATCTTCCCGTTGGTCCTTGACAGTATCACTGTCTTTCCATTCGTACAAAGGCAAGATATCGAAGCCCGCCATCAATGACTGTAACCGGTCTCTCATTTGGATCGTCTGAAGCAGAATGTCTGAATTGCCTTGAACGGTCTCTACTGTCAAGATCTTGGACCACGCTAGAAACTGGTATGCTAGGCGTCCAACCATGTCCTGCATCCTTACTAAATGCATTGGTTTTTTCGGCTCTCGCGCAGGTAACTCCAAATCTGGTTCCTCTACCACGAAAGAAGATTCATCTTCTAGTTGGCTTCCCATGTTCCTAAGCTTCGTCTCCAGGTCGGAGTTGTGCCCAACCGCTGGACCACGCACTGCCGTCGGTATGTAGTGTACCTCGCATCGTCTTGTCGTTTTCCATTTCGAGAGAAAGCCAGTCGCAGCATTGGCCTCTGCAGCTTCTGTATTTGCCGGTCGTCCGGGTGTCCTTTCAATCGTAGGTGTTCCGGCTTTGGCTTCTGCAATCACCCGGTCCCATTCCTTCCTCCTCTCCTCCTTAACTCTCATATCTGCTACGGCTGCAGTTGCCAGTATCGTTGAGTAGCACGCAGTGAATACATCGCTAACTTTGACTCGGCGTTTCCCAGCTGCAGTCGTGGTCCGCCGTGCTATGTTTGTTGCCGTGTGTAGACATGAGCGACAGCTACATGATGTCCTGGCCTGCGCAGCGCGAGACCAAAGAACGTGCATTATCGCACCATGCTGAAGCTGTCGAATACTGGTGAAGCTACTTCAGGTACTTTAGTCCCAATGAGAGCGTTCAAATGATGGTAATTGAGTGAAGTGAAGGTGATTTAGCAGTGAGGTTGGACGTCAAATGATTGTTTGGCGACGGGACTCAATCAAGTGGGCCATTTCGCCGCTTTTACTCCCTCTGTGCTGCCCTTCCCCTCCATATGAACCCCGCCAAAATCTCAACTCGAGCAACTCTCACCTTCAATAGCAAACCACATCATCCCGCCACGATGATGATCCTTACGCTCACGGCAGACTTGACAGGGTGAGAATTTGCAAGACTAAGTGAGAAGTCTTTGCTGAACTTTCACAGTGTCACCGACTTGAGACCCGACGACACCCCTGAGAACCCTTTCTGGTACACTTTCAAAGTCCAGTGCACCTCGTGCAGAGAGATTCATCCAAATTTCGTGAATGTCAGCCGATTTGTGAGTGGCAAACATTTTTGGCTTATATTTACCCAAAACTGATGGCTGTTCACCTAGGAAGCAAATGACATGAGCGGTAGTCGAGGAGAAGCCAACTTTGTCTGGAAATGCAAGTCATGCAAGGTATGTGATTTCTTCTGACCGAGCATTTCGATCTTAGCAAACACGTTTTTTAGAGAGAGTCATCTGCAACTATCAAGGAGCCTCCCATCTCCTACAAGCAAGCCTCTCCACCAACTCGTCAGAAGGTCATTGAGTTCGATTGCAGAGGACTTGAATTTACAGAATTTAGACCTGAAGTATGGCTATCTCTTCTCTCTTTAGGTAACCTTTGCTGAACCCAAATAGGGCGAATGGCTCGCAACTGGTATCGAGTCGGGCAGTAAGTTTACAGCTATTGAGCTCACTGAGGGAGAGTGGTTCGACTACGACGAGAAAGCCGGAGACGAAGTCAGCATTAAAGATCTGAAGTGGGAGATCAGAAGAAACTGATTATCAACGAAGATGTTATGAATGCGATAGGATACCGAGATTACATACCTAGCCTATCTGTAATCGTTAAACTATGTTGTCGAACCAAAAGAAGACATAGACGATGTCTGATAGCGGAACTAGTAAGAAATGTTCTGGAAAAAAAAACTTGCTTTGCTTGTTTCGTAAATGTATCCGATCTCTTGATACCTGTTGAACATATGAAAATTAATTACCAGCTATTAATTAATCAGTTGTGACATTTTGCTTCCAGCGTTCAAGAGGACGACAGAAGGGTCAGCCTTGCAGCTCGCTAGCTAGAACGGCCGTTTAAAGCGGCAACAGGGCAGCCTCAATATTTCTAGACAGCGAGCTTCACCTTTTCCACGCGACTTGTCACGCAATTCTTTCGCAACCGCCAAAATGAGTGTAAGCACATCTCCATATCCCTCTCAGATACCTTACAAAGGACTAATACTCGATTGCTAGTTCGTACCTATCAACCCGCGGCCTATGCTGCAAAATCTGTAAGTTGTCACTACCCCAAATTCAATCCCCTCGACTGCTACCATGCCGAATACTGGATCGCGAAGTCATACTGACTTGGAGAATGTGCTTAGGGTCAATGAAGAAGTTGTTATCCGTCTGAAGTGGGGTCAAACAGAGTACAAAGGCCGTCTGGTCAGCATAGACAGCTACATGAACATTCAACTGTCAGGCGCAGAAGAGTGGATTGACCAGGAGATGACGAGCGTACTTGGACAAGTTCTTATACGGTATGTACAAGGAGTCAGGGGATGCGCTTGACTAGAGCGTCGGAATGAGGGGCATGCGAAGAGATGGGGCTGATGATTCGAACAGCTGCAACAACGTTTTGTGGATTCAAGGCGCAAACCAAAACAATGGAGATACGAAGATGGAGGGATGAACTGAAGGATCTGGGCGGGGTTGAGAGAATGAGTCCCTACGAAGCTGGTTGTGGTACTGCACAGATTACGGATGGTATGGGAGGGGCAAAGCAGATTGACGACCAAAAGTTCACTGGTTTATCAAATGGGGCAAGGCGTTCTAGATGCAAGTTTTGACTTGCCAGGGCATAAATGCAATGGATTTCGAGACTGGGAAAGCTACGAAATCATAGGTCTAAGCAGGAACATGCAGAAGCTGTACCACGACCGTTGCCTAGGCGATATGTGAGAGTGAAGCTCACATGAGACATCCTACTTTTCGGCTACTTCCCATCTCGCTCATTCCTAGCCTCATTCTCTTGCCTTGTCCAACCATGACAAAGGCCTCTACGAGCCACTCATACCATACTTTTCTGTCATCCGTCTGTCTCCAAATACTGACTTCCAGCTCTGAATCATCTGGGAAGTAGAGGGCGTTCTAGAAAGTACGTTAGAAAGGCGCCCAGAAGCGTTTCAAGCAGTACATACCTTCAAAGGAAAGAATATGGGGAACCAGGAGATCATGTCCTTGCTCTTGGCATCGATTGTGTCTGGTCTGGTGCTCAACTCGACAATTCCGTTGTCACCACCATCGTAGAGAACTGCCTCAAAATATCCAGCCAGTCCACTGACTACACCTCTGTCCTTGCACACGAATTTCAGCTTCGCAGAACGTGTGTTGTGTTCATTAGCACCATCACCACCTGACATACTGCCGCCGCCCCCACCACTGACACCACCTCCTCTTCGAGCTTCTGCAATGGCAAGTGTTGAGCTTGGAAGAGGATGGACAAACTCCCAAGCCTGTTGAATCCGTGGATGATCCGGAACAGCAGTCGCTAGGTAATCGATTGCATGGAGCATCACAACGTAGGGTGTTTCTGTGGCAGTATCGTCTGTGATAGCACGATGCGAGATATCCGCGAATAGTCTTGGTGCGAGGATTGGTGTTAAATGCGCAGTGTAGGAGCTGGGAATCGAGATGCCATACTGTGGCGCCAGAACGTGCTGAACACCGTCCAAGCATTCGGGCGACAGTTCATTATCAGCAAAAGAGCCAAGAAGTTCAGACACAAGGATGTCTACTTTGCCGTACGGCGAAGAAGGGGCGCTAGTGCTTGTAGTGATAGCCTGTCCAATGGGTCCTGATGTATTGCGGAGCGGGCCTTTCCAAGCTCTCATATCGCTCTTGACAACGTTGACCGCACGGCCCCAGTCTTCTTCATTGTGCCGTTGAAGCAACACATAAGCATTTGGGTTCTTCTCAACAGCCCAAACTTCAACCGCCACTCCAGTGATCTCACTTGCCTTCAAAGCCCGGGTTACTAAAGGACCACGTCCAGACCCAGCAACAGCTATAACTACTGCACCAGTTGGGCTTGAAGTAGGCTTGTGTTGTTCAGACCAGTCACTTAAAGCCTGGACTATGGCACGCTCGTACCAGTCATACTTGACTGGATCCTTCTCAAAGACTTCGTAAGTCACTGACTCCAAATTGTCCGTTAGCGGCTGAAGTGGAGCTTGAAGATAGTCCTGGTACCCGGAGCCAAACTTCTCGAGAGCCGTGCGACTTGGCTGATTTCTCTGTAGGTATCGAATGTAGACCAAATGAGCTGCAAAGTCCTTGCTTTTGGATTTTAGCTTTTGAGAAAATTCAATTGCTTCGGCAGGTGTTGGCGATACTGACCCCGACGCATCTACTACCACGCTTGGTGATGGGAAACCATCAGCAGTGGGCGTGAGTTGCGTGGGGTCTTCCAAGCCAGGAATAGGTCCAACATCGCAGAGCAAAAGCCAGGGCGGTTGTTTCAGGCGCATGTAGCGAGATATGAGGCTTTGGTGACCTTTGCTAAGAACAGGATGGCCTCCCTTGTTCTTGAGGAAAGTTGATGGCGTGAAGGAGAGTAACCTCAATGGCTCAGCAAACCAGCGAGACTGTAGTGACTCAACTGGAAGCTGACGGGGAAGTGCAAGTGCTAGGCGGGGTGTATTAGCTTTGATTCTCCAGGAATGTATATATGGCGGAGCGGGAACAGTACCTTCAGAGGTGTAATAGGCGCTCCGAAGGGTCTCAGTTCTCGCACATACAACATGAAATGCCTCACGAGTAGATGAAGTGTGGGAAATTGGATGGTTCCATTGGTTTCTTACCTACTGAGAGTCTTGCACTGTATTTACATACACTTCGAATCAAATTCCACGCATCCCAAGTCTCGTACAGATCAATATCCTTGTTTACTTTTCCAAGTGCTGATTCCGATCTTTGTTCTCTGGCAAATGGACGTAGGTCGCCGATCATTTCTTTAGCCTCTTCATTTCCATACATTGGAATGTGAATAGCCATCTGTAAGTAACTGCCAATATTGAGTGCTTCTTGAATTGCTCGAGCATATTGTATAAGACCGTCATTATCGGTTGACCCGCTGCTGTAGGCTCTTGGGCCGGGAATAACAATGTTCCCAACCCCACAGAATGAAGCATAAGCTATTTCGATGTTGAGTACCTGGCGAGAGATATTGGCAATAAGAGGGTCGGGTGAGCATAGATCGATCCATGGGCTGGAATAAGCAATTATTTGAGAGACTGTGTCTCCCGGCGTGAGTGGAGTATCGACAGGATTTAATGGAGGTATGATCGGAGCAGGTGGGATGCTATGAGCGGCGGCGGACGAATCAATATCTGACAATTCAGAAAGGTAGGTAGATATTAGAGTAAGAACTCTGGAGTGGAAATGGGGGCTTGTAATGGGACTGGTGAGCATATCATACTAATGCGCATTAGCATCTAGTCGTTCCGGGACCGTGGGGCACACTTACTCCAACATCTTGAGCCTGTCGTAGAACAAAGTCTGTAACAGGCAGAGGCCGTTTGGACTCATGGTGGCCCACGTAGAAAGTTGGCGTATAGTCATCCACGGGAGAAGAGGGTTCGGCATCTGCGCCAGGAACAGGATGTGAGGATGCCATGGTATTAACCAGTAGATGGGGAGAGAAAGAAGCTCAAAAAGATGGTGCCGCGCAGTGATGCGAAATGCATAGATGTCGCAAACAAACACAGAATCGAGCTCTCATAAGCACTTTTATGCAGACTATGCGAATATGCTGGTCTTCATTTATTGCGTGGCATACAATCAGTGCTCCAGATGGCGGGGTGAAAACTCCATCCAGGGTGTATTGCAGAATTTCGAGATCATACCCGAAGAATACCCGCCACACGTGATACATCAATTTCTCTCACTGCTATTTGTTCTACCTTCTCCAATAGAGACGAGATCTTTTCCATGGTGAACGGATCGCTATTCGCAAAGGGAATGATGTGATTCCTTCGTATTCTTTTCTTTTTTTTCCGATTTCTTTGTGCTTGTATTGGTTTACTTCCTCATTGTTTCATTGCTACCGTCACAGCTTGCGACGGTAATCATCCCTCGCTTCCCAGCCTCTCATGAAATCTAAGGAACGGGACTTGAGCATCTGAACAGTAATGTCGTCTAAAGAAGCTAGACATCTAAATCGACCACATCTTCCCAGAATGAATTTGATCCAGACACTCAGCAGCGATCAGTGGCTGCTTAGCCTACATCTCTACTGAATGCCCCTACCTTGCCAACCTGAAGTCAAGTCGAGTCGAAAGTCTACACAGGTGAAGTGTCTTGCTTTTGGTGATAACTCTCATCACTGCTTGTGTGTTGACCTCGAATAATATTTCCGGCAGAACCCTGCTCCAATGTTCCCGTCTTCGTCAAATGCCGAGCAAGACCCTCCTCTCCATCCTAGTGGAAACGATAGTCAACACAACACCGAACATCTGTGAACTTTTGACAAGGACTCTTGTGGTACTCACCTCATGTCGTGCATGACCTTGGGCGATTATGGCAAAGCTGTCTCTCAGTATGATCTCGTAGACCACAGTTGCAAATAGCGTGGCAGGTACGTTCACAAGAATTGCAATCACCGAGTAGTTTCCGAATGCATCTCCTCCGAAAAAAATGGCTGCAACGATTCGTGTTCCGATATCACGAGCCAGGTTGGTTGAAATTGTTACGTTAGCAAACCCCCAAATCATGTTGGCGTAGCTGAAAGTTGTTAGTGATGTTCCCATATTTCCGGGTTTATTGCTCACGCTAAGCCGATGATGAATGGTGCAGATGTAGGTGAAATAAAAGGATTAGCTGGATCTAGGACAGCCCAAATTACAATTCTAGACTTGGTAAGCATTCTATGCTTCCTGTCCTGCGGTCGATACTCACCCAATAAAGCTATCGACAAAGAATTCTATGAAGAACAGGTACCCGTAGTTGGTTTGCGTTGGTGCCGGAAAACTGCAAAGTATGCTGCCAGGCCCTCCGAGCGAGTTCGGGCTCAGTCCTTCAGCCCTGAACTGGGCGGCAAGGGCTGATATTTCTGGCCAGCTAAGTGACAGGAGAGTCAATAATTGCCAGATCTAGGAAGTTTCAAGAACGGATAGACATGTCTCTAAAAAGTCTTGAAACATTCAGATTACAAAATGATAGGCTCCCCAATACGTACTATTGTCCAACCAAAACAAGACCGGCAATGAAGGAGCCGAGGATTTGAGCAAAAATGTATCTCGGGACCTTGGGCCAGGGAAATCTGAGACTGTCAGTTTGGATTTCTTGAATTACTGGACAATTCCGTGCTGACCCTTGCCATATAGCAAAGCATATCGTGATAGCTGGATTGAAATGACCACCCGATGTTGGACCACAGACAATGATAGCAAAAGCAATTCCAATTGCATAGGCCCAACCAATTTGGAATAAGGAACCGAATACAGGCTCCGTCTTATTGAGGAAGAATGAGGCTTGCGAGGCTATTCCTGGGTAGACCTAAGCAGTAAAAGCAATTAACTTTCGGTTACGCAAGAAGTGCTTTGGATATTAGAGACAATCGACAGTTGGATAGAGATATGGCGTAGGTCAATAGCTCTACACCACACATACATAGAAAAACACCCCGAGAGCTTCTGCAGCCATCTCTCTCATCCACCTTGGCCGAGCATGTTCGAAATCGAGTTTGCGTTGAGACACTGGTTTAGGTGGCACAACATTGCGCTGAACATGTCTTTGTACAGCATCTGTAACCCCTATTTCCATGTCATGCGTGTGCAATCTTTCAGCGTCATAGCCAGTGGTATGCGCATTTTCGATATGGCCGGACGACATGGTTGGTACTGACAATACTCAATTGTTGTGAGTTAAGACGAGAGATGTCAAATCTGATTACTGAGGAACTGGAGGAATCTGGGGGGAAATGGATGACTGTGGGGAGACCTTGTGGGGGCGGGTATTTTATCTGCTATCGATATTTGCTACGTAGTGTTGCTTCGGACATTGACCCCTCACATTGAGAGAGAGCCACAAGGCCAAGTGGGGTTCATGCTGGTAGAATTTATCCCCTCTAGGCAGGTGTAAAAGCGGGAGAAACACAAGGCTTTCAATGCAGGTGGAGAGTATGTTGAGTCTCATCCAGGCTTCTGGAGCGAGTGTCAGAATCCGACACTTCTACATAAACACATTCCATTTGGAGAGCAACTAGATGAACCTGCAATTTTGTAACTAAGAACCATGACATGGAGGTATACTGTGGTCCGGAAAAGTAGGCAAAGTTTGTTTTCTGAAAGAGCCAGAAGTGTCTAGGCGACGTAATGGCTATTGGCGGTCTGGACTACCGTCGAGAAATATCTGAATTGCCCGGATTGCAACCATCCTAGCTAGTTGCTTTACTCGGAGATAGACGGCTGAAGACACCCGTTTCGCAGTTAACAGTGTTGGGAATCAGCTCGCCCTCCATCCACGCCAACCACTCACCTAGAGATTGATACGCAATGGGTGTATCTTGCCCCTGAACTCGCGACTAGACCTCGAATTGGCTTGGCGTTAGCCATTACCACCGACGTAAGCATTTAGGTGGTGCGGGGGAGATCTACGTCTCCAAGTTTTGACAGCTTAGCATGTCCAATCAGTCGTGCCTTAGCTAGATATGTGTCGGAAATTTTGTGTCGAGAAAAATACTGCATGATAATGCTGTCGGACGTGTGCCAGAGATACCGCTGTCTCCAAATGTCCCTGTTCATCTGGTGACATTGGATGGATCATACAGGTAGCCCTAGGGCCAGTTCGAAGGTTTCTGAGGTTGCTGGGATCTGTCAACATTGGAATGATGACGTCTCGGGACGACTTGTCTAGCCGAGGGATTTCATGTCCGAGTGACTCTCATTTCAACCTTCGCCAGCAGCCATGTTGGATCTGTTCTTCTTGGACGGTGTCGAACTCTGTACGAATCGAACAACGACAGGTACCAGAGGCTTTTCAGGGCATAAGCTTAGTACCTTATCTCGCAAGGCGTCATCAATATTTGGTTGGTAAATCAGACCAAGCCTTTACTTTTAACGCCGGTATGTATTGTATGGGGAGTTGAGAAATCATACTCGTGCGGCACAGCATATGGCTCAAATACTGGAGGCAAAGAACATATTGTCGCTGTGTAATGACGCAGTCCGGCAACTTCGGTGTCGCATGCAGGTGACGTTTGGGTGCTGTGTTCCAAAATTGAGGTTCCTGCCACCAAGGTTTTCCAATGTCCCAGGGCAATTTTGTGACATCGGAGGACGCGATCTCAGAGAGTCTCAGAGAGTAGAGTATGTTGGTGAGGTTGGTTTATCGTTTCGAGACCTTTCCTCTCTTGTGGATTGGCAAAGCTTATCCTGAAGCCACAACGTTACCATGTGACCGTGTTGAAGATCAGACTAGGTAGGTATCTATTTACCTATACACTACGGCATGCCTTAGATTTCTGAGCGCCGGAAGAGTAAGCGTAGGGAGACTGCTCAAGTGGTAATCAAAGCACGTGGTATATTCATTACCTATGACTTTCTATATCCTAAATTGTGATGTTCCACCAAAGCCAACCTGGGGACTAACTGGTGCAATTGGAAGGATACAAACCAGCTCTGGAAACCAACAATGAGGGGTCACCTGATACAACACCATCTGTTGTACGAGATATCCTTCAGCTATTCCAGCCAAAAGTCCTCAGCCACAACTATTTGGTACTCGAGAGATCTTCGTCCTTAAAAACAAACACGTGACTTACATAGGTTTGCTGTTCGGTGTGATATCAATGATCTGCCTTGAAGGCAAGTTTGTGGGAACAAACAGAGTGAGAACGTTTGAACAGCCATCGAGGCTCCGGTTATTTACTTTATAGTTCACATCAACATGTACAAAGTTTTGACGGCTTTCTCGGCTGCAGCAATGTGCCATGGCCTTATATCCAGAACAGCATCAACAACACCTCTTGCCCTTGCAAGAGTTCCTAGGCCCCTATAGTACCCCAGAGTTTCCCGTAATAGTGACTCATGAAATGTTCTCGGGTTTCCAACAACCTCACTATGCACAATGTTGACCTCCATAACCACGGGAGGATCAGCAGCATTCGTTCCGCCACGTTTTATTAGATATCCACTGATGAGGGCAGGATTGGTGTCCATCAGCGAATTCGAGTTGTTCAATCGATGCGATAGTACTGCGCCCCAGGTCTGATCGGTGTAGTCGATCAGCCGAGCGTCTTGATCAGGTTCGACTGACGCTTCTGCAGTCGCAGCAGTATTGGTTTCACGAACTGGCGTTGGTGCATTTTCAGGCGACAGAATCGACGACTGTGAAGGCTGGGGAGTAGATACTGGAGTAACGCCCGATTGGGCACCATTGACATTTGGCGTCAATGTGACAAAAGCCGGTAGCAATCTTAGGGAGGGATCGGTTTGGACGGTCACAAGCGTGAGGCTTATTTGAGCATTCAACTCCTTTGAGACGAGGCCCGTCCAAAAGTCGAATTCGGATGAATCCATAACTCCAACTCTAGCAATGATGATGCGCCAGTGTATCTTTTTGCTCGCTACAACCTGCAATGTTGTTTCCCAAATCTCATTTGCAACTTCGGTAAACGGTGTGGAGATCGGCTCATTTTTGCGGCCTAGACAGTATGAAGCAGTCATCTGCCGCGTCCCTTTGTTATCTGTCCACGCAGCAGTGATCCATCGATCATCAATGCTCTGTGCATATGCGACGTGAAGGCATGTATTCTCCTGGAGTAAAGATGCAGAAGGATTCGCACTTAGTTTGAAGTCTATTGTCCTGGGGAGTGGCTGCTCTAGCATGATGGCAGGTGAGGATGACGGAGAAGTGAAGTCTATGCAACGGTCATATACCTCCATTGACAGTCTAAAATACTCCGAAGGCGTCGGGATTGCGAGCGAAGTGGGGGATGCGATGAAATCGATCGGAATGAGCTGCAACACCAATTCATTTGCTGTGGTTGCCCTTCTCTCGGAAAGAGCCTTCCTGTAGAGATTGAATAGATGCTGAAATGCAGAGCAAATGTGAACAAGAAGTACACTGTTGTCTACTGGGTACACAAAATACACAACGAAATTCCGCTCGCCGACCTGCAAGGCAGAAAGCGTCCTACTCAGCCGGGCAGCGGTCTCCTTGAGGGTGGTCAAGTGGTGCATTTTGTTGGACGATGTTATGTCCACCGCAAACGGCAGAAGACCGCTGCCGATATCTTCGGAGTCTACTCGATCATGGCTGCCGAATCTGGAGGACTCATATACACTTCTCATCTGGTCAAGAAAAGTACTGGCATACGCAGTTACCCCTTCGAGATTCGGATAGACGCAAACAGCGTCAATATCTTTGGTGCCTTTCGAGGGCCCTAGGCCCAGGTTCTCCCAAAATGGTACGGAGGAGGGAAGGATCGACAGCTTCGACTCTGATCTCCGGACTACGATCTGCGGAGGGATGATCAAGAACGGATTGTTCTGTCTTGTGTCTAGGCCATTTGGCCCCCTAGGATTCGGCATAGGCCGAGGGGGCAAGCGGAGCGCTTGTGATAGTATAGGTATCCCTTGAATGTCTAGAAAAGCGCGCATGGAGCAAATAGTCCCATCTTTGAGACATGAACTTGCAGCCTTTGAAAGCTTACTTAGTAGTACTTTCGTTCCAGCAGACCTACCCCATAACGAGGAGGCATCGCTTCCATTCAAACCAGGGAGATGAAATGTGCCGGAAACAGCTTGGTCTGCAAGAATTTGCGCAGTTGCAATTTTTTCCAGATCTGAAAGCGTATTTGGCTCAGTATCTGGCTCGAGTGAAGTGAAATACGTTGTCAAAGCCCAATCTGCTGGATCTGCATCGAGAAGCGGCAGTTGAGAGCCACTGATAGATTGAGGGGTGCCCACTGACTGCTCAAATTCCATAGCTAAAGTGTCAAAAGTCGAGGCGATATCGTCTTCTTCGTCAGCCTCCCATTTCCGCTTGACCCCATACTTCGACCCAACCAGAGCTTCGTCTGTAGTATGACTACTATCGTCCTGTTCCGAAACGGGACTCCCACCATTTGAAGTCATTAAATAATCCATCGGGTCTTCTACCAGTTTTGTTTGGCTATCCAAAGCCTTCTCGCCTAGCAGCCGAGCTATATTCCCAATCTCGAGTGATCCCTCATGTGCCTTGCGTCGACTTGTAAGGTACTGTGTCTGTGGTAACGCAGATATCTCACCAGATTTTGGTTTATTTCTTTCGCGGGAAAAGTCGAACTGGCCATGTGAACCGTATTTCTCATTTACAGACCGTAGTGAGTCCACAAAATCGATTTGCTGAAAGAGACTGGCACGCCTAGGTTGCTTTGTCACCTTTGACATCACCGATTGTTGAACGAGTTTCTGGAAGATGATCTCCTTGTTGAATGGAAGGTTGACAATTGGTTGGGTAGGCTGTGTACCTTCGGCTTTGGTCTGAGCAGATTCAGCTGTCAAACTAGTTGGTACAACAGTAGCAACATCTACCGTGACTGGCCCTGGAACTTCCTTGTTGTCGAGACTATCTGTGGCGTCGACTTCTGAGCTATGATTCTCATCAGCCGCTGCAACTGGCATCGTAGGTTCAGGGATATGAGCAATGGCAGCCGACTCTTGGGTGGTCGATACGGGAGCCGACGATGGCTGTTTGATGTCAAACTCGTCCACATCAGGCTCATCGAAGAAATTAAAGTCATCATCTGTTATGTGCGTCCCAAACATGTCTCCCCCAAGGTCACCAAAAAGATTATCGTTATCATTGTCATGTTCGTTGTCGTTGTCATTCTCGTTGTAATGCGCCGTGGAGTTCATCCGATCTTTCTTTGCAGACGCCCCCCACATATCCGTATCCGCCTCCACCACCGTGGGGTTTGGAGGAACAGTGCCACCTGCTTCGTGCGCAATCAAGTGATTCGGATTGCCTGGCGTTGATACATTACCGTCAAAAGACGGGGTCGCCCCAACTGGGTGTTGAGGTGCGTCTGGGGGAGTGGGATACATAGCACCTGCATTGCTGGCCCTTCGTAAGGCAGCCGGAGAATAGCTATGAGCCTGCAATGCACGAGCTTCCACATCAGCCTGCTCTTTGGAAAGTGTATCGGCGATCTGCCTTTCTTTTGCTCGCTTAGAAACAATAGCAGCTCTCTCATCCTTGGAGGTGAACCAATCTTCTGCAAACGAAAGAGGATCTCGACAAGAAGTGAGTGAATGTGTCATCTGCGAATCGCGAGCTCCTGATGAGCTTGATGTTTGGAAACATAAACGTGCTGGCCAAGGTACGATAGCCAATTCCTCCAGAAGTGGTAGACCTTGTGGATCGGAATTGGAGTATGGTAGGTAGCCACCAAGAATCTGAACATAGAGCCAACCACCAGCTTCAAGGGCAGCAGAGTCCAGCCCCTTAGCGGACAACCATGCTAAACATTTCGCCTGCCACGATCTGATGGTGAGAGGATTGATGCTACCATTTGGTCGTGATTCGAGCAAGCTGCCCTGAAGCTGACCAATGGACAGTGTTCCTGGGAGTTTGTTGTCATCCGGTATACAGTAGAACTTGGCTGCACTTCCACTGGGCGCAAGCCACAATGGCGCGCCGGGAGAAAGTCCGCACGTCGTACTGGATGGACTGAAGACATCCCTCAGAGTCTGCAACCCAGGTGCCTTATCAGAATGTGCCTTTAGAACAAGCACTCCCAATGAGGTGAGGCTAATGTCTAGTGTAGCAAGTTCTATCTCATGGCCAGATTTAGCACTCGACCCGGTAGATCTTGACGATGCCAGTATCAGAGTCCTCGAATTCAAGGGTATAAAGTTGTGGTCATGGCAGAGAAAGTAGACTATCGAGCTGAGGACTGCAGAGATGAAGTATTCATGTATATCCTTTGCAGATGTCGTGAACTCTGCCTTGACACCAGGTGATGGAGTTGGCGGCTCTTGCATCACACTCAGGCTTGCATTGGCCTGCATAGCCTTCGCATTGAGGGCTTGAGCATTCCGAAAAGCGTTCTCCAGTGATGAAGATGGAGACGAGCTAGCGCTACCAGCATTCATGGAGCCTCCCAAGATCTGCTTGCTCCGGGCGAGACTTGCTGGCTCGTAGACCCCCTTGTCCCGTTGAAGAAGCCCTAGGGCTTGGATGTCCACGGACGAACTGTTGGTATCGGGGTCTTTCGTGGGAGAGACGGCGGCAGCGTTACCATTGTAAAATAACCAGACGCCTTCCCGATAAGGATCGTGGTGCACCAATCTCCCATCTTGCCTCCATCCTGCTTCAAGGCTTTGGAGATGTTTCCTGGCAAGTCCCAAAGAAGTGCTATTGGACTCGAAGTATTCATAATTAATTGAGGAAAAATCATTCTATCAGGAATTTAGAAAGAGTTGTCTGGGTGTTTGGAGGGCACTTACAAAAGATATTACATTTGTAGGATACTCGCTGGGATCCATGGTAGTCGTAAATCATGAGGGGCTCCGCGTCAACAGCGGAGAGTGCTTGGGCGCGTCACGCCAGGCCAGGGAGCGTCACCTCCGGCCTTCGAGAAGTATATTCCGGGTACAATCGACTCGAGCCCAGGCTTGGGAGGGAACGAACGACTGGAAGGTGGAGCTGGTGTAGGATTCGCACGGCTCCATCATCGCAGTCAGCAGCCCAAAGCGATCGCTACAGCAGACCAGCCGTAGTGTTGAATTGCGCAAGGAGGTCGGGTCAAGGTAGCTGATATTGGCGACGGGCTGTGCTGGTTGCGATGCTGTGTAGTGACTTTGACTTGGGCTTGCAAGTGAGTGCAATGGAGGGCATTGTGCATGGCGCGCCGCCGGGCCTCGCGATAGTGAGGCTGGACTTAGTACTGGCGCATCACCGCTCGGCAATAATGGAAGGACTCTGCCTGTCTGCTTTGCATCGACTGTGGCCGTGCAGACCCGTTGTGGCGGCTCTACCCGGCACTAGACAGGCCCTGAAGAAATATTTTATCTTTCTGGCAGCCTCGTCTACTGGAGAGAGCTCAGAGCAGGGCATCACTTGGGAGATGCATAGCTGACCTTCAACATGAAGCTTACAAACTCCAACGAGGTGCTGGTTTACACCATTTCCGGTGCATCAACCGCTAGACCTCTGCCAGACTGGCTGGCTCGCCAGAGGAAACGCAGCTTGAAGAATGACCCCGAGTACGCTAATCGGGTCGAGCTTCTCCAGGACTTCGAATTCGAAGAAGCCAGTGCATGCGTAAGGGTCAGTGAAGATGGAGAGTGGGTGATGAGTACAGGGACATACAAGCCGCAAATTCATGCACACTACCTCCCCAACCTTTCACTGTCGTTTGCCCGGCATACGACGACCTTAAATCACTCCTTCATTCTACTATCCTCCGACTACTCAAAGTCCTTGCACCTGCAGACTGACCGACGGCTCGAGTTCCATACTCCAGGTGGATGTCACTATCAAACTCGCCTTCCACGATACGGACGGGATCTACAATATGATAGACATTCGGCAGAAGCCTTGGTTCCTGCAGTTGGAGTTAACGCGGAAGGCAGCGGGGAAGTTTATCGACTAAATCTCGAAATTGGGAGATACATGAAGCCATACCAGGTTGACGTTGGTGGCGATGACATGACAACTGCTGGAGGCGGTGCGCTACAGGGAGGAATCAACGTCGGCGCTGTCAACTGCGCAGCTATTGCCGAAGACAGCCACAATCTTTTAGCTTTCGGGACTTCGATTGGCACTGTGGAATTCTGGGATCCAAGATCAAAGTCAAGGATAGGGATTCTAGCTGGGCAAGAAGGCGAAGTAACCGCGCTTGACTTCAGTCGATCCGGCGAATCCCTGGCATTGGGAACTTCAAAAGGATTGGTTCAGCTCTTTGATCTTCGAAAACCGGTGCCACTCCTACGAAAAGATCAAGGATACGGCTATCCCATTAAGACGCTTATGCACATGACGACTTCATCCCAGGAGAAGAAGATTCTGTCAGCCGACAAACGCATCATCAAGCTGTGGGATGAGGCGGACGGGAAAGCATGGACTTCAGTGGAGCCAGCGGTTGACATCAACTCTGTTGCATGGTGCAAAGATAGCGGTATGATTTTAACAGCAAACGAAGGGAAGCAGCAACATGCTTTCTTCATTCCTCAGCTTGGCCCAGCTCCAAAATGGTGCAGCTTCTTGGATAACATGGTGGAAGAGATGGCAGAAGAGGCTCCGGCAGAGACCTACAACAATTACAAGTTCTTGACTCTTCCTGAGCTCAAAGCAATCAATTTGGGTCATCTTGTTGGAACTACAAATCTGTTGCGGCCATACATGCACGGATATTTTGTTGCATCCAAACTTTATGAGGAAGCCCGACTCATTGCAAATCCATATATTTGGGACGAGGAGAGAACGAAGAGAGTCAAAGAGAAGGTTGAGAAGGAGAGGGCTACCAGAATTAGAGGGAGCAAAAAGGTCAAGGTCAATCAAAACCTTGTTGACAAGCTTCTCAAAAGACAGGAACGAAGAGAGAAGGTGGACGAGGATATGGGTATTCTTGGAGATAGTCGTTTTGGAAAGTTGTTCGAGGATGACGAATTTGCTGTGGATGAAAGGAGCAGAGAGTTCCAAGCCCTCAACCCTAGCACGAAGGTTGATGGTCCTAGCCAAACTGTAGCTGTCAACAGCGACGGTAGTGACAGCGAGGACGAGGATGAGATTGTGAAACCCAAGCCAAAACCAGAGATGCGCATCTCTTCGTCGTCATACAAAAAATCTGGACATCAGCGGCAAGACAAAGCTCTTGGAGCCAGGACACAGAGCACAGGCCGGGTCAACAAGAATAAGGGCGATATTGTGGGTGAACGTCAAGTCACATTTGCACCCACTGGAGGGAGGAAGGGCAAGGACAAGGAAGAAGCAACACCAGCGCGAAAAGGACGACGAGACGACGGCAGGAGAAGCGCAAGTGGGAATGTCTTTAGGAATATGTGATCACCTCCTGCCGGACTCCAAGTTCCTCAACGCCTACAAGGATCGCATGTCGATCCTAAAACGCCCCTTGTATAAAAGTACCACAACATGTACTGGACATCAACATAATCCCGTGACAAGCCACCCCACCATGGACTACACGTTACCGGCCAAACTTCTTTGCCCATTTTGACTCTTTGAACTGAGGCTCGGCCATTTCAAATGACATCAACTTCGTGTGTCCTTTTTCAACATCCGTTGTATTTGCTCTCCTCGGGCTTGGAACTTCCGCTATCTTCGTCAAGCCTCGATTCGAGCGGCTATGTACATCCTTGGGAAATGTCGATCTCCTAGGAGTCAATGCTGTCGCAACTTTCCTTGCCGACCTGCGAATGCTCTCTCGGACTTGCCATGATCGTTTCTTGGCCAAGTAAAACAGGATTGCCGAGACAGCTGTTACCGCGTTAAAAGGAGAACCTGTGCATTTAACATTGGGTGACGCTTACCTCCAAGTATGCACACCGAAACTCCCACGACAATTATTGCAATTATGCCGCCTCTCGAGATTGCAATAGAACCATGGTCCGCTCCAGCAGCACCAGCTGCTGAATCTCCGCTTCCTGGTGATGATCCAGCATCTCCTGCCGAAGGCCCTGGAAACAAATTAATCACTAGTTCTGCTTGGTTTGACACTTTTCTCTTACCATCACCGGGCTGCGACGGAGTAGACGTTGCCAGCGTTTGGTAAAATGAGGACACCGCGCTTGCAGACATCTCGGGTGTTAGAGAGACGGTGCTTGTTGTTGGTATCGCTGAGGACGAAGTTTGGGAAGATACAGGATCCTGCGCTGTAACTATAGGAAATAGAAAATGCAGCAGCAAACTCAAAAAAAATATCGATTTCATCTTGCTGACAGGCGGGGTGGTATATTAACAGTGTGTTCGACTAGCCCAGGCGCCGGCAGTGGACGTGATGTGACGAGATTCTGAAGAACGTTGTGATGGTGGCTTCTCGCTTTGACGGGAAAATGTGATGAGCCCGTCTTGATGCGGAAATGCTGCACGTCTTAAAGAGCAGAGCGGCTACCTTGAGGCCTATCATTGGGCCCACCTATGTATATTTTCGAGGACTAAGGATTTGTGAAACAAATCGACGGTGATATGGATAGCATCAAGCATGGCTGCACTTCAATCAGAAGGGGTGTTGATTGGTGAGGCGGGATTCTGGCAGTGGTGGTCAGCGGTTAAGTTAGTGCTAGGGCTCTTGGCCGCTGTCTATTTCTGGGGTGATCAGGCCAATCGTTGGCCACTCCTCAGGGGTCTTCTTTAGCGTGGACTGCTAACTTCGACCTCATCAATCCACCACAGCGGTAGTCTTCGCTGACATGCGACAATTCATTGTCGGAGAAGTTATATCGGGATTACTGTGGAAAGACGAGGCTGGATTGACATCCTCCACGATACTCAATGGAAGCAGCAACGCAGCGGGGGCCTCAGCCTCGGTAACCGCGATGCCTCCTGAAAAGCCTCATATCGCCTGCTGTGACTTGTGTGTGTGCCGGTACGCGCTGCAGACATCGAGGGGTCATATGTGTCCAATGCTTGAGTGTGCATAGGCAGAGGAGATCTCTCCCGGAAATAGCTTCAAAGTGGGCTCTCGCAGCGGTATGGGGTCACGATGAGGACTCCACATCGTCGGCCGTTGATGTCTTGTCCAGGCCCAAGGGAACTCCCTGTGGTGGAAACCCGCCTTTCTGCTATTAATGGGAACACGTAACTGACTCTGCATAGTGATTCTTTTTGTTCCAGTTCCTAGCCAATAGCATCCAAATGTCATGTAGATTGTGCAGCCGGAAAGCTACTGATCCGCATCTACAATATCACAAGCCAACGTCCCGGTTGTGGTTCAACATGCCATGGTAAGGTAGGTATTGAAACTGGATCACACGGACTAAATGAATCATAGAGGTATTGCCATCTGTCGATGCTGCATAGCGCGAAAACGAGATTGGCAATATCGTTTGCTCATGCTCGGAAAAAAGGCCGAAGATTGAACAAGGAAGGTTTGAGATATTTCTTCCCCTTCTATGTCAAGTTCTGGTTCTTCTCAACAAAAACATGCTATATATTTCTCACGTGGCTACTGAGAAGTTTACGTGCTGCATGTTACAGCTTCTTTTTCCTGGCTTTGCGAGACGTGGAAGTGTCGCTTTCAGAGACCGCTATAGGTGAAGTCCCCGTATAGCCTGCATAGATCTTGAAGACAAAACTCCCTGGCTATGTCGAAGTTATCCTTTTTGTCTCTAGAAGTTTTATGAAGTTGCATACATCATGCGAATACTTTGGTTATTGGACAATGGGTGGCTATACTTACATACACTTACTTCACGTGTCTTGCTACACGTGATCATTCGTTCCCTCGTTGCTTCCATTTTCTTCAAGCTCACTTGAGTGAGGCACCTCCAGAGTCTGCGTGCTTGCCACCTTGGCGAATGGCAAGTAATTTGCGGTACTGAGTTTTTACCCTTAACCTTCTCAATTTTATTATCACCACTCTTCAACCAACTTCTCATCAATCTTCCCATTGTCTGTTTCTGTGGATCTTGCGAAGATCACCATAAATCCACAAGTTCATTGTTCTCCTGTTGTCGAATTCGGAGTAGTAGTACTACATCCAAGAGCACGACTCGTCCGCCGTCCCCATTGAATTGGAGCAGCATCTTGACAAACTGGTGTTGCCTTCTTAATCATCAGCCAGTACACGGGCTGGGGCCTCCTGGGTTGGATCTGCGTAGTATCTGTTGACTGAGGATTTGCATAGCTCGCTGGTAAGCCTCTCTATGCTGATCCACCTGAAGATACTGACAAGGCACCCAGCTAGTCACAATGTCTCAACCGCTTCCTCCTGGCCGTCCAGACTTTGACAGTCAGCAACAACCTTCCCCATCAAGCAACAGTGAGGATGAACACTTTGCTGATGATATGGATCATTTATCTGCTGCGGATGAGGTTGATCAGCTGGGACCATACGAGGACGATAACAACGTGGAACCTGCGGGGATCAATGCGCAGGACAGCAATCCATCTGTGATTGAGGAAACCCAATTCGTCCCTCTTGAAGCTGACAGCCAACGCGAAACTAAAGCCTTGGATGTACCTCCTGCACCAGCTGTGGATGAAAGCCTCATCAATGTCCAAGACAGCAATCTGTCACTGATTGCAGATACCCAGTTCGTTGATCTTGAAGTTGACACTCAAGCGGAAACTCAGGTCTACCATCCACCTGCCGTTTCCGGCGTTGCTCCCAGTTCCGAGCAGGCGATCGGCACAGCTAACAATCAAGCTTGCGGAGAAGAGGCACAAGTTTCAGGTGTCAATTGTGAAAACTTCAGCAACACGGATCCCTACGCGGACTTACCAACTAAAGCTGCTAAGAATGGTAAAATTTCAGGCTTTATTCAGCGTCCTACAGTCAGTGATGATGAGCATGATGGAAAGGGCTTCAAGTTCCGACCACCAGCCAAGCCTGCTTTGGTTCGACCACAATCCAAGGTTTATCAGAACGCGTTTGGAGTAAGTACTTCGGCCGCAGCCACGGAACCAAGATCAGCTTTCGAGCCTGTCCGTAAGGATTTCCCTCCTGTTTTCAATCAATCAAAAGAAAGTGCTAATACCAAAGCACAGACCGAACTGAATCTGCGACCCCACACTTCGTTATCAATACTCTTCCGTCACAATCGGATATCGATACCACAAGCTTACTACAGATTCCTCAAGATGCGGCAAACAGCAGCACCGTTCTTCAAGCCTTAGATCATGTGCCAATACACACAGTCGGACAGAGGGACCAAAGTGAAGGTACTACAAATGTATTAGCATCTTTAGAAGCGAAAGCGATCGTTTCTCTACAACACGATCATGTACACCCACAAGTCGAAAAATCCAGTAATATTCATGCGGCGGTATCAGACCATTGCGTTCTTGAGGATATTCCATCATCAGTGTCCTTGCATCCCATTCCAGGTGCCGAGCTCGCCAACCCACGCCAAACGGGGACCCTGGATCCCAGCCACATTTCGAAAGACAGAGTCAACAATATGCAAGCCAGTCGAGAAGAATCTGGTCATCATTCGGCACCACGTAGAAGCCCGTTGAAACCATTGTCAGCCGCACGAAACAGCGGGCAAGCTCGGAGAAAGTCTCGGTAAGTACACTGCTGTATGGGCAAGCTTGTAAGAATTAAGTCATCTTCAGTAGTCGATATAAGCCGTTCCCCGAGGTAGTACAAAACCTTCGTGCCTTTCCTCGTGAAAGTACCGCCTTCGACCGGCACGAGACAGAGGTTTCGGCACAACTACGAGTTGATAATGTATCCAACAGCTCATTTTCTGGAGCAATGTCCAACGACAAAAGGTCAAGAACAGCTAATTTTGAGTCAAATCAAGTACCCGACCATTCTTTGAGCAAAGCCGATCCGGAAGTACCAACTCAGCCTCGTGATCACCTCACCAGACTTGACCAAGGTACTGGCTATCCTGATCGTTCACAAACTCTCTCTACGCATATTGATCGTAGAGAGACTATTCACCACCACGAAGCCGATGGATACCGGCCAGCCAGTCTCTATCCACAGCATTTACCTGGTTTAGCGGAATCGAATATTGGAATTGAGCTCACCGAGCAACATGCTTTCCCACTTGATGAGCTTGCAGGACCCCAGTGCTCTCATTCTAATGATGGAGCTGTATCTCATCCACATGAAGAGTCCTGTAATAACGACGAAATTGAGCTGCCCCAGGCTGTGGTTGAAGGTCAGGACAGATTTGGTTCAGAACTGCTTTCGGGTACCAAGCGCAAGATTGACGACAATATGCCAGACGACCAGATGTCTTTCCAAGAACCACCTCGAGTACCATCAAGAGCACATTCCGTGTCAAGACCAGACTCGCGACGCAGCAATCAGGGTCGAACACTACGACCCTTTCCCAATGCCGATCGCAAATCTCGAGTTCTCAGCACAAATAAGCATGATGCTGGTAGCTCGAAAGTACTTAAATTATCGGTCACCCAGAACTCGCTGAGTATCGCCAACACTAAGGACAAGAAACACATTTTGGCCAGCTACAAAGAATTTCTGCACAAGGGAGAAAGCTACCAGGAGGTTTTCGAGCAGTATGAACAACAAGCAGCATTCATCGAGACACAGGCGTCTAAGATTGTGCAAATGCAGGGAGATGTCGCTTGTTCGCAGCAGAAAATAAAAGCCTTGGAGGCAGAGAAGATTTCTCTGACGCAAAATATGAAAAAATTCGCCGACATGAGCTCGAAGTACAAAACGCATATGAATGAAGTGGTCAAAGCACAGAAATACTTAACGTCTCAGGCGGCTCAGATTCAAAAAGAGTCGAGCGAAATCCTCAAAGCTCGCACAATTTTTGATAAGATCAAGAAGGTAGTCGAAGATGCCAAGGATCTGCGAGTATCGGCACAGCAGATTCATGATGGTGAGGCCATCTGCTACAAGTATATGGGCATCATCTAACAGAAACCAGTGTCAACCCTCAACCAGGAGCTTAAACGTGCTAATAAGAGACTTTCGATCGGTACGTGACCTCCCATTCTGCTAATACTTGACTAATGAAGTACGATTGGGACAGAGAATGAGAAGCTTGGAGTTGATAAGACAAATCTTGAGGAAGATAATGCAAGACTCAAGACAGACCTTGATACGGGTCAGTTGCAAGTAAATTTCATGTGGTACTGCTAACACCAAGTAGAAAAAACCACAACGGAGTTATTGAAAAAGGATCTCGACCAGAAAGCTGATGACCTGTTACTGGAGACGCGGAACAGGGAGCAACTTGAGAAGCAGCTCGAGTGTCAAGCTACAGTCCACAAGGAGCTCATTGATCAATTAAAGCAGCTTCCTAACGCCATGTCTCAAGAACTTCGGAAAGAGGATGGTGTTCTAGCGGAACTGTTGGGCTCAGGAAACACAACACGTTCAAAGTGAGTTCACCACTTTTGGGGTTATACTTGACTTAGAATTCTAGGCTTGATGAAGTAGCTTCTCTTATTCAGCAGTTGAAGTCGGTCCAACCAGATGCATCTGCTTCGTTGGTCAAACTCTTTGAGGATCTATTTTCCAGGTGATACATAGCCCCACTTTCCTTTAATTGTGGTGCTAATTTGCGATCAAAGGCACGAGAATAGAAGCCAGAACTCCGAGGCCGGAATAGCTGCTTTCCAGAAAGCCATTGCAGAAACCTTGACGGAGCTTAAGGATACACTAGGCCAACTCTGCCTGAGCAAAGATGCCGAAGCGATATACAAGGATCAGATCTCAAGCCTCGACAAGGCCAATGAAATCCTGAAAGCAGAGAAGGCTACCAGTGAAATTGAGGCACAGAGATCAACCCAACAGCATGAGGAACTTCGGCGCCATCTTGCTGATTGCAGAAGCCAGCTACACAGCAGAGAAGAAGAGCTCGAAGCGGCTCGTGCAGTTCCCGTAGAGGACTTTGGCTTAACTTCAAAAATCCAGGAGCTCAATAAGGCCAAGGAAGCACTTGAGACGCAACTCAAGAACGCTGAACAAGCATTGAGGAATGCCCAAAATGAAGCCAAGTCTAAATTTGAGGCCGATGCCGAAAATGTTGCCTGTATCAAAGATCTCGAACAGAAACTGGCCGCTGCTATTAATCGCATCGATAGCTTCGAGAACGAAAAAGCTAGGTCTCTTGCTGATCAAAACCTCAAACACGAGAGAGAGATCCAAAGGCTTGCTCAGACAGCACATGAGCAAAGGGAAACAACACGTCTGAAGAGCCAGTCAGACTTAGAGAACACTGAGCAGAGGCTTGAGCAGGAGAAGTTGAAACATGCGCAGACTTTGCAGGATTTGTCACAGCTTCAAGCCCGGTTTAAGGCCCAAGCCGAAAGCACTACCGATCGAGAAAACGAACGAGTGGCTTATCTCCAACAGACAAAGCACCAGATGGAACAAATTCAACAGTTCATTGAAAAAGCCCCCAGCCAAAAGACTCCCGTCTTGTCTTCTCAAGAGCTACAGTCAATCAAGAAGACTGCAACAGACACTCGACAAATGATTGTTAAGGCCCTTGAAGATCACTCACAGACCGTCCTGACAGCGGCTGAGGAACAAACCCGATTTGAGGCCAAAATTCGAAAGACCGGGGCTTTGGAAATTGAGAAGTACGACATGGCAAAGGAAAACATTTCCTTGAAAGAAAAGATCACAGAAATGCAGCGGCAACGAATTTCGCATGCCACTGTGCCACAATCATTCGTCAGCGACACTCCTACCCCCAATATGCTACAGGAAGCGGATGACGAAACACTCAGATCGACTATGGCTCGGAAAAAGCTTCAGAAATCGAACGATTTAATTATCACACCAAGCAATAATTCTAATGTGGAGGATTCTGGATCGTTGCGTCGAGCAGCAAGCCTGAATGCGTCTTCATCACAGACCACCAAGAGAGGCAATTTCGCTGGGAGCAATAAGATCATGGTAACACCTCAAATTGAATCAAAAAGTGTGGATGCCGGACTCTCTCGTGAAACCGATTCTCAGCAGCGAGCAGCGAGCTCACAAAACTCTTGGAGATCTATCAAGCCTTTTTCGACGTTCCCAAATTCAAGCCCCTCAACCGAAGACGACCTTGTTAGTCTTGTGGACTTCCCACCCGAAGATAACGCCTCCCACGGAAATGATGTCAAGTGTACAAGCTCAAAGGCCCCTGGGCAGACTATTTCTGGTGTGTCCTTGAGTGTCGCCACAGTTATCAGGCGTTCCACTGGAGCAGATACGCGTGGGCGTTCTGAACGTAAAACCAGTTTTGCCTCACATGTTCCTTCCCAACCATCACCTCGTGATGCAATGCCGGCCAAATCCGCTATGAAGAAGCCTAAACAAAATCCCAACTATGCTACTGAGGCTTCAAATATCGCTTCTATTGTTGGCAAGGAAGAAAATATCAATCCCCCCCGTCAGACTCTTGGCATGGACAATATTCGAGGTTTTAGAAGTGGCGCTACTTCTACATACATTCTGCATCAGAGTAGCACGCAGCAACTGTCTGGTGATGTCCTGGAAAAAGGTTCATACCCAGCTGCACCCAGCCGCTCCGGCCAGAAGAGACCACATGATGGCTTGGAGTCAAGCAATGCATCAAAACGCCTCGTTACGACTCAGAGGACAAAATCGAGTACTCGCTCAAAAGAGATTCCGGATTCTCAGGATAAGGGAAAGCCCTATTGAGGGCCATTCGACGAAAACCTTTGCCACTATTTGTGCAACGAAAATCCATCCTTAATCTTGGGCTCTAAACGGCTGTTTCGCTTGCCAACCTTGTTCTGATACCAGTGTATATTGTCGGCTTCATCCCCTGATTTCGAAGCTACGAACTGGTGAACGGAGATATGTAACCATGGGTTGCTCTGAATATGGAGGGATAATGTGAGATGAAAGTTACAAGTGGTTGTGTTCAAGTCGATGGAAAGTAAGGTGCTCATTTCATTGACAGAGATCTTGCAGTAGGATTTGCTGGGAGGGGACATTCTTGGAGTCGAATCTCTTGCTTCAGCACTTGAAATGCCAACATCCTGCCTGAATATAGAATCTGCTGCGATTGCAATAGCTAGACATGACAACTTGCTGATCACATGATTGTACGAGTACACCCATAAATTTCCCTCAGTCCCTGTGATGCATGCCCAAACGCCATTGGTTTTCCACACAACCCCAAGTTAATGTACAATGCATTATGATCGAGTCATTGATGACTTCTGTGGTGATATGGCCCTCAGTTTGTACCTCTTGATTCCGGCGAAGTGGCGATCAGTGTCGTTGGGTTCTCAAGCACAGACTACCGTCCGCCGCGCTTCTGTTCGAGGAAAAGAACCTTCTTTCGTACTGAACGTGAGAGAATTAGCTTCATATCCTGAAATTTTGACCAAATCCAATCTTCTCTTTCCACAGACACAGCCGCTGGGAAGCTTCATATGCCCGTCATGCCTTTCCTGCATAGCACAAGCCTTGTCCGTCACCCTGGCCTTCTGTACCCAGCAGGAACATAACATCCAGTATACCCATAAATATTACCAAGCACCAGATATACAAATGTCTGTATAGAACGTACCAACAGGATCGTATTTCAGCATACTCAGAGGTCGATGCGTCCGCGGTCGAACGAGGGTTTTGTAGTATCCGGTAAGGGCCATGGACACCAGCCTCACGGCAATTGTGCGGGACTTGGCTGATAATAATTAGTAAGGCATATGTAAACTGGCGGGCTTTTGTTACCTTTCTTTGCCATTGTGTGGGTGCTTGGTGATGTTGAGGAGTTCACTTGGAGAGCTTAGGTGCATTGTTCCTGAAATTTTGTTTGGCCTCAGGTTGAGTGGCGTGCCAAGGTGTGGGTGGATGTGGGCTCGGTTCGGCACCTCAATATTCAAAACAAAACAACGACGTTTGCCTGTAAGATGAAATTATGGCAACCGCCAAACTGGGACATACCATGCTTTGTCTTTGCCTATATTTAAGAGAGTTGATACCACTTGCTCGCACGTTAACGATCACGCATAGAAATGGCTCAAGGTGACGAAGAATAATTTGATGTTTATGAGATCAGGTAAGATAGATCGAATACAACAATAGCTAGCCAAAATACGAGTCTCTGACATAAACTCCAAGCACTCGAGTCCACATGAAATGGAGCCTTGTTAACCTCAGTATCTTCTTTCCAGTTGTACTGCTCATATCCTCCGAGGACTCTGCTCGAATCTCATCCTCTTCTTCAAGATCCGTGCATGTTAAATACTCGACATGATGATGCTTCATCGCTGCCCCGATCCCCCATTCTGATCCTTCCGAACATCCAAGCAGATCAACCTCTCACCTTTAACAGAGAGTACTTTCAGAATGACGAATCCACTGGCAATCATTGTCGATAACTGAATAGGGACATCGATGCTGAAGCCTTCACTCCCTGACTCGGCTCGCCTGTCGAACATGCCATTGTAGGGTCCTTTGGTTATGAGCGTAGTATTTCTTTCATTATGGAGCAGATTGGTCAAGATCATCTGATCATCGATACCCGTCACCTCGGCGATTTCCTTGATTGATTCGCAAACCACTTGACCCCGAAAAAAGTCATGCCACGGCCATTCACAAACGTACCGCGACTTTGCAATTACGAGGATAAAACCGGCTAGAAGCCAAGCAAAGGTTGTGATGTTAAACGGATCCACTCCAGCCAGTCGGTCTCTAAGGGAGAACGGAACAGCCATGGCACCACAGACTAATGACCCGCATAGAGCTAGTATCGTGTACACATAGCGGTAACATTTTAATGTAACCGTTGTTTCCGCGATGATCCATGCTTTCATGCGGCGCTCGACCAGTTTGTATTTTTCTGCATCCGATTTGGTTTTTATGCTGTTGACTCGAGGAAGGTCAAGTTGTCCTTGACGCGATTGGGACTCGAGAATTCTAGTAAGATTTGTTCCAGCTGATATCTGTTAGGAAGGATCTTGGAATGAGGGATAGAGCTTGCACACCTCGGATGGTTCTATTCAGTGGACTGCGAGAAATGGGCGCAACGTCCGGATCTGGTCCATGAGCTGTGTCGGCTGATTTCATTTTGTGCTGTTTGTCGTCCCATGCAGCTGTAGTGACGACAAACTTTGCAGTAAAATGCCTCCGCTCGAATTGAATGACAGGATCTTCATCCTCGCTGTTCCCTGTTGCGTAATCTAACATGACGCCCATCTCGATTCCGGTATGGCTGTCAGTGAGGGCGAAAGGGACCATGATGGATACAATGTTGTCGAATCGTCCCGTAAGAAATCTGCCAGCTTTGGGAACTGAACCTTCGCTCCCTTCTGACCATTGCCATTGGATTGTAGTTAGATCGCCAGCACTGCGAGGTGATTGGGCCTTGGACCCTAGATACTCCACGTTCTTCATCAGATTTTGGAAGGCGGTAAAGCTACAATTGACATGAGTAAAGTCCGAAGTTGCTGCAACATCTCCACGACGGTCGTTCGAAATTACAGTCAAGCTTCGCTCGAGACCTGTCTCATAGACAAGTGTGCATAACTCGAAGCAGTTCGGCGGGTTTCCAGTTTTTTCCGATGCGTACAAAGCGAACACGGCATATCGAAACAAGTTTGCCAGCCGGACTCTTAGCGAATAGTGATCCTGGAAATAGTATCCTGTTATGTCTGCTTCTGCCTGCGAGTCTATATCCATCTCATCTCTACTCTCAGAGCCGGCATCAGTAGCACGAATCTTCAGAACTCGGATATTCTCTTTCGCATCGCTGTCGGTCATTCGAGCCAAAAGGTCCTCGGCAGCATCTAAGGACAGTGATGCATATTGCGATGGATTGTAGGACAGTATTTTAAGTTTCGCTGCCCATTTGGCCAGGATCGCCAGAGAGTGGTTATTCCAGTAATCACTTGTCGCAGAGCGTACTACAAGTGTTGCAACGTTGCTTGTAATGTAGTCGACAAGAGCGAAATATACCATTTGGTTTGCTTCAGGCGGATCGAGTGTCTTAGGACGTCGTGCCTTGACTTTATCCTCATCCTGTTCGAAGCGAGTCGTAAGTCGCGTCCTTGCATCCTTGAAGTTACGAACAGCGGCAGATAGGGTAGCAATCCACCGACAGTGTTCCAATACATGAAGTGTATTGTCATGATCGATCACCGAAAAGTTACAGATGATCTGGTCGGCAAGATGCGACAGATGCTCGAAGGTTGTCGAGTCAGTTCGGTCCAGGATTCCTTTGCTGTCAAATATCAGAGGATCTTCAGATGCTGCATCTGCTTTCAAACGCCTGATCTCCAATTGCCAGAGATGGTTTTCGGTAGCGGTAGATATTCCATAGTTCCTCAGGTCGTCAAACTTCGGCAACCCAGTGAGACTGATTCCACCTTTGTTGTATTTTTCATGCTCAGTGGCACGTTTCAAAATGTCTTCCTCTTTGAAATCATAAATGTGATCACTTCGAGAAAGGGTCCCTCGCTTGGAACTTTTGTGGGGTAATCGGTAACCAAGTCCTGGTGATGGGTCAGGACACTCCTCGGATCTGTCCCCCATATTAGCCTTTCCCATTGAAAGAACTTTTTGATAATGGAAATACTTACGAGGAAAACTGTTTCTCACTCATCTTGTTCTGCAGCTTTATGAACTTGATATGTTGCAAGTTCCAGTATCTTCATGTTGGGTAGAAGTAGTTCCCCAAAGCCTTGTACAGATCAGGCTGAGGAGTTGAAGGAGAGCCATCAAGTCATCAAGACGGGATGCTCAGCCCCAAGCCACGATCCTAGGCAACAGTAAGGCTGTGAGCAAGAGACCTAAATGTCTCAAGCCACAATAAGTATCTTCAAGGAAGCTGTCTGATTTGGGGGCCATATTTACGGAATAGGAAGGTGGAATGTTTTTCAAAAGCAACCTGCATTCAGCCGAGAAAAACACCCTACAGAAAGCCTTGAAGTCCTCCCATAATGTCTGCGAGACTAGCCCAAGTCCATGTGAGATATGCAGCCGACGTAAGTAAAAGAAAGAGTTGGGCAGCCATAGCCTTGTCGAAGTACGATTCCCACGTCCTCTTGCCTGCCAGCTTGTTTAGCCCCATCCATCATGTCAGCTGTGGCAGGAATGAGCATTCGTTACCCGATCTAAGGGGAAAGTTCAAGAAGGCTCTTAGAGATAAGTTGACATCTAGTCATCCTGCCGTGTCAGATCATAGTTCCAGCTGTGCTTGCTACCTAAAATTCACATCCATCGTCGCCTTCATCAAATTTAGTACAACTGAAACATGTCTGTTAATGACTACAAGGCTGCTCGTCGAGGGCTACTACAGGGTGCACTCAACTCGACGACATCAGTTCCGAATCCCACTTCCACCGTTCACGAAGCACCCATAGATCTCAAAGTCGACTTGATTGACATTCGTGAGAAAGAACAATGGGGAGATACACCTCTCATCACTTTGACGCCTAGCCGACATCAGGCGAAATCGAGCAGTGCAGCAAAATACGAAGATTATGTCCTTGTTCTAAGAAGAAAGTTCAACATCAGGGGCGAAAAGACAACAACAAATCTTGAAATTTGGTCGCCACATATCCAAAAAGCCTTTCGAGCTGTCTTGGGAGAGTATCCCTCGATCAGCTTCGATTCCACGTTGGTCGAGATCCCCAAGCCTTATGTGCCATTGTTCCACTACCGCCGCGAACTTCGCGATTATGCATCAGATGCCTCCAGATCATTACAGGAAAAGGAACACCTGGACGTGCTAATGAATTCATGGAGAAAAACCTGTCGCAGACTGAAAGAGAATTCGGATACTCCGAGCCGTACCAGATGGTCTCTTATCCGCTGCTTTGGACCCTGTTTCGCCCCGAAGAGGTAATCATTGCCCAAGGAGATCATTTCGACGAGTGCTACATAGTGGATTCTGTTGAGTACATAGATGAAGTCCATTCAGGGACTGAGAATGATTTAACACCGCATCTGAAGATTAATGCACGACGATGGGACTACAATGGAACTCGATTCGGCATTGCTGAGGAGAAGCTCAAGATCAAGGAGTTTCCTACTGCAGTGGAGATCGACACTTTAAAGGTATATCCGATTCGTTTCCACAAGAAAGAGAGCACCGAAATACTACAAAGAAGATTGATTGAAAGAGGGAGGAAGTGGAGGACGATCCTGGATAAATCTCATAAATTTTATGATGGTAGGATATATGCACTCAATTATCTTTCACATTTTGTTGACAAATTGAGCAGCATTGGCCTGGTCAGAGCCCCCGAATCAACCAAGTCGCCCAAATCATGTGGATCTTCTCGTCCCAGGCCATGTAAGCTTAAGCCGACAATCTTCTGTTTCATGCTAACGATGTTCAGGTTTCTGGGCGGATCATGCTGGATTACGGAACCCACAAGCAAGCAGCCCCCCAACTGGCGACCAACTTGTCAACATCTGGTGCGACAACAGAAAAGGACTACAAGTTTCAATCTGTGGTCAAAAGCGACTCTGCAGATGACACCAGCATGGCGCGAAAAGCAAGTGATAAAGAGGATAGGTTTATGTCTCACCTAAATACTCCTTCATACGAGATCTCCGACGAACAAGCACTTCTCTGTCCTGCCCGAGTGAGAGGTTACTCGTTCTTGGAAAAGATCTGGGGATTCTTCTTGGTTGATGAAGTGCAAGAGATTGACTGGCAAACAAATGCATTTTATAGCCTGGAGCTAGATCCTAGGATGAAATCCGCGATCCTCGCGATGGTCTCAACGCATCGACACAATGACAATTTTGATGTAAGTAACGAGGAAAGAACACGAAATATCATCTGGTTCTAAATTGTGTACAGGACATCATACCAGGTAAAGGGAAGGGATTAGTGTTTCTCCTCTATGGTCGACCGGGCCTGGGGAAGACCTTGACGGCAGGCGAGTAATCTCTCATTCGCCGACTTGGCTCTCCAGCTAACATTTAACAGAGGCTGTCGCTGAGCACACAAAGACCCCTCTGTACTCGATCACGAGTGGTGAGCTGGGAACTGAGGTAGGACAGACAGACTACCAATTGCGCACAATCTTTGCCCGGGCAAAAGTCTGGGATGCGATTGTGTTGCTTGATGAAGCAGATGTCTTCCTCGCACAACGAAGTGCAACTGATCTGAAGCGAAATGCTTACGTCTCAGGTAGGCAGAAGCTAGACCATGCGATTGGTAGAGGGATGGCTGCTGATCTATCTCGTAGTATTTCTTCGACTCATCGAGTACCACAAAGGCATCATGTTTCTCACCACCAATCGGCTTCAAGATTTCGACGACGCTTTCCAGTCTCGAATACACTTAACCATTCGATACGAAGCTCTCGACAATATCCGCCGTGCTAGCATCTGGGGAAATTTCCTCAAGAAAGTGAAACCAGGTTCTTGGGACGAGCAAGCGTTAGCACGTCTTGGGGCAGAGTGAGTTCCACCAGCGCATGAGAACCCATCATACGTGGATCGCTAACAGCCAGTAGCTATGATTTGAACGGCCGAGAAATCAAGAATCTTCTGAGGACTGCTCTGGCGATTTCCAGATACGAGGATGTCGAGCTCTCGGAAACTTTAATCCGAAGAGTACTGGATCTTTCGAAAGAGCATCTCTTGGGAGAGGATCGTTGATTTGCACCTCGAATGACAAGCAAGTGATCGAAACGTAGGGAACAGCTTAACTTTCACTTCACTGGAAGCTGCTGCCCTGCTTTGCATCCGATCATGGCGGGCACTTCAATAGAAGTCCTAGACCTCAGACTGTATCTTCTGTTTGCTAGGATAAAGGGGTTGAGCCGGTATAGTTTAAGGCGTTGAGAGCAAGACTGTGGCGCCTGATTGTGGATCTGGAAAAATGATACGTGCATTAACAATGCATTCGAAGCACAGGAGTGAATACTATACATAAAGGTTGTCAGGATCATTATCTCATTATTGGAAGGTTGGGCATCAGACGAAAAAAGAAGAATACAAATCAAACAAACCCCTCCCACGGAGTACCAACGACCCTCCCCTTTCCATCAAACCTCACACCCTCCTCCCTCAACAATCTCCTCTTCCTATCATCATGCAGCCCCGCCTCTCCTTTCCTTCCCCAGCTGCCATGGAACCCGCCTAATCCGCCGCCAGTAGCTAATACTCTGTGGCAAGGCACTTCTGGCGCAAAGGGATTATTCCTCAGTGCATTGCCTACTGCTCGAGCTGACGAGGAGAGGTGTTTCGCCATACAGCCATAGGTTGTGAATCGGCCTCGTGGGACTTGGCAGAGAGCTGTAAGAACTTTCTTCTGGAAAGCGGTCTTTTGTGAGAGGGCTATTTTCTTGAGATAGGGGGTTAGATCTTCTTTCTGAAGGACATTGGAGGTTGGCTCAAGGTTTGAAGCGACTGGCTCTAGCGAGAGTTCAATCTTCTCCAGGGAAGATGCCTTTCCAACAGACTTCGGAGATTCCAAATCTGATTCTGATAATTTCTTCCTCTTTTTCGGCTCCGGTTCCGTGCTGTCCAGATCATTTACGCTACCCGATTTCCTCTTCCCACCCCGCTTCACCTTTCCCCTAAGCTCCAAACTTCTATCATCAAGCTCCACCAAATCTACATCCCCGTCCAAGATCTTCTGTCCAAGCTCAATACTTTGTTCCAGCTGCTCGCGTGACATGTTCTTGTACGCTGGACTTTTGATTTTCTCCATCCAAGGCTTATCGACGCCGACGACGGAGTCGAGGATGATCCGCGCGAAACAGTGGTCGACGTGGACAGACCAGGTAGGCTATGAGGTATGAGTAATTATGGAAAGTGAATGGAGTAAGCTAGGGACGAGGTACCTGAGAAGGTGATTTAGAGGTCGCTGCTTTGGGCAGGGTTTGCTGGAACATGTGCTTCCAGTCACTCTGTAGTTGTTCGAGTGAGGGTTGTTCGTTTGCCATCGTGAGAAACTGGTGGATGTGTGTATGCGGTATGAATGCAGTCTGAGATGTCTTTGGTCTCCTGAGAACGTGATGTGGGAGATCTAAGTAGTTCTGGGTGGCAATTACATCGGAAGGTGATGAGGGTGGACGCGCCTTGCGGTTGACGCGACGGACGTGCTAGTCGCCGTTCGCGAAGTCATGAGGTCACTTATGGATCATGAAATGACCAGTTCGCTTGGGATAATCTCGGGAAAAAAAACATCACTAGCAAAGGGCAAGCAAAAAAAAAAGAAGTCGACGCTCAACCCATACCCAACACCCAAACCACACAACGAGCGTATTCCAATACCGCCACACCACGGTGGGGGATGAGCTGCAGAGTGAAACCTCCCTCACTCGATTTCCCCCATCGCTTAGAACCCCGCCAGCATCGTGAGTTGCCTGCACGAGTGGGAAGTTACCGCAATGTTCGGACTGGGCACTGTTGGTGATTGCCTTGCGGCAGAAATGGGTGGAGAAGAATGGGATACTGATATCTTCTTCGCCTTGTGACCATTACAGCCAATGAGAAATTGGCTTATTTGGATAGATATAGCTGTCAGTCGTGTGGACCGTGATTTAGCCGAATTGGCACGTGAGAGCCTACTCAAAGTGCCGGCGGGCTTGGGGTGAGCATTAGCTGTAGTGCTGGACCTGGGACTTGACTTCAGCTTAGGTACACTACATAATGTCCCTTCGATAATCATAATAAGGTACTGACACTGGGGCAGCTCGCTTGCTATTAACCACTTTTCATTCATTTACCACGAACGAACGAACAGGAAAGTTCACGTATCGCTTACTTCAATTCAAATTCGGCGCTTACAGATAGTCAGATTTCAGGAGCAAAGAGATCGTTATATTCAACAGTAAACTATCAGAGAGCCAGCCGCGAGGCATAACATTTAAATAAAGACCCGAAGAGCTTTTTCCTTCTTAGTTTGTTGTCCATACAGACCCCATATTATGACATCATGTGGCACTACTCCAAGTTCTTTCCATCCACATCACCATATATCCAGCCATTCCACATATTCGGAATGCACTTTGACTTGTCGCCTGTAAATGAGAGTACTGGAGATAACCGAGACGACAATAACAAATACGCCTTCATGTAAATGTTTGGATGAAAATCAGAGACTGTAAGAAGTAGAATACATGGTTTGAAGAAAAACACCCCGCATGAAGTCTGGAAAAGATTTGTAAAGCGTAAAAAAAGACTCGTTAATTTCATAGCCAGACAGCTGCCTTCTGGACAGCTCGGCTTAATCCCATACCACCGAAGAATGCAATAAATTTGGAACTCTGTGAGGAAGAGTCACATGGATGAGAAGGAAGGGTATCGAATGTGAAGAAAAGTATTCGAAGCTGAAATGTAGAACAAAGACGTCTGTAAATGTAGGATGCAAATAGAGAATATAGATAAGAATACGAGAGCAAAGTTTAGATCATCCCTCCGTCCATGTTCATTGTGGCCTTCACTTCTCTTGGGTGTCTCTCAGTTATGTTCTGTTGCTGCAACCCAGGGGTTGCTGGGTTGCGGCCTGGGCTCCAGAGAGGGGGCACGCTTTCGTATGGGCTTTGCAAGCCTTGCAGACTCTGCTCTGACTGCGGAGGGCTTCTGGTTCGGTCGAGATTGGGCGAGGCTCCGTTCCTTCCACGACTGGCACTTCGAAGACGCTCGGCAGCTCGGTTAAATCGTCCAGAGATGCTATTGTCGTTCTCACTGCGGCCACGGTTGTGGCTGATGGATGGAGTGCGTTGGAATTGTTGCTGAGTTGTGGGGACTTCGATGATTGTTTGGTTGATCTTATCATCGTCCTCATCCATCACAATCTCGATGACACCAGATCCTTGGGATACACCCGATACCACAGAGTTCGTGTTAGGATTGTTCGGACGATATAGTGGAGCAGGAGGAGGTGGAGGTGGCATGGCTAGATGTTGCAACTCCTTAAGAATCGGTGGCGCGGGAGGAGGAGGCGGCGGCGGCGGTGTCAAATTATCATTCGAAGGGTTGAGAGGTTGGCTATTAGCTTCGATTGTCTCGTCAATACCGTTCATGATGCCTGGAACACCACTAGCATATGCTGGCCGGGAATTCAGGGTCTCGTATCCCAGAGTGCCAGGCTGAGATTCACCGGGAGCAATCTTGCGGGGCGACAGCAATGGAGCTCGCGCGGTGTTTGGGTCCTGAGTCTTTCTTCTGCTGCTAGGTGGAAGAGCGGCGTGGAAAGCCGGGTGCAACGGGAGGGCAGCAGGCAGAGCCTTCGGTGAGAGCGGCTCTTCCGGGATTGGAGCAGAAGCCGAGCGAGGCGGCAGTCTTCGAGGTGTCGCTTGGTAAGTGGTCTTTGGAAGAGGCGCAAGGTTCTCAAATGCGCTGTTGTAAGTAATGGCGTTCAGACTTCCCCACGACGGTGGTTGGGGCTGATCGTATCTTTCAGGAATTTGAGGGACATCTGGGATGTCATTTCCGTCAGGATCGTACTTTGGATGTCTCATGGCTCGCGGAGTGGCTGGCAAACCAATTTGCATGGATGCACGCTCACCAGACTCCTTCAGGTAGGCCGGAGAAGTTTGAAGATTAGCCGGGGACGTTGTTTGGCTTCTAGATGGCTGCATTTGAGAAGGCTTGGGAGATGGGTAAGTTGACGACCTGTTGAACTCTGGCGATGGAGAAGGGCGATATTGCATAGGCGACAACTGAGCGAGCTCTTCAGGATGAACAATCGGAGGTACGGACGGGCGTCGAACAAGGGATTTGCGCCTTTCTTCCAAGTCACGAGCAGCTTGCTCCTTCTTCAGAGTACGTTCATCTTTGATCTGCTTGATGTCACCAGCTCGCTGATCCGACATAGAAACGGTACGAGAGTGAGCTGAGCGATCGCGCTTTGGATGTGGCGATGGCTCCTTTCGCGTCCTGCTGGCGTCCCTCTCTCTTCGAACTCGACTGGCAGACCGATCACGACGCCTCCTATCAGGGGAAGGATCGCGAACAGCACTTGTTCCGCGTTCTCTGAGTCTGCTGCTGCTTCGATGCCGAGACCTAAATTGCTTGTGCTCGTTGTGGACTCGCTTCAATTCTTCGTTGTCCTCATCATTATCAGCTTGATAGAATTTGGTCTGTGGTGACATTGGAAGTGGCGAAGATGGAGATCTCATCACAGATCCTTCACGGCCCTTGCTTCTGCCACGTCTTGTATCGATGAGAGCCAGAGTGCGACCATCAGGACTTGGGCGCCGACTGTTATTGCGGCTTGAAACACGACTGGCAGGTTTGCTGCTGATCTGTGACCGACCCACAGGTTCAGGAGATATATGGCGGACTCTGCTGGAAGGCTTCGAGCTCTTCACTCTAGACTGGCTAGGATCACGTCTAGCTGAAGGAAGAGAATCTTCACCATATCCTACTGCGCCTAGATCTCGGAGATCTTCAGGAGACATCGGAACTGGGGAGGTTGGGGACCGTTTTGCAGGCTTGATAAATCGAGCTGCGCTTCGGCCACGATCTTCAGAAGGCTCCCTGCCTTTAGATTTGCGGCTTCCACTCCGAGCTCGTCCATTGCGGTCCCTCTCCCTACTTGCTTGCCTCTTCTGCTTCTCAGCGTGGTGTTGTGCGGATTCCAAACTGCTTATGTATTGATCCAAGCTTCGGCCAGTAACTACAGGACTTGCAGTTCCAACACTTCTGTAGCTTCTCTCGCTGGTTAGAGGACTCCTGTTAGCGGCAGTCGAATGCGATGTTGTCGAACCAGCGACCGACCGGTTAGTCCCTGTCCGCGCTCTAGATGAGGCGACCGAAAGATCTGGCGAAGTCATGTAATCTCCAGTGATGATGGATTCCATTGGTGGCCACTGAATCTGCAGTCCATCTGGCTTACGATCTCGGGAACCATTGCGAGTGCGCGCATTCTGCTTTGTGATCGTGAAAGACTCTGGTGATGGAGAGGGTAGTGGATTTGAGATCTTCTGTTGCTTGTTTTTCTGCATCATAGGACTGGCAGTAGCAGCTCTATTCATCGGCACATATGTTGCCGAATTGAGTTGCATGGTTTCTGGTAGAGAAACTTTCCGCTCGTGTACACCTGGTCGCTCGTTTCTCTCTTTGTCAGATCCAGAGTCATTAGGGGTCGGCAACTTCGCCGGTTCCAGTACCCTTTTTGGGATCACATCGGAAGGCATCTCACCAATGGATGGTAATCGTTGCCTTGAGAACCCGCCAGGAGTCGCCGTCCGAGCAGATGCCGGAGTATGATAAGCGCTTCGATGGCTTGGCCTCAGGAATGCTGTGTGAGCAGTGTCACCGCCGCTAGGAGAAAGTGCCGATTCCGCAATGGGAGTGACACCACCGCCAACTGGGGTCCTCTCATCTTCGCCCAGTCCGAAAAACTTCGACTTCCCAGTTTTGTCACCAAAAGAGGTGATGAGTTTGAGAGCAGATGTCTTGGCGATACTACGTTGAGGACCACGAGCTCCAGGTGGAGACAATGGAGGGCTCAACATTTCCGGAATGCTCATGCTCTGAAGTTGGGAGAAAGTCGCTGCCTGGGCAGTTGGTGATACCCATGGTTCTGATGGTTCCGTACCAGTACATGAAAAGCAGCGGATAGCCAGTTGTTGTTGACTGTGCTGAACAGCCCACTCACCCCATTTCCTGATTAACTCTGCCTGTCGTTGCCAGTCGGATGGAAATACCAAGCAAACCAAGATTAAAGCCTCCATATACCTCTTGTGAGAAACATAAATCTCGATTGCGTCGTTCTGATCTCCCATGCCGATCATGATAGTTGCAGCTGTGTGCACATCTCCTTTCTCGAGAAGACGCTGCACATATGCTCGCGCGACTTTGGTTTGAGAAGCATGGCCACCAATTCCACTCAAAGCCAGTAGCATCCAGTCGGAGGATGTCATGGACTCCGAACTGGTAGCCATGATATCAGTGTCTATGTCACCGAGCCATTTAGCGAGCAGTAAGCGATTGGGTGAACCCTTGGGATGCCGATTCATTTCATCCTGGATCAGTTCCTGCGCTTCGCCATCCCATCCAAAGATCGTGCTCAACATCTGCCGACGAAGATCGTTGTTCGTCAAGCGAGTATTGTCTAGGACCTGCGGGTGTTTGTAGGGGATGTCACTCAGCCTCGACTTGGTGAACTTGAAAAGATCCACAACCTTGGCGTCATCTGGACTGCGGAGTACCTCCTGTCGTAAGCGAGAGCCTCTTGGACGAGAGCGGCCAGAGGTATTCGACTGAGTGCTGATGCTGCTCATCGACAAGCTATCACGACTCGAGACCACTGATGGCTCCCGCGTAGAGTGAAATGAGGAGCCAATAGACATGGTAGTGCCATCACTAATTCCACGTGATACGACAGAGGAGTGTTTGCGATACTGTGTTCTAGAGCCAGCCGAGGACCGCGAAGTGGTGGATGCGTGACTCCTTGACGAGACTGGGCTGAGAGTGTCCGCGCGGTCTGGGTCGTGTCGCCCAACTTCAAGCTTGTCCATCTCTCTGGCAATCCGCGCCAGAGGCGACATGTGGTCCTCATCACTCTCCGAGATGTCGACATTGATCGGCACTGCTTGAATGTCCTCACCTGATGTAGGCGCTGAACCCTTCTGCTTCTTCTGTTCTTCGATAGAGACAGGTGGCGACGGAGGCAGCAGATTGGCCGGATGCTGTACATTTGCCACCAACTGAGGTGGTGAGTTTAGATCGAACTGCTGCGCCGTGTTGCTTCGACCAAGTGTGAATAGGGTCGCGCCGGGGCCGTAGACAGCAAGCCCTCTGACGTGGTCTAGGGTTGGAACCGACTCATAGGTTACATGCTTAGTTCGAACGTCCCATGACGATGTTTCGCTGTTGGGGAGGCAATGTTAGCGGTGGTCTTGCTAAGCGCGCGCGTTGATTATGCAAGTTGAAATCAGGCGAAACTCAGAGATCACTTACCCTTCCGAATATTGAACAATGCGCCCATTCTTGGACCATCCCAACCAATTTGGACCGGTTTGGAAGTTCTCCGTACGTTTTAGAACCCGAACCACCTTTGCACTGTCATTGCTGGTTGGTGATTTGGCGATACTCCAAACTCGGAGGTCGCCGTCGTTCGTTTGCGTGGCCAGCATATCTGACTTTTGTCGCGAAGAGGATGCATGCCAGGCCAACGTAACAATTGGTGATGGTCCCCTAGAAGTCGTCAAATTATGAAGAATAGTAAATCTTGGCTGCAGAGCTGCAATCAGAAGCGAGCCATTGGAAAATCTATGGGACTGTCAGTGAGAGTCCTGCCAGAGAGAGATTTGATGCTTGAAAATACCCAATAGCATATGTTCTGCAATCTGCTGCTGGTGCCAAAGCCGTAATTGGGATCTGGTCTATCGTTCTCCCCGAAATATGTTCAGAGGTTGTTGGCTCGAACAGAATGACATTTCCCTGCGCATTTCCTGCGATCAATGAGCTTCCGCACCCTCGCCAAACCGAGGAGAAGGAGAATATCGTGCTCACCAAAAGCAACATTTCCATTTCGCATCCATGCTGCCACTGTCAAGTTCTCATAAGATGCAAAGCGCGCAAGCTCGTCCCCCGTCATACAATCCCACACAATGGCCGTCTGCCCAACGTCATAACTCACAACCAGTCGTCCTGCACCCCTCTCGCTCACCGTATCCACTGCTAATAACGATATCTCTTCAGTATGTCTCGAAAATCGACGCTCGATCATCAGGGTATCGTGGTGTGCGCAGACCACCGAATTTCCTTGCGCATACAAGAACATTGATGCCGTCGCAGCACATGGCTCAAAGTCCCGAGTCATCTCCGTCGGAGGCATACTGGCACTCAATTCTGATAATGTCGCCATCCTACTCTTCCCTTTCGATGAATGACCCGAGCCCATCGAAACCGACCGGTTTCTCGAGAGCTGTTCTGACATGGCGGCTGTGGTAACCAGGTCCTTCTTATCTGCGATACGAATAGCGAAGGTGTTAGTCGGATGGCCGCATAACGCGCATGTTCCAAAAGGGTGGTTACAGCAGATATACAGGGAGTCGATTCTCTAAGAGCCAGTGTCCCAAAATGTTTTGTACAATAGATAGTAAGGGAAAGGAGAAAGCCACCACATACAGATATGAGGGTGTCTTGCCGCCGCTCCAGCGGTTGTAGTTCTGCTGTACAGGGCTGATCACGGTCCACGCCCAATTCTTCTCAGTCGTCACATGGAGTTGCTGGACTGGCTGCCCGACGTCGGTTGATATCTAGATGTACCGAGTGGCCGGCTTTCGCGCCTGCTGTGTGGCTCTAGACAGCTGTGTTGCTCGCGTGTGTAAAGCAGCAAGTTCAGATGCTGTGCAATGGTCGAGAAGCAACACGAGGAGAAGACGTTTGAGTACAACAGAGGAGAATATGTGAGTAGCACGGGACCTCGTGGTGGAGGAAGCTACAAGACAGACAAAGTTGAACGGCTACCGCCTCATCTCCTGGGGGCGTCTGGACCCAACGACATGCAAGAACGGGGGACTTTGGCGCTTGTATCGGGGGCCAAGGGGGCCGAACGAAGATCCAACACGCTTTAAAGAGAAAGACTGGAGGCGTGGCCCCTAGGGACCGTATATGGCCTCATCGAGTCCGAGAGCGTTGTGAGAGCAGAGCGCCTAATCACAGGTGCTTTGAGCTGTCAATGATTGGTCCGAAGACAGAATTAGATATGCATCTCCAGCCGAACCATGGGATCTCAAGCGGATGCGGTCCGGCTCATCTCGATGCACCGAGTCGCAGCTCAAGAAACCAGGATCTGAGCCAGCCACTGCATATCGTCTAAGAGCCCCCTGTTGCTGTGTAGCTCCTACCACAGCTAACAAGCCTAGCATGGAGGGGCATGCAGCGTGGCTCAACCTCTCTCAAAGCAAGTGGCGGAAGCCCAGACAAGATCAGTGCAATAATAAAGTGCTCAGCAGAAGAAACCATGTCTGGTAGGCTGGCAATGAACATCGACGTGCCTGCTCATCACCGTCTCGTCACTTTCGTACTCACTATCACACGCTGTCCCTGACTCAGTACGGGGCAGAGCGGGTTCGAGGGGCGAGGGGCGTTGAAAAGCAGACGAATAGTCTGATGCCATACGAGTTCTGGGGCATGAGAGGACGGGCAGCAATGGGTCTGTATGCATCCTCATCCCAGACGAGGCTGTGGAATGGACTGAAGGGCCAGTGGGCCACTTGACTGGCAGACTGGGAGACTCGAATTCGGAATGGACATCCAGTTCAAGGTTGGCTGTCTGTTCAAGGCCGGCAAGGCAAGTGCGCAGTGCGCAGTGCAGTAAGGTTGAGGAGACTCAGAGAGGTCGTGACAGGGCAGCAGAGCGTGGGGATTGGAGGTTGGGTCGGACGTCGCGTCGTCTGCGGAGTGGGGCCTGCCACTGTAGTGTAGAAGCAGCCGACAAACGAGAACCTTGGAACCCTGGTGTCGAGGGACCTCTGGCTGCTGATTCGCCGGAGCTCGACCACCACCATATGCACGAGGAACTTTCAATCACCCCCCCCCGCTGCCCTATCACCGCCCTGGACGGCCCTGAGAACCAGAATCCGCTACTCCGTCCCTTTTGCCTAGCAGACCCTGAGCAGGGACCCCAAAGTACTAAACCTCGAGGTCCAGCGTCTACAAAGCTCTGGTGAGTGGTAAGTTTTCCCTCTTCCTCCCTCTCGCTCAAACTCTTCAACGCCCGCCGTTGTTCCACTCTCTCGCCTCTCCTCTCCTCTCCTCTCCTCTCCTCCCCTCTCCTTCACCTCCTGTTTGTTGTTCATCAAGCCGGTGCATTTTCGTTCGTCGTCTCTCGGCCGGTGTGACAATGCCTTGTCCACTTCCACAGTGTGACTCCGACATGAGCCGTACTGTCACCATGTCACCATGCAGCGTTGTGCCAGCATGTTCAACGAGCACGAAAGTGAGGGGTTGGGCTGGGAGTAAGTTGTGGCGTTCAGAAACACCTCTTCTCCCTTGAAGAAACTACCCCCGCTGTTCGTGATCCTTCAAGATCAAGACAAGCATAACTACCTGAGAACGGCCATGCAATATTTGGATCACCGATCAATAATTGAGAGAGACACGACATCGTCTAGCAATAATAATATGCAAAATGGGCAGGTGTGATGGAGATATCCAGGGGTCACTTGGATTGCCGATATTGTTGTGACCCGTCCTGCTCGCTCAACCCCCTCTCGGGTAGCATCCGTCTTTATCGTTATCTCCAAGCATGACCGTTCAAGTAGCCCATTGAGTAATATTGCAAGCATAAAGTCGATGTGTGACATCGAAAAAGTCTCCCGCTGCACGAGTGTCAAAGCTCACATCCCGCTGGCACAGCACGTATCCCGAGATCTTCATTCTGATGCTGGCCAGTGCAAAGGCCACCGCGGGGTAGAAGTCTCCATTGTGTTTGGACAATGGCGAAGAACAGCTCGAACCACCGAAGTGTTTCCCATATATTAACTGCAAGTCCAAGAGTTCCTTGCGATGCGATGCACCTCCAACCACCTGGTCGGGCTTTCTTGTGTACCTGCTTTTACCATAGAAAGACTCCACCACACCACGATGCAAGTGTGGTATCGTAGCCTGCCTGTCCTACGTTACCTCATGGCGTTCCTGCCTCGTCCAGACAGTCCTGTATCACACATCACATTTTGGGATCACAACAGTGAACAGAAGGCCTTTTGGCTTCCAGATCAATGCGGCCTGAAAAAGAGTCGAGACTCGTCTGATGATTGGGCGCAAAGTCAAAAATTCGTCTATTTGAATTTTCTCATTGGTCATGGCAAAGCTTCAAAATCCAAGTCTCACCAACGTCGGCGCTTAGAGCCCCTCTACAGTATCCACACAGGGATCATTCCTTACCGCTCCTTGAAAGGTGTGGACCAAACAGGGGCCCATGTTGTGTCTACTTGCATATTGGCACACCACAGATCTCATGGAATATTCAAAAGGTCACGACAATTATTGTTCACATGGAAGAGTTGTGAGAATATGGAGGAATTTCATTGTTCAGTCAATCCTTTCCCGTGTTTGACGACGATATTCGTCCAGTCTTCCAGTCCAAACACCAGTCAGGATCTTGCCGCGGACGCGGACCCGTGACGACGATCTCCAGGCAAGATCCCCCTCACCTCGCCTCGCCTCTCCTCTTGTTAACCTTCTTTCTCACCCCTGTTCCAACTCAACCGTCCGCGGAACGGCCCATTCGCAATAATCATCAGCCATGCCATAACTAATACAGGCAGACAGGACCGCTTCGACAAGGCTAACTACCAGAGTAGTATCGACACCCACACATGAACATCACGGTTCACTCCCAACATGGCTGACTTCGCCGCGTCGCATTTCGTGGGATGTTCCGAAACGAGATGAGACATCAATGCTCTGTTGATGAACAAACGACATTAACCTCTATTTGGAGGCGATAGACGAAGTGTCTGCCTCGCCGCCACGACGCCCCGGTACTCGACAGCGATACCCCAGAAGAAGGATGAAAGACTCCGCTTTCCCAATCGATAAGGACCTCGGGAGGCATAGTCGGCTTAGGCGGATCACCAAGTAAGGGACACGGATCGCGCTGGTGCGCGAGCGCGACTCGACGCTATCGGCTGTTGACCGCTTGGATGGGGTTTTCTATTTCAACCGACGGGGCAGCATCGTCTTTCTTGCCTCAAAGAGGCGACAATAGGCGGATGTGCGAGGACGCTCAGGCAATTTGCCAGCATGTTAGATGGATATCTTCGGATCGTCAGCAAGATGCGCGACAATAACCAACAAAGTGGCTGGGAGACAGGACGAGTATCTTACAATTTATAGGATCTGCGATAGACCCACGTCACAACCACACCCCTCACTCCACGACTTCCTCGATAGGGCTCATGTGCTTGCTTGTCGCACTTGAGCTCCTTGACTTCCTTGAACTGCTGCTGCTCTTCCGTCGTCTGCGATCCTTCTTCGCCTTCTCTTGCGCGACCAACTCTCTCATCAACGATCCATTATCCACCACGATCCGTGCTTTGCACATCATATTCGGGGATGCAGGCGATCTGCTGAGACTGGGCGTGGCGGGAGGGGTGCAGTCTTGTTCGGCATCATCGAAGACGCATGGGAAGAGTTCCTCGTCAGTGATGAACGAACTCGAGTGTCCCTCGTCCTCACAGCTTGAGCTGGAGTTTGAAGACAGAGATGAGCGACGAGGCCATGATGGGTAAGCGCAAGAAGGCGACTGTGGTCTGGCGTTGGAGGAGGATGGGATATTCATGGGTGCGGTCGAGTATGAAGTAGCCGGTGGTGATGGTGAAAATGAGAAATACATGATGAACTTCTCTGCGCACACTCGGTCTCTTGTAGAAAATGGGTTGTTGGTCTGACACAGTCGCAGTGACGCAGCAAAGAGTCAGAATGTGAAGTTCGGTGTACTTTCGGCGGATTTCTTATGTATCGTCAACGCCGATGCTGAGTATGTGCTCCAGTGAGTAACAGTAAGCCGAAAGGATCTGAACTCAGCAACTGGCAGTGGTCAAATATAAGTATTTTACTTGAGAGGCAAATACCAGAAAACGGGGTCTGAGTCCGGGGTGTCTTATGTTTGCTTTGTATCAGGAGGCAACAAGCAAGCAAGGCAGGTATGATTCAGTTATATCGTCTGGAACGCGGCGGTGCGCGTGCTGTTCCGGCGGGAACCAAAAAGCAACAAACCAGACGACGAGTAACAACGGACACATCCTCTCCCACCACGGAAACATGACTAGATTCCACCATTCACACGGCCAGGTGCTCAGCACTGGTAAACGAGTGCCGTCTGACCGCTGGACGTAGACCTTCCGTTGGCAGGGCGGTATCCTCACCGTCCCCCCACGATGAGCCTATAAGAGAGCTCGTGTTAGTCTGTCACCGCCGTTTGGTTCCCCCCCTTCGCCCATTGTTAGGCTCTGGCTGTGTGTTCTGGCTGCAATTCGATGTGATGCGATGCTCCGCTGACGGGTCTGTGCTGGCTGGGCTGTCCTTTGACTTTCTCTGGCTGAGGCTTCCCGCGACCCTTTTGGTTAGAGAGTGGGATTTCAAGGGAATTGTCATCCGGAAGGGTCCTGCACCCTTCCGTCGTGTCAGCACCGTTCTGGAAGCTAGGAACACACATCGCGAGTTTCCGCCCGCCGCCAGAGCCTGAACTACTACTGGACTGTATGTAAAGGTAAACGAAACGGCTATGTGATCAGACCGCCTGGGAGTCCAGAGTCATGAGCGAGCAGAAGTCCAGTCATAGCAATTCACGGCCTCCCACACTCCGGCTTCCAGATTCAATACCCGGTGAACCTCTCTCTCCTCCTCCCTTTGTCACCTTGACCAGCTTGACAAAAGTATTACTGTGGTGTGGCATAAAGCCATGTTGGCATCCAGGGTTACAGTACTGTAGCAACAATAAATCTGATCACATCACAAAAACGAAAACAGTGCTCATGCCCATCCCTTACAGTTTCACGCCTCCAAGTTTAGAACGTGGGAGTCTAGATCTTGTGGAAGGATGGGGGACACCAGACAAGGGGGTTTTGCCTTTGTGATCGCCCGGACCGTGGGATTTGCACCTCCACGTTTCTACTGTATAAGTATCTCTTCCACGGGGTGGGGTCGAGCCGAGCGCGGAGGCGAAACTGTAACCCCCACGTCCCATTATGGGTTTCTTTCCTCCAAACCCCTCGCTCAAAAGGTAATTTTGTACCCCACGAATCCCATCATGGTCGTCCTATGCCGGAGTTGTCGTGGAGGTCCTCATAAAAAATAATGTAACTTACTACTGTACGTACTTTTGCTGTCCCAAAATCAATATTCTAATCTGGGATCGACGAGGGGAAATTTATCGTCGTCTTGTTTGGGGGAAAGCCCTGGAGAAAGCAAGCAATCACGCTCGTGATTGCTCTCTTGTCACAGATATCTCAAGGGATGCGAGAGGATAGGTCATGAGTTTGCCTTCCTTGGGCGGCATGGAGTGTTTTGGTCAGGCTGAGGCAGCTGAAGCATCGCGAATAGAAGACTCAGGACCAGATCCCCCAGACTCAAAACTGACAAGTGCTTGTGACAGGTCCTCTTCCCAAGCTGTGTTATGCTTTATTGACTCAGCTCCTGGCGTCCCATATTCCTGATTTCTTCCCTTCCTATCAAAACATTGCTTTGCGGGCCTCGGCATGGCGAAAGTGACGTGTGTGACTGCGACGAGGGAACGAGGCTTGCGATGCTTCATTACTTGCTGAACGCATATTGCGCGGTGAAGGCCTTGGGCAGGAGACAGGTTCGCCTTCATCCTCACTCTAAAGTGTCGGTGTAATGCGAACCGGCGGTGGGCAAGGCGGCAAGCCAGATGGATGACAGATCGACCTCCTCGCCTTGAAATGGATGCACTGGTGCGTGTCCAGGATGTCGCATAGGGCGGATTCTTGCCCCGGATTGCCTCGCATGCTGCGGCACGCCGCAGCCGCCCGGAAAGCTTTATGAGTGTGATCTTGGTTTTGGTGTGAAGCTATCACAGTTACACAATTGGCTTTGTCTCAGCTTGGCATGTGATGGTGGCACGATCACGTTTACGTCACATGAGCTCGTTGAATGCGAGTCAGGAGCGTGGTCCAGTTCTGCTTCCTCTGCCTCGTGCAAACTCCTTGCAGTCTTCTCGGTATGACGTGGCAATAGCAGATGACATTTTTCGGAGTTCATTCGTCTGGACTCCTGGATTGAGAGGTATGAGATGACTAGGAAAACCCAACAGACAGTTGTGTCCTGGATCAGTCTTCTGCTTCACAGATAAAATTCTATTCACATCTATGGCATCTCTTTTCCTACTTTTTGAGTGGGTGTGCGAGTGGGTGTGTTTTCAAGCATGACGGGTTGCCGACATGTCGAGGCCGCGAATGTACAGATTTATATCTGAAACTAGGTTTACCACCTCGACTCTTCAAATATCAAAGTTAAAAGTAAGTTGTTCAGTTGCTTGCTCCCTTTTGGACCGTGGGGCATATATATCCGGAGGTCCAAGGTTTGATATTACCAGCATTTCCTATCAGCACTAAATCGTGGAAGAACAACAAGTGATGGAACTCCGTATAAAACCCTCGTGGCTTACACGATATAGCTTCATAACGGAGGGAAATTGCACTTCCATTGGATATATCAATTGAGCTCATAGAATTCTTAGACAAATTCAAGTGAGCAATCTTCCGTCTCTTAGATTTGATTCCGAGTGGACTCTGAGATGAGGCAGCCTCCGGTCATGCCTTTCACGGAAGAACAGGATGTCCTGGCTCGTAACAGGAACTTGGAGAGAAAGAGAACCTAGAACTCTAGCAGATGGCTCTGGTACGCCGACTGTCCCAGCCTCAGAAATATACTGACAGATATCGTAGTTGGAGATACAGGCGGCATAGGAGAATGAACATCCCGTGTCATGAATCAAACGCACTACCTCGCTCCGAGCCTATCTTGTCAGCTTGTCTGTCAACCATAGCCGAGAGGACCAAGCACAACTCACCAAGCCAGATTCTATGATCAAATTCCTCGCAGTTCATGTTTCTTCGCTGAAAGAGGTTTCGATAGTTTGCAAGGTGACTGCTTGTGAGTCTCAAGCCGAAATAATAGAGATAATCAAACGCATCGACACCAAATTTGCCCTCATTTACCACTTTCGGTTGCTCTTCACGTACATCCTCAAGCCCCCTCTCCTTAACACTAATCCAGCCGGTCTGCTTTTAAGAACACCGTCCATCTTCCTCACCGGCCACGAATGCATACTCGACATCTCAACTATTTAGCTAAAAGGAAAGTATTTAGCTTCCATGTGTCTCGCTTAAGCTATGATAGTAACCATACTATCCTTCTACGAAATTACTAGATCGATGTGGCGAGGGGGATAGTGAGAGAAATGGAATGCGCTTATATTGATCCAGATATTGGGACGAAGGGTGTCATCAGATACTGATATTTGCATGGGTAACGAGGGCAGTTGGCCATGTGAAGGCTTTGATTTTGCCGCCTTAAAGGCGGAGTGGAGATGTGTTTCTGGGATAGGGATTTGCGAATTAATATGGTGAAATAGAAGAAGGGGAGAGCAAAGACATTGACGAAGAGGTTCATTTACTGTTTCTAGGACTGGAGCATCGCTGGACATGAAGGATGCTGTAGAGCGGCGATCATCGAAAGAGCTGGCAAGGCTGTATGGCATCACATTTTAAACTCTGTTCTACAAATGAATGAGGATGGAAAGGTTTAAATTTTTTTATATTGCACTCTATATTTTTACATCCAAGCTATTTCTCCTCATGAACGCACCCTAGTTCCTGCTCGTTCCATCCTCTGGTCCTGGAAGACCCTCGTCATCACCAGGCTCTCTGTAGCTGCCAGTGGGCTTGGCATGTCTGGTCTTCTCGTCGATGATGTTAGACTCATCAATAGCTTCTTTGTCATCGCGTGCTATCATAATTGTAAGTTGTTGTTCGTCTATAACGCGAAAGTCAAAACATATAAATGATGACATACCAAGTTGCTCATCGCTGTCAGCAACCTCTGCATCAACGCCACTCTCAACAACGTCGTTATCGGATTGAACTGGAATTGGCCCATCCTTCTGACCAGATCGGGAGACGTAGTCGTTATCTTGGACATCGCCTTGAGGAATATCGGAAGACATATTGGGAGGTTTTGGGTGGAACTTTGGGAAATTTGAAGCTGATGATGGGTTTGCTGTAAATATGGGAGATGTGCTGAGTTGAAATTGAAGTTTATGGTTATCGAACCACTATATATACGACTCCAATGTACGGAATCGGGCTCATAGGTGCCATGCCAAAGCCACTTGTAAATAGTGATGATGCTCACATCTGCCACTAAAAGACCCCTAACAGCAAGGGACGTAGAAATGTTCCAACCTGTGCACGATCCTCACTCATTCTGATCGATTAAAAAGCAATATTAACATCAAAAGGTTCAAGTCTTCTCTGTACTATCGTGTTCGGATAGTAGATAAGATGTTGACCGCGGTGTCGCTTCCGATCATCGACGTCAAGACTAAAGGGAGATTTCGATAAGCGAGGCTCCTAACCCCAGACTTCCCCTGATCATGACTTTCGCACAGGACGCTTTCCCGTGGTGCATTGAATATACGCGGGAGCTCATGCTGACAGCGAATCATTGCAAACAAAACGGAGAAACAAGCAATTTGTGGCGCTGCGCAACTCCCGGAGATGACCTCCGGCGTTCTTGACAAGGTGGCTTTGTCGTTGTGGAATGGGAAGATCCCGTCTCCATTTGCATCATGACGAAAGTCAATTATGGAAGGTTGAGATAGCTCCCGTTGATGGTCCACACTAGCTACAAAGCAAAAACAGCTGCTGAATTAGTGTAGTGCTTCACAGAACCACGAAGCCTTATATGAGTTGACTTGGTTATTCAAGCACGGTGAAAGGGTTGGTCACTAATCACGGACATTAGCTGGGCTCGGTTTCTGGAATGCAGTGATTGAATGCTAATTCTGAGACTTGAAGATGATTGCATCCCGGGCGCGTCATTGGAACTGGAACAAAATCGTGGAGCATGGCTTCGAAACCCGACTTCATGGTACCATTATTCTTTGCATGAACCTTGCTATAGTCATATACGGTTGGCAGAACGGTGGGAAAACGCTCAGTCTACACCATCAGCTTCTGCGTGTACTCCAGATAGCATTAAGTCTCGCGATATAAGAAAAATGGCATGACAATGGTCACGAAAAGGATCAGAACACAAAAACGATCGGATGGCCTGGTTTCATTCGAGAGATGCTGACCTAGACCTGGCATACTACTGAGCAGGTGTTGCCTCAATTTCAGCATCTTCCACTCTGCTCAGCACACAGACACCTTCCACATGCCCCGTTTGAGGGAAAAAATCAAATCCTCTAAGAGACTCGATTTCATACCTAGTCCCCTTGCTTTCCAGCCCCCTGACCAACACACCCACATCTCGAGCTTGTGTATGCACATTGCAACTCACATAAACCACTCTCCTGGGACCGAAACTCAGCAACTGCGATAAGAAGCTCTCGTCACAACCTTTTCTTGGAGGATCTATCACGATAACTGTCTCGTCTTTGGGGTATGTGACTGATTTGAATAGCTCCGGAGCATCTGCAGCGATGAATGTACATTGAGATGGCGGGAGATTGTTGAGTCTGGCATTTTCTCGTGCCGATGTGATAGATGCAGCTGAGATGTCAATGCCAACGGAAAAGGTAAAGAGAGAAGAGAGTGTGATTGTAAATAAACCAGATCCGGAATACGCATCGATGAGATATTTAATAGGAGGTCCGGTTGAGGAAGATGGCGGCATGATGTGATCTCTGATATATTGCGTGAAAGGTGGGAGGATAGAGTTGTTGTTCTGGAAGAAGGATCCAGCTATGCTGGTGAAGACGAAATCGTCAATATACTCAGTTGAATTGGCATTATTGTCTGTAACACAAGACTTGAAGTCAGTATGTGTCGCAGTTGTTGTTTTGATGGTGTCGGGTAATGTTTTAGAAGCTGCCTCTTCGTCATTTTGTACTCTTTCAGTACTCTCGCGCAGCAGAATTGTGGCTCCTCTCCTGTATTTCTCTAATTCATTTGCCACCCGTACTCTTTCTTTTTTCATTCCCATCCTCACTGCGTCTGTTCCGATCGGGCAATCCTCAATATCCAAGGTCTTTTTCAGTCCTTTCTGCATGAATCCAATGTCTGGAACTTTCTCAAAGTAGTTTCGCTGGCCTCTCATCTTGTCCTGCTTGCTGATATATCCTGGAGGTCCGTCAAAATGAGGTGTGAGTTTCGTTCTATACCCATACTGGAGAGGGCTGCCAATAGTGTCTCCGATCACAGGGATCAATTCTGGAGGTAAGTCGGAGAAATTCTTGAAAGCCTTCTCGACAATTGTCTTCTTATGTTTCAACTGTTCAGAATAATCGAGCATTTGGAATTGGCATCCAGAACACTTGCTGAAGTACTGGCAATTGACTCGACTGTCGTCTCGAAGTGGCCCAGGCTTGACTACCGAGATGAAATCTGCCGTGGAATAATGTTGATCTTCAAAATGCCTGATAACCTTCACCTTGAGTATGTCGCTAGGTGTGCCGAATGGCACCACGTATATCTGATTCGAGGAGGGGTGTTTTGCCAGGCCGTCACCTGTAGAGGATATTTCCAGCACTTCAACCTCTGTCTCCGTGAATGGTTCTGGCAGATCATATTGAACATTTGAAGTGCTTTCTTTCGCTTTCTCTTCACCATGCGGATGCGGCTCTTCCTTCGTTGTAATTGGTGTCTCTATGTCGGAGGACTCGTGCGAGGTGGTTTCTGTGAGCTTCTGCTTTGCGAAAAGAGCCCGAACATCTGCAAGCAAGACTTCATCGCCTTCCTTCGCAGGCTTTTCCTTCCTAGTTCTCTGCCTTTTCGCTCCTCTTCCGCCTTGAGCTGGTCTCTTCCTCACTTCTTGCGCCCGACCATCTCCATCTTTTCGAGCTTGTTCCAATACCTCCATCGGGCGGTAGCTAAATGCTTGTGTATAATTTCTTGCGGAGAATATCCTCGATTTGAAAAGTCTGGGTGCTTGTTTAGACCATTGCAACATCTGGAGGTGTCGCGGAATTCCAAGAGGTAAGAGAATGAAGCTGTGGATGCTCTGTGGAATTTTTGGTGCTCCTGTTGTTACCCAACTTTTTCTTGGATCATGCTTACCTTGACAGGTTAGACTTGAAATTTAGCCCACTCGCTAGCAAGGGTCTGCGGGCCAGCATCTTCACATGCGCTGGATAACAACCGAAAGCAGAAACAGGATAGGAGTAAACAAAGAAGCTGGCAAGTTTACAATTTTCAAAAAGTGAACAAAAAAGTAGGCTAAGGTAAAGATACCCACTTAGCGAGTTACCGTAGCTCACATCCCAGGAACCTAAATTATGTGGGATAATTGTTTACACGTCTCCCAGTCTCAACGTACCATCGAGAAAGGACAAGCCTGGAGTCATGCGCAGAAAGTCTTCTTGCATGAAATTCGCTGATATTTAATACTACAGTAGAGCGGTTCAACGAGCGTGAGACCGAAAAGTGAAAGAAGTATTATGATGTACACCCACCAATAGTGAGGATCGGCCAATGTTGCCTACAAAGAAGGAAAAAACGTCATCCAGTCCGGAGTATTGTATGCAGCTAATGGTAGCTCTCTTATACTGATAAACGCCTCAAGAACTAAGTACGTTCGAGCAGATATGTATGCAATCCCACAAAGTGAGCAGACCACTCCCAAAGAAGCATAACTGATCCAGTGCGCTTCGTACATCAGAACTCGGTCCCAGTATGCATCAACGGCTTTCCATTCATGAGCAATGAGATTTATGAACAGCCAGAGTAAACCCGAGAATGATATATAAACAGCGGATGCGTGCCATAGCCATTGTTCCGCAACGGAAGTAAAATAGTCGTTCCAAGCTGCAATATGTATTGCTCCGTACGCCACACTTAGACACCATAACGTCATTCCCATGATCAGACCCTCTGTTCCTCGCAGTAGGTCTTCAGCGGGCCAATTACTTGCAGACCGAGTAATCAATTCTTCGGGTACCATCTCAGTCCACTGGGGTTCGGTCTGGTTCGTTGCTCCATAGCGACTGCACAGGAATGGGTATAGGCGAACAGCTTCTGCAGCCAGCTTCCAGCGCTCTGCTTGCATTGCAGCCGGAGTTTGAGCCCTCTCCACTACGCCAACCAGTGTGTAGGCCTCATGTGGGGAAGGTTGCGATGGAAGATTTCGGGATGGTCGAAGCGCAAAATAACACGTCGTAGTATTGTTACTGGGCTCGATGGCCGAACCGCGAATTGCATCTTCATCTTGAGTCGCATCGTGTGAAGCTTGTGGGTGGAGAGATCTCGTCTCCTGATCCGCCGAAGAAACGTTGAATAAACCGGTATTCGATATGTCAACCTTTCCTTGACGGGTAAAGAAACCCACAGCAGACGCTTCCGGCTGAACCCACGCTTGCCAGAGTGCTCCAGCATGATTCCGCTTCGATCCACTGATCTGACTGCTCATAAACATATATGCGCAAAGAGGCTTAATCCAATCACCTGAAATGGCTGTTGGTTCATGGACCAGTCTGGGCTTATGCCACCAAAGAATGTAGACGACAAGCGCACAGAAGACATGTGCGATTGTGTTGACTTCCAATAACGTTACTGGCAAACCAAGAATAGCTCGAGCAATGACCTGTACAACCATCCAACCAGCTTGGAGACAGACGAGAGTTTTGGCAAGTCCATCTGCTTTGCTCTTATCAACGATTTCGTCTTCGGGTATATCGGGTAGATGGCCACACCCAGCGAGGAAGGCAATTCCACGGGCTGATAAAGTAAGATACTGGTCGCCAGGAATATATTGCTGTCCTTCGTCCTTGCAAAGGTCGCCTGGCTGAATGATAAATCCCCCCATACCGGCATAAAAGCTGTGGACCGTAGTCCATGGATGTCTTCTCTCGGTGGAGCTCTTCGTCTAGGTTTGACGTCAGTTAGTTGACGGTCATACGCCTTCGACAAATGTCAGTATTGGGTAGCAAACCTTCTCTTTCGTCTCACTTATGTGGTGGTTCATCCGCTTATGAAGTTCTTTCGCAAAATTGTACTGTCTCCAAGCCGCGAATACCACCAATTCTGGAGCAAAGATACCAATCAATCCCCACTTGAGATGCCGGAACCATGACTTCGTTAGGGATTCATTGTGAGGAGAAATATTCAGGTGCATCGCAGACCAAACACAGAGGCCTAGGGTCAGGAGACAGGAAACAACAAGAGAAAACGTCCCTCGTCCGTCTGGGCCTGACACCCAACCAACAGTTGCTGCAACGGAGCCATTCAGTATCGAGATAGCCGCTGTCATCTTGAGAAAGTCTCGAATGATCAAATGCCGTTGAATTGTTTAAAGACGTGGAATCAAACCAGAATATTACATCTCGAAGAGAAGGGCGGAGAACAACAGGACGATTGATGATTTGCCCAAACCATGTCTTATTCCTAAATCTAACAGAACGCAATATGGCCCATGCTTGATCCTTTGGTGCAAGGAATAAGAATGCCGGAAATATCACTTGGGATGAAATCCAGCGCAGAATTTCTCACAATGGCATAATAGGCTTCATCACTAACAGGAAACCCTGCCACAGCACCTTTGGTAAGGAGCTCTTCATCTTAGATAGCCAAGAGCATCATCTGAAGGGATTTAGGAAGAGAAGTAAAAGATGCAGTATCGAATCATCTTTCGACGACAAATGCCAACAACAGGCAGGCCTGCTCTGCAAACAAACGTGTGTCTCGGGGGGTTGAAGGTCAAACAAAGGATGCCTGCCGCAGGTCTTCCTTTGACGCAGCCTCCCGGGGCAACTACCCGCACACATCAACAAAATGTTCTAAAACAGCTGGCTAGAACCCTCTAGATATTGCTGTTTTGCTTCTTTCATGTTTCAAAAGGCTCTCGTTCCCCTCTTGCTCACAAGTGTTCACATCATCGTTTCCGGTTGTCATCAACATAGCAATACCTGCTCGAATCTTTTTTACGGCCAGTGGACGAGGTTCACGCAGCTCTGGGGAGATGTCATACTCGCGTAACCGCATCTCGCAAAGATCTGAAGCAAGTTTGCCCCCAGCTGAGCACGAAAGCTGTTTGTGCTAACAACTGGGCTCATAGGTCGTGACAGATAACATGAATGCAACGATCAACAACGCGTCAACACAGCAAGCTCAAAACGGTCCCTGTGGACTCCTTTTTTATGATGAATTGCGTAAGTCAAAGTAATGAATCTTTTTGCAACCATGTGCTGACCATACTTCAAGCTTCTTGGCAGCAGTCAGTCGATCTCCATTTCAACTGCCACCAACACAGCTGATATGCGCAGGGACAATGAATTCTTTTTGTCAGGCCACCGGTAGGGACAATTTAGGCTTTTGCAGATCATGAGAGCTTACATGCCAGGCCTGCGACAGGCTCATTCCGAAAATCGCTCCAGGGCCTGACGCACATCCATAACGAAACTGGTAATTGGCTTGACTCCCACTCCCATTTGAACTATCTGTCTAAGTTAACCGAACACAGTGAACATTTATTCCCATTTGTTCGGCTCTGTTCTGTTCCTGATACTCCCGGTTATCCTATACACGAATGTTTTCCCCCGTTACAGCAGCGCCACAAGAGGGGACATCGTAGTCTACTCCACGTTCTTCTTTGGGGTAGCTATTTGCTTCTTCCTATCGGCCTCGTGAGTGTTCTTTGACAAATGCGCTGCAAGAGCGGTAACTGAACGGTTGCAAAGGTTCCACATCTTCGGAAACCATAGTGCAATGGTGCATCGGCAAGGAAACCAGCTTGATTATGTGGGGATCGTGATTTTGATGTGGGGATCAACCATACCGTCCGTTTACTATGGATTCTATTGCGACGCAAAGCTCCAAAAGCTATATTGGGTAGTGGTCAGTCTCGCTCCAAAAGCCCGAAGCAATGGGCATTGTAGAGTTGACTTATCTTTAGGTTACAATCCTCGCTGCTGTGTGCGTATATGTTACTCTCCACCCAATATTTCGAGAACGTCACCTGCGGCCGTGGCGAGCAGCGATGTATGCAGGTTTGGGCCTTTCGGCTATCGTATTCATCGTGCACGGCTTGGTCATCCACGGTTGGGAGATTCAAAAGCACAGGATGAGCCTCAAATGGATGGCCGTGATGGGATCCCTCAACATCGCTGGGGCAGTAGCTTATGCTTCTCGTGTGCGTATTGATATACTTCAGACCTATCCAAGCTGCTCCTAACTTCTCATTAGGTGCCTGAAAGGTGGTATCCGCTCCGGCATGACATATATGGGAGCAGCCACCAGATCCTACATTTCCTGGTGATCTTCGCCGGCTTGGTTCATATGTTCGGACTTCTCCGAGCCTTTGACTATCTCCATGCGGCTGGCAGCCCATGTGCTTCGGTGTAGCATAGTTAATTCAGCAAGGTGTTTGACTTCCTACATATTCGGAATTGTTCACCAATTTTTTGGTAACCCTTGGTTGCTTACCGATATGGATTCAACTATGAACAAATGAGTCAATTGTTCATCAGTGGTGAAGTATAGATGGGCTTTGGGAAAATACTGGGAACTAGAACCGCAGGATAATCGAGACTCCAGGGAAGTGGATAGAAGCACCCAGAATAATGCACTCTATCAGAATCAAAACGACGCTTGGAAGCAAAAACAGAGTGGTATTGTATTGCTGGACAGCTGAAAGTTCCAACAAAACATGTTTAGAATGCAATCTAAACTTCTAAACAATTACTTGCCTCTGAACAAGTGTCGGGGATCCAGGGCTCGTACCAAGGGTGCTGTCAGTTCCAACACTCACCCCTCGTCCCAGCGGACTGCCCTTCGCCGTGCCTAGCTCCGCATGTACTCGATCCAATGGCCTTGTCGTCTTCCGTTGCGGTCGATATGGCGAGACTGGCGAAGAAGGACGCACATCTGGCGATCCCCTCCGTGATCCCGAACCCTCTCTACTCCTAAGCAACCATGGCTCGGGCGTACCCTGAGGCGGCATACTTTGACTTTGTTCTCTAGACCACCGCGGACTACCAGGCGGGTGCCCTTCATTTTGGTCGTATTCCTGGTATGGAGTTCCACCTCGTGAATAAGCATACCCATCTTGGCCTTGATGCTGATACTGATATTCCTCACCTCTTCGCTTCACCGGACTCTCATCGTAGGGATCGAAGCCGACCTTCTGTCTGGCCTCGCGACGGGTTCGACGGCGTTCCTCGCCGTCGCCTCCAGCTCCGGTGGTGGATGACTCTTCCAGGAAGAAGGTGAGGAGCTCGTCGGGTATGGAGAGGTGAGAAGATTGTTGGAATTGTTGGAGCGCGGTGAGCCGGATGAGCATTTCGAGCAGGGAGAGAGAGGAGCGGATTGGACCGAGAGGTGAGGGCTTTGGCGCGGAGGATTTCGAGAATGAGGATGAATTGGTGACTTGTTGAGCAGACGGGGCTGGAGAGGGCTTTGGGTTGATAGTAAGGTGGGCGAGATCATCTGCTAAGACCTCTTCGGTTTGCTCTTCACCAGAGGAGCTTGGTCTGTGGGACATATATGCTGAGTCGTCGTTCACGTCTAGCCCATCTTCTGAGTCGGAATCCTCAGATTCGGTATAGACTTCGAGAGCCATCCATTCTGGATCTAGATCCGCTGGAAGACGCCATGCACGGTTGTCCACAATTTCCTGCTCGTGGGCGATCTCTTGAGTTCTGGGAACGGTACTTTCTCTTCGAAGCTGCTGGTCAATGTCGTCTTGGGAATCACCCTCTTCTGTTCCTGAAGTCTCAGACACAGCTTCGTCCAATGCCTCGGGCTCCTCTGTGGGCTCATCATACCATTCATTGCCTTTTTCACCCTCTTCCATCATTCTTCTGGGAGGCTGTGCATTGATGTCTCTCTTGAGTAAGAGGACGGGATTGTTTATCTCGCCTTGATTGCCAATATTGAGAATTTTCCCCGTATCTGCATAGAAGATCTTGGAGATCTGGTATATTGGTAGAAAGTCCCGGATACCAGCAAGTTGAACATCTCCATACGGTCCAGGTTGTGGTACATCGTCCTCGAATGTGTGTACCCTGTCGTCTTCCAAATCCTCAATCATTTCAATGTGATACGCATACTCGTTCTGCCGACCGTCTCCAGACATCATTGGATTCTTGTTGCTGCCATTCTCAATAGATTCAAGAACTGGAATTTCTTCTCCGTGCATATGTTGAAGAGGTATACGCATAAGCTTGACTCTAGCTTTGTGTATAACTTCCTTCCAGGTTGTATCTCTCATGCTCTCTGAATCATGCACTCTGTAAGAATGTCCAGCAAAGAGCATGTAAAGTGAGAGCGTAAAAGCGGGACCAACTTGAACTGAAGTAGATGGGTTCATAGAGTACTGGGTATCCCCGGCAGTGAGAAATGTGCTGGCCTGCAGTAATCTGGATGGGGATACAGAAGCTGGCAAAGTGGTTGAAAGACTGGCACCTGAAGTGGTGATGGCCAGATTGATAAGAGGAACTGCATCTTCGATACGGACAAGGAGATGCTTGATATCCTGAACTATGAGATGGATTTCGACCTCATGAGCTGCTTTAGTATTTGCCTTTTTCCTCCGAGAAGACTCTTCAGCAGTGGCGGCCTTGGCAAGTCGCACACCAAGAGCTTGAATATCCCATCGAAGGCCTTTAGTGAGCGTGACCGCAGATTCTAAGGTTGTGTTTCCCCTGGCCGAGCTAAGATGTGTTAGGACCGATGTATAACAAGGGAAATATACTCACATGAGCTCTATCAGATCGATTGCTGGAGAAACTATCTGATACAGATTAGCCAATCGTACTGAACAGAGCTAGTAACGACATACTCTGATTTTGCTATTCAGTCTTTCCTGAAGAGCATGTAGTTCTCGATAGTCAGTACTATTATCCACAGTCTTCTACTTGTTAGCCCTGTATTTGTCACATGGACTGTATCTGAGCCGTACCTTGAGCAGCCGTGAAGTTTGTCTGAGAGTGTAAGATGCTGTAATTCCGATTCCTGCTCTGGAGGAAATCAGTCATAGAGTAAGTAATAAATATGCCTTGCTGGCAAAACATACCTTATGGCATAGTTCATAGCATGTTGTGTGATCTGTTTCCGCATCCATCAACACGTGACCACGATAGGCTCGATTTTGAGCTTGAATTGCCATACCTTGCCTAAGAACTCGTCCATGGCTATTTACTAATCCCTACGAGGCACCTGGATTACGCTGATATGAGTGTGGCAAGCAATAGTCGAGATTTTCTCATTGCGAAAATTTGAGAAGTATTTACTTTTCACGCGTCTTCATATACGCGAATGGAGTCGTGAAGAAGGCAGCTGCAGCATTGTGATTGGGCTTAATCGAGGCTAGTGCTGGGGTAGATAAAGCCAGGAAAATTCTTTACTGCCCCAACTGCCTGCCCTCTGACTTTCACTGACTTTGGCCTTACCTTACGGTGAAGCTTTTAGATACCTGAATACCATAAGATTGAGCCTTACCTAGGTACTTCTCGTTTATGCTTCATCTTAACTGACCTCTTCATCTGACTAACCTCGAGTCAGTTTTGAGTCACAGTGACTTGGAGATATTGGCTGGTGACGTACAAAGTCACAGCCCCTCGATAAAGACGGCCGATAAATCGCTGCCCCACTTCCCACAACCACCTGCGGACACTTTACTTTGATCCGAATCCTACAAAAGCGTCTCGAGCTGTGCAGAAAAACACACAGTCTAGCAACGCCCGCACACACTCCAATATGTCGGACCTCAACTCGTGGGAGGATGACCCTGCGGCCCAGGAGGATCTGTCCCGTCAAACACAACAAATGAACCTGAACAATACCCCTCAACAGCCACAGCAAGGTGGAGGAGCACCCAGTTTCCGCCCCGGCGCAAACTCATTCCAGCCTGGAGCGCAGTCTTTTCAACCAGGTCAGAATTTCCAGCAATATGGAGGATACGATCAATCGGGATATCAGAACCAAAACTTCTACCAAGGTGGTCAGGGCGGCGCACAGGGCTACGGAGGATACCCTCAGTATGGGCAACAAGGTGGCTACAACAATCAGTATGCTCAAGGAGGGTACAATGCTGGAGGCTATCAACAACCAGCCTACAATGCTGCATATAGTGAGTTCGCCCGCAAATTATGCCACATTGTATAGTCGCTGACTCGGGCATGTAGCACAACAATATCCGGGCTATTCTCAACAACCCCAAGCTGCCTCCTCAACCGCACAACAACCCGTCCGACAAACACCGACGATCGCAAAGCGACCAGCAGATGGGGCATCAAGCTCCTCGGATTTGAATAAGCCAGTGACTACCAAGGCAGGCGCTCCAAAGGTTCTGAGCATTGGTGGAGATGCGCCAAAGCCCAAGGCCAAAGTTCTCTCGATTGGGACCCCTGCAGCAGCCCCAGCAAAGAAGGAAGCACCAGCAGCCACTCCAGCAGAAGCAGGCGCCAAGGTTACAGCAGCCAAAGCGATCGAGAAGACAGAGAAGTCTGGAGCGTCTGAGAGCGGCAAGACATCGCCAACGCCTTCGTCTGGACGCTCGAGTCCTACACGAGCAGCAGCCAAGGCAGTTGTTCGCGAAGCAGATGCTGTGGAGAAGGAGCAGGCTGCAGATGTGGACGACGAAACCCTGAATGAGATTTATGGCAAGGAGCACGTCAATATCATCTTCATTGGACACGTCGATGCTGGAAAATCAACACTTGGTGGAGCAATTCTCATCCAGAGTGGAATGGTGGATGAACGGACCATCGAGAAATACAAGAAGGAGGCTAAGGATATGGGCCGTGAGACATGGTGGATATCTTGGGCACTGGATCTTACCAAGGAAGAAAGATCCAAGGGAAAGACTGTCGAAGTCGGCCGTGCATTCTTTGAAACCGAGAAGCGACGCTACAGTATTCTGGATGCCCCTGGTCACAAGACATATGTGCCCAGTATGATTGGAGGTGCTTCACAGGCTGATGTTGGAATTTTGGTCATTAGTGCCCGGAAAGGAGAGTACGAAACCGGATTCGAGAAGGGTGGCCAGACTCGAGAGCACGCAATGTTGGCGAAGACCCAAGGTGTCAACAAGTTGGTGGTCGTCATTAATAAGATGGACGACGCTACTGTCGAGTGGTCTGAGAAGCGATACCTCGAGTGCACAACGAAACTTGGGGCATTCTTGAAGGGAACTGGATTTAACCTCAAGACCGATGTCTTCTTCATGCCAATTGCAGCTCAATCATTCATTGGTCTCAAGGACCGCATCCCCGACGGAATCTGCCCATGGTACAGTGGCCCATCGCTGCTCGAATACCTTGACAACATGACATCTTTGGAACGCAAAGTCAAAGCACCTTTCATGATGCCTGTGAACGGTAAATACAGAGATATGGGCACTCTTGTTGAGGGAAAGATTGAGGCTGGTGTTATCAAGAAGAACATGTCATTGATGATGATGCCCAATCGCGAAAAAGTCGAAGTTGCAGCTTTGTATGGGGAGACTGAAGAGGAAATGAATATCGCTCAGAGCGGAGACCAAATTCGGGTACGACTCCGGGGTATCGAAGAAGAAGACATCATGCCCGGGTTCGTTCTGTGCTCGCCAAAGCGTCCAGTCCACTGTGTAAAGGCTTTCGAAGCCCAGATTCGCGTTCTCGATCTGAAGAGTATCTTGAGTGCCGGTTTCAACTGCGTCCTTCACGTCCACTCGGCAATCGAAGAAGTCACGTTTGCTGCGTTGCTTCACTCGTTGCAGAAAGGTACAAATCGCCGAAGCAAGAAGCCTCCGACACACGCAAAGAAGGGTGACAGCATCATTGCCAGACTAGAGGTCATTGGTGGAGCCGGTTCTGTATGCGTGGAGCGTTTCGAAGATTATGCCCAACTGGGACGATTCACTCTTCGTGATCAGGTAATCACTTCTGACCGTCTTCAACGAATCCAGCTAACATCTCTAGGGCCAAACTATTGCCATTGGCAAGATCACTCGATTGATCACGGAAGACGAGACTGCGGCAGCTTAATTGAATTGCATAGGATCAATGACTTACGACACAGTGACTGTGGCAGTCTAAGGCGCTAGCTTCGAACCATATGCATTACATGGAGGACTTCATGTAGACTATGTATGCTGTATGCAAAGGTCGGGATCACTAAGCGCCAAGTGTGAGAGTGAGAGTACTTGAACTCCTCAAATAAAAGCCGACTATGGGAATTTCAGCTTATTTACTGACTGTGTGGAGCTTCAGTCTCTGGTTGACCGAGCCGCCAATGTCAACAATGCCGATCTGCACCTAACAGTAGCCGAGGTGGCTAGAATTCTTCTGAAAACAAGATCTAAGCGGATCGGGAGGCAGCCCCCGTTTCTTTTTCCTGTATATGCCTCTTCGATCTCCTTCCTAGAGAAACCACCATCACTCTTTTCCAAGCATATACGCGCCCAAGTGGATGTGAGCTGTGAATTGCTTTCTGACTGTCATATGTCGAAAGTGGGGTGTCCGAAGCTATCCATTGATAAGGGTTCCCCCACTATTTGCCATTGTCAGACCAAGCTGCATTGGTAGAAGACAGAATTGATTTGTTACATTTGCACAATGAGTTAGCTTCATGGTCCTCCATGGCTGTTGTCCTTACACTGACAGTTAAGATTATGTTGGGGTTGGATTAGGCATTCGCTAGTGAGCCAGGGTCAGGGTTCTCCAAGACCCCATCACATGAACAAAGGATTGTGAGGGGTATCTCGGCATATTTATTCCTCAAGTATCATACATTCTCTCTTAGTACCCAGGTACCGTACTAATTGAGCTTGTTCATCACAGGAAGCGGAGCTCGCTTAGGGCAAGTTTAAAAGATCCACATATACAACCAGCCACTCAGCGCCCTACGTTTAAGTTCCGAGGTAGTACTGCTAGAGCCTGAGCGTGTCTCCTGCAGAGGACGATTCCAGTTAGTACGGTACTGTCTAATGGCGCAATACATGCCCTCCGTTGCCGATATCTCGTACTGTTCCTTGGCATTCATACATGCATGGTACAGACCTTCTGTTCCTGATAAGGTTGCTACCCTGAAATGCTTGGTACTGCAGACCCCTCATCGCATATATGCCTTTTTCTCGACCACCTTCTCATCATGGCATGTTGTCCGAAGCTTTGCACTATCGTAGTCAAGATATGCGGAAATGACTCGTGAACAGACCTCGTATCCAAGAGTGTGACAACTTCGAGGAGCTTCGAAACTACTTAAGTACAGTCATGGACCTATCTTCTGGGCCTTGCTCTGGTACTCCCAGACTTCCTGGTCAAGGCTGACAAGATGCGAGTCTCTCGGATTGTTTATACACTTGTACTGCCCTTCGCGGTAAGCGCTCGACTCAATCGTCGTCAAAATGCCGATTTCACGGTAAACAGCACAGGACCAGTTCCCGGAGGCTACATCATTGAATACGCAGTTGTAAGCATACCATATCTCTGCTGCATTTCATACTAAATGATATGCAAGGGAAAAACTTTTGCTCGTGATGGAATTGCCGCCAACGAAGAGATCGATGTCCTAAAAACCTTCGATAGTGTAGTGTTCAATGGTGCTAGTATCCAAACCGATACTTACACTTTGGACACTCTCCTGGAGCTCCCTGAAGTGCTAAATGTTTGGCCAAATAATTTCGTCCAACTCGATCCCACTGCTCCGCAAGGCTTTAGCGATGATGCTTCTGCTCGAGAGTATTCGTCGCATAATACTACTGGAGTGAGTAAACTCCACGAGATGGGTATCTTCGGAGAAGGTGTGATTGTTGGTGTTGTTGATACCGGTACTTGGTATGACCACCCAGCGCTTGGTGGAGGATTTGGTCCTGGATTCAAGGTCGCGAAAGGACACGACTTTGTTGGAAACGAATGTGAGAACATCATGATTGGATTTGTGACTTTTGGTCTGACCTCAACAGATTATCCGGACTCTGGTGAAAGGGCACCAGATGACGATCCCCGGGACCAACAGGGTCACGGAACGCATGTTTCTGGCATCATTGCTGGGAAGAGTGAAACGTGGAGTGGTGTAGCACCTGCTGCTACTCTCTACTCTTACAAAGTCTTCAGTTTGGCTGTAGGTCTTGATGTTTGAACTTGGAACACCTACTCAATATCCGTAGGGCACCACCGATACCGCCACACTAATCGATGCGTTCCTAACTGCTTATAATGACGGTGTAAGTGTCCTATCCTGCAACAACTTCTAGACTGCTGACCAATCTAGGTGGATATCATAACCGCTAGTATTGGAGGTACGAACGGATGGTCTACCAACGCATGGGCTGAGGTCGCTTCACGTCTCGTTGATGAGGGCGTTGTCGTCACTATCTCAGCTGGTAATTCTGGTGCCGCTGGACCATTTTTCGGAAGTTCTGGTAAGTACTTAAACAATCTTAGCAACTTCAAATACGAAATACCAACCTCAGCAGGCTCCTCCGGAAAGAAAGTAGTAGCTGTTGCTTCGGTTGACAGCGAGAGTATTGCTGCCTCACCATTCAACGCAACCTTTGTCTTGGATGGAGCTACAAACACCACTACCGCTGGGTACCTACCTGCTACCTTCTACTTCCCAAGCACAATAGTTGACTGGCCAATCGTCCCCCTAAACCTGGACACGACGACAGCTGCCGATGCCTGTAACCCATATCCAGCTGGAACTCCTAGTCTGAAAGGAAAGATCCCACTTGTCCGTCGAGGCACATGCACATTCGCTACCAAACAAGCAAATTTGAACGCGCTCGGAGCTGAATACGTTCTTGTCTACAACAATGCGGCGGCTCTCATCGCACCCAGTACCACCAACTACGACAGTCTCATTGGGATGATAACAGCAGAGGCAGGTGCAGCAATCATTGCAACGGTCAAAGCTGGCGGCAACGTCACCGCGGACTTTTCACTCAACCCTGAGATGGTTGTTGGATTGGCGAATGCTGCTGGCGGACGACCAAGTACCTTCACATCTTGGGGAGGGCTCTACGACTTGCAAATGAAGCCTGATGTTGCCGCTCCCGGAGGTGGCATCTTCTCAACGTACCTGGATAATACTTACGCTTTGCTGAGTGGAACCTCGATGGCTTGTCCTTATGTAGCTGGTGTTGCAGCTCTATACATCAGTGTCCATGGGGGACGAAAAGTTCACGGCAAGAGCTTCGCCAATACCCTTGCCAAGCGACTTATCTCCAGTGGTACTTCACTGCCGTGGTCCGATGGAACAGCCACGAATTATAGATACACTGCTTCGGTTGCGCAGGTTGGAAACGGACTCATCAACGCTTTCAAAGTTGTGAATTACACTACGGCCTTAGAATTCGATAAATTTGCGCTCAATGATACGGCTCGATTCAGTCGCTACCACAATGTCGCAGTCACTAACTCAGGAAGGAAGGCAGTCACTTATACACTGTCTGGTGAAGCAGCGGCTGGTGTAGAAGTGCTTGGATTTTACCCTCTTCTGACATCAAATGACGATGCAAGACTAAAGAGTTTTACTGAGCTGACTCCGAAGAGTTTTGCCGTGGATATATCTTTCCCCAGAACTTTTACTTTGCAACCCGGAGAAAGCAAGACTGTCAGGTGGGTCTCAATATACCAAGGAAGTTTCATGTTGTTTTACTAATACTTGTATTACAGTGTCAACTTTCAAAATCCAGATTCAAAAGGTTGGAATGCGGCGACATTGCCAATCTATAGTGGTAAAGTCATTGTGTCTGGAAGCAATGGAGAGCAACTATCCGTTCCATACCTAGGTATATATTTAGCAGAAAATAGAGCGATGGCAAGCTAACAAGCAGTAGGATTAGCGGCAGACCTCAAAAAGGAGATGACTCCCATCTATCGTACGACATACCCATATTCCAAATCGAACGTGGCATTCATAGATATCAAGCAGAAAGCTTCGTAAGCGCGCCAAATTCCAATCGTCATCGTCAATCAGCAACACCACTAACTGAATTCAGATATACTTTCAACCTCAGCATCGGCGCCCAAGACTTCCCCAAAATCTACAGCAAAATAAAATGGGGCACCAAACAAGTCCGCTGGGACATTTTCGACAAAACCTGGACCGAGCGCGACTGGGTCTACCCACCTGTCGTTGGAAAGAACGGATATATCGGCCCAGCGACCTGTTGGGTGGGTGCTGGCCAACTCAGTTACTTCGACGGTAGATACTACGACCCCAACGAGACTTGGACGTATCCGGTTACGGATGTGTATCGAAATGCACAGACTACGGCATCATTCCATGAGTATTGGTGGTTTGGGAAGTTGGGAAATGGAAGTCAGATCGAGGTGGGGAACTATACGATGAGGTTTGCGACGTTGAAACCATTTGGTAGCCCGGAGCGGGCAGATAATTGGAGTGTTTTTAAGACGCCGCAGATTGCGGTGTTGGGGAAGTACTGAGGGGCGAGCAGAATTTATTGGGAAGTGGGGGAATGGGAGAGATGATCTAGCGCAGAGGATTAAAAGGGATTTACTGTTAAAGTAACTTTTGACTTTTGGATCAATGATGTTGATATTTACTTTCCTGAAGCGATGTTTACGGACCAATAATGGTTACCGAAGTAAGCGACAGAGCTCAGACAGCACATTGATTTATGCAGCTCAGGATGTATATACATCATTTTTACTATACAACGTTGCCTAATGCCCAAAAACCAACGCCTCCATGGGATCAACCTCGTCCTCCATATCAGTATCCTCCTCATCATCCTCGCCCAAATTCATCTTCTGACCCAACAGATTCCCAAAGAACAAATCAATAGCCTCTGGTCTCCACGAAGTCCGATCCTCTGGTGCCATAAAGTTCTGCAGTTTCTCATGCACAGTGAAGCGCATTTTTCTTCCCTTACTAGCCTTTGTATCGACATTCTTCCTCGTCTTGACTTCCTTCACAGCTGTCCACTGCAACGCCTTTCCAGCTGCAGGGGCTGTTAATGACTCCACACGTCTCTGATCAACAAGCTCTTTCAATAACATTTGATAAAAATTGCCATCATCGTAGATGTTCGGGTCTTCGGTGAGCTTCGCATCTCGCTGTACTGGGGCACATGCTCGTGGTATTCTGGTCTTTTGGACGAGATGCTCTGAGCTGGCGAGTTGGTCTTGCAGGACTGAAGTGATAGATTGTTGCGGTGCCGATGGGTTGAGCTTTCTCGAGATGGGTAGGGAGGTCGTGCCTCTGACTTTGGAGGACCACTTCTCGAGCGTAGTCTGTCTTGTATCGATCATGGTGACTTCTGAGCTCTGCATCCTTTCCCAAATATCAGACGATGACGTTGATCGTTCGATACCACGCTTTCGTTTTTGTCCTGTTTTCGCACCTCCTGCCTTGGACAGTTGATTTCGAAGACCGTCAAGTGTGTTCCATAATTTTATGGCAGCTTCCTCTGCCCCTTCGTATGGCTCATTTGCAGAGTCTTCCGTCTCCTTCTCCTCGACCGCTGACATGGAATTCGTCGCAATTAGCGCCTTTTGGAGAACCATTCTGACACTGAGAAGAGAGTCAAAAGCTTTCCGTTGCTCCTTGACTGCATTACCCTTGGCTGCGTCTGCTTTGGCTGCTTCAGTAATTGACGCTACCACACTCTGTTGTTCCTCGCCCATGATCTTGCGAAGTTCAGCGCGTTGCTCATCCTCGTCATCATCTTCGCCATCTTCGCCTTCCGTATCCTCGTCGGACTCCGATTCTTCGTCATCATCGGCATTATCTTCAGAGTCTTGCTGGCTATCTGAGCTTCCATCCTCATCTGATTCTTCTTGGTGCTGCTTAGAAATGTCCAACACATCTTCATCGGTCTCTGGCTCGTCCGAGTTGTCTCTATTTAGCCTAGCTCCATCATCGTCTCCTTCGCTCTCAGACATGAAGTCAGATGCTGTCGGTCTCTTTTTACGCCCAGACGCTTCCCTCGGCTTCCCGCTCCCTCGGAACGTAAAGTCCTTGAACTTTTCCTCGTCGCTTTCTCCAAACGCAGCGTCGCTATCGATATCTCCCTCCTCATCCACATCCAATTCCAAGTCAGAGTCTTCCGGATCTGCGAAACGAACCTCCTTGTTCCTCTCTTCGTCCGAATCGGAATCGGAGGCCGCATCTTCGTCGTCATCGTCGTCATTGAGTAAATCCTCCCGGCTGATTCTAGATCCAGAGTATTCTGGTCCAAGAGGCACTTCTTCTGGCTTGCGTAGTTTACTCTTTCTATAATCAAAATTAGCAAATATTTATATTGCGATGACTATTATATTTACCCGACTTTGACATAGTGCTCAGTGCCTGCTAAATCATCCTCACTCTCCTCAGATCCACTGTCATCGGTGCTTTGGACTTCGACCTCTTCCTCGGGATCGAAATCTGCGCCCTGTTAGTTTTTGTGGTGGGAATTGATCGGGCGCGATATTACCTTTCGCTGTTGGAGAATCTAGCTCAGCAATTTGCTGAGCGAAAGTCTTTGCTTTTCCCATTCTGTAAAGTGACAAGATTTCTGTAGCTCATTCCCCAAAAGATCTGCCAGAAATTATTTTGTTCCCCCACGAAATCTTGGCGCGCTAGCGGCCGCACGCTTCATCAAGAGCTTCGAGGAGAGCTTCAAGGTTGAAAAGTAAACATGAAGCCGCGGTTATTCTCGACATACCGTTGTTTACACCATGAGAACCCTTTGGTGAGCTGGTAGATGCTGTTAACTTTTACTTGGTCATTACTGATTCTGTGTTTTAGGGGTTGCCACGTACTGGTACCATTCCGCGCATGCAGCGAGGCTTGCCCGAACGACGCAGCATTAAGGATGTTAAGAAAGTAATTGCGGTATCTTCTGCGAAGGGAGGGGTTGGAAAGTCAACAATCGCAGGTCCGTCGCTAATTCAATTCTCTAAGGAATTTTCTAAGAAATCATAGTCAACCTCGCCCTTTCATTTGCAAGACGCGGCCTCCGAAGTGGAATCCTCGACACGGATATCTTCGGACCCTCTATACCAACTCTCCTAAACCTCTCCGGCGAACCTCGACTCTCTGAAAGTTGGTGAACATTCTTATCTCAGAATTGGACATGTCTGATAGCTGGCAGATAATCAACTTATTCCGCTGTCGAATTATGGCGTCAAGTCTATGTCTATGGGATACTTGGTTGGCGATGCAGCTCCTGTGGTCTGGAGAGGACTCATGGTCATGAAAGCTTTACAACAACTTTTGCACGAAGTCGACTGGGGAGGACTAGATGTCTTGGTACTCGACTTGCCACCGGGGACTGGGGATACACAATTAACTATCACCCAGCAGATTGTCCTTGATGGTAAGCTGTCCGGCTGTTCACCAAGATACTAGCTCACATGTCCAGGTGCAATAATTGTCTCTACACCCCAAGACATCGCTCTTAAAGATGCTGTGAAGGGTATCAATATGTTTAAGACCATGAAGACACCAATTCTGGGCATGGTCCAAAATATGTCACTGTTCACGTGTCCGCATTGTCAGAACAGTACACATATTTTTGGATCACATTCGGGGGTGACACATGCCTGTGAAAAGCATGGAATTGACTTTCTGGGAGATATCCCATTACACGCAAGTATCTGTGATGATGCTGATAGGGGAATGCCAACGGCTGTTGCAGAGCCTGAAAGTGATAGGGCGAAGGCGTTCATGGAAATTGCTGAGACAATCGGAGCAAAGATAAACCTATTTGACAGGTAGCGTGGGCGAAATCGGCTGGGTGTCTACCTCATGGCTCCAAATTCCCCCCTTCGATCTCAACTGAAGCTAATGGTTCATATACCTGGCCACAATCATCCCTCACTTTTGAGACTACCTTGGGTTCCTATCGAAATAGTAAAATTTAGCCTGGTCTCTCGGAACAAATTCAAGATAGGTTGTAGGAGTACGTTCATTCATTCTCTATTCCTGCGCCCATTACTGTAAATAAATGAACAGCCATGTTAGCCTCCGTCGCCAGTGCAAAACTTTCTGGAATTGGGACCATGACTCCTTGCCGCAACGCCATATACTTGCAAAAACAATTTGTCCATTCTCAAGCTCACCCCCACCTAGAACTCCTCGTCTCCGTTGGTCTGGTAGATGTGACGACTGCGGGTTGGGTCTTTTCTCATACTCTGGCCAGAGCCTGTGAAACCAACTATGCACAATTAGCAAGATGTCGGGATCAAGAATCCACAAACTCACCTCTACCATTAACGCCGTCTGGCGTGCGGAACATGCTGTCTTTCTTCGTAGCCTTCCCAAACTTGCCCTTGGCCGCAAAGTCCTGCCACTTTGATTTGCCAGCTTCCAATTCTTTGTTTGCCTTGATCTTCTTGGGAACTTTTGCAGGTCGAACGGGACCATCACTGACCTTACTTGGCTCACGCTTGGTCTGATGTGCAAGCTCTGGGTTGATATCTGCTGCAGCCGATATGACGTTCGTGTTGACCGGGGGAGATGGTAATGAAGCAACAACTGGTGTGCCATCAGCTTTACGCTTGTTTGGATTGATCATGGGTTTGATATCCTTGGCTCTCAGGGTTTCTGTCGAGTCATAACTTTTGAACTTGACAATGTAAACCTGGTTCGTAGAAGAACCTGTAATTGAAGTGATTCGTGCTGGATAGAATCCTTTATCGCCAGAATGCCATTTTGCCATCACTGTATCGTTCACTTTGAAAGTCGTTGGGTTATCGGCTTCTTCGGTCGGCGTGGGCGCATTTGACTTCTTGAAAGCAGGGTGATTTTCTCTGGACCATTTCTCCTTCGTTGGCGGATCTTGTGTCTTCTTCGATACTTCTACTGGGGCTGAAGGGGGCTTTAGCTCTGCGATCGTTGCTTCGGTGAGGGAGATGACTTGTTCGAGTTCAGTCTTTAATTCCTGAAGCTCTGCGCTGTCCGGATCAGCTTGTAGACCCAGTTGAACCGTTTCCAGCTATTCCAAGTCAGCATGCAATGTAGAATTAACAGACAGGACTGCAAACCTGTAACCTATACTCTCTGATCTCATTTTCGAAGGCGGCGATTTCATTACTCATGCTGGTGACGTCTGGAGGATGTCGCCTCAGTCCTGGGGTTTCTTCGGAGTGACAAGGGACCTGCGCAAGCAAGAATGAGGCAGCTCTTTATGATTCTAAGTAGAGAATGGTTCTGAGCGGACTGATTAGCGATAAGGAAGCCTGAAGTTGACCTTGAGTGAAGTTTACCCCGGCCGCTCGAATGTGATCTAAGCATCACTAGCGCGAAATCCGAGAAGCTAAATGACGAGGCTACCATTGTCCAAGATCCACACTCCAGAACAGCTGCGACAAAAGCAACAGCAAGATCAACAACACCGGTCTTGAAACCGCTGGTTACAATGCAGGGCTTCAATATGGGACGATATGTCCCTCCTGATCAGGAGGGATTGATGAGTGGAAACCAGCTACATGGCAAACATGCCCTCGGCGCGCGAGCAAACAAGATCTCCCAAGGAATCCTCACGGTCCGATTTGAAGTCCCTTATCCAATCTGGTGTACAACATGCCCAAAGCCTACGATTATCGGACAAGGTGTACGTTTCAATGCCGAGAAGAAGAAAGTCGGCAAGTACTTTTCAACGCCTATCTTCAGTTTTCGAATGAAACATGCAGCTTGCGGTGGATGGATTGAGATTCGAACGGACCCAAAAAATACAGCCTACGTTGTCACAGAAGGCGCGAGGAAGCGGGACTTAGGAGAAGATAAAGTTGAAGAAGGGGATGTGAAGATTTTGTCTCACGAAGAGCGAGAGGCAATCAGAGACAATGCCTTTGCATCTCTTGAAGGCAAGGTAGATGACAAGAAGAAACTGGAGTACAGCAAAAAAAGGCTCGAAGAACTGCAGGAATTATCCGAGAAGCAATGGGAAGACCCGTACGAACTGAACAAGAGGCTACGAGATACATTTCGAGTAGGCCGAAAGCAAAGAGAGAAGGATGCAGGAGTTGCAGCTTCAATACAGGACAAAATGAGCCTCGGAATCGAGCTGCTACCAGAACATGAAGATGATATGCGGAGAGCCCGGCTCATCGAGTTTGGTGAGGTTAATTCAGATGCTGCTGTTGACAAAGCGATATCCAAGCCACTTTTCAAGCATGAGGAAGCCAGACCCAAATCCAATTCCAAGAAAACAAGGGTTTCAAGAAAGCAGAAAGTCGAGAACCTCGCAAAACAGAGGACGGCAGCCTTTGCAGCCGAAATACGAGGTAACACCAGAGCCGCGGTAGATCCGTTTCTCGAAGGGTCTCGGTTGATTGCGCCAAAGTCAACTCCTATGTTGGCAGGTGTCAAAAGGAAGAGGCCAGTGCCAGAAGACACACTGTCGAACAAACCAGGAGCCATTGGTTTGGTGGATTACGACTCGGATTGACAAGAGAGTTACTCGTACACTTGGGGATCTTGGCGTTATGGGCAAAGCGACGATACCCAGGATTTGTAATTTTTCGGTGGCGTATGGTGTCTTAATTTCATGAAAATGACATCCTACATGTACGCTCTGATCGAATCGTCATGAAGCTTCCTGCATTGGGTTTTGGGTGTTCTGCCCTCACTTGTTCTATCGCAGCTCCTTCCAATATATCAGGGTCACACGGATGGATCACAGACATGTTCAATCTGCAACTACTGCACGGCAAATCATCTCGGGAATCATGCCGAGCCTGTCTCGATTTCCGGTTGTATCGAATTGGTGTACTTCAATCCCCACCGCTTTATTGGGACTTCAAGTGAAAGTCTGTGAGCAGGATCTTCTAGCAAAACGAACACGTGCTGGTCGACAGAATTTTCATCTTGAATTTCCAGAGCGACAATCGTATCTTGGAAATTCTAAGACCATGTGCAACCGTCTAGACTTTCTATCATTTTTATTTCTTCGATATTGAGATTCAAGTGAAGACAGAATACTCTAGTATTTACCAAATTATGTCAAAGTAGTGGCATCATTAGTGCAATCGTTGTCGCTGAAAGAAATGCTGTTTAAACGGGTGCAAACGTATCGGAACAGGGCGACTTATACAATGAAAGAGGATTACCCGCCCAAGTCCGTTGCGCCATTTCCCCTCCCGCTTTCCCTATCACGAACATATCATCTTGAAACCATCACCTCTGTGGTTCTGAGTATGCCTTTTGGTCGTTTATTCGGTCGCTCAGCTCGAGGACTTTCTCGTTCTCTTTCCCACTCTCGTACCAAGTATGCTCGTTGCCTTCCTTGAAAAGAAAAGGGCATTGGGACCATCATGTTGTCTTCGCTCCCACTGTCATTTTCTGTGATGCTGTGCTCCAGTCTTGACATCGGTCCACTGCTTGCCAAACTTGGCTGTCGGTAGAGTTTTGGATCTTCTGGTGAGATACCACCACTACCACCACCAAGAACTGTGATTTTGTAACCTCTACTTCCGAGGGCGGTAGTTGAGCGTGATCTCATGGGGCTCATCTTCAAGTCTTCTTCGTGAAGGTAGTAGTGTCGATGAATGCTTCCGCAAAAACCCTTTTTCTTACTGCGCAATCCAGATGCCTTCATTTTACTTGCGATTTCGAGCAGAGAAGCGAAGAGGCGTCTTAGTGAAGGAAGACAATCTGCCAATATGCCAGTGTTCATTTCAATACGACATACGTCAGTTTTTGGAGTGGCCAAGTGGCTACCGAACAGGGCTTTCTCACTCGTTCCTCGTGAAATGGATCTGGATCCGTGAAGAACCTCCCGAGGAGGACTCCTCTCACCAGGGCAGCTGCACATGCACTGCCATACATCATCAGCATTGAATGAAAGGGCTTTGTTTAAAGCTTACAAATAGCCAAGACTCAAAATGCATATCAACGAGATTTTTGCTCGGATGTTTATTTGTAAGGGCAGAATGACTGGGATTGGCATCGAAGCAAAGACAAAGTCTGTAAAGCTATTGATCGCTAGCAAGGTCAGTATTTGCAACTCAAAAGGAGAGTCTCACTTACCACCGGTGAACAAGCTTATGCTTCTGGAAAATTCCGTGCTGTAACATTTTGTATTGGGGTCGAATCGGAGCATGAAATCCCACGCAGCGTTGGCTGGAAGACATTGGAAGACCCTACAGCACTTAGCATATTGTTCTATGGATAAGAGCTAGGAAGCTTACAATGTCCCCACAGAGGCTACTGTGAAGAATATAATGAACATTATCCACACAACCAGTACCCGCTGTATAAACTCGTCAGTTTCTACATGCGAAAATCAGTCTGGAAATCATCACCTTGTATTATTTCCCATGAACCAGTCTGAGCAGAAAAAGACCAACCGATATCTTTACGCTCGAAATACCGATCACGTTGACCCAGCCGTGAAACCAGGACCAATGGAATATGGTCGTCATATTTTCAAGAAGCTTCGGATGAGTGATGTGGTGACCAACCCCGTTTTGAACCTCACCAACAAAGCAAGCGAGTACGCTTACAGAACATAACCTGGAAGATGTCAGTCGTGGACGGATCCACTATTCGATGAAGAATCCATACATGGCAAGAAGCATCACATAGTCATCAGCCCCCAAAGTCTTCAACATAAATGTCCTGACATACAGCCGTAACACTACCACAAGGCAGGCGAATGAAGTGAACGATCCAGTGATGGCAAGAATCATGCTGCCTTTGTCTGAGTCTGGATAAGAGAAGACCGGCAACGGCATCATTGCCAGATCTTGTCTCTTTGCTAAATGCATGTTGTTTGCCTCTAGTCCACCGTTGTACTTGGCAGTTTCCAGCAAGTCGGTCCAGATCTTATACTTCGAGCATCAAGGAATCCTTCGACCTTCCTTGATTGTCAGGAAGAAGCTGCCTTTGTTATTCGCTTAACCAGGCTCGCTTGTCCTACCAGCCAGCCCATGAACCTGCCGCTAACAGTAAGTAAATCCTGCCTTGGACAGAATTGACCTTTGGAGTACATTGACCTTTGATCAATACCTACCACTGCCTTGGAGATATATGATATATACTGCATTTAATCGAGCAGCTTGCCCCCATCCTTCTTGGGCCGGTTGCTAGGAAAAATGTCGCTAGAGAACCATAAGATTGAGCTGCCAACGAATCTGCTGGGTGCTTTGATGATAACAAACTCATTGGGAATTGCCCAAGTGACAGAATTGGATTTTGGATAACACTACCAACCTCTTCCAGATGTCAACAACGACACAATCCAGACGAGGCAGTGCAGCAGCAATACAGCTTGATTGTCAGCCAAGCCCGCATCCACCCGGTCTTGGCAACTCAGCCCATCTCCCTTGCAACCAAGACTATCCAAGATCTGTATCATCCGCAGCCACCAATGGGGAAATACCATGTGGGTAACAGATAACGCATGCTCTCTTAAGTTTATTCTTTACATATGATGCCGCTCCCTGTTTCAGCACTTCTTTTTTATCATCAACTACACTTGAGCCTGAAGCAGGAGGAATAAGATAGATCAGGAGTTTGGTATCTCCGGCCAGCATTCTGCGTCAGGCCATTGCCTCTCAACAAGTCGGCCAGATCAAACGAACAAGTAGCCGAGTAGCGAGAGAAGCACATGCCTCCACTTTTACCCTCGGCTCAAAGGCGCGCAGCTATCGTCAAGCTACTCAAGTCTATCATCCCGTTGAACTTGAACTTTATTGCTATTCATTGTCAGTATACATGTGCTTCGACTTCCAGAAAATGTCATGTAGCGTAGCTAATCTGTGAGTTTGAATGCTATTTTAAGATATATATCTGCTTTGTCTAGCATTTATTTCATCCGTGATTCTGTATATACCAGGAGGACTGCAATATGTCGACGCCTTATTCTTTGGGAGTGGAGCTGTCACTCAAAGTGGGCTGAATACGTAAGTCCCGTAGTTCGGTATCCAATATTTAATTTAACTAATGAGTTCCCTTAGAGTCGACGTCAATGACCTCAATATATTCCAACAGGTAAGTCTGTTCAGATTCGGGACCCGGTCTTGGTTGCTGGTCTTAACTTCTGGCTGATTCTAGTCAATCCTGTACTTCATGCCCCTCATCACATCACCGATTTTCATCCATACCGTCGTTGTCCTGGTGCGCATCCATTGGTTTGAACAGAGATTCAGGAATATCGTGAGAGACTCCAAAATCGACAAGAGATCCAAGACAAGAGATGAGGGGAGGAACTCTGGCCGAGAGTTTATCCCTCTAGGCGGAGATGCTCGAGATTATGATGGAACTCAACTCGCGCCAATGGCACGAGGAGCCCTGGCGGGCTCTCCTGAACCCGTGGCCACTCAGAAAACAGGACACTCGGATGATCTTTATAGTCCTGCAACGTCCACTGGCGGCACTACACCATCTAGTGTGAAGTCCCGGAAATCTCTAGAAATACCCGGAGCAGGTATTGGCCCTTCGAACAATAATGAGAACAGGATGAGACAGCACATCGCATTCGTGGAGCGCCAACGCAGTCCCAGAGAAGAAGAGACACTTAGGATTCCAGGACCCAGGGACTTTGACCGTGGTGACAAGCCTCACACGCTTCAACCGCCACGCAGTCGGGCAAACTCTGAAGTCCCTCCTCTCATTGAGCTCGACCTCTTACCAAGCAAACATGACAAGGAGGTCGTACCTGCGGTATCAACAAAAGCGGTAGAGCATGAGAATCAGCCGAACACCGAGCATGATGAGACAAAAGATCTCAAAATCAGGCGGGCAATCACCTTCAATACCCAGAATGACAGACATTCTCCCCCGACTGCTGCTCCAACTGAACCCGGCGTGAAGAGAGCCTCAACGACAGGAGATGTGTCAGTATCAAAAAAGCCAGCTTCTAGTCCAGCCGAGCCAGGATTTCTTCGAAGAATCAGAAGTGGTCAACCACTGTCAAGATCTGCGAGTCGTACCGAATCAGTTGATCTGCCATACTTAAGCTATGCGCCTACGGTCGGAAGAAACTCGACATTTGTCAATTTGACTCAGGAGCAGCGAGAAGAACTAGGTGGGATTGAGTATCGCGCTTTAAAGACTTTGTCGATTATACTCATAGGTGAGCTGAATTCTGCTTGACCAATTTATCTAATTGAACTGACTAAACGAAGGATATTATGTTGGCTTCCATGTGCTGGGTTGGGTTTGTTTTCTTCCGTGGATTATGAACAACGACAAATATGGCTTGATTCTCACTAGTCAGTATATTGGCCGACCATGGTGGTACGTGCCATCGAATAGCTCTCTTTTTCCTCATGCCCCGAGCATTCTGACAGACATACATCAGGGCCTTCTTCACATCCTCCTCACTATTCAACGATCTAGGATTTACGCTCACAGCCAACTCGATGATCTCATTCCAAGACGCCGTGTTCCCCTTGATTCTAGGCAGTTTCCTTATCGTCATTGGCAACACCGGATTTCCTTGCATGCTTCGCTTCATGATCTGGCTGGGATCAAAAATGATACCTAGAGATGGGAGACTCTATGAAGAATTGCGTTTTCTTCTAGATCATCCGAGACGTTGCTTTACTTTGTTGTTTCCCAGTAGGGCGACGTGGTGGCTTTTTTGGACACTGATGATTTTCAATGGCGTTGATCTCCTGTTCTTTATCATTCTCGATGTGAGTCGTTTAGCCCACGCCTTGGGATTCTGCAAGAGTGGTTACCGTTAACGGCTCAAAATCCAGCTCAACGACGACACCGTCATGTCACTTAGCCCAGGAATTCGGGTCCTCGCCGGCTGGTTCCAAGCAACATCCACCCGAACCGCTGGCTTCGCCGTCGTCAACCTCGCCGATCTCCGCCCAGCAATCCAAGTTTCTTACCTCATCATGATGTACGTCTCCGTCTTCCCAGTCGCCATGTCCGTCCGCCGGACAAACGTCTTCGAGGAACGGAGTTTAGGAATCTGGGGCCGTTCGAATACGAATTCAGATACGCCGCCGAGTTATGTGGGTGCGCATCTGAGAAGACAGCTGAGTTTTGATATGTGGTATATCTTCTTGGGGCTGTTTATCATTGCTGTTGCCGAGGGCAAGAGGTTGGAGGATACGAGTGAAGATGTGAGTGTTGATCTTTCCTTCTTGCTTGAAGGAAGAATGGTCCTCGAATGGGTGGTTCTAATTATGTTTAGGCTTTCACAGGATTTTCACTGCTCTTCGAAATCGTGTCTGCATATGGAACAGTTGGATTGTCACTGGGACATCCCAATGTCAACACCTCACTCTCTGGTCAATTTACTGTTGTCAGTAAATTGGTCATCATCGCTATGCAGGTGCGAGGTCGTCATCGTGGACTGCCGTACAAGCTGGATCGTGCCATCTTGTTGCCAGGCGATATGTTAAATCAAGAGGAAGGTGAGGAGGAATGATAAGCTGGCAAAGCGTGCGCACGATAGGTCTTTGTTGGAGGCAGATCGATTATTTGATAATGTTGACTTTATTTTCATGTCGAAATATTTGTCAGTGGACAGGTAATGCAAAAAATATTGGAATGAGATTGAAGTGAATCTACCTAAATATAATCAAATCCCAACCTACATTTTCTGAATATCTTCTGTCGCAGCCTCCCCAGACGATCAACCGGACTACTAAATCCTCAAGAGAGCAGACCCCAACTCATACATTCGGAACCTTTGATTCTCCAATAACACTCTTCAAAATCTCCGGCAGAATCTTCGCCGCATCACCTTGAAACATGAAGTCTCCTTTTCTCAAATTACTAGCCGCACCCAGCTCGCCTCCCATCCCGTCCATATTGACTACCGCTACGCGAGCCCCTTTCCTTCTCGCTTGATCTACATACCCAGCGGCAGGGTAAACAGTAGCTGTTGTCCCAATAACCAGAATCAAGTCAATCTTGCCTCTATTGATCCATTCATCGATTTCCGCGAGCGTGTCTTCTGGAAGAGCTTCTCCAAACCAAACAACTCCTGGACGAAGAAATCCAAGCTTGCACTCAGGACATCTGGGAAGTTCGTCCGGATTAATGGTGTGAGTGTTTACATTCGGGTCTAGATATGCTGCTCGAGCTTTGACGGTATTCGATGAGGCTGCTAGTCGTTCGTCCTCAGCGGTATCTATTTGGAGAATAGGGTGGAATGGATCGTCGTAGTTGTTTTGCTCTACACGGGGGCAGCTGAAGCACTTGATGTCAAACAGGGAGCCATGGAGGAGTTTGAGTTGGTCTCTAGGATGGTTTGCTCTTTGGGATAGACCTGCAATAAGTTAGTGAGTGTGAATTGCGCTCCGAATGATCACTGATCTCATGAATTCCATTGAGAAGGAGTACAAGACATCACATGATACCCATGCATTCAGAAGGAGCTTACCATCAACATTCTGCGTCAGTGTAATGAAGTCCGGCATCTTTTTAGACAATTCGACCAAAGCATAATGCCCAGCATTCGGCTTGGCTTGAAGTGCCTTGTGCCGTCTCATGGAGTAAAAGAGCCACACTAGACCCGGATCTCTCTCGAATGCTTCTGGGGTTGCAAGAGTCGTAGCTTGGTGATTTCGCCACATACCTCCAGCACCTCTGAAAGTATCGAGGCCTGAAGCAGCGGACAATCCAGCGCCACAGAGGGCGAGGACCCGCTTCGAGGATTTAAGGACGTCGTTGAACTCCTGGACATCAGTGCTGGGCCCGAAGGAAGATTTGGGCGGGGTAGAAGCCATTGTTCGGGTGTATTTTGAAGCGGGAGAAGCTTGAATGAGGATTTTGAAGTGTTTTTGTAGGAGTTTGGAGCTGTGAGGCATCTTTTTGTAGATAGGATTTGTTGGTTTGTGAGGCAGCTGTTGCCTTACCTGCCTGCCGCCCTTTTTGGAAGTCACGAATCGGCGTGAGTCACATGATTTCGTATAGGCCCATTCCCCCAATTCGCAATAAAATTTCAGGGTAAATTGGATTATGGATTATTAAGTGCGAATAATAGAGATCGCTGTTGACGGTGTTTGATAGAGCGGTCATTTCATGATGGCCTGTGCGAGAACACAAGCGCTCTGAAACCCAAGGCCCCCAGTCTGCATGGCATTAAATATCCTTGTACAGTTAAGTAAACATTAATAATATAACTACGATCCCCATTTGCAAGTTCCAGAGCTTGAGACCTTGAACATATTCCAGATCCTAAGCTCAAAGATCATTGCTGAAATATCACTTGTGAGGAGTGCGCGAGCTAGATCTGCAAAATAATTGTATACATTGACTATCATAAATCATTTATCCGTCATTATCGTGAATATGCACAAGGAATATTGGTACATAAATTAAACCCGCTAATGGCTCAATAGTCGTACAATGACTGCCTATAACAAATGGTATCGATCATCACTCATCAATCATAACTGTCCCTCCGACTTCGATGGTGACTCCTGTGACTTCTTCGGCTTCTTCCCCCGTCACTTTCATCTTCGGATCCATACTTATTCTCCCATTTCTCCTGTTTCTTTGCCGTCTCTTTCTTTCCATCCTGCCACTTATCGACAACCGCATTGACAGCCAGACCTCCGACCGTCGCTCCAAGTAATGTTAAAAGGGGATTCGGATCTGCTTTGTGACCATCTTTCCGATAACCAATTTGCGCTTTCTGAGCCGCCCAGCCTCCAACAACAGCTCCCACCGCACCGCCTGTCAATCCAACTTTCGAGGCCGTGAAGACGTTGTTCATATCCTCTTTCAGCTTGTACCGATGAGCTGTATCTTTTGCCCTGTCGCTATATCGCTCAAGTCTGTCTGAGCCAGAGCCATGACGACGAGCCAACTGCTGGTCATACCCGTAACTGTCCCTGTCTCTTGGTCCATGATATGAACTGCTCCGTCGAGTGACAGCCTTGGGTCGTCGAGGGGCACGATATGAATCGGAATGGTAATCTGCATCGTCGTATGGATCAACGTCTCGTCCTCGATTCATTGCCATTCGAGGAATACCCGCAGTTGGCGGAGGTGAGTAGTATGGATTCGCAGCGGCAGAAGGTGGCGGAGATGGCATGTACTCTGGCCTCGGGTGAGGTGGTTCGCGACTGTAGAATGATGGGATGTTGGCGTTGCGTGGTGACTCTGGAATATATGAATAGCCCGGATCTTCTGCTATACTGTGTCTGTACTCTGGCGGCTGTTGTGACATTGATCCAGTATCTCTTCCTCGATCGGATTTGGATTCGTGGTCTGAATGGGAGTCTTTTGAGTCCTTGCGACTCTTGCGACGGCCAGGAATATGGACTTTCTTGTAGGTTTCGGGATTCAAGGCTTTGTCGGGCACTTTATCAAAATGCTTGTCAATCATCTTGTCGGCTCCTTCCAAGCCTAACTCTATAAACTCGTCCATGTTGATCCGAGTTTCCGGTGACTGATGACGTTAACCCAGAGTTTACTGATGGATATGGTGCCGGTGCAGGGATTAAGGTTCTTCCCAAGGTTTTGTTGTACTGCAAGATGCAAGCTGATATGTTGGGATGGGTCCAAGAGGTGTACAGTAGTCAGAAGATCCGATGGTACTGTAGGCAAAAATGTCTTGGATGCTCGGAAGTATGGATGCAAATATGAAGAGGTTCAAGATGGGATTTGGCCGTCCCTTAAGTATAACCAACTTCCAACATGAAAAAGCAAGAGGCGCACACCGCAGATTGTCGTGGACCACATGTGGCGCGCTCATGGGGACCATACAAACCCCGCGAACGGCCATTTCAGGCGTGAGGGTGGGAGAGTTCTTGGCCTCGTCATTGTGCATTAAATTTAGAGCACGGTTGGTGGCCAAGCGAGTAAATAAGGGGTAACTTCGTGCCTAAGGATTGATATTGACTGACATTTCTTACAGAATTGTAGATAGGCAAAAACGGTCCGAGCTTAATTATAGGCACAAGTAAATGTGAGATCGGGTTTGCACTTGGCAATTCTTTGTCCTTTGGTGATGATGTCAAGATGCAAATGGATTACAAAGGCCCCGTGTTTATTTCAGGGCGGGAGATTTCTCCTGATCACCAGCAAGCGAAACGCTACAGCGGGAGCAGCCTAGCGTAAAAGCATTAAGGATCAGCCGGCTATGGGGGACCTAACCCCTGGATGTTTCCCATCCTCAAATGTCAATAAGCCATCGCAAGTCGCAACTCCACATCTTCGTTTGCGCAACCTACCAATCTGTACTCGCCTCAGGTTTCATCACTTGGATATCAGCATAATGCCATTTGGCCGAGCTATCTTGAGATGTGCGGCGGCAGCGGCTCTTATCAGCGTTGCCCTGGCGCATGGAGGAGCACATCAAAAGCCGCTGGAAGTCGACCCGAATGCGGATTGGGCTACGAGACACATGGCTGGCAAGGCTTCTCCCATCCTGAGTTTCCGCCATACTAATCCAAAGCAGAGGAACATCATATTGCCAACTTCGACGCACCATCATTCTTCTCCCTCCACGATTACGATGACAATGGATTCTGGGATGCAAGGGAAATCTTGAAGACCTACGGGATGGAGGACGAGACCGCAAAAGATGTGACACACGAGAAGAAGGCTGAGATATTACGGGAGGTCCTAAAGTTGATGGATACAAACAACAACGGATTGGTGGAGAGAGAAGAGTGGACGGCTTTCACTCAAGAAAGAAAAGGAACCTTGCCAGATTTTGGCACTGGACCTGGTCACCATTGGGATATGGAGATGGAATACGAAATCCACCACTGGGAAAGGTGAGTCGCAGCACTGGGTATATCGCGGGGTGAGCTAAAGATGTATAGGTACCATGACGAGAACACGAAAGAAGAAGACCTGATACATCCTGAGGATATTGAGCACTTCAGAAAGCACGACGAAATGGAGGATGAAGCAGAACGAGTTGCTGCTCTGGATAGGATGCCAATTGTGGAGCAGAATATTCCTGCCAAGTTCAGGAAGGAATAATATACCCAAAGACTATAGATTTCGTCTCGAAGACACCGCCATCGTCCGATCCCGCCAATGAAATATGGTTGGAGAACACAAGTTTATCTCTATTGCAAAGAGTGCGTGATGCTCCCGTCTACTACTCAAGGGCTTTCAAGTTTTGTTCTGTCTACTTTGCTTCAAGCATTTGTGGTGAGATTATGCTCTCTGGATACCGGTATAAGTTTTGACCATACCTTTAAAAAGACAAATTTGGTCTTGAGCAACGTCAAAGATATTTTGCTGCTTATCTCAACCCAATTCACTTCTTTTACTGGAGTGCTTGCTGCCTGATCTCAAAATTCCTGGTGTTGAAAAGCCGCATTAGCATTCCTCTGTTCGTTGACCCAGGGCTTCATTGCAACCCTCTCAACTCCTTCAGCTTCTTCAATTTCTTCAAATCGATCACCATAGCATTATTGCACAAAATAGCATGGCCCGCTGAGCCGCTGAGCAAGGTTCCCCTCAGAGTCTTGATTGCAAGAGCATGTCACAAGAACAACCCGCATCTCGTATCGACAACTTTGCTCTATAGAGTCTTTTGTAGTCAGCATTCAAGGCGCATAGTTGTGAGTTCTTCCTTGTTTTGTCTCGACTTTGAGGCCTCGTATTCACTCTTCAAATAGCTCCTCTTCTCTCACTACTCGACTAGTGCAGTTTTCCTGAAGACACTTTAAGCAGCGTGCTACTCTCACAACTTCCTCCAACTCTCTTCAACACAACGCAATCTCCTTCGATCTTTACCAACTCTCATACATGCCATCGACACACCTTCCTAGTTGGACATTCTAGGACGATATTAGAGGTTTCTCAATTGTCTCACAAAGAGCAGCAACTATTCCAAAAGCACAAGGTATGTACCCAACCGTCTGCTCGAAGGTGATCCTTTTTGGAAGTCTAGCAAGTTCAACAATAGTTTAATCCATTCACATTAATGTTACAAGATCTCTTTCCTCAATGTCCAGTAGAGTATTAACGAGAATTGGCGTCAGTTTGGTTATTTACTGCTAGCTAGCTGGCCTGGGCTCATACCACATCTTGTGTCAAAGTACCTTTTTTTCTTCCATTTTTGTTCTCCTCCGTCTTGTTCTTGCGGCAGATCTGCTGACATATAATTCAGAGAAAAACCTTCACATTGGTGTTGAGTAAGCTGCCGAGATGGCTGAACCACCAAGTGCCTCTTCTCAAGAAGACCCTGAAGTCATGCCTCGACAGCTGAGATCGCCAACACCAGAAGAGGCTCAATCGGAACTTGTGGAGCCAGCCTTGATTGGGCCATCTCAGGCTGGACCAGTTGCACATTCTCCATCTCCGTCTCAGCAAAGTCCTAGGCCGCCACGATCTGGCACACCTATTACCAATGACAATTTCACCGCCACGCCATCAACGCCGAACCGTGATGCATCGGCCATTGCGGATCTCAACTATGATGACGATGAGGATTTTTTTCCTTCCCACGATGAAATACTGTCTCGCCCCGTCATCAAGGAAGTACCATTGACCCCATTGACAGACAATCGCAGTGATGGTAATAAGATCGAAAAAGCATCTCCTGGAAGCCAAGAGGAGGCTGATGACTTGGATGATGATCGCTACATTTATGAAAAGCCAGAGAGTGATGATGAAAATACCTTTGAAGGGGATGCAGAAACACTTTTTGTGCCGGATTCAAAGAAGCGCAAAGGCCAAGGTAAATCAACAGGCCCTCGAGCAAGAACTGCTAGAGAGTATCACGCTCGCAAGAATGCCAAGACACCCAATGAGAAGAAGCGCGGGTGTACCTGGAAAAGGAATCAGTTGATAAAGCTGCGAGAGAAGATGACGGCCTCCACCGAAGACAAGAAGCAGGAGAAAACTTCCTCGCGGAAGTTCAAGGGAGCATTCAATCCATCAGTCTTTTTGAATAGCAAGTCCACGAGAAAAGCATCTCGGAAAGCATCGCGTGGATTCGGCACTAAGTCTGGCATTACCACCAACAAAAAGCAAGGATATCTCGAAATATTCCTGGCTCGCTATCCTCACTTGGATCTACATAGATGCAAGACGGACTGGAGCGACCTTAGCAAGAAGAGTGCAAGTTTTGGCTATGATCGGATGCAAAAACATGGTGATATGTGGCTACTGAAGGGGATGGAAACTTGTGAGTTAAGGCTCGCTGCTTCCCTTCTAAATGTTTGCCACTGACATGAGCTTGAGCAATCTACAACCACCAAATGATGGGCAGCGCTTGGATGATCCAACGAGAATGCTCCGCTGAAGGCCCGTATGGGGGTATCGTTGCCGATGATATGGTATGTTGCATATGCAAGAATTACCTACGCCATTACCAGCTAATGACTAACCAAAATTTTAGGGATCTGGGAAGACGGTAACTACAATCACTGTATGGCTGGATCTCTGCTTCGCAGACACATCTGACTTCGGTAGACAATTGTAGGAAATCCTCAAGACCCGGGAAAACCCGTGAAAACCACGTTGGTCATCGTACCACCAGGTCTTGTAAGTCTTGAAATCCGTTGCAACTTTCTGCTTATTACTGATGGGTGGTTGAAAGAGAGCCCAATGGTGGGACGAGCTTGTCACGCATGCACCAGAAGTCTCCAAGATGTCGATGGTGTACGACTCCAAAAACATCGATAAATCTGGCGAAAAATTGAGGATGTGCGAAGTGGTCATTACCAGCTACAATGAAGTCATCAAGAGTCTACCACAGCCAGATGTCGGTACAATTCAGGAGTGGACCGATCAGAAACTTGATGTTGAGCAAATGACGTTCAAGTGGACTCAGGAGAATATGGATGGTGCAGAATTGCTCCATCAAGTTCCTTGGTATCGGGTGAGTGATGAACAATGGTATCCTTGGGATAATCAACTAATGGTGCTGTGCTAGATCGTGATTGACGAAGCTGTGAGCAAGAAACTTCTTCATTACCTATCTGTGTTTGCACTGCTCACAAATACAGCATAATATCAAGAATCCTGAGACACGATTGTTCAAAGCTGCATATTTCCTGGATGGCGAACATCGCTGGGTGTTAAGTGGTGTAAGTGTCTCCCGACTGCAATGAAGATGAGGATGCTGCTGATTTTAAAAGACGCCAATCATGAATCGCTACGAAGGTAAAAGTGTAACGGCCACTTATGACTAGAAACAGTTCTAATTTCGAGTAGAATTTCATTCTCTGTTCCGTTTCATCAAGGATCCCTTGACTGAAAGCATGACAACTGCAGCGTCAGTAAACATCGTTTTATGTCCAAGAAATCTCACTAATGGCGAATAGATTCCGGACTCAGTTCTGCAATCCCAAGGATGTTTGTGTTCGTTGCATTGTATCGAACTTCAGCTAACTTCTATAGAAAATCTCGTGCCAATCTTTGGGCCTTGCTCTTTCAGACATTATCATTCGGTAAATATTCCATCAGAAGGATAGAAATCCGATACTAATGCTTGTCGTCAAGTCGTTCCATCAACGACACCATCATGGATGAGCCTATCGTCAAACTCCCTCAGCTGTTCAAGGAGATTCGCCAAGTCAAACGATATCTTCCTGAGCGCCTTTTGTATACGATGATGCGAAAGTGTCTGCGGCAGCTATGCAATCGATCATTTAGAGCTGATGACGAACGAAAGAAGTTGACCACACCGCTTCCTCAACTTACACTGAAAAAGCAGTGAGTGCTTCCGGCAGAAGAGAACTGTGTTTAGTTCTGACACTGCTAGGCTGATTGCTCACCCTGACCTCGTCGGCAGAAAAATCATGGTTGTGTCTACTACAATTATTCCCTGTTAGAAGTGGTGCTAAAATTTAACAGGTTGTGCTGGGCATTGCAGGGATGAAAGAACTGAGGAACCAGCTTAACGAAATCAAACTTGTCCGAAAGTCTAAACGCCTTGCTAAAGTCCTCCAAAACCGTAAGTCGAATCCGCCGACAGTTCCCTGTGAACCGAAAGTGTCGGTATTGTACTAAAAACTCACTAGGTCTCGATACGTGGATTGAGGCAAAGGAGAGAGATGACTACAGGGATAAGGACCCAGATGATGCGATTTGCTTCTTGTGTGGGGAGCCTGATGAAGATCTCCATGTCCTGAAGAAATGTGAGCACATTCTTTGCGAGAATTGTCTTTCATTAGACCAGAACATAGTGGTCAAAGAGAAAGGCGATACCGTCCAAGAGGTATTTGTCCCAACTGTCTCTGGCTGCAAGCACTAATCTCTGCTTAGTTTCGTTTGTGCCCGCACTGCGAGGAGCCTTATAAGAATTCCGACAAGAAGCACCTCCTCCCAGAAGTGAAGCTCTCCACCTCCAAAGCCAAGAAGTCGGTACGAAAAGGAAAGGATGCTAGAGAATTCCGACCTGCCTTGAGTCCCAATCAAGCCTGGCCCTTGGCGTGGCTGAAATCATTTGACAGAGAGAAGAGCGGTGCCATGCTTCCTAGTGCAAAATTACGCGGAACTCTTGAGCAGGTCGAGACTTGGCTGGAAGAGGCTCCCTCTGATAAGATCATCGTCTTTACCCAATTCAAGCTTTTCGCTATTCAGGTTGGTATCATGCTCGAGAAGAAGAAGCATAAGTTCGTTTACTACACTGTGAGTTTCTTGCTATGACTCTGCCCTACGGCTGATAGCTCATCAAAGCTTAGGGAGATATGTCGACGAAAGATAGAGACGCTGCAATTCGCAAGATGAAATTCGATTCAACCGTCAAGGTCATGATTGCTGGCTTGAAGTGTGGAGGAATTGGGCTCAATTTTCAGTTTGCCAACAGAGGCATCATCACGTATGCTTCCAATTTCTCTGAAATGATTACTGACTAACTTCTTCAGTGATATCTGGTGGAATAATTGCATGTAAGTCAATTGTAATCTTAGATCATCTCTCAAAGTCGCTGACGATTCTTCAGCGATGATCAGGCACTTTGTCGATTCTACAGAATGGGACAAGGAAAGCCAAGCTACTTGGTCAGAATTGTGGTCACGAAGACAGTCGATAGCAAGATCATCAATTGTGAGTTGGCTTATGTTTCCCGAGTCTTCAGAATCTGATATATGAGGCAGTGCAAGAAGACAAGAGAGAGGCTATCGGCGACATCATGCAGGACAAGACCATGGAGACCGACAAGTTTCTCGACGAGGTCTTGGACTTCTCCGAAGATGGTAAGCAAGACACATGTTCTTGTGAAGCCTGCTCGCTAATACTATTGCTATAGAACCGGATGATGATTCTGACACCAGTGACGAAGAGGATGGTCATACGTATAACAGTGCTGACGAAGATGGCTTCTAGTCTGTGTTATCGAACACGGGCTAAACAAACAAGCGTGCACTACCATGCCAATTGATGGTATGTAGACACAATATCGCGCAGATCAGGGGTTGCCTGGCCCTCGTGACTAGGGATCTCGTAGAGCAAAGATCTACTATCCTATACCGAAATCCTTGTTACTACCATTAGGACGACCCATCAGGAGGTTTTCTATGGCAGGTTTATATCGAATCTGCAGATTCATCTGAACTTCCATGACATCTTTCTTTTTCTTTAACAAAGTATCTTTAGATCTAGTGTTTGGGTCGGCATCTAGGTTTTTGGAAACTGAGTGCCTGCCCAGCATGGTGGTCACCCCCGTCTTTGTTTCCGGAGGCGATCATCAATTGCACTCATGGGCTGTTGGTAGGGGAGTTCAGCATCACCATTGGCATGAAATGCGATTTCCACATGTACTTTAGCATAAATTGCCGTCTTGGGGCCGTCAGCAGTGGAAAAATGGCAAGCTTCAATAAATGCTTCTCTCATAATATCGAGGTAGGCTTTTAATCGTAAAGAGTGGCATTCAAAACATGCTCGTGCCCACTTTCACATTCAATGGTCTACCACTTTCTTTTCACAGTCTCTCCAAGCATCCTATCAGCCAGTTGTCCGATCCTTCCACGGTCAGTCAGGCTTCTCTTGATGTGTAGAAGTTCTTACCACGAGGTCCAACAATCATCACGCTAATAGGTTGTTTCTCATCTTTACCAGAGAATTTTGACCGATATATGCGTTCGCCCACTTGAGTCATTGACAATTAGCGATTGTTTTAGGATATAAGAAGAAATCAATACCTGGTAGAACTACAGCAGGCAACCCTCCCAGCACCGAGAAAGTGACATCTTGGAGTCCATAGCCTTGCCACTTCTTACGTTGTTCGTGAGTTCTGTTAGGAATTAGTGGAGCCCAACAATCTCATCATTGGCTCGAAAAAGGAACCCATGCCTCGTTTGACTATTGTAAGACGCCAGACGGAATTTAACTTTACCTTGATACCTCATCTCTGTATAGAGGCCCGGGGAATCCGCCGGGCAATATCATTATTGTCCGATCTATGAACACTTCCTTCTCCAGAAATTCCTTGAAATTCCTCTTTTCCTGGCATGCTTGGTCATATTGTTCATCAGATATTGTGCTGCCAATTTCCCATTTGAATTGAACCATAGGCTCCACTGATGGTTTCTCATCGAATACGGCCATGTAATCTGTGCAGAGTTTGAGATTGTTGTGGTATGAATCATGAAGTTGAATATGAGCCACAGTCTTTGCTCGTCAGTATTCCTCAATAAGGATGGTTTCTGTATCTCACCGTTGCAAGATACTTTTCCAACGAGGCTGAAGTGCCGGGTGGCCGCTTTGACTTCCATCGGTCCACGATACTGAATGAGCTGGACTTGACTCCGCAGTATCGCTCAAGCTCTGCGAGGAACCCACCAATGCATCGAGCTGTGTTCGGACAAAAACTTGATTGGCTTCTTCGGATATTAATATCCTGGTAGGCTTCTGCACCGATCATCAGCCAAGGACAGTCTCTTGATCAAGTACTGACCAGATGAAAAGGTATGACCCTGTGACTTATGCCTAGCCCTTCGAACCACCGGGAAGTGACCATTGAGAGGTCACTGATACTACGAGCGAAACAGCCTGGCGTATCTAGATGTCTATTGAACTTTTGGTATCATTCTGCGATATGATGTTTCACTTCGACTGCTCACCTCGAGACCAATACAGCGCCGTCATTTGAAAGTATTTCAGTTGAAGGCCTGACGCCGAATATTCCGCAAGCTGCTGCAGGACCCGTGATACTCCCGAGGCTTATGTGAGAGCTAGTCAGACGAGCCTGGTGGAGATGTGGCTTCCTCACTGTCTGATCCAATAGCGTAGTCTAGCCACTCATAACCAGCAACACTAACTGCACTTCCTGAACTGCTACAGTTCGGGTCAAGGTACTGATCTCCTCTAGGGTTGGTGGGACAAACAGTCTCAGTCCAATCTCCCGCTGACATTCCCGAAGCAAACTGAACAGTCTTGACTTTTCCAATAATGACAGCACCGAGATCAAGTAGGGTCTGAATACAGGGAGCTGTGGTGCCTGCAGGGTTTCCCGACTTCGCGTAGGCTTGCGAAGATGCTCCTGTGACGAGACCTTGGATATCGTAGATATCCTTGATAGCAATATGCTTTCCAGCAAGTGGCCTATCCGCACATTGCTCATAATAGAGCCGAGAAGGGACGGGAATGTATCCTCCTACTGGTGACTTTTTGAAGCTTCGAGTATTAGCAATGGTCGTAAGACCTGGGGTAGGGCGAGTCCCACCTTGGAGGATGACCTGATTGCAAAATGCCGTACATAAAGGCATTGTAAGTATCTGGGTACAATTTGAACACCCTGTGTAGGGCTGTACCAATCAGCAGATATGGGCCTTCACGAGGCAGATCTGACTGAAAATTCAGAGTTTCGAGATCTGTTTGGACACGCTTCCAGCTGTGCTCGGCATCTGGCGATGTTTTGAGGAGCAAATGTTGGGCAAAACTGTTGTGGAAAACATCATCTTTGCAAAAGAAGTGTTTCAATCTAGTCTTAGAAATATCTCGAATTATTGCTGGGTCGAACGAAGTCACATCAGTCAATTCAATCTACCATTGTCAGTTCTGTCAACAACGACAAAATAGTGCAGCTTACAACTGTTACTGGCACAGGACTACTGTCTTTTCGGCAGATTGAAGAGGTTGGGGCAACAGTGCCAATAATCTCTCCTTTTAGGTACTTTAACCCCTCGATATGTATGATCTCCGAGCCAGATGTGATAGATTCCATGTCTCGATATTCAATCAAGGCTGTGCAGGACCTCAAGGTTTGATAGTCGCGCCAGAGGTCCCGCGGGCTCAGGCTGGATGCACGAGTGGGGCCATATTTCAAGTCACATGACGCAAAGAGCAAATGGTCAACATCTTGTACCATCCTACAATATCTACTTACTTCATACGTACCTTATCCACTTTTCATTTCAAGTCGATGGATGCCTGACCAGCATATGAATCAGAATTTGCTTCAAAAATCGACCTTTGTGCAGTTCCGGGCCTTTGGTCCAGGCACGATGGCACGGCAAGGCTCCGCGCCAGGCATTGATGGGAGCTTCTTCGTAATCCCTGAATCATTTTCTGCGATATCATCTCGTGCTTGAGATATACTTACTAGTGGGATCATTTGATATAGGCCGCAATCGCCACCAGTGAGACTGCTCCTTTTACACTAGCACATCCAATCGTGTCCTCAATGTTGTGTCGATCGGAGGCTGGGACCCTACTAGTGCTGACGACTCAGGCACAGCAACGTTTATAATTTCGAGCATTAGGTCGGAGCTCCCCTTTTGACAGCACAGATAATAGAAGCGAGCAGTCATGGGGATAGTATCTTTATTGCCTCGTACGGGAGTGACTGTTGTTGATAGTGTACTTTTTGTAGGCTTCGTTCTTGCCGCGGTACTGGGTGGGACATCGGCGTTCACCCATTGTCGATACTGGCTTCAATCTCGAGGAAATGCCGGTCGGTTTGAAGGACGAGAGCCATTGACTCTGCCATACTCAATTCCATGGCTCGGAGGGTTCTCTAGGATGTTGGATCCACATGGCATGTATTCATACGCTAGGTAAGAACTGCAGACTGAAGTCGCGGGATATGGCAATGCTAACGAAACGAAAGGAACATGTCACCTCAAAACAGACCAGTATGTGATTTTTGGAGCCCGCCATTACCTTTTCTGAATGGAGCATTCCATGACTCCTTTTTCACGAAAATATGCTCCAAACGCTAACTTATCGCTTCAACCCAGGTCTGTCTCCGTGTTGGGCCCGTTGGTATCTACATTCTGTTCGGAGATAAGAATATCAGAATGATTTTTAGGAACTCCAAAGTCTTGAGCAAAGATGCCTCATCACAAATGCTGTTCCGAAACTCAGGCATGGATCCTCACGACTTGGAAATAATGGCCTACGACACATCTGGGACTGGAATGGTTCCACTCACAAATATCCCCGAGGAGAAGAGAATCTGGAAGATGTCACATGCCACAGGCGTTGCCCATCTTGCTAGCGGCCCTTCTGTGACTATCCTCACCAACAAATTCACAGAATGCTTCATTAAAGAGCTGAACAAGGACCCGAAAGACAAGAATATGACAGTTCCTTTGTACGACTACTTTAGAGGAGCTATGGCAACTGGTTCCATGACATCAATCATAGGTCCAGAGATGTACAAACTCAACCCCGATTTCAACAAAATTTACTGGGACTACGACAATGCTTTCCTTCTGATGGCGATTGGCATTCCCAAATATCTGTACTGGAAAGGACATGCAGCGAGAAATCGCATGCTAGCTGCTACCAAACTATGGCTCAAGTCAGCTTGGAGAAACGTGGATGAGAAGTCGGCAGATAATGACTGGGAACCACACTTCGGATCACGTTTCATACGACAGCTTGCTGAGAACATGGCTTCTGTCGGTGTAAGTCAAGACGGACAAGCCTCGGCATTCCTGCCAATGATTTGGGCCATCAATTCGAATGCCATTCCTTGTGCTGTGTGGGTGATTTTTGAAAGCTTGCAACGACCAGGCCTGATCGATCGCTTGAGAGAGGAAGTTTCGGCTTCTGCAATCATCGACGACAATGGCGAGTTGACAATTGATGTTCCCAAGCTGATCAACCAGAGCCCACTGCTTACTTCCATATATCTGGAATGCCTGCGGGTTCGGAGCTCAAACACAATCACTCGGAAACTTATCGAAGATCTCGAGTGTGATGGATATGTGCTCAAGAAAGGAAATCACATCATGTCACCCTCATGGCTTCCCAGTCACGGCCCGCTCTGGGATGTTGAGGGCCACCCCGCGAATCAATTTTGGCCTGAAAGATTCATTGAGATGCCGAAGATGAGACCATCTGATCCTGAGGAAAAAGCACAGTTTGATCTTGCCATGAAACCAGATAACTTCTTTCGTGAGTCGTCCGGCATTTCTTTCAGATGAAGCTAACGAACATTTCTAGCGTATGGAGGGGGAGGCATGATATGTACTGGACGATTCTTCGCCAAGCAGGAAATCATGGCCGCGGTCGCTCTCTTCGTTCTCAAATATGACATAGAGCCACTCAATTGGGTCACCCTAAGCGGAAAATCTTCAGATAGGCCAGCGAAGCCGGACGAGAACTATGCCGGTGCAGGGCTTCTGCCACCTGATCGAGATCTGATGGTAAATTTGAGGAGAAAAAAGTAGAAATCAAACAATTCTATGTCTGAACTGGACTAAAACTAAACTTCAATGCATGGCTACTTGTAGTATCTGCTTTGGATGGAAATACATATCACTGTGGTGTTATCCATTTGTAGCTAAGCACATCTGACGATTTTTGACAATCCAAACAATGAATCTGAATGTGTCTACGTATTACCTCCCCCGTATGTGACATTAGCCACCGCCTCCAGTGCAGTCACGTGTCACGGTGGAATCCTGGTGGCAGCGTGTCAGGTAGCTTCCTCTTTCTTAACTTTGGCATGATACCTGATCCACTGGAGATTTAGCATCGAAATCACACGTATTGAGGTACGCATTCGACACAGCTTATACACAGATTCCGCTGCTCTATCGGCTGATAAATTGCAACTTGAGAAAGCTTGAGGTCGAAATCGAAAACTTGAGGGGTACAAGAGCCTGCTCATAGATCTGTGTGTACAAGACTTTATGAAAGGCACCACCAAGTCGACAATAACAACTAAGGAAATGTTCTTGGTATCGGAGATGTAGCTGACGAGACAGCCTAAAATAGTTGACTTAAGGATGGATTGTTTACTTCCCCTAGCTTGTTGAGTCCTAGCGAGGCTAAGCGAGAAAGTTGGATTTTGCGAATGACAGCCCTCGTCGCCTCAAACATCCGAGATCTCATCCACATTACAGATGTCTTGAATGCAGCTTTGAAAGTTCAAGCTCAAGTTTCTGCTACTTTCTTCCCTCTCAAGTGAATACGAGCTCGTTGTCGTAAAGCACGTTCATCCATTTTCAGAAATCGATCCACGACTAGACAGAGCGCTCTAAAGGTCATCGTGACAGTGGTCCACGGTGATTGTGCATGTCTCCAATGCTGAGATTTCAAGAAATAGCATCACAAATGCATTTCATTCATCCTCGCAGTTAGCAGATTGCGATAAGTACCTGCGTCCTGCCACAATGTATTTCTAGCCGAGGTCCGATGAAGTCAAGAGGAGGATTGCCGAGCGGAATATTCACTGATATCAACCCTGGTTATCTGACCAAGCTGCTGCATTATGTACATCAATGCCTCATCATCTCACCTTCCGTGCCATTCAATTGTTAGGCTCACCAAGCGGAGTCTCGCGTCGCCAGGATATAGTGAGGCCTCATTCCTGTGTGATTGGTCCCTTGCTGTGCTTGAAAGTGATGGTCCTGTCCCATTGAGACATCTTCAAACCGGCTGGAGGGACTCACTTCATGCTGTGGCTGCTCGTAAAGGATTTGATGTCCACCAGGCCCAGTGTACTGTTGACTGGATGGGCAGTTCACATAATTGCTTTGCAGTGGAGATATAGATTGGTACGGTGGGAAGTTAAAAGGGATGTATTCCACTGGTTGATTGTAGGTGCTCGATTGAATAGGAGGTGAATAAGAAAAGGTTTCGTCGTGGATCATATTGGAAGCCATGATTGGCGCCGGTTGTTGAATTTTTTGTGTCAACTGTAATCTCTCGGGATGAGAGGCCGAGGTCTCTGGCGAGCTTCTGCTTGGTGGTGATTTCGGCGGCGTGTCAGTCTTCTTCTTTGATCGTTTGGTAACACGAGACTGGCTCTTGATGCGAGCCTTGGACTTTGAGGAGCTTGTAGGTGCGGACGAAGTGGTTACGATGATATTAGAGTCAGAGCCTGTTTCGGATTGACTCGGGGAAGTATCCGACAAGACTGGAACATAATTAGCCATAACCACCACAAAAAACCGGTTCGAGACCTACCATCATTTACTGCAAAAATCTCTGCAACTCTACCACAGTGACAAGTGTTGAGATTGTGACCGCAACTCTCGAGTGGTCGACCCGGTTTGCGGACTTCGATCAAGATTCTGTCCGTATGCGCGCAAGACGTTGCTCGATGACCGCGAATGCATGGCTCGCTGTCATATGTTAATAATCAGAACAATCAAGAAGAAGCGCGCTGCTTTGAGAGACATTCTTCTAAGTGGGAGGTTATGTTACCAAGAATACTTGGAGCCATTGATGAGAGGCATCTCGAAGAAAATATAGCAAGTCAGTAATGATCTCTCACAATAAGCTTGGCCGTTGCTTTGGTCGGTTCAAGATTCGCTGGAGCGAACGGTTCTATTGTGGTGAGGGATTAATCAAGATTATGATCTAGAGTCAAGAGATCATTAAATGTCACGCCGGTGACAGTTGCGGACTACCCATTAAGTACTAACAAGCAGTCAGCACATATCACCGCCGTTGTACACAATCTTGGCCGTTACTCAATTAACCGTATGGCTCCTCTAGGAAGTTGGGGAGATGCCAAGCTTTGAGAGCAAGTTTTCTAGCCACAGAGGTAAATCTGCTCATTGAGGGGTCCGTCGTGAGGCGAGAAAGGCTCCATTGCGCTGGTTTGAGCTAGTTTCCGACCTTCGCGAACCCCTAACATTCCATAAGCAGCATGTAGCCCCGTTCCCACAGGTTCTTGACTGTTGCCAAATTCCTATTTTGAAATTCTCTCAATGTGGAGATGTTGGTGGTTCAAGAACATGGAGTGTCAGGCATAACTCATTATCATTCGTTATTGCAGATCCGACTTCCACAAGGAGTAACTCCATGTTCAATCGGCATCCCACACATGCATCAAGAATCTCTCTTCCTACTAAACTCCATCTGGAGACTTGTCTTCATGTATGTGTCGTGGGTGCACAATTGGACGAGCCTTTATTCTTGTGTTACATGGGAGTTTCCCAAGCGATAATCAAAACCCTCGCCTACCATCATCTTCCACACACAGCTCGCATAGAACCTAGAGACGCAGAAGAGCGAAGTAAATGACACTAAACCAATGTATTAAAATAAACTGAAGCTTACAAGGCTATGATTGTCATCCCAAAGGAGGCTTGGGCACCTCGGCACGGCGTTTGAGTATACACATCTTCTACGCCGTAGCCTTCATCTCGTCAGCCGAACTGTTGCGCCATTAGAGAAGCAGATCATATGTATGGAAGAGTTCTGGCTCAGTATTTGATGCATTCCACTGTATATGTCTAAAATGCTTGAATTCTGAATGGTCTGTGAAATGTTGAACGGAGAGATAAGTGGATCAGAAGGGGATCCTGCAGTAATGCAAGAAATATCAGTCACCTTTCCGCTACGCTGGAGATTATTTGAAGAGTATTAGAAGCCATCTAGTATTGAAGACCCATAAGTTCAGTACCGCCACTCCTAAATTGTAATCGGAGAATGGTTGGGCTCAGTATTGGACTGCGTCAGATAGGGCCTGGACTGTAGACATCATGGAACGTGGTGAGTACCTTTGGGACCACATGTATGCAATCTTTAAAGGCTCCAAGTGGTTTGTGAAAACTATATTCCAAGCCTCCGGTTGATGTTGAACTGGTGAATGCCACCTTCTGCCCACAGACGTCTCTGGCCGCATTGGGATATCCCATATGAGAACACCGCAAGAGTAGTGAGAATGAGACTGGCTTCCACGACTGTGAGGAGCATGGTGAGAAGTGATGACATCTTCAGTCTCATTAATGGAGAACACAGTCTGCACTTCTCAACCGCCCACGGAGAAGTAATTCTGACCTGAAATCCGATTGCTCGTCAGCGGCCAACCCTACATTATCGTGCTCATGCAAGCCTGCGGGAGTCCACCGAAGGAAACATAATCATCTAATAGACCAATCGGACTATCCGGACCAGGGACGACTAGCCTGGCTAACTTGATAATTGACTCGGTTGTTTCTCCTCCATCCTCTGCCTTGGACTGCACAAGACGGTTTGCCTGATTGTCGCGTGGGTTTGCGCTCTTTTGAGGCGCGAATGTCGTGATAGACCATGCATATGCTGATGGCGTGGAGTAAACATTTTCGAGTCAACTAAAACTTGTACCTTATGGGCGTCACGTCTTAAGTAGAGTGCTACCAGTCTCCAAGTACCAGTTGGAAGCTCGCTCACACAGAGCTACTTTGAAACTCGACATTCCGAAATCGTTATAGAGCCCGTTGAAGATGGATATGAGTATGGCTGTGGTCACGTCCGTAGCCTCGTCCACTGTGACAACTGTAGCTCATGCAACCACCACTGTGGTAGATACTGCTGTTACGACGTCGACGGGTATGGGAATGGGAGGTTCAAGTGGCTGCAAACTCTCTGTAAGTTGTATAAGACCTGGTTCCATTGGATAATGGGCAGAAAAGATATCTTCTTAATACTGCGCTCCTCTGGGTTGCCGATGCTAATATTTGCAGATGCTCCTCAACTGGCATACAATAGATGCATGTTTCCTCTCGTCGGTATTCCACATTCGCTCCTCCTTCACCTTCTTTCTCGCCTGTCTTGGCGCCCTTCTACTCGTCATTTCCCTCGAATTCCTGCGCCGTATCCAGAGACAATTTGATCAGTATCTACGCAAGAGAAACGAATCTCTTCAGAAGAAGGCATACGTGTTACCCGAGGAATTTGAAGAGAAGCTCCTGGACAAAGCGACCGATGTGGAGCAAACGAAGCAGAAGATCTCGGTTGTTGTGCTGGAGCAGTTGTTGAGAGGCTTGATTCATGTTGCTCAGTTCTCTGTTAGTTACTGTATAATGCTTATATTCATGTATAACAATGGTACGTACCTCCCTTCTAAGTTTTATCTTTGTTTACTTACAATTGGTAGGGTACATTATAATATCCATTCTGATTGGCGCATTGGCTGGATTTGCTCTTTTTACCAGGGATACTTTGTCCACCGGAGACGCCAAGTGAGACATCCTCCTTGTAACACAGTGATGTACTGACACCAGCGGCAGAAAGCTTGACGACATGGAGAAGACTTGCTGTTAGTAGTTGTGGGCAGATCGAGGAGACAAAATAATAATGTACGAAATCATGGACAGCAATTTTGCCACGAACCTAATCGTTGATTCTATACAAATTGACCCCTCTCAGTAACGTAGTCTTGTCTGAAGACAGCTCATCTCAATAGTTTTGTCTGGGACAATACCATGGTGTGTAATGCTTGATTGAACCAGCTTGATTCCAAGTGCATACATATGCATCGGACGATGCGGTTCGTCCATGGCCGCTCCGATGCGTAGCGTGTTCTCCTTGACGATAAACTCAAAATCATAAGATTTGATTCCAAGGTCTTCCCAGGTCTTCATTCAAGAACCCTCCCCGCTTTCAGATTCATTGGCGTCTGGCTCGACACCTTCTACGACACCGCCATCACCATTTGTAGTTGGAGCCACACCGCCATATTTGGCTATCCTTTCGGCCTCTTTCCGCTCCCTCAACGCCTCTGTCTCCTTCCTCAACTTCTCCATGTTCCAAGCATCATCCTCTCCGTCATCCTCTTCGTCAGACTCTTCACCACCACTTGCCTCCCAATCTCCCTTCTCGAACATGGCACGACCAGTAGCTTCTTTGGCGATTTGTGCTTCAGCCTCAGCAGCTTTCTTGTCCAGACGTTCTCTCTTCCATTTTGCGAATGTCTCCGGTGTCACAGGAGTGAGAGTCCCTGTAAGCTTGTGGCGTTCAGATTCCAGGAAGTCTTCAAGTGTAAGGGTCTTGAGTGGGGATTTGTCCATGAGCGCTTTTTCTGCAGCACGTTGTTCCTTCGTCTTCAATACGAATCTAGATAGGTTAGCCAGATATCAAGACAACGAAGAAAATTACGAACCCTGGTGGTAATTTGTGCTGATACATGCACTTATCTCCTCCATTCGGGCATGTCCAGAACCAACCGTACTTGCCCTCCTCCACGGCATCCACGAAAAACTTGCAAACTTTGTCGGTAGTTGTTTTCTGGTTGCCCTTCTTGGAGAGGACAACCTGCCGTAACTTCTCTTCATCCCAATCCTCCGAAGTTTCTTTCTTCTTCGTCTCTTCGTCAATTTCCCGAGTATCTTGGTATAAATCTTTCTTTTCTCCTTTCCGTTCTACGTTCAGGTCGTGTGAGAACTTGCATTTCCTGCCCTTCTCGCAGTGACCTTTTTTGTAAAACTGACAGAGTACCGTCTTGGGGTCGACACCAAAAGGAACCTTTTGGATCTGGACTGGTTTAAATAGCTCTGCCTCCTCCTTCTTGATTTTCTCCAGCGCAGCCTTTTCCCGTTCCTTTTCAGCCTTCTCTGCAGCTCTGCGCTTTTCTTCAGGGGTTCCGCCAGCTTTTGCAGACTGTGTCATCTGGGCAATCTGTTTCTGTGTCTGGGCGCCTTTCTTATTCTTCATTCCAAAAGTCCTGTCTTCCACAAGCTTGGTCGCAGAAGGCTTCTTGCCCCCGCCCTGCTTCTCTTGCTTTTTCGGAGGCATCTTGTGGTGGGTGTTGAATGTCGGGTAAACTTGGGTTTGATAGGGGCGTATACCGCGTTCGAGTGAGATATCTGCTTCAAGCTCACCGAGAGGTCCAGAAAAGACTGTGGGCGAGTCGTTGAATGCTCCAGTGACTTAATTGAAGCCGGAATCATGTTCAACGACGAAATCATCGAAGATGGTGGGGTAGCCGCTCACTGGTGAAATAGACGAGAGACGAGGAGCCGCTAAGGCTAGACCAGGGTCCATTCCGTACTTGCTGCTCAAGCTGTCCTCATCCGAGCGGAGAGATTTGGACTTCAGGAGACAGCTTCACAATCAAAGATATATGTAAGTAAGCTTCACTTTGGCATCTGTACTGGTCGTAAATGTCGAGTTCCAATTGATTGTTTGTGCTCACAATCTACGCAGTTCTACAAGCACCTCCGAGAGACCAGTACTTACGTGGCTCCTTCGACTCTACCCAAATCCTCGAATTCCTTGTCGCAAGCAGCCCTACATCCAAGATGATTTCTGACGATGATCTCTACCGTCTTGCGATCTTCCTCGGCTCGGCAGCCATGCTGCTCATCATCCTCTACCATTTCCTGGAAATCAATGCTGTTGAAGAGCCAGAAGTAGACAGCAAGGGGAGACCCATCACATCCAGCGCAAATGCTGGAGCCGCGTCGATAGGAAGGTGAAGACTGAGCTGGAGAAGGAGTAGAAGTATAGGCAGACTCTCGAAAACTGGAGGACAGTGAAGAGTGCCCTGATGCTGAGAGGGAGGGCTGTGCTTTATCAAACTCGAAATTATTTATGGAAGCATTATGGCGTTGGGGAATCACTCTGGACCGATGTCTAAGATTCAGGGCATGGGGTTGCATTCGAAAATTATTTTACTTGGCCAAACAGCGTGCTCCGTCGCTGGCACTGAAGGAGTGGTGGGTACGGACTTGTATGATATCAAAAGCCACTACAATGGACAAACGGTCAACTCGCATTTGAGGTTGTCATTGGACTTTCTGATGCTGCGGTAAGGGGAAGAAACATCAGAGGAATAGACTTGAATAAGGAGCCAGGTTGAACAAGCTGTAAGTGGCTGCTGCAGCATGGAGAAAGGTAATCTTGGTATCTCCGAATAATAATCTCACAAAATCTATTCGTCGTGAAATGTAACGCCCCATCAGGAGTAATCCATACGCTTCAGCTACCAGCTCCTGCCATTAATATGTTGAATATGCTATTAGTCTGTATTGCTGCTATACTTACAGAGCAAGGCATTCACTCAGGATTTTGCACTAGGCTTCCTCACGTGACTTTAGTACTGTGACTCAAACCGAATTAGCGTGTTCGTCGCCGCGAGCAGCCCCTTCCCGTCTTTCATCTCCAGCTTCGTCCCTCCCAATCCTCCCTCCAACTTCCCAAACCAACACCACCACAAAGCCATCTTCTTCTCTTCTCCACACACTCTCTCAGCTCTGTTCGTAACAATACACATCTGCGCGCTCATCCAACTTCGACCGTCGCACCCTTACTGCCACTCTTCCCAAGTCGCGTTCGCAACACAGCCTCAACCCTTTCAAGGCAGATCGCGATACATCGCATCAACTCTAGAGTTAGCCAGCCTTTCCCCATCAATCGCACATTGAGCCTCCTTCGTTCGACCTGCTCGCGATCGATACTTTGCCACGTTCTACTGATCCTAACGGCTCGATCTCAACCAGCTTCTCACCTTCACAACACGCCCAAATAAACTTCAAGATGTCTGGAAGACTCGATAAGTCGCTCGATGAGATCATCTCCACTCAACGCACATCCACTGGTCGTGGTAGAGGTCGCCGTGGTGGTCGTCGCACAACTCAAGCCGGCAAGCCCGCCACCGTCGCACCTGTTGGTGGTATCAAGAAGACAACCAAGTCTACCAGAAACCCTGTCAAGGCCATCCCAACTGGCCCATCTGGCTCTGGTGAAGGAAAGGTTATGGTCAGCGGATTCGTAAGTCCTGTTTCTTACCTCCGCCGTAAGCATCTGCTAACCCCATGCCAGCCTAAGGATATCAGCGAGATCATGATTAAGGTATGTTACCGATGAGGCTTTTCAAGTCTTGCGACTTTCGTCGAAGTATTCCAATCACAAACGAATCTATGATCCGTCGACCTGTAACGATATCCTGTTTCGATGTTTTTATCGAGTATACTGGGGAGCCCCATCCAGACCGTCTCCTGCTTCCTTCTGCTCGCGATATACCTTGAAGCAGCTGTGAAGTTCAGTTGAGCGCGTCTTAGTCTAGCATAAAGCCTATGATACTTCGAGGTAGCCTGGCAAGCCCTCGTATCTGAAAATGGCGCAGACTTGATGATGGCGTTGTTTCTGAAAGAAGAGAATCGAGACTTTCCCGGGAGACTTTGGAGCATGCGTCAAGCACAGCGAGCGCAGCAGTGGAGCAAACAGCACAGTCTCGAATACATCATCTCAGCAGCTTCTGAAAAGTTTTCATGAAGGCTACCTAGTTACAAACCGGTGTTTGGGAAACCTTACGTTGTGTCTTGGAGTTTTGGTGGCCGCACACTTTTTGGCGGCGGTTTCAGCAGTAGTGGTGTCAGGCTAAAATGAGAGATGGGCTGTTGATGGCATGTGGTGGTGGTATTGATTTACAACCGCCATGAAGATTGGTACCCTGGAGTGCCCGAAAGGATGGCTCGAGTACCAAATTTTCCGCCTTTACTGGATTCCGGACATACCCTGATCACTAATGCTCACTGCTCGCTCGCTGTTTTCAAGGACATTTTTCGGGGGGCTTGGATGTTGTTTTTTGCGGACTCTTTCTTTCGTTCCAGGCCCGACGTCGAGACCACCTTTGCGATTTTCGCGAGAAGAACGATTTTCAGATCACTAACCACAATTTGGAAATATAGGAGTACTTTGGAAAGACCGTAGGACCTATCAAGAAGGTTGAACTATCGTATGGCCCTCAAGGACAGAGCCGCGGTGTCGCCAACATCATCTTCCACCGATTCGACAACGCAACCAAGGCAGTCTCCACTTGCAATGGTATCCCCGTTGACGGCAAGCCAATCAAGGTGAGACTGTCAATTCTGTCAAATTTCAGGCTTAAGCTAATGCGTCTGCAGGTCGAGTTGATCCTCGATGGAACTCGTGCAAAGGAAATCCCACCACCAAAGGGCTTGAGTGAGCGTATTACGTGAGTTACTAACACCATCCGCAATCAACGTAGACTAATAGATTAGTAGGCAACCAAAGGCTCAACCAAAATCCGCTGCTGTTACAAAGACCCCAGCTGCCGGTGCCACTCGTGGAGGCAAGGCCCGTGGTCGTGGAGGACGCGGAGGTCGTGCTGCTCGCCCTGCCAAGAAGACCGCAGAGGAGCTCGACTCCGAGATGGTCGACTACTGGCAGACTGGTGCCACCGCTACAGACGGTGCTGGTGCTGGTGCTGTTGCTGCTCAGCCAGCTGCTAATGGTGATGCCAACATGGATGACGAGATCTTGTGAACATCTGTGCTATGAAACGACTCATCACCTCACACTGGTCTGACATGGTCAAGCACAATTGATGCGAGACTCTCTTTTTATGCAAGCAAAGCATACCTTTCACTGTATTACTGGTTTTGCAAGCTCGCCTTTTATCATTTAGGCTTTCTGTTAGGGACGGGATTGGGGGTGGGGATGGGAAGGATGATATGGAGATAATGCGTCGTCTCCACTCTTGAGGCATCCAAATTTTCTTTTACACTGTCTTCATGGAATTACAAGGCCGGCGTTTGTTCCGAAATCAAAATGGAATTGGACCAAAACAAAACTTTCAAATCGTGGGTGACAAAACAAAGAGAAGTCACGGCAAAGCCGCTGTCCAACCAATATTTCCTATCGTTTTGTGCTTGTTTCTATTCTTCCGCGAATCTAGCAATGTCGATCTGCTCTCCAAAAGCATATCCTTCAGCCAGTCTTCTCCTCAAACGCTGTGATGGAGACTTGTGATGGTCTGTGGCGAGCCGATTGGCTTTGGTCTGTGCAATCAGACCCCAGAGCTTCCCCAGAGCGACTTCTTGGCGCCCGGGAATGTTACTGGATGCGTACTGGAGGTTGGTACCGGATTTCGGTAGGCGCCGACTACTTTGACCTCTCTTTGGGGATTTACGGCTGGACTTTTGAAAAAGACTTTGCACAGCTTTGGAGCCAAAGCTTGCGTTTTCAGTTTACTTGCGTGAATATCTGTGCTTCATTTAGTCATCAATGATTGCTTTGGAAATGTATGTAGACGGTTTGCGTACTTGACCCATGTTTGGGGTTCGATACATACCGTTCGGAAGACAACGACAACCCCAAAGCCATCCCGTCTATTAGTTCATCAGGCCGTGGCCCTTGCGGGATCTAGTTGATCCAGGGTCTTCGTAGGGCACTTCAATGATCACATTGGTCAACGGTCTCTCTTTCTCCAAGCATGCGACTGTCACCCCCTCTTTCATTTCTTACATTCTATTTGTCCTCTCAGAATGCACTATCGTACGTCTGTAGGTACCATCACAGTGACAAGCAATGGACCCCTCACTATTATCCCATTGGCACCATCACGAGAGCAGTTTCTGTCCCTGCCTCGGCGTGGACATGCAGTCCTTTGTTGATAAACGGGGTCCATGCCCGAAGACTTGGAAATAAGTCTGCAGTTGATCGTCGAGTTGTTCTGGTGCTAGTTTAAACTTGTGTATGCCGATCTGCTGTTCTGAACATTCATTTATTGGAGTGTTTGCATTCATTCTTTCGTTTTTCTTTGCCGTCTCGGTCAAATCTCCTGGGGAGCTGTTGACTCTTCTCTGATTGCAACTGTACTCACTACATCGTTGCTGTTGACAGCTGGTATACGAGGCTATTAAGATCGAAAGTTTTGAAGTCTTGACTCATCAGATATTCTCTTCTTCCTTCGCCAAATCAGTTGTACAGCACGAGAACAAAATGCTCCCTTCAATTTGGACCCTTCTAGCCATCATCGGCCTCACACTCGCTTCTCCTGTCCCAATACCAGATCCAGCACCAGTTACAAACCCGGCACCAGTTCCCGGAGTAAACTCCAGTCCCAGCGAGCTAGCCGAACGAGAAACAGACCTCAATGCCTTCCTCTCTCTCCTTCTCGACCACCTCCCTGCCATCGACGGAACCCTCGCAGCCATAAGCGGCATCCTCACCACCTTCCAAGGCTTCCTCGCCCTCGTTTCCGGTAAGAAAACAACTTACAACCAACTTTCCAGCACCTGTAAACCATACACCGTCGTATTTGCCCGTGGTACAACCGAGCCTGGCAACGTTGGGATCTTGGTCGGTCCTCCATTCTTCGATGCATTGAAGGCAAAGGTGGGGAGTGCGGCGTTGGCGGTCCAGGGCGTGAATGATTATAAGGCGAGTGTTGTAGGGTATTTGGCGGGTGGTGATGTTAAGGGGAGTGTGAATATGTGAGTTCTGGCTTGACATTGGTCGCGGTATTTACAAAGTTCTGATATCGCTCTAGGGCGATGCAAATCGCGACGGCATTCACGACATGTCCAAACACCAAACTCGTTGTATCGGGATACTCACAAGGAGGTCAACTTGTTCACAACGCCCTAGCATCTCTGCCAGCTACGACGGTCACGTGGGTTTCTAAGGTGGTGATTTTCGGTGATCCGAGTATGTTCTGTTTACCATTCATCCCTGGTGTCGAAGCGAGCCCGTTGGCTAACATTAGTAGATAATGGCACGGCTATCCCGAATGTTGAGGCAAACAAGGTTATGACAATTTGTCATCAAGGGGACGATATCTGTGATGATGGATTGAGAGTCCTGCAGCAGCATCTTACGTACGGTCTGGACGCGCGGAATGCGGCGACTTTTGTGGTTTCTTGAATTAGGAATTAAAGTTTTGTTTGTAAAACTTCTGAGCATGGGACCTTTCGTGTGAAACAGTTGCGTATGCTCAGCGAAGTCTTCTGAGAGTTTAGCGGTATTGACTTCCACGAGCTTACGGCGGAACTGAATTTAGCGATGAAGGGTACCACGATCCGGCTCACTGCGAATTCGGGAAGGCTGTCAATGTGCCCAGTGTAAAGCATGACATGGTACTTTAGTTCTGATCATTGCATTCATGAACCCAACCAGCAGCCAACGTGCTCTGCGCAACCAAACAAAACGCCACAATCCGAGTCCTTTCAAAGCCAGGTACACCATCCATCCTTAGTTCCAGTACCTCATCCATATTTACGTGACCTAAAACTCATACCCATAACCAAGAAGTGACCCAAAAAATACCCTCAACGCCCAGCAATCTCCATCATTCAGCCCCCAACCAGTAACGGAAGCCCGATCCCGATCTAAGAATCATATTTCAACCGCTCTCCGCTCTCCTTCCGCCTCGCCTTCCTCATTACCAGGCCAAACAACCATACAAGCCCCCCTCCTCATAAACTCCGCCGCATGCTCCGCTGTGTACACCTCCCTGCCCTCCCCTTCACTCACGCTCCTTACAATACCATCTAGCCTCTCAGATTTCAGCGTCGTTACTGGACTCTTTATTTGGGGATGGACATAGATTTCGCCGGGAGGTAAGGCTGTCATGGTTTCGCCGAGATGGGAGAAGTTCGCTGCATCGGTCGGGGTGTAAGTATCGGGCTGGATAATTTGACTATTTTGCGACGGGCCTGTAGTAGAGTGTGTAGTTGAGGTAGAGAGACGGGAAGAGAATGATGTAGAGGAGTGGGCTGTCTTCATTGTTGCTGGAGAGGATGAGAGAGCTTGTGATGGGGGTGTGGGAAAACAAAGAGCTTTGATAATGGAGGTTGTGAGTTTGCTGGAAAGGGATTTGAACATCATGATAAGAAAGAAGGTTATAGTAAAGTAAATGAGAACGTTGTAGAGCTGTATAAAGTTTCTGGGATGAGGAACATGGAGAACGAAGAAGGGTTTTAGAGAAAGTGAGTCTGAGCAAAGCCACAATGTAATGCACGTCTGTGCAACCACCAACAAATCTGACGTGAGGTATAAAAATGGGAGATTCGAGCCAACTAGCTCTCTCACAGCCATTGCAATATACTGAAACTACAATCAATGTGTGGAGCAGGAAGTACGAAGAATCTGGATGTGCAGCAAATGTACGCAAGCAATAACCGAAAGAGAATGCGGAAACTATTGCTTTTATGTTATCTGCCTGCAAGGTATCTACCGACCATGCCCTGCAAACTCATGGAATAAAGTCTCCTCAGACATCAAAAAAGTGATGTATCAACTCGAAAAGGAAGGGCTCCGTTGTTATCCATCGTTGATAAGAAAGCTTTAGTCTTGTGAAGAGTGAAGAAACCAACACAATATCTGTTGTACTAGGAAGCCTCCATCTTGTGCGCCATGTAAAGAGAACAGAAGCCCGTCTAAGCAACCTCCTCGATCTTGGAGCCGGTGGCCTTCTTAGGAGCCTCCTTTGCCTCCTCATCGTCGTCCTCGCCCTCGAGCGCTGGCATATCCTCGTCGTCATCATCATCGTCATCCTCCTCGGGCTCTGCTGCTCCGCCGAGTTTGGAGAAGTCGATGCCGCCAAAGTCACCTCCTGCACCGCCCATCATTGAGCTCATATCACCCATACCTGGCATGCCGCCCATTCCGCCCATGTTTGCTGCTGGTGTGTCAGCATTTCCTATATCCAGATTTCCAATCATCTGTGAAAAACTCACCTAGGTCGTCCTCGGGAGCCTCGTCCTGCTCATCCTCATCAACCCACTTATCGAAGTCGGTCTTCAGGAAGTGGACCTTCTTAGCATCCTTCAATAGTCGTGGCCAGAACTCCTCCTTCAGCTCCTTCTTTCTCAGGACCAAGGCAATGTTTTTGGCAGTGTGGTTGATCTTGGTCTCGGACTCGTCAATCTCGCCGTAGAACTCGAGCTCGACGTGGTAGTCTCTCTTGAGGGAGTCGGAGTGGCCGGAGAAGGTGAGCGATTGTGACTTGATATCGAGCTTAAGATTCGACTTTTGGACATCGGGGACGGTGATGGTGAGGTAGATGAAGTTCTTCTTGGCGTCGGTCTTGTTGGAACGCTGGGCCCAAAGGACTGTTTGTTGGGAGAAGCATTAGCAAAGATTTTCGGGTAGATTTGTATTAATCGAGCATGGACAGCTGTGGTGGAGGCTGCTTCAAATGCAGTGACGGGCTGGAGCTGAAGCTGAAGCTCCCCCGCCAAAAGTGACATGTTAAGCTTACCTTCTGGAGTCTGCGCGGTCGACATGATTGATGTGGACGGTCAAGCTGTCAGGGAGAGTGTGGTGTAGATTTCGTGGGAGTTGATTGTGGAGATCTTGGCGGTGAAAAATTAATTGCTTGGGTTGGGGTATGGGAGGAGAGAAGATGAAAGCGAGGATTCGTTTGGTGGTGGTGGTGGATTGCAGCAGTGCGAAGCGGCTTTCCAGCCTCGTGCCAAAAGAATGTAGCAGAAGCTTCCAACGTAAATCAATGCCAGAGCGGTCAACATCCCTGCAAGATGGCGACTAGGTGAGGCAAGGCAGCAATTGATTGCTTACAATGAATACAATCAAGGTTTGACGTCCATTTAATGTCTATTATGATTCACCTGGGCTTCCTTCTACGATATTCAGTATCTGTCTCCTTTTGATGGATTTTTCTACCAACTTCACATGCCCCACGTATTGCGGCTCTTTTCCATTAAGTCCAGCTCTAGAACTGTCCTCGTCCCAAAACCAGAACTACAAAGTATTTCAGTGGATGCAAGTGCAATTTCACGGTCAGCGGTTGCTTTTATCCCTGTATTCCATTGTCTTCATCAAGGTGACTCTCGTAATCCAACTTCGGATTTCGCATGCGATCACGTGATATGACCTCGACATGTACAGCTTGAAGTAGTGCTTTGATGGACAAACGTACCCTTTGAAGGCTTGAGAGTGCCTGAAGTAGGCTATGATTTCTCTAGATCACAATCTTGTTGCATGGATTTTGGGCAGCTAATGGCCAGAGAGGTGCAACTTGCTGCAGAGCACTTACTCTGGAAAGGACTTCTTGAAAAATACCTTGGAAAGGTTGGGAGACTCTTCCCCGACATTTGACAGACCTTATGAAGCCTCTTACCTAAATCCATCTATCCAGACAGATCCGTTGTTATGGTTTCCTTGTAGCTGGGGTAAATACCGGAGAGCCTGTAAGGCTGGCTCCTCATGAGAGTCACGTGGTACTGCTTTTATGATTTCCATTACCCAAGTCTTTACCCATATGCATCCATATATGCTTGGGGAACATCTTTGTGGATCTTCAGAGCCGCGAGGACTCAATTAAGTACAGCACAGAGATTGCTGTGTTCTCGCATCCGAGCCAGCAGAAGGCAGCTATCAGATCGCGACTTGCCACTACTACCGTCACTCTACTAACGAGCAAGCTCCCTACGACGTTTTTACAGTATGCTTGAACCAGTTGGTTGTTAAATTGCTTTCATAGTATTGGTTTCGGCTCCTTTGTACCAATTGACTTCCGGATCTCTCAAGCGAGCTCTAAACGAACTCAAAAGACGACCATGCCATCAATCACTGGGTCAAACTCGGTGTTGTGAACAATTACTAGCATTATATTGATTGTTTACCTTGTATCGCTACCGAATTTCTCTCGCTGCACACGCTGCACCCAACGCTACCAAAACACCCATCCTCAAAACCCAAGCCATCGCCTCCCGATCATCAACACCAAGCTGCCTACAGCTCCAGAAAATAGCACTATTCAAGACCGCTGAAAGCATCTGCGGCATAGCAATAGCTATATTATGTACCCCCATTGTCGTTCCGGCTCTAGATCTGATTTTTGGACACTTAAATGTGTCGGGTCCAGTTAGATGTTGGATCTCTTCGTCGTGCTCCGTGGGTGAGGAGGAAGAGGATGAAGGATAGATGGAAAGCTCCATTTTATTGGCATGTTCGACGCTGGAGCTATGAGCTATTTCGGCGGTGATTATGGCAAATGGTGCCCATTGTGTAAGTGCCCAAGAGATTCCGAGGAGAGATACGAAGACGACTGAGGACATGAAGCAGTCTCCGATTGTGGCGCCAAAGAGACATATTGATGTCAAGATATGCGAGCACATCCATACTCGTGGAAGAGTGGGCCATGATAAGCAATTCCTAGGAGATGTCTTCCTGCATTGAGGGATGGATATCAGATGCGGTAATAAGAGATTTGCCATGAGTGCTACAATGGAGAAAAGCAGCATGGCCATGATAGCGTGTTGAGTGGACTGTACACCAACAGCTTCAATGTAAATCGTCGACGATGATCCCGTACTCTCGGAAAGAATTTGATAGCCGTCTACACCAGTCAGTAACCCGATATGGAGTCTAGAGTCTTCCAATACTTACACAGCTTACTCAGATACCTGTCCATCCGGTTAGCGAACACGACGGCTTGGGATCGGGTTGATCACTTACACAACAATGTTAAACAAAAACGGAAACCACGCCAACCACGCAAAGAACTGTACTACACATACCCTTCTAATCGTCGGCGGCAATTCCCTAATCGCCTCAAATATCTCCTTCCAAACACCCCTCACCCCAAACTTCTCTCTTCCAATACCTTCATCCCCACCTTCAAACCTCCTCTCCTCAATCACCACCGCCGTAACCGCAACCGTCATCCCTAAGGCCACCGAAGCAATCAGACACAGCCCTTTAAACTCCGAATTCTCAACCCAGCTTGCCATCCTCGGCATACCCACAACACCACACCCATACCCAATCGCACTTCCCACAATAACAGCCGTACTCGCAAACGAATTCGCCTGAACGGCCTGGTCACCAGGACAGGAATCGACAATCAAAGCACGGATACTAGTCTGTACAGGCTGGATTGCTATATTCAACGCCCAGATGCCTACCACAGCAAAGATCTGGATCGTGATGTGCGCGGCACCTGCGTCGGCGTTGAAACCTAGTAGGTAAGCGAATGATCGTACTATCTCGCTCGTCCAAGCGAGAAGATTGATACAGAATATTGTGGCGGCTGTTCCATAGATCATGAAAGGGCGACGGCGGCCCCAGGGGTGGGTGCAGAAATCGCTTTTGTACCCGATGTACGGTTGGAGGACGGTTCCGCAGATGGGACCAGCGAGCCACACCAGGGAGACGAGATAGGGTTGGATACCGAGAGACAGTAGGAATGTCTGAGATGTTCATCAGATGATAAGGTGTACTTTGATGGGAATGTGACTTACGGAGCCTTCGGCCATAACGGTTGCCCATACTACTTGTAATCTGGTTTGGGTGTCAGAAGTGGAAAGAGGGTTGATAATAGAGATCTTTACCCTCCCATGCTTATCGTTAAGCATAGTAAGTACAATCGACTGACAGCTGGTCGTCCATCAACTGCAGATATTGCCCCATCTTCATCTAACGAGTTCTCTACCTCGGGAGAGGTAGTCGAAAGTTTCTCATATCTTTCGCCTGCCATAACTGTCAGAATCGGATTTTACCAAGAACGCAGTTAGATTTCCTCAAGATGGTTCAAGAAACATTTATATATTCCACCATGAGAGAGATTACTCACCGCTTGTTCCACATATCCACATGACGAGCTGTACCCGTCCGTCAAAGTAGCACAACCAGCTGGCCGTCAGGACATTCGAATAAGGGAACCAGACCTCGGCTTCAATTCTCCCAACGAAAGCCTATCGCAAAGTAGATCCAATGTTGTCTCAACGTACGTCTCTCAGCGGCCGTTGAAAAGATCTCGTTGTCGTGATACGTGATACTAGTGCTGACTTGCTCTTCCTTCGCTTCCGGACTTTGGAAAGATGTGGTCTGGAGATACCTGAAACGGAAAATGTTTCGACCATGAATTGTTTCAAGATTGAACGAGTACTTAAACCGACTGACTATTTCGAAACTCATAGAATTGTCTTAGGGTCAGATATCATGGTGTTTGAGAAACGTTGAAGTGATGGTTGGGCTTACAATAGTGGTGTTAGTGGGGGTCTGTCATGGGCGGGCCGCCCAGGCCCCGCGCGGTATATTGTACAGCACTTGGACTTCGTATATGCGCTGAGACGTGGCAATTGACCAATTTGGAAGGTCAGTGGATGTTACATGTCACAGAAGCGTTCAAGTACATGACTAATCAACGATCTGGAAATTGACTATTTATTTATTGACTTGTACGTCTAAATGCCTTGGCGATCTGATGGTACTCTGTTAGCGGATAAGCCCATTCAAGCTTCAATTACAGCAAAGAATGAGTGACGCATTCTAATGATCGCTCGTAGGATGTAGAAATCTGAAATAAGACATCCAAATCTAAATCTCTCCAGTATGAAGCAACATATAGCACAATACCCTCGCTTAAATCGCATTACCGAAGCACCACCTGTATCCAAGCTCCTAAAGAATTCCCTTAACAGCTAAGATTGGGCAAGTAGCCGGACTGATCACACACGAAATCGACGCAAAAGTCGTACTGACAATCCTCATATGATCCCTCGTCTTATCGCTCTTCTCCTTCTTCTTCAAATGCTTCTTGAGCTCCCTATCTTGCTTTTGCGCCAATTGCCATTCTTTCAGAGGCGGACTGCCTTGTTCAGCTGTAGCTGGAAGGACCGAGCCGTCGGGGCAGATCGTTGGTTTCTTCGACTTCGACTTCCACTTCGATTTCGACTTTGGAGAGCGCGGAACGAGAGCGTGGAGGTTATTTGAAGCAGCCTCGTCATCCGTGCCGCGAGCGTTGCAGACTTGAAATGTGAGAGGGTAGTTCGAATCCCCGTCATCGACGACGTGGAAGAGTTCGCTAGTTATTGACTCGACGATTCTCACTACTTTACCAATCTCCTCACTGTCCAAGTCCTCAGCCTCAGGCATGACATTTGCGCGCATAGCTTTCTGAAGTACCAACTCGGCTATGGTCTCTGCGGCTGCTCTCTCCTCGCAAGGTAGGAGTTCAGTCAAATGGAAGAGATTGTCGAGCATGATTTGCTCGCGAGCTGGCAACGATTCTCTCTCCGTCTCTGTGGGAGGTCCATACTGGACGTTGTAGGTTTCGAGGATAGAGCGGATGGTGTCGAGTACGAGGGGGTTAAAAAGATAACTGTTGGAATTAAGGGTTGAGTTTTGTGTGGTGTGCTTGGTTATGTTGATGTTGGGAAAAGGTGGAGGAGCAATGATGGCTGTTGGGAAAGGCGGAGTGCTGCCAGTGGAGGATTCGAAGATAGAGACTGAAAACGAGGTGGTCGTCGGTGTTTCGTGTGCAGTGGCGGTATATTCTCCATCTCCCACGACGCTGGTGTAATGGTCAGAGAAGGGCTTGGTGGCCTCACTGACAAACAGTGTCGCATTAACAGTTCTGGTGTTTAGCGGAAATGCACTGCCAGCAACTGCCAGCAAGGTAGGAACGAGGGCGACGCGTGAGATGTGCATGATGAACACGCTCGCAGGAAGGCGGTCAAGTAAAATAGAAATTCTCCAGGAAGAGACTTTCAAGGGGGAGCAGTGTGGGAATAGTAGTCTCTGGTAGTGCTAGAGCTAGTCGGATATTTGGAAATTTCACCTGACCACTGCTACCACATACTGATGGATGTCCAAAAATGTGTGGACTAAGCCAAAGGAAAAAGTCCCAGAGATGTAGCCGCTACTAACGACCGGACTTGAAGCTAGAAGCAGGAAACTAACAAGGCGCAACTACTAGAGCGAAGGTATGACTTACTGAGATAACGGCGGTCTTCGTTAGACATGGTGGAATTGTAGCAGCAAAACTCTACCTGTACAATATGCCATCTTGAACTCTCATATTCGAGACTTCTGTCCAGAATCGGCCCCTTTGGAGCGCATTAATTCTTAAATAACGCCTCGTGCAACCCATACCCACCCAAACTCCATGCCGTTAAAATCAAAGGCCCAATGTAACCATACTCAACTCTTCAGAGCCTCCAACCTCCCCCTCATCTGATCCAACATAGCCTCCGCATCCTCCTCATCCTCATCTTCCGCAACAGGTTGATCCTTAACAGGGGTAGGTAGATTCGGCGTCGCCCCAACCTTACTCATCTTATCTGTCAATATCTCACCCAACACCCTATCAACCTCCGTCTCAGCCTCCTCGTCCTCCTCCTCCAGCTCATCCGGTAGACTATCTCCCACCATCTCCTCAATAATCCCCGCCTTCACAAGTTCTTGACTCAGTTCGCGCATCGTGCCCATCAGTTCCGGGAGCTTGACGAGACTATTGACGTCCTTCATGATGCCAACACTACTCCTAATGCTGCCCTCTATCTTACGCACTGCGAATGCCTCCGTAACCTGCATGGACACGCTGTTGAGCTGCGCTTTGGATGTGACGAGTCTATTGTGTTGTTTCCGCGTGCGTATGAGCTCGCGCGCAAAGATGCGGATGTCTTTCTCGGCTTGCTTTGCTTGGGAGGGGTTGCGCTGGGCTCGGCGGTTGGCTTGGATGATGAGGGTTTTGGCTTTGTTCTCGGCCAGCTTCATATTCGCAATGTCGCGGTCAAGTTTGCGGGTGTTTTGTCGGATCAGTTGATTACATTTCCGGACCTAAGAGGATTAGGATGAGCGTACTTATCAGTTTTGATGCGTGGAAGGTTACCTGTGCTTGGGGATCTGGCTTGAAGAACACGGCTTTGATGGACTCCATGTTGGATGGTGAGCACAGAGAATGTGCTCTGTGTCCAATTCCACGGTTGTATTACTCGCAGGAGATGCGAGGCTGCAGAGTAAAGAGTGCGAGTCGGAGGTTGTTGATGGATGGTCGATTCAAGCCTAACCTTGAGGTGAGGCTTCGATGGATCGTTGGTGGGATGTGGACCAATGACGTCGCAGGAGGGAGGGGCCGCGAATTAGCCTCGATGGTGGATCTAAAGAGGAAGTACGGAGTATCACAACATCAAATCCCAGGTCCCAGTATTTCTCTTTGAACACTATACTTTAGGTTTCCATGAAGAGCTCGGGAACTTTGAACTAGTATATTCTGCAACTGCTTCCCGAATTGCACCATCTGCAGGAATGTGTGACTAAGTTGTCTTAGTCACGCCCTTTCGTAGGATGTCGATGTCACCAGAAAATGCCGTCACAAGTTCACAGGTGGAGGAAGAAAATACAGGCAATCTCTTGTCTATCACTCATACCACAAGAACACTCTTACACACATTGTCAGTCATGCAAAACTTGAAGTGAGAGTTGAAGAGCTACACTCCGCATTTTGCCTGAAGCGGCAGTGGTAAGGCCTTCATTCCAGTCGTTCTTCCTTCCTCCTTGCTTTCAGAATGAACGCACACATCAAGAACAGTTTTGGCACGAAAGACTTTGTCCCAAAAGCAATGTCATAACTCCTATCCAAATGCCTCGTAATGAATGCCTAGCAACGCGGCAAGTCTATTGTTTTTTGCCACCTTCGCCAACTCCAAATAAATGCCCAATCCATCGCAAAGACAGAACCCTTCGCTTTTCGCATGACTATGCCGCTCAACGCTTCTAACAACCCCGGAATCAATCTAAACTTCCACTGATTCATCCACATTGCCAATGCCACTGATCAAGTTTGCTGCCTTCAAAGTTGTTGGATCTGTCAACTTTGCTGCATTCTTTGACATTCCCTTGTAAATCTTCAGCACGTTGTCGACGATGACTGCGTCGATTCCCTCTCTAACTTGTTGCTGTATGAGGTTAGAGAAGCTCCAAAAAATAATATGGCATGACTTACATCAACTTTCTCCTCATCATTGTTTAGTGTTCCATAACTGACGCAAACCAGTCCACTATCTTTGACGACCTTCACCAATCTTGGACTGTTGCACAACGGCTCAGCAGCACTCACAACACCCAACAAGTTCCAGCGGCTTGCAAAGCGAATAGCTTCTTGAAGACTGCTGGCTCTGATATCACCGACTGGGCATGTGCCAGCATCAGTTAAGAACAAGACCGGAATACTAGGCTGCTTGAAACTCAACAAGAGGCAGATGTCGGGATTGAAACTGCTGAAAATGATCTTGCGCTTTTTGCAAAGATCATACACCTTGTTGAGTACGGTATCAACGAAGCTGTTAAGTTCCACAGCATAAGCATCCATGTCGTGCTCCTCTGACTCGTGCAACATGGGATACTTCATCTCAATATTGAATCCCACACGCTCCTCGAGCGTGAGAAACATCTCTTCGAGGGTGGTGAAAGGTGCTTGGATGAAGTTACCACGGGAATTAGCTTTGAACCCTTTCTCCTTGAAATCTCGAGTATGCTTCATCTTCTCAGCCATATCGATGTCGGGTAGTAAATGGCCCATAGACAATGAACGGACACGCTCCGCTCCACGAACTACTCTGAATTGAGGATTGTCCTTGGCATCATCCTTCGGGTTATCTCTTGGCGGGGTCGGTGGTCGAGAAGCTCTGGGAGTTGCATCATTAACGTGCAAAAATTGTTCAGCAGTGAGTGTATGAACAGGAGCATCGATTCCTGTTTCGCTGACCAGGAAGTCATGGTAAATGACAGGGACAAGATCTTTGGTCAGTTGGACATCAAACTCGACATAGTTGGCGCCAAGATTCGTTGCGGCGATGAATGACTGCAGCGTGTTCTCACCCAGCTGCAACGATCTGTTTGAGGCGATGTTTTTGCCGAGTCCTCTGTGTCCAATGATCATGGTAGATGATACTTCCTTCCAGTAAGTCTGTTTTGTTGTGATAGACATATTTGGGTGAGAGAACGGTGTTATGACCAGGAAGTTGAAGTTAACAACTCCGATAACCTCAAGATCCGTGCTCATGATCGGAACACTAACATCTCCTTGCAAATTCATTCTTGAGACACCGATCGCTTGCTTGATACTGCCCAAGATGGCGACACCTCTTCCGACTTTGTCTTCTTGGTGACCAGAATAAGTTGGGACAATGTCGAAATACAGCTTGACCTTGGCCGCATCGGCTGCAGTAAAGACCATTGGCTCCGTCGAGATGTTGTCTGGTACTGGAAGATCGATGGTAGTTGGTTCTCCTGTGGCTCCTTTGGCGCTGACAATAACAGAGAGCGAAGTATCAAGCTGCGTGGAATGTGCTTCAGCGATAGGAATTCTGTCGAGCTTGACTGCTGGTACATTTTTCCTCATATCCATAGATCCCAGACTGACCAGGACCATACTCTCGTTCGTGAGGTAACGATGACCAAAGGTTTTGACAGGCTCTGTAGTCTCAACCTTGGTCATCTGCGATCGAGCTGTTCCAATCGAAGATAGATTTGGAGGAGAAGAATCTCTGGTACGCGCGGATGGTTCCGATTCTGGACTTGAAGCCACCGAGCTTGCCTGAGCTAGCTTTGCAGCTATGTCCATATGACCACGAAGAGCTGCATGCTCTCTTGCCAACCATCCGGATCCATCAGGCTTGTTGATGTCAGCACCAGCTGCAATGAGCAGCTCAACAATTGGCAGGTGTCCATCGACCGAGGCAATGTGTAGCGGAGTCCAAGAAAACGTGTTCTCCGTGAGATCAATATTTGCCTTCTGTTCCATTGTTCCTTGAAGCAACATGCGAGCACATTCAGCATGGCCAAATCTTGCGGCAATGTGAAGAGAGGTCTCGCCCGCGGGGTCTTGCCAGTTGATGTCAACACCAGCGTCGACAAGCAGCTTGACAATAAGGGTAAAATTAGACTTGGTAGCCATGGCCAAGACAGCACTGGATTTCGAAATGTCTCGTCTCATAGCTGCTTTTTGATCGTTGCGGCCTTGCCAATTCTCTCCCTTTAAAAGAGCCTGTGTGGTCAAAGCATGACCTCCGATGACGCTAAGATGCAACGGGGCCTGTCCATCGTTGTCTTGCCATTCTGGGGCATCAATACCATTCTCGACATTGAATTGTCCCCATTGTTGCATGTACTTCATGACAAGCTCGCAAATAACTACGAAGCCAAATTGAGCTGCATAATGTAGAGGCAGACGTCCATATGTGTCTTTCGACTTCAACGCAACACGATGATGTGGCTCCACAGTCTTCAAAACATAATCCAAGAGTTTCACGTATTCATCATCCATGCTCAATAAAGAAGACTCTTTAAGAGTGCTGCGTGCGGGTCCCAGAGGAGGAGATGCCGCAGGCGTGAGGAAGCGAGAATCGTTTTGGTCAACGGTGAGGAGAGCTGCCGAATTTTCAAGTCCAGTACGAGTGGACTTTGCACGTCCAATGGAGATGACCAGACGGTGCAAGCAATTACGCTTGTTGATATCGTCGGTCTCATCCAGAGATGTAATGTGCTTGAGAAGGTAGCTGATGCATTGCTTTGACTTGCAAGATATGCAGCGCTGCAACAGACTGACCAAAAGCTTTTGCATTGCGGGCTCATTAGGTTCGAGATTAGCCTCTGCAAGAGCCTCTTCGAGCGTGGGTACATCATCGCTCCGAATGGCTTGGTCAACGGTATCAAGAAGTCCCTTGGGCAAGTTGAATATGGACCTGGAAGATACCCGTTTGATCGAGTGTACCGAGTGAACAGACTGTGCATCAGAGCCATCCATGTTGGGCTGAATATCCCCAAGGATGGACAGCAATCCGTTCACTGTGCCTTTCAACTCCTCCACTCGCACGTTTGTGGCGAAGGGTTTCAAGTCAACCTTCGAAGCCAAGTACCGTTCCTTGGTGCATACATTTGGTACCTTTTTATCAAGCTTCTTTGTGATCTTGATAAACCCTCTTCGATTCAAGTCACCGAACCATTGTATCTTCCTTAACTGATCGCGGAGCTCCAAAAGAGCACCCCGAAGCTCTTCGATATCATTGAGATCCAATGTTTCGAATGCTTCCTTCGATGAGCCGTATCTCTCCTTGAGAAGGTTCAGTCTCCTTGACGCATCTCCAAATTTCTTGTTATAGAAGTCGTCGACATCTTCGAGGTTTCGATCCAAGGTAAAGAAGAACTCTGCAGGGTCATTAGGTTAAGCAGGTGCGGCGGGGTATTTATAAGTACCAGCCAAGTCAGGATCGTTGCCAGTCTTCACGGTAGCAACAGCAGCTTTAATGAGCTTCTTCAATCCCTTGTAGTTGATATAAGCGGCAGACCATTCCGGAAGCTGGGTCCGGAGAAGACTGGAAAATATATGTCAGCCAGTGACTTGCATTAGCAGATGGAGTCCACCATGACTTACTGCCGTCCGAACTTCATCCTGTGCAAAGCTCAAGTGAGAAAGATAACCCCAAAATTCCCAGAAAGCTTTGGCTTCTGCACCACCTTCAACAGCTACCAGCCGGCTTTATTCTTGTGGTGGAAGTCTCGCAGACGGGTAACTGGGAGATAAGATCGAGGGGTCGGGTAGTGATAGGTTAATTAGGAAGAAATGAGATACAGCTTCGTTGGTCGAATAGAAGTCTGCCCTTGGGAGCCATTCAGTCGAATTCAGATAGAAACGGATAGACGTCCGGCGTTGGTTGGTTGAATCGGGATCTCCGTGGTTTATTGGCTGGCAGAAGGTCCGTTGGGACAGGCTGCGTATGCTCGTACTGTCAAACAATTGAGGGTTTGGGTTTGCAGGATGTTGTCGAGCTCTGGACGTCGAGAGTTGTAGAGCGTGTAGAAAAAGGTGGATATGATTCGCCAGGTGGTTTCGAGAATTCTGCCGCCGTCATTCGCAAGCGCAGCAGGGACCTTGGCGGGCGGTCGATCAAGTGGTGCTGGAACCGCGCCAGAACATCAAAGCCTGGTATGGAGTGCGAGACAGAGCGACCACCCGAGCTTTTATCTGATTTCCAAGCACAGAACGAGGGGTTAGAATCAACAGTAAATCTGTCTGTGCCATTCAATAATATTAATTCTCCTTTGCTTTGCTTTGTTGGCTTCGGCCTCCGGGAAGTGGAAATGGTGAGGGTCTGGCGGTCGTAAGGTAGGGTTCAGCCTTTTGTTCCAGGGGAGGCTTAGGCTGGTCTGGGGTCCTGGCCACACCGCCTTCGGAGGCGGCTTTCTGTCTGAGTCGTACTGATCAGCAGGTACTCAGTACCGAGATTGATTTGCGCCTATTTCAGGAGATCCGTGATCAAAATCGAGACATATTGGACAAGGACAGCCCGTCTAGTGATATGGAGAAAGGACCCTGAAAGGAATAGGGAGCGGGGGACGGTACGACAAAGCACTTCGGCTTTGCAGTTCCAAGAAAGCCTCTGAAACTTTGTGGGGAAGAAAGAGGGAGGAAATAAGCAGGTCAGTCAGTACGTACCTCACCACAGGAAAACGTATCGTGATATACTGCATGTGGCTGCATGTGATATCGTACCGTTTGAGGAGAGCGCCTCCGGGTCCAGTGCTGTAGGAGTGCTGCAGGAGTGCTGCAGAAGTGCTGTAGGGTTGCCTATCTTTTCCTGTAGTTATCAAATGTTCCAGGAATAACGGCAAGAAGGTGGGCCATTGGCCAGTAGGAAAGTGCCGTTTCCAAAGCTTATGCAGCTGTTCCCGTCTCCGCGATGGAGCGTAGTCTGGACCGTTAAATGTCAGTTGATAAGTTTTGATAACTCTCCTGTTTCCGTTGCAACCAAGGGTACTCTTGATAGCACAACTCGTGAGGATGTTGCTGTACTTCGAATCACGGACACGCTCTCGTAAAGATCGGGAACAGGGAAACATTCGAGAAGAAGCAATGCTGGGATAACCGTGCCTAGAAAATTTGACACCGCTATTAGCCATCTAGTACCCAGAATATCAAAGAATTTCCAATGCACTGTGAATGATTCACGAGTCACAACGTTGGATGATCTAGTACCAATGGTACGGACGGAATGAAAAACAAAACAATCAAACCCAGTACTGTCAGCATCCTGTTGCTGACAGATGCTTCGTGACGGGGAGCACGGAAGCCATAGAAGCAATGCCATAAATGGCACGAGAGTCGTACTCAATTCTGCAACTGTAACAAGGGTATCATGTTTGAAAAGCAATCGACTCCGGCCCACATCCGACTACCAACCCCTCCCTCGTCCTCGTCCTCCACCTCTCCCACGTCCCCGGTCTCTTCCCCCACCTCCACGCCCTCGATATCCTCCTCTACCTCTTCCACCTCCTCTCCCGCCAAATCCACCATCTCGTCTCTGTTCTGGAGGAGGTGGTCCGTTCTTCGCTCTCTCTTCTTTCTCTTCCTCGGTAGAGAAGAACTTGTTCTCGATGCCCAATAAGTCACAAAACTCTTGCATCTGAGGATTGTTATACTCGAGCGGGCCATCTTCCACAATTTCAGGCATTCCAACCTCGAATATGGGTGCTGTTGGTACAAAGTTCTCTGGAATTTCGAGCTTTCCCTTCTTGACAATATTATCCTCGACCCACGCTTGCTCCTTTTCAATCAGAGGCCGATAGTGGGCTTCGCCGAGGTCATCTGGAGTTCTTGCGTGTTTATCTCCAAGAATGATATGAGATGCAAAGACTCTAGTTATTGCTAACCATTCTGGATCGTACTCAAACTTAACTTTCGATGGTGCTGCCGATCCACTGGTATGTGGAACTTCCAGAACTTGAAGGAACTTGCGGCCAGGTAGGCATTTATCCAGTGCTAAGAATCGAACTATCTTGTTCGTGATTTCTGGAGGCGTTGGTTGTCCTGGTTGGGTGCGGGTTGACGGAGCAGCTGGCCTTGCAAATGCAGCGGGAAGCTGAGCTCTGAGATCTGATGGAACAGAGGATGTGGCGTTTACACCGGTCGAGTCTACATCCAATGAAATTTCGTCTTGGTTTTTGATAATTGATGTGCCGTTGGTATGGATTTCTGGCTCATCGTCATCTAAGGATATTTCGTCCTGGTTCGTATGGGCGGTTCCATTCGTGACTGTCGGCTGAGCCGGGCTGTCCTCATCATCCATATCCAGGTCAATCTCATCTGAATTATGAGTAGCGATCCGTGCGGCTTGCTGTACACTCGGTACAGCTGGAGGTGGAGCTGCAGTCTCAACCAGCTTTGGGGCATCTTCATAAACTTTTGTGGCGGCAAATTTGCAATGCATATGAGCGGAAAACCAAAAGGGTGGCCTGAGGCGATCCATGACATATGTAGCAGCTTGATTGCCCAATGTTCCGTCCTTCGATTCCTGTTCGAAATCTGGTTTTAATCTCCACAGTGCCTTCGCATTTCCGGATTTCTCAATCGCTCTTGGCCAATCGTGACTGATCCCAATATCAACTTGTGTCCTTAACTGAAGCAGTTTCCGGGTGTCGATTTCTCTGACGTGATAGATGGACTTCACATCGTCTTGGCTGTATGGTAGTCGTTCGTGATGAGTTTTGTTGAAATTGTACCCTTTCCAAATACCCGACATACCAGCAATTCGTACGCCTCCCACGCGGACAACGTTTGCAGCTCCCATATAGTAGATATTTGGTGCAACCCATCCTCCATAGAACAGCTCCCACAGGTGGCTGCTTGCCTCGTGGTTTCCTCCAACGAAGATGGTGAGGTATGGAGCTTTTGTGGCGCCGCTGTAGTATGCATGAAAGTCACCAATTTCACGATACTTGACTGGGCATGACATCACTGTGAGATCTGCAGCATTTCGGACTGACTGGAGGAGTTAGTAAAGCTCTTCTGATCACAGCTTGGAAACATACCTGGAAATCGCCGCCGATGATTAAAAGATCAACCCCATCCCAACCTCGAGCCTCACAGGCGGTAGCTACGGACGAGTATATGGCATCTAATGTACCGTGGCCCTGCTGCAGTGTTAGCTTGCGCAAGAGAGGGGTACAGACTTTAAGACTGACACAGCCTTCTACGGCAATTCGCAAGCCTTGAGCTTCCTTCAGTGCGGGGTTCATTGTAGGGGTAAAAGCTCTGGTCAAGAGCAGGAAGGCGAAATGAAAATATTTTGACAGATTTTATTGGCCCCCATTCGTTCTATGGTCGCGTTGTCAAAGGTTGACTTTGTAGGTAGATGGTGCTGAATCGAGCTCGAGATGGTTTGTAGTAGCCCTGACTAGCTCATGCCGCTGGCAGTCAAAATATTTCGGTCTCGCCTCGGCCGGCAGCTCTCGACCTTTCAATCACTTCAGCATCCGAGATCAAAGCGCGTCACTCAGGACAGACGACTTCAGATTGCGAATCACAATCGCCGCTATGGAGCCTTCAGAATTATCAGTGCGTCTTCGATACCTCAATGACTCCGCGCATTTACTGGCGACGACTTCCCCTACAGCTTCGAGGTATCTCATGAACCGACACAATGCCCTCATGTTCGACTCGAAAATCGAGTTATCCCAGGAACAGAAGACGAAAGCATGCGGCGCCTGTGGAACAATAACAACACTGGGATGGGAAGCTAGTTCAGAGAACGATATCCAAAGGAAGAAGCGCAAAGGTCGACTGGGAAGTCAAGTTACGAAGCTGCCAAAGGCAATGGTTTACAGCTGCGGAATCTGTTCCAAGAAGACTCGAATTCCGACGGGTACATCTAAACCAGGTCGTAGGAGCAAGGTGCCATTACAATCCACAACTATTTCTACAGCTCCGACACCACAAGCCCCTAGCGGCGAGACTAGTAACCCGCCTCAGAAAGCAGCAAAACGCAAACAGAGGAAGAAGGGTGTGTTAGAAGCTATCCTGGCAAGGAACCACCCTCAGCCTTCCAATACTGGATTCGGACTGGACTTGAGTGACTTTATGAAGAAGACTTGAATCGAGGGAACAGGATCGCTTGATTGAATCAAGACTGACGGTCACCAATATTATCGAAACGTCCAACGTGGACATCCCCTTGCTCCAAGGCCATCCCCACCGACAATGTAGCGAAAGTCAAGGGGGACATTGCTCTACGGGGCATCACACCAATCCGTGTCTCTGTCAATCTGCGCATCGGACAACGGCTGGAACATAGATCCTGACTCCAGTTGAAAGCATGACTACGGTGGACACTGCAACTGACCTGGAGCAGGATTCTCGACCTGGATGGTGCCCAGAAGCACGTGTAGCGTGTCTGAGCAAGTCATACCTGGACAGTAGGCGAGGTTTCTACATGGATATCCACATTTCAATGTCTGTGGCTCAGGTTTTCCATGTCTAAGAACCGCGACTTAGGTTTCCTGCTTTTGTTCCGCGAGTCGCTCTGTCTTAAATTCATACCTTTGAAGGAAACGACAGCTTCCTACACTGTATTTGAGCAACTACGAGGCCTCCAGTCTGCAAATCTGCCAGGCATTCTATATAAAAGAAACTCGGTGAAGGTCGCGAATCATAGAGATCACTTTCATTGGAGCGAAGATCCGCGCCCTCGAAATGTGCTCCAAAAGCTGTCGTTGGTATAAAAGCAAAGATCTGATCGATTTGCATCTTACCACTTCCGTCTCCGCCCATCCTCTCCCAGCCTCTACCTTCCATAGCCTTCTCTTCAGCCTCGCGCTATCTACGTCATATCAATATATGATTGGTCAGCCTTGTCGCCTCTATCAGCACCAAAAAAATTATGGCGGGTCTGAGCATCTTAAGACCCCGCCATCCGTCAACATCCCACCTCGCTCGCTCCTCAATATTTCAACATCCACAGCAAATATGGAGTCTCACGCAGCAGAAGACCCGAAGCCAGATGGCGCCGTCTTTGACACATTCTTTGATTCTATTGGAAAGAAAGCAGAGAATCTCACGATCAGCGACCAGAACGGAACGAGAGACCCCGCCACCAATGGCGCGGGATCAACAGATCTGCCAGACGACAATGAGCCCAAAGTCGTTGACGAAATCGAGAGTTTATGTATGAATTGTCAAGAGAATGTTCGTCTCCCCAAGTCTTCATAACCACATTTTATTAATCATTCACAGGGAATTACTCGACTACTCCTCACTCGCATACCCTTTTTCCGCGAAATTATTATCATGTCCTTCTTCTGTCCGCACTGCAACTTCAAGAACTCAGAGATCCAAGCTGCGGGCGAGATTCAACAAAAGGGTTCACACTACGAGCTTCGGCTACGCACATCCGAGGACTTCGCGCGCCAGGTTGTCAAATCTGACACATGCGTGGTGAAATTCATCGAGCTCGACATTGAAGTTCCAGCCGGCCGAGGTCAATTGACGAATGTTGAGGGACTACTCAGCATGATTTTGGAGGACTTGGAAGTCGGACAAGCTACGAGGAAAGAGCAGATGCCGGAAGTGTATACCAAGATTGAGGAGATTATTTCGAAGGGCAAGACGATGCTCGCGGGCGAAAGTTTCCCATTCCGTGTCTCGCTTGACGACCCAGCTGGAAATTCGTGGATCGAACCAAATCAGAAGGATGGTGTTGGCAAGTGGTCCAAAACCGAATACGCACGTACACCGGAACAGAATGAAGCGCTCGGCCTCGGCGTAGGCAATGAGCAAGAAGCCCTCGAACCAGCAGCTGCAGGTCAACCTCCTGCAGAATCATTCGAGTCCGACGACATTATTCCGAACGAAGTCTACTCTTTCCCTGCGACATGCCCCGGCTGTACCAGACACTGCGTCACGCATATGAAGATGGTGGAAATCCCGCATTTCAAACAAGTAGTTATCATGAGTACGGTATGCGAGGAATGCGGATACCGCTCAAACGAAGTCAAGACTGGTGGCGAAGTGCCCGAGAAAGGCAAGAAGATTATCTTACAGGTCAATGGCCCTACGGATCTTGCACGCGACATCCTGAAATCCGAGTCCTGCGCCTTGGAATGCCCAGAGTTGAATCTCTCTGTCAACCCTGGCACCTTGGGTGGGAGATTTACAACTGTGGAAGGTCTATTGACACAAGTCCGGGACGATCTTCACCAGCAGATCTTTGATGTTGGAGATGACACTGGTTCCGGAGGTGATTCGCTACCTTCTGAAGAGAAGACGACATGGAAGTCGTTCTTCGATGGATTAAACGAAGCTATCAAGGGCGAGCGGAAGTTCACAGTCGTGTTGAAAGATCCGCTCGCGAGCAGTTACGTACAGAATCTATGCTCTCCGGCAGATGATCCACAAATTGAGACAGAGGACTATGAGCGCACGGAGGAAGAGGAAGAGGACCTCGGCTTGCTGGATATGCAGACGGAAAACTACGTCGACGAAGTGGGTGAAGAGAAGAAGAGGATAGCGGATGAACAAAAAGTAGAGGATGATAAGGACGTGAAAAGGGTTGAGGAGAGCAATGGTTGATTCCCCATTTTTTGAAAGCAAATAGAAAATAGAAAGTCATGTTTTCGCGAGGTTTTGGTGTGCATCTGAGGCTTTTTGTCCGATTGATTTTGTTTGAGAGAGCTCGTGTCTTGCACAAACGCCCAATGTGATTTTCGTGCCGAAAGTCCTCCAAATTGGTAATAAACTGTCCATAACGACTGAAAGCGGAAGCAGCTACAAACAGAAAAGGCAAGCTTCCCCAACGTGGGGGAAGATACGCGAGAGAAAATACAATCAGAAGTGGGCCGCTGAGAACCCAGGTCCAATCCATTCCAAATGACAATCAAGTCATGTCGCCGCCTTTGGAATTGCCTGTCAATAGAGCACAGAAAGGCGTAGAAGCTAGGCATATGTCATCAAGTCTCAAAGAGAAACATGTGCCTGAGCTTGTTGTGGGTAAGAATCAGCGATCATGGATGAAACCGAACCCATCATATATATACTGGCATTCAATGTCACGAAAGGCAGTCGGTGCTCCATTTTGATATTGACCTTCTATTCAGCAACTGCCTTTATCATCCATAAGAGGCTATCAAACACCGGATCCCGAGAGACCGAATTGCCTCTGAGCAGCATGAACGCGAAGAAGAATGGATGCAGGAGCTGAAACAGCTGAGATCAGAATAGGAAGCTACTCATTCAAAGGATCCCTTTTGGTACATCCGCAGACAAATAATCAAACAACCATAAGAGATGCAGAACTATCGACCTTCCAATCATGACTTTTTTTTAGCTCAAGCTGCCTTCTCAAAACTTGAAATCCTGAACCTCACGCAGATAGGTCCAGCAAACATAGTACTGGCCCTCATGCTGTACCACGGACTCGGAGTTCTGCACAAGCTTTGCAATACCATTCTCCTCGTAGTGTAGATACTCGATACCTCCACAGCGAAGAGCAGTGTCTTTCAGCCTACCAGGAACAGTAATGCCGACGATAGGCTGTAGGACTTGGTTACGAGTGAACTTCTTTCCTTGTAAGGGGCCTTCGTGGTGCACGATGGTATCGTTGTGGTTCTGCCAGTACCAGCCTGTGTTTGGATGGTCGTCTGGGATCTTGGTGTAGGCTTGGGAGAACATCTTGCCTTTAAGATCGAGGAAGAGAGAGCCTGATGCTGGATTGGGAGTGACGGATTGTAAATTGGAAACTTTTACATAGGTACTGTTGTTAGACTGCTTGCGTGCCTCTTCAAGTTGAGCTGTGAGCTGTTCGATTTGCTTTTGCATTCTGTCATGGTCCTCAGCCTTGGCCTTTTCGAGCTGCTCGACTTGTGTTTGTAATGCTTTTGCAACGTCTTCCTTACCCATCAATGCTGCTTGGACACCAAGTGCGATCTGATCTTCGAGGAGGTTTTCTTTTTCAGCATAAGCTATCTCTCGTCTCTTCAGCTTCTGGCCATACTCAAATGCCGTAGTAAGGAAATGCTGGCCAGTGACCTGAAGTGATTCCAGACATTCATCAACACTCTCGTCGGTTCCGGTGGGAAGCTCAAGTCTAGGGCGAGTTGGTGTGGTCTTGCTGGAGTGAGCCCTCGGAGTAAGGACTTTGCTTTGTCTTCGACGTGGTGTGTGCTTGCCAGGTGTAGCAGGTACTTCCTGGTCCTCTAGAAATCGATTAGTATAAGCTGTGAGTAAAGGTATTGATCAGAATTGAACAATTGTATGGCATATACTCACGGTTTTCATTGTCCCTTGCAAGAAATCGAGCCAATATCTCAGCCCTCGTCTCTTCAATAGTAGTCCTGGCAAATTCGGGGTTGAACTTGACTTGCGTATCTTGGACTGAAAGCTTTGGGAGACGGAGGTGGCTGTTCTTGACTTCTTCATCCTTAAGTTTGAAAAGCAGAGCAACAGCACGACTGCCGGACTGTATCCTAAGCTGTGCACGAACAGGCACTGCTGGGTGATCCTTGTGGAAACCGACAATGAATGGAGGACGCTGCTCATATCTCGGTGGCTCAACTTGGAACTTTGGGCATGGCGTCGGAGCTTCAACATTGCTGGCAGGCTGTCCCTCACCTAAGATGCCATACAAGTATTCTGCAATAATCTGGCGCTTTTGTTCAGTTTTCACGTGTGGAAGCTCACTCATGTGGTGGGGAAACAATTCGGGGTCTAGTGTTACATCCGCAGGGTTGACTTGGCCGTTTTTGTGAACATAGTCCGACCATGATCTTCCACTTGGGAAAACCATGGTAGACTTGCGCGAATATATGTGCGTCATTGTTCTGCCAGAAGTTTCTTTCTTGAACTTTGCAAAGATTGTAATCAGAGGTTCTGCACTGTGGTGGCCAATCCTGATATCACTGCTCTCCTGTACACCCTGCGGTGTTCTGAATGCTTGTCTTTGCCTCTTGACTCTTTCATGACTGCTTCGAATTGGCCCACCCTCGTCGTCACCATCATCGTCGTCACCGTTGTCATCATCGTCAATTCCGACGTACCCAGTAGTACGCTTGAGGACATTCTGACTGTCGGATCTGCGTGAGTTCGCCGGCGAGGAAGCACAGAGGTCACGGCCATTAGCTTTTTCGGATGCGATACCACCTTGCGTATCACTGCGCTGAGAGGCTTCGTCCGTAGTCACACCTATTGCAGATACAGGTCCAGTGAAGATAGGATGAGAAGCATTTTGGGCCATTCTATTTGATCGAAGCATTAGCACAGAATGTCCAAATCACATTCTAAATGTGTCGTAGCATTCTGGCAACATTAGATGAAAGATGAAACCTACATTTGAGATTGATCCAAGGGAAGCTCAGGACCCCAGGCAAGGCCAGATCTATCGATTCCTTCGCGATCGATTTCAAGATCCTCTTTCTTGAAGGCGAGATTATTCATGTGAACAGCATCAAGAGACTCGCAAGACGTCTTGAAGGTGAAAGGTTGCGGCTGGAGAGTTGAGATGTTAGCGGATGGTCAACTGATTAAGATATAGACGTAGAATTGCTATGCAGATGTGAGCAGAAAGACTACTTACGAGTTGATTTTGCGTTGAGAGCAGAGCAGTGAAGCAGGTCCTTGCAATCGATTGAGGAAAACTCCACAGGTTTGTAACTCTTGATGTTGCAAAGGGAGAAAGGCCACACGTTGCGAGATCGCGACGGTGTTGTGTTGTTGTTTTATTCTTAACGCGGGAAGCGAAAAAGATATAGGCTCGGCCGTCAACAGTTTCCACGAGGCTAAGTATTAGCGTGCCTCTGGTCCTCTCAAGATCAGGCAGATACTAGGAGCAGATGAATTTAAGGTACAGAATGAAGAAAAAAGCGGCAAGTGTGGAGATGGTGGTGTGTTGATATTGGCGGGAAGTAAAAACAGCGACGAGTGATAGGTATAAAGCTCAGCAGCCAACAGACTTCCCAAAGCTATGTGCTAGAACCCTTTTAGGACTTTAGGACTCAGGCATGGAAACAAGCAGCACGTAACCCCAAGGCATTTGCAGCTAGAAGTACAAAAGGTAACGGTAAGGCAAAAGGACCTTCACAACAGACTTTACTCACGTGACTTATATTTCTCCCATGTGCCATAGTAGCAATACGATTAAGGTTGTGGAATTAAGTCCTACATACACAAAATCTTAGCAATAAACCTCAAGGAGTATCTCTGTATGCGCGCAGTCCAAATAATCCTAGGCCACCATAGCCCGACCGCGCTATGCTATATGGGCATAACGAAAAAATAAAGTCCCAACCCAAGGTCTTCCCTCGATATATTATGCGCGCAAGAGAAGATTAAGTAGCGCAACAACGAAGCAAGAATACAAAGAACGCCGGTGAGCATGTAGAGCGCAAAACGTAACAGTAAAGCAGTCATGATGATGACTCTTACAAGAATACAAAATGGATGCAACGAACAAACGTATCAGTCTGACCACGCAATTGAGGTGATCAACGATCTAGAATGATGGCTTGGTCAAGATGCGATACTCGACATAATCCTCTCCGTCGATACTCAGAATCTGGGCTTGGCTGACGAGTTTCCCTTGGAATGGACCGTTCTGCTTCCTCTCGTACTTGATGCCGTTGTGGTATCTGACCTCAGTACCAACCACTTCGACAGAACCTGGTGCAACAGAAGCTCTTGGAGTCAGTGCAGCCTGTTGAGCAATCCATACCTTATTGAGCTTCTTCAGGTTGTTCTTGAGCTCCATCTGTGCGTTCTCTTGGAGGACTGCCTCGGCCAGGGCAACCTCTTTTCTTGTCTTCTCGTGTAGTCTCTCCCTAGATTCAGCCTTCTCCTTCCGAACGCGCTCAGCCGCAGCTTCGGTCTCGGCCTGGTGTCTGGCTGATACCCTGTTTTCGGATCTAGCACTATGTCGGATTTCTAGCTCTGGGCTACCAGGAACATCTGCAGAAGTATCCAGACCCTTTTCGGCAACATTGAGCTTAGCCTGCATGACTGCTTTTAATTCATTGGCTCTCCGCTCCTTGTCGGTTTCTCTACTCTCCTGCTCACGTTGACGAATCCGACAATACTCCTTGACCTCAGGTCGACTCAGGGAAGCGAGGTGTGGCTCGAGGACAACCTTCTTATAACTCAGCCACAGAGCTCCTGCACCGACTGGGAAGTTTCCATCGACATATCGACCATCGCGTGTGATTCTCTGAACTTTGACCCGGAAACAATCATTTTCACTGAGAACACCATAAACAGCATGTTTATCCTCATTGCGAGGCTCATCAGATTCTGACCAGAACCCTAGAAGCACGCCATGTGGTTTGTTATCAGCGAATGGCGATGATTTAGGAGTCTGGAGATCAGCAGCATTGACAGCCTGAAAACTGGGAGTCTTATGGAGTGATTGACGAGGAAGAGATTGTCGACTGAGTGATTGGCGACTTAAAGAGGGGCGATGAACTACTGGTTTGACACCTGGAGCGGCTTCCTGCTCGGCGACAGCTGCCTTGGCTTTCAGTACGGCCTTGGCGTCAGCTTCATCTCGCTCTTCTTGGGTGGCTTCCGGCTTCGTTTCCGATCTGATTTTGACGTATTCCTTGACTTCTGCAGCCGAAAGTGTGGCGAGATGACTGTCAAAAATCACTCTTTCAAAAGTAACCCAACATCCTCCAGCGCCAGTTGGGGCATTACCAACGACTTCCTCTCCGCGGCGATTCATGCCATATATTCTGGTACGAAGTCTGTCGTGAATATCGATGAAACCGTAAATGACATGTTTGTCCTCATCATTAGGCTGATCAGAGTCACGCCAAACACCGATAATGACTCCACGAACATTTTTGCCTGGCTTTGATCGCTTGGTTGGTGCATCATGAGGACTGCCTCTCAAGACCTTGCCATAGCCAGCGTCGTCATAATTGATAGTTGAATTGCGTTTCCTCTTGTGAAAAGTCGGTATAATTTCTTCCTCTTCCTCGTCATGGCCATTCATCATCATTGGTGAATCGGCAAGTTCCATTGAAGGAGCGGTGACAATAATACTCTTTTCAGTGTCTGTGCTCAGGGGATTATGTGCATCGTCACCAGCATCGTTTAATGGTGTGTCAGATCTGAGAGGGATCCGGATTAGCAGCTAATCTTAAGGTTTCATTTAAAGCTTAGGTAACAACAAGACAAGTAACCGGCACCTCGAAAAGAAAAAGAAGGAACAATCAATACGTGGCAATGCATTGCATTGCACGGAAAAACACGAATGGCAATAGGAGGATACGACAGCATCGTCAGACTCAAGGAATGCGGTGCAGCGACCCATAAGGATGGTGCAAGGTAATGAAAATAGATTTGGACATGTGTTGCTTAGGTGGTTGCGCGTCGTGGCTATGGACGGCGGCATGGGAGTTGGACAACGCGACTGGAAGATATGAACAGCAGAAAAATGAAGAATGTAGCCCCACCCAGAACCATTTGAAATGATTGCGATGAAAAAAGTCATGGTTTTGATTTTGAAGAAAAGAGGCGGTGACGAAAATGATGACAAGAAGGGGTCATGGTGATTGATGATACTGAAAACGGCACAAATTGCACGATGTAACAGGGAATAATTGTTCGGGGAGCGTACCTTGGTGGTGAGTTTTCCATTATACTCAGAGTGTCGATTTCCATGCTCTCAGTGCTCCTGCTAGTCAACGATTCCGAACTTGAGGAAACTAAACTCTCCATGATTGCATCAGATGCACATCCAAGGAATTGTAGTGTTATGGTTGAAACGTCGATTTGTCGAGGTCAGGAGGGAGTTGTTGTTGAAGTATGAAAGAAGAGGAAGAGTCGAAGAAGAAAGAGGAGAAGTAAGTACGTGAGGCGAGGGAGACCGACGCCAGCCAGCCAGCCAAGTGAACGAGACTCGGCAGGAAGGTAGGTGAGTGAGAGCAGTGAGCAGTCAAATGGCAGGAAGGTAAATGTTATTTAAAACCACGCTAAGAGGCTACAGCCTACCGGGCTTCGTCTCGGAGCAGAGCATGTAGCGTTGTACAGTGCCCTATCGACTGCAAGAGCGTCGTATCGCAAGGATGAATTCAATAGTGAGACAAGAAAATAACTCGAAGAGGCAGCGAATGTTCGGAGCTGTGTGTGATGCTGGATGCAGCTGTGTGAATAAATAAAGCTCCGAGTAAAAGGGAAAATGCGGAATGAAGGCAACAGAAACCGAAATGAATGAACCTTTCTCAGAGCACTAGCAGTGGTGCCACGCTGGCTACGGTAATTGTGAGAGGAAAGTGATAAATCAAATCAAATCAAATCAGACTCTGCTTTGCTCTGCCTTGTTCTACCCTGCGCACAGGCTATTATGCTTTACAACGGCCCAGTGAGCCTTTTGTTTGTCAACCTGCAGCTAGCCGATACGATACATACACCTCAAGAGCTCGGCCCCAAGCCTTGAAATGCTACATGAGGCAAAGACCGCTTCATTAATCTAAAGTTCCAACCCCGACATAATACCTTACTGTACAATAACTCCCACATATATTTTCATGCACATGGCTATGTTCTGACTGGTTGCATAAAATCTCATGCTTTTGTCTTCGCTTTTGACTCTCGGTACCTCCATCCAACTCTAACGTTAACTCTCCTCACTTCACATGCCTAATTGCGCCCTTTACCTCTGCCTCTGCCTCTGCCTCTCCCTCTGCCTCTCGCGCCGCCTCTGCCACGTCCACCACCCGAGTTCTTCCCACGCCATGGACTAGTTCCTGCATCGAATCGCTCATAAAGTTTCTCCTCTCCAAAAGCAACCTCACCTAGTCGTAAATAGCTAATAACGCCTTGGTCAATGACCGCCAAGACTACATTGCGCCACCCATGCTTCAATCTTTGATAGAGCTTTCCAGGGCCTTTGAAACCCGGTAGTGTCGGATCTGGAGGGTCCCACGGTGTGCTTTCCAGTAAAGAGACAACGGACGTTAGCGATGGTACAGAAGTTGATCGCGCATCCACAACGGCAACCCGGAAGTCTGGGATGCCAGGGTTACTTTTGGCAAATGTGGGGATTCTGCTGGGCTTCCACAATAAAAACACTACCCGATACGGATCTTCTGGTGGAGGTGCAGGATTTGTTGGTATTGGAGATGGCTTGTGTCTTGAGATAATGGCGATTTGTTTGTAAATTGAATTGTATGATCGGTACATTCCTGGCTTCACCAGCGGACCATTTGGAGTATGCTCAAGCTCCTTCTCAGCGAAAAACTTTCCAAAGAGCCGATTGAAGATATTCGTAGAGTCTTGCCAAGGGATATTTTCGTATGTTGGTGGCTCGCCTTGCTTGCTGGGATCCCATTCCGGAGCTCTCAACACAATATAGCCCATCCGCTTGAGATGTGCGTAAACTGTATATCGCTCCAGACTGATCTTACCTCTTTCGCTATCATGTCCGATGAATATTGAAAATGCTGCTTGCAAACTCATGGGCACACCTTCATCTCGCTCTTCCTCCTCCAAAATCCGGCTAGTGTCATCTTCAATTTCCAATTGGCCTTCGCGGACACCTCTGAAAGATGATCGTCCGGGCCACCATAGATCCAGATTGCCTCGCTCTACAAGAAAGAGGGCTTCTTCTGGTAATAGCCACAAACTCGGGCGAGCCTTTCCTTTTGTCCACTTCCCCATTCCCTTGAACAGAGGTCCTTTTGCCGATTCCAACACGACACAATGGTCATCATCCAAGTCTTGCGTCCAGTCCTTCGGAACAGCTTCATCTCTACTCAACCCCTCCTCCCCATAGTAGAACCCGCGATTGTAATTCTTGTCTGTGTGTATTCTCGTATGAGCCAGCGCATCGTGCATAGCTTGCCTGCTAGCTTCTAATATGCTATCTTGGTGTTTTGTGCCATGGGGTTCAAAGTCCTTTTCTCCTCGTTTTGGAAGCTGGCCAGATTTTGCGTTCAAGAACGCGAGGAAGCGGAAATCTTGGGTTTCATCGTCAGGATCGTGGTCTTCAACTGATTGATTGTATCCTACAGCCAGTGCTGCATCTTCGTCAACGTCTGCCATCCTCGCAGGCGTCGTGGGTTGTGATTTATATTCGAGATTCGAGGTTGACAGGCTTGTGAACTTTTCTATGAGTTGCACGCAGCCTTGCGACAAAGTGGGGCTGTGCGGCCGCTTGAGGCCAAGGACTCCACCTGCACCAGTCATTTCCATTCAAGTATTGATCCTGCGTTCATCACTTCGGTCTTCATGGCTTTGAAGCATTCGCTTTCTACAGTTTCATTTCCAGACAACATGACAAATAGGCCACTGTGTGTCACTACGTATCAAACTCAAGAACCCGACTACGGCTGCTCCAAAGATTCCTCCTTTGTCGACATATCCACGTACTTCACCATAAACCAGTTCGCAGCTAAGTCTTTGATTAACAGCCTCGAGCATTGGCCAATCACTTGCGATCACAGTCTTCTGATCTTCAATCTCAACCTCAATCTCAACCTCAATCTCAATCCCATAATGCATCAGCTCATTGGTTACCTTACTTCAACTACGTGGGATAGGCCCTCACTTGACTCCGGGCTCATCCTTCTGGGGATAAGCTCCATAGTCAGACTTAGACATTTAGGAAGTGTCTCGTTGGAGATGAACAACAAGAAGATGTTCTACCCGTGGATCCCAATTCTGTGATAGAAAACAATCAGGATGGCAACAAATCGTTCCCCTCATTCGGGCTCTGGCCCAAAATGATAGGTCCCCGGGAGATCCAAGAGCCAACAAGTCCCAAAGACATGGTATCTGGCGCTATACCTCAGACGATCATCAACGGGTTACAGTGACTGCTCTGGGACCTTAGTGGCTAGTATCCATTTCCCTATGTCTCTGATTTTGCTCGGCAAGCTTTGTTCCATATCATCGCCAGGGATCTTTCGGTCACCGCGTCATAAGCTGCGAATTTCTTGATATCCGAAGGGATTGTGATCAACAAAATCTCACCAAAATCTGTGGAGGAAGCATGGTTTGCTGGAGGCATTTCAGATGCCTCAGGTTAGTACTAAGTGGGACTCAACTTGCTTCGATGTGTTTCGAGACTGCCAATTCTCTGGGCTGGCAGCTCTGATACTCCGAGGGCTCTCTATGTTTGTCAGCACGAGTAAAGCTACAGAGGCGATACTCATAGTCCTCTTGACCTTCATGCAGCCTTTACCGCCAGGCATCAATATATTCATGCAGCTTCGGCATGTCACGTATTTCACATCTGAGTATGTGGGCGGCTACCGCCAGTAAAGCTGAAGGAAATACGACAGATATAACACCCGTTGTACATTCCCGTGCGTATTGCGGTGGGAAATGGAATCCAGAACGGCGATGTTACTAGATTGGCTCAATATTCTGAGAATCACGTCGCTCTGCCCCTGTTAGGCACTGGTGATTCATACATTCCATATGGAGGCTCGCTCACGCCGGCCAAGGCTATCTGAAAGCCTTCGGAGACAGACCGCCTATTGGCAAAAGCAACTAAGAAGTTGAAGAATATGTTCTCCGGAAAGACTTTCCAACGAATACCCAAGCTCTCATGGTCACATGACGACCCGACAATATGGTATTGGCCAGGAGTTCATGGATGCAGCCTATCCTTGCATCTTCAATACCAGGGATCACCTTCATTCAAGTCTACTTTTACCTTGGTACTGTTCAGTTACGAGGCGAAGGAGGCGGGAATCCTGTCGCGTATTGATGGCATGATTCAAAGTAGTCCTTTGTCTCTTCCTGAAATAAACTATAACCAACTATTCCTGCTGTCAAAGAATTTGAATCGCATCAATCTTGTCTTATAAATATATTCAATATGATCTACAAGCTCGCGGATGGTTCAATATCCTGTTTCAACACAGTTCCGCAACTAACCAGTCTTTGAGAAGTTCGTTTGCGACTATGGATGATAAATGGGCTGTTTCCAGCAAGGCTCCACAACCAAATGCGATATCAGGCAGCAGGATTTACCTGACTTTTAACAGACCCAAAGTGGACGACTGTGTAAGTTCATTGCATGACCTTACCAATATCTGCATTCAGCCAGAGTTCCTTGCCTACTGACAAAGCTCAGCATCGTGGCATCCTCTGTACAAACCCTGCGACACCAAATGGCCTAGTCTCAGGCATCCTCTTCCACGTCGAGCACGACTCGGCCACCGATTCTTCCAAAGACGACGTTACGGAGCATACCCGGTCTGGCAAATGGAGTTTTCGAGAAGTGACTTCACGAAACCCGAGGACGGTAAAATCACTTCTCTACGCTCAACAGATTGGAAAAATCAACCCATCTTCGCATGACGAGGATTTAAATAAGATCAGAGAGGCTTTGAAGGAAGTTCCAGTTGGGAGAGAAAATAGGGAGAGGACTTTGGGCAAATTGAGTCAGGGTGAGGGAAATCCGGATCTGGAAGGCTTCGATTGTGTCGTGTGGACTGTGGATGCGCTGAGGAAGTTGCAAGAGAGGGGCATTATTATCCTGGACCAAGAGCCTGGAGGTAAGTCTTAGACCAGTTCCGCGACTTCCTGAAGTTGCTCGGCTAATTCACAGCAGTGTTGATGGTGGAAGCGAGGAGGTCAGCATGGCCAGGTGATATCGCCGAGCTAATCGCACAGTCTCAAGCGATTGCGCATAATGGAGGGTAATCTAGTGAAATGGTACCTTCCAAATAAGTTACCGATAGGAGTGTTTTAGTCACTTGGTCAAAGGCAGACATAAATGGTGTTGAAATATTTGGACTTTGGAGATAGCTGGGGTAGGTACTCTTAGATATTCATAATACGGTGATCTTTCATGCCAAATAACCTTTCCATGTGGTAGTGACCTGTGCAACACCGAATGAAGAGGAGAGCCTTTTTAATTGAAGCAATATGGAGCTGGGCCGGCGCTGGCTTGTCTTTTGATCTTGCCAAGCCGAACGTCGTCTGTGCTTCCCCCAGCCTCTTCAGCTCCCAAGCATAGTTTAAAGTCCCACTTTCTGGAAAGAATTTGTCGTTTAAAGGTTGCGATATGTGAAATAACAAGTTCGTCAGTATCCTGACTTAGTGCTAAGTTACACTCCCTCACTCCTCAGATTAAGCGAAGTCTAGGACGTTACCTTTGATATGAGACTGAGCACCTTTGTCCTTCAAGATGCTCATTATAAGTCGAGGTCTGCTAGATTCTAATGCCAACCTCTTGCATGAGTCCCTGAATATAGAGACTACACCTGGCCCGAAAGTTGACATGAGCAATTAGGCAAGCTGAGCTTTCAACTATGGTTGTGCACCCCCACTATTCTTTGCAAAGTTCCAAAAGATCCCCACTAAAGACCCAAGTGAGACAAGCCCGCTGACGCCTACCCCACCCCCACCTATGAGCATCTGACTTGTGAGTCATTCAAGTAATAGTTTTGTATATTTAAATAAGAGAAATCTCTTAACAATGATTACCAAATCATGTATCTTGGGAGTCTGGCCGAGTGGTTAAGGCGCTGTGTTTAGGTTTGTCCTGCAAAGGAACCAAAACGATCCGCAGTCATTCGTGGCGCAGGTTCGAATCCTGCGGCTCTCAGCATTATTTTGCAATCTTTTTTGTATCTTTAGCATCTAGTTCAAGAAAGTTATGCTGTTTTAAAGATTTGTCATTGCTAGTGGACAGAATTTTGCATGTGGCGTTAAGCGAGGACAAACGGAGCGACCCCGCCTTTGTCGAGACTGCCTTTGTTTTCTTGCCTTCTGCTTAAGCGAAAATAAGGAAGCAGAGATTGTGTGTCAAGCATATATGAATGTGGTGTTTGGCAGGAGACTGCAGAGACGCAGGATACTCACCTGCGCCACGAATGACTGCGGATCGTTTTGGTTCCTTTGCAGGACAAATCTACAGCAACAAAGCTCAGTGCCGACGCTGGCTGCTCTTATTAACCCCACACAAGCGTCAATACTAAGGGCTGAAGTTGGGTGTGGTACAGGTGAGGGAATTTGGAAAGAGGACTGTTGGACGAGTAGTTAGGGCTACAAGGCTGTTAATCCTGCGCATGGGACAAATCACTATCCCTAACAAATGAGGGTCAGCTCATTTGCTCTGTCTGTGACTTCCTGTAAGAAAAGCCGGGTGGTGTTGTACACTGTAATGATAGAGACAGAGACAGAAAGACCTGGAGCTATATCAAGTCATACAAGTACCATAAACACTCCAGTACTTGTTCAAGTGAGCAGCATTGATTATTCTAACACGCCCGACCTCAGTCATCCAATGCCAGTGGATCGCACTTTAACTGCTCTTTTGGATAGTTTCATTGTTTCAATCTCCAAAGTCTCATGATATCACTTTATGGCCTGTGAGAACAGTATGAGAGACAACGGTAGTGGTGGGAGCTTGTCAGTGGATAGTATAATAGAACTAATCTGGCAATATTTTCTCTTTCTAGCCTATCACAAATCTAAAGAGTATAAAGACTTCAACCTTTACTTAATCATGTTCAAGTAGTACATCAGATATTTCAATTGAGCGTCTTGCTTCATTTTGTGAATAAGGCTTGGTTTCATGCTGATACCACCACCTGCTCACGCTGCAGTGTATCTTAACTAGGAAGCTGAGCTACTCAACGTCACTATAAAGTGCTTTTTGAACAGAAACAATGACCCAATCCAATACAAGCGATGTTATTTATGATACACTCAACTCATGTGCTCTGACGTGGCCGGTAAGTTTGAGTAGGCAATTGAGACAGCCAAATAGGCCTTGACACGGTTAAAATGCCGTTGCCGCTTAGAGAATATATATCTAAATGAGCACTTCCTACCAAACTACAGCGATTAATTTGTGTAGTTTTGGTAGGTATCACCCCTCTAATCACACACTAAAAAACAGTTTACCTTCTCCAGATATTCCAGAGAGAGCCTACCGGCTGAATTGAAAGTCCTTTATTCTAGTTAGGGCTAACCAATTCTGGTGTCCCAGTGTGGTTCAGGGGTTGTCAGTTGGAAAAGCTCTCAAATCTTCAATAGACTTCGGTCAGATGTATTTCGTTCTTATGTTTTAGATTTTGATGGCTAGTCGCGCATAAAGCTCCTCTTTCTGTTTCGTTTTTTGTTTTTGTTGATGTCGCTGCGACTAGTAGGAGGCTCGCTTAATTTTACCAGAGTTGCTCCAATACCTCGCCAGATGTAGAGAAACAAGCCTGGCGCAAATATACAAGATAGACGCGTAGCTTGACAGGAGTTCAAGTTTAAGTGTGCATGAATTAGTTTTGGTAGGGACTGTAGCGCACAGAGATATCTCAAAACATCCGCCGTGTAAGGCTCGTAGATGTAAGAGTGTTTATTCTAGTCTGTGTTTCGCACTCTGAATGAAGTGTGAAGTGCTTAGGAACGGTTTCTGCCCTCTAGTCTCTGTTAACATTTGGGAAATTGATGATACTTCTGGAGATTTGGAAACCCCGAGGCTGCTTGAAGTGTTACATTTTATACACGACATTGGCTTAACATTTCGGTGCCAGCGATAGCGTTGCCGACCCATGTAGAAGTCTCGATTTGTTTATGTTATTGGGTTCGCGTCAGCGTTTGTTTTGTCTCTCCAACGACTCTCAAAATCCACATCCGTATGTCATTTCCGTTGGTGGACGAGGGGAGGGGGAAGTACAAGTGGTGGAGGAGGAGGATGATGAGATGGTTGAAGTGTAGGCCGTATTAATGTTTTGCTTATTGTATAGATAATAAACGGCTTCAAACACATCTCCACAGAGCCAAAGAAAATATGAAGACGACAAACGGACAGAAAGCCGATACATTACAAAAATCAAATGCCAAAGACCGCAGGAGTTTACCCCTTGCGGAATTGATATCCTCGTCTACTCATCCTCATATCATTTGCCACGGCAAAGTCTTCATATATACACGCTCACAGGCTAGACCGCTGGAAATGCCTTTTGGAATTTTGCTCTTGGAGTCGGCGCGTCCCCACTGGTATATCATGTATCCTACAAATGATCTTGGACTCCGGTGGAGCAGCCATGGGTCGTCCGCCAGTCTGGCGGCCCTTGCCCAACTGCTTGATCGGGAGTCTCCTTACCATGAACTCATTCTGTTCTCATGGAAGCATACGCCCTTGCTGGCTTACCCCCTTAACCTTGATTGCAATGGCCCGTCCACCTTTCAATCGGCCAATGGATTCGCATGCATCGTAATGCTCTCGATCTTGATCAGCTCTTTGGGTCGATTTTTCTTGTCCACCTCAACCTTCTCCATCTTTGCCAATGTCGCCAGACTATCATCTCCCAGAACATGCCCAAACACGGTATTCTTTCCATCTAAATGCGGGGCTTTGTTAAAGCAGAAGAAGAATTGGCTGCCATTCGTTGCAGGTCCTTTGTTCGCCATGCTGACTATTCCTCGCGCATTGTGCCGTAGAGTCGGTCGAATCTCGTCTTCGAATGGCTCTTCCCATATTGATACACCTCCTTTAGGTAGTGAGGGAGGAGCTCCGGTCTGGATCATGAAGTTTGGAATGAGTCGGTGAAAGGCAGAGCCATCGTAGTAGCCCGAGGCGCATAAAGCAAGAAAGTTCTGGTGATAGTTAGACTTGCGCAACATAGCTCGCTGGACTGCTCACCTCTGCAGTCTTTGGCACGCTTTCGCAGAAGACTTCGACCTTGATATCACCGAGGTTTGTGTGCAGAGTGACAGACATTGTCGACAGTACGCGCGATACTCGAATTTGGCATTGCTTCTCAAAGGAATGGAACGCCGTAGGGCTGAAGGATCGCGGGTGTAAACACAGAGCAGCCCGTGGCCCGGCCTCGCTGGCAGTCGCAGCGCTAAGTTGTGCCGAGAAACAGCCATCAAGGAAGCGAATCCCTGCTTTGGCAGCTGGCTGGACTCTCCTCACCTGCTGCCGCGCAAACACAACAAAGAGAAGACTGCATTGCGTTGCAATGAATACATAGCCTGGCACATTTGAGCCTCATGCAACCCACTCTCTTCACGACCCCGTCTCTCTCGCCAACTCTAAGCGCTTGACTTCCAACGAGCCCTCGAAGCTCCTAAACCATATCGGCCAAAACACAGCATCAACAAGGCGGCTGAGCCTTGCTTATGTATTGGTGACGACGAGCTCTCGCACACCCGACCCTCTGCACCACCCAGCCCAAACCTTACCTACCATCACGACCCATATGCTCTCCAGATTACGATAAACGAACCTGATCCACCCAAACTGCTACAAACTTGGCGTAAACCCGCGCTGAGGCGCCAGCGTGAGCCCGAGACAAGATGGCTGCCTTTGTCAGAGTCTCGGGGCCGCCAAATAGTAACTTTCTCGTGGGATACCCCGGGATTTCGGCGACCCTTGTAAGCTTTACTTTAATTGTATATGGCTGTCAATTGTAATTTCGCTAACAAAAATATCTTCAGCCTCGTATAGAAGGCAAGGTTGAGATCAGACCCCTCACTGGGATTTCTGCGCCTGTTGCGATATCTCTGGTCCGGATCTGTTTACAAAGACGAGAGACGATACACCCCTCCGCCGAGTCGATAGCGAAGAAACACCTGGGGACGCCGAGAAGGGAGACCACAGATGTTGTGGGGAAAGAGCTGCTTTTATTCCGATGTCCGGCTGGGAGGGAATCAGAGAGTGTGGTGTTGATGGACCTACCGTTCGTACTGTTCATACCATTTGGTAGAGGAGGGGAAGAGACGAATAGAAGGATACCTCCAGCTTCATTACAGCTTCCAAGTCGAACCGCGGAGACATTCTACGAGCTAGTAGTGACAGTTCAGCAAGGCCAGGAACAAAAGAAGTTCGCATTCCCAGTACCAATACAGAGATATGATACCCTTTCGACTTTTGGAATGTACAATCGACCCGAAGCTGCGGAGAAGACATCGGATCATTTGGTTACGTTAGGCATATCGTTACCTCGGTGGTCATACGGCCCCTTGGACCCTGTGAGCGTTTACATCAAGCTTTCGCCAAATCCGGATTGGATGAGCAAGGCGAAGAAAGTCACGATTCAGAAAATTACTATTGGGATAGAAGAGGAAATCACATACAATCCTGAGGGAGACGAGCCAACGAAGAAGGTCAATCGGATAGCCAAGCATACACAAACGGTCGGGGTCAGAATGCCCGAGGCTGGATACTTCACTAATCTTGGCCTCGTATTTCCATCCAAAGAGCTACGGGACCCAGAAGGAATCATCCGTCGAGGGAAGGCTGCATTTCCAATGTATGCAGTCAATTCATTCACTACTACAGGAACTCTTTACAAGATCGAGTTCTTCCTGATTATCAAGGTATTTGGATTTTCCATATTATCATATCTGTGCTAACGCAGTCAGGCACATATGTCCGCAGCTAGAGACATTGTCTTGAGGCAACCAATTGTGGTATGCCCACTCGATCAACAGGACTGTAAAGAGGAAATGGATGCAATAGAGCAAGCCGCTAAGGACGCATCACACGTCGATCCTCACAATCCAATGTTACCCGCGTGCACAATCATTCGAGCAAACGACAAGGAAGCACTACGAGCATTGGGATGGACGATGGTGGGAGGGCAACGGAAGATGGTGATCGAATGACGAATCTTAACCAACCTGTATCGATCTACAGAATCACAACCTGCGACGACGGAGATACCGATTCCCATGCTCTGCCTCCATGCCATTCCAAGGGGACGAAACTCCGCATTGAAGCAACTGCGGATTTTCGATCACGTCAAGCATACAACCCGGAGGACTTTGGCGTACAAGGTGGAGGCGGGCTAATATACCCATATTTTGGCTGAAGCAAATCACCGCCGCATACTGGAAGAGAAGAGAAGAGATAATGACATTTGCAAGGATTTATGGGGCGGCAGCGAGTGAAATATCCAGGATTAGTAAGACCACTGGATACTATTTCCAGGACGATTTTCTACCTAATCTGTCCACCAATTTTGAGGGCTGGATATGATGGATGGATGAACATGTTGGATGATCATGAGTAAATGACCATTCTTGTACGACGTACATTTTAGTTGATAATGAGAAGAGACGAGACGAGATGAGATAAGAGATTTTACGATAGTCTAGGAAGACGAAATGATACCAACCCAGTTCTTGCCAAACATGCTTCACAGGTTTTTTTTTTCGCGTTTGGGAGATGTGTTGACTTGTTCTTTTGTGACTGGCTACTCTTGACACCCAACAGCTGCAGTCAGTGCAGATCCAACGGTCGGCTTTCCTCCTAAGTTCCTGTGGCTGAAACTCCTGATTGGGTAGTCGAGAATCGAAGCGCTGGACGTTTGTAGGTCTATGTTATATGCAGTTGGATATCATTTTGATACGATTGCGTGATTCGTAGAGCGGGGACATGGATAACAGATAATACATTTCTCCCGGCCAATTTCATATCTGCTTGGGATTTCACATTTGCGGGGTTCTAGATCTCTCAGATACTTGCATTTTACCCTCCCATAATGGGTCTGCTGCAATGTCCCAACCCAACCCTAGTCTAGCTATTCTCTCCCTCATCATGCAAAACAATCCTCACATCGAGCCATACATTGAAAAGCCTTCCACATTGTGGCTTATCAGATCTTGCTAGTAGATAGGGACCAACGTAGCCCGCATGTGCAATGTCAATATCGGGTTTGGTAGCATGGTACGCTACCTAAATATGTGCCGTGCCGTTTCTAGGAGGGGGACGTCCAGCAAAGAGGTGGGCGGGTGGGGTAGAGCAGTAGGTAGGTCTCGCTTGGAGAGGGGACTTCGCTAAGGCGTGTTTAGGTTTGATGAGGGGTAGGAAGGGAAGGTGGGAAATGGCCGAGGGGTTGGGAACGGAGACCACTCCGGTTTAGCCATGTGAAATGCGGAGGTGTTGCTGCTTGTTGAGTGTTGACTACAATAGGATTGGCTTTTGTTGTCATCGTCTTTGGGGCTGTTGACTGTGTGAGAAAATTCTGGGTCAGCTGGTATGTTACTCAACCACTTTCGAAAAGGAAGGTTATTTCAACAACGTTGATAAGAGAAATTAAAAATTCTTGATTAAAATTGGAGATCTTTGAATGGCCCACAATAGGTACTCTGGTCAAGTGTTTTCTAGAACAGACCATGGACGACAAAATGCATGAGACGCTCATCCGTAACAGCTACACTGCTGAACATGTCTTCCTCCGGAAATTATCGTATCCCCAGAAGTGACTGTCGAAAGAGACCACCTGTGACCGTTATACATTGTTTGTAGGACCTCCACAGAAACCGAACTTGATTTGCGTCCCGAGAAGCATGATACCGGCTTGTGCCGGTGCCTCTCTGCGACGAGAAACTTGGATTCTACATGGTTACTTTTGCATCTGCCAACAGGTCCCGTGGGTGATAACTCATCAACATCCACGTCAAACTTTAGCGTCTCTTCCCTGCCTTTCGGCTGCTTGCAAGTCGCTGCTAGGCTCGCGAGGAGCTGCTCAGTGGTATCTTGATCTTAGTGCTTGGGAGAAATCTGGTCATTCCAATGAACCGAATTGAGGACAGCTTCAATTTGCTCCTGATCAGGTGTCCTTTTGGAAGCTATTCAGCCCAGTCTCCGGCTTCTCGGCATGCTTGTTATTGCACTTCTTTTCTCTCGACGCCTCAGCGTCACGGCCTTGATCCTCTTGAAGGTCGAAGAGTATCTGCCTGATGTGATCTCGCATGAAAGATGCAGTTGGCAATACGATTTCATAGTCCCGAGCTTGAAAGATATCATGGATGAATTTATCGGGATCCTTAAGAAACTGTTCGACATAATTCAGAAGGAAAAGACCGCAATCAACATAGTTGGTCTGCCGAGGAATATTGACTGCAGTGGCTCCGAGAGATCCAGGGACAGGAATACTGATCTTCTTTTTTGCTTTGATCTCCGCAACCAGATAATTCTTTAGGTTGGTGCAAGTTGGGGAGTGCTTGAGACCAAGTGAGTCAAGGGTGATAATTCTGGGCTGAAGGGGGTCGAATTTGCGTAGGGCCTGGGGCCTTCCTGGCCTTTTCTTGCTTGCTAAATAATTGTCTTTCGAGACATGGGCTTGTTCTTTGAGGTCCACTGAAGCGTTCAGTCTCTGCTCAGCTTCCGACATCCTTTTTATTTGGTTAGTTCTCTGCCCAGCGCTCATCTTGTCCAATAGATTTGTTATATTGCTTGACAATGACCGAGAACCTGAATCGACTAGTCTATTCTTGCACGCATGATCTTGTAGATCTTCGGACCTGTCTCTATTTTCTGCAGGCTTTGGAGTTAGAGATCCCTCAACCTGCTGAGTGTGAAGTCGTGCAGCGTTGCAGATAATCGCCACGTACCAATGAGTGTCTTCGTTGATGGGAATAATGATGTAGTCAAACGACAGCAAGTCACACTTGGAAGTCCATCTTTCAACGGCTTCGTAGTTGATGCCCCGTTTTCCCTTTACGCCTTGAGTCAAGGTCTTGTAGAAAAACGTGTTATGAAAGTAGACGCGTTTTGCCAATTTTGGAGACTCCTCCCCGAGGCGATATGCTAGCCAGCTGAGGTAAAAGTTGATGATGTTATCATTCAAATACTGTCCCTCATCCAGCCTCTCAACATCATTCAACTCCACCGTGGTCCTCGACTTCTTGTCTCCTTGGCGTGGATACACGACCGGACCTTTCCAAGACTTGGCCCAATTCTGGTTTTTTTCAGTCCACCGTAGTGGACTTGAGGAGCGCACAGTAGGTTCTTCATCATCAACAATGCTGAAGGACAAGCGGCCCCTATTGCCGTAAAAGGAATCTGGATCATTCGACCGGCAGGCATCAGCCGGACCATCCGAGCAATCATTATTGGGTCCTCTTGATGACCGGAGGCTCCGTAGTGCCGTCGATGTCTTTCCTTTTCTTGAGGAACTCGCATCTTCAGGTAATTTTCTCTTTCTGAGAGTAAGGTTACCATGGCTATCCTTGGGTTCATTTGGATGTTGTCTGTCTACGGAGGCTCCTTGTTGTCTGGCACTTTCCCCTTCTTGTCCTCGTCGTTTTGTATCTTCTGTTTGTCGCAATCGAGTCTCTACAGCCCTAGTCCCAGACCTTCTCAAAGTTTGAGGTGTTTTCGGTTCCCTGGAGTCAACTATTTTCCGGATGTGAACAAACTTTCTATCCAGCTGTGCACTAGTAGGTTGAAAAGTTAGTTTGTGAAAGTGAAATTCATGAGAATACTGACCTATCTAATACAACGAAAAGAATAGTAGAGTCGTGTTCTTTCAAGACGTCGCAAATTTGTCGTGCATCCTCAGTGGTGACAAATTCCAGGAATACCTTGGTTGAACCTTTGGCAGTGGCGTATTTATGCTTGTGTATGACAAGTTTCTCACTATAGGGGCTCCGCTGGACTTTCTGAATGGAAAGTGGCTTAAGAATCAAGTCGTGGATTTGGCCTCCCTGATCGTCGTAGGCCGCCAGCATTCCGCTGGTATTATCTTGGTGAAGATACCAATGCCGGAGTAATTGAGGTCGCATCCAGCAGTGAGACTCAGAGAAGATGCTCAAGACTGGATATTTCTTGGTTTTCGTGGCTAGTTTCGCAGCTTTCGGAGGGCTTCCTATGTCGGAGATGGGTGCTTGATCCTTTTTAAATCGTTTCGGTTTCTTGATCTTTGGGAGCTTGTATGTTGGTGCGAGTTCGTCCTCACTGATATCTAGGATATCAATTGAGTGTCGTGAATTTTCTCTTGGGAGCTCGCTCTCTTGCGCTGGCAGGTATGAATTGCTGGTTCTTGTCTGTCATGGATGTTACGGAATGGTCGGATTGAAAGTCCTTTGTCGGCCTGCCATCATACCCATCGGACTTTTTAGATAAACAAGATCCGACCCGGTTTGATTGTGGAGTAGCGGAGGTTGAAGACAATATGTCCCGTGATTCGTATACGACGACCTGCGGGTATGATTTCCGGAACTTCTGGAAAGTAGAAGCCGTTTCTTGTGCATCTACTTCTTGATCAGAATGTTCCGAAACGCTATATACACTAAGATCCGTATGATCTGGCTGTGGAGAAGCAATGCTTTGATGTGAGATACCACTGTCAGGTATTTTTGAAGACAGACTGGCGGAGAAGTTGGATTGTGATTGTCTGTCGTGATTTTCCCTACTAGCATGGTGAGGACGAGGATTCACCCGCCTCTCCTCTCTTGGAAGCTCCTCCAAGCCAGCTGCTATGTTTGCACTAGAATATCTGCGAGCAGGACTCTGGTTTGGCCTTCGCACTGACTTTCGATCAGGTAAATGATCGGTCTTGTCTAAATCAATGACAGCTCTTGAGGATGATCTACTACTATATGAGTCTGCGTTAGATTCCTGAATAGTTTGCAAGTATTCTTTCTTGCAGCTGTCTTTCGTCTAAAGCTAATGGAACCCATTAGGAGAGGAGAGTTGGTGGGTGTTCGGAGGTAACTTCAGCGTGTTCACAGGCTTGAGAGTCCCTTGGACTCCTGGACGGTTGTGAATTTGTGAGAAGTATTGGTACGTAAGACAAATAGTGGTTATGATAGTACATACCGTTCGGCTTGGAGGCAATTTGGTCTCGATTCATGTCTGAGCAGTACTGGCCTGCAAGAGTGATCAGTACCGAGTGAAACCATGTGTCTATCTATTAATTCACCTTGAACCATCCTCCATCTTAGCTGAAAGTTTCATGCTTGAAAGAAGCTCGTCTGGTCTATCAATACCGTATTGGTTCTTCAATATTACATCCCATGTGCACAGTCATGGTCTGTGGCGCTGGGGTAGAAGATACAGACTCTCCGCGCTTGAACATGACCAGCGAGTATTATTATCATTGAGATCAAGTTTACAAGTCAATTTCTCAAGACAAGTTCACGAGAAAAGTGGTTTCCGCTGTGTTTTGGATGCCGAATGAGTGTCAGAACCAACTACCGGTTGATAGAAGGCCATGGCCAAAAAGACGAGTCCTGGCGGATACTGAGGCCTGAGGCATCCATACTTATCCATGACACAACACAAAACTGCCTGACTGCTGCTGTTCTTTGACGAACTAGTATACCAGTTTTGGGTATGGGACGAAGCATAGAATAACCACTGGCAATATTCATGCACTTACCACCACAAGTCTCTTCAATAACTCAGCCTGGTGGTCCTTGGACTCCTGGGTCAGGGTACAACAGTGACATATTCACAGTTGATTGCAATGATCCAATGGAGTTGATTGGTAGAGCTGAGCAGTACCCGAGTTTGAAGTAGGAAGTCCTTTCACTTAGTGTACACAGTTCTCGTTTCATACTTGGGGGTGATATTTACTTTTCAAGTCTGGCTCGCTTGCTTAGCCTTTGTCGATTTAGCTGTAGCTCAAAGCTTACGTATCAACTTTGGCATTACAGGCACTCCATAGAAGCCAGACACCATGGCAGAAACGTTGCCTGAAGTCTCTCCCTTATATTGTATCAAGATAATGTGCACTGGCTTTGTGAAACAGTTCGAGCTGTTGAATCATGCGTTTTTGGTCAGCCATGGGGTGAACGAAGAAAGCAGGTCATTTCCCCACACGAAAACCTTGGCGCGTCAATCTCCACGCTGCCTCGCGTTCCCCTCCTCAATCACCGTCCCTCTCCCAAACCCCACCAACATCCACCAAAATGTCGTCCAGCATCACCCGGCCACCAGCCGCCTCTTCGACGAGTGCGCAGCCAGAAAGGTCATTCTTCGAGCAACAGCGGGAGATTCTGCTGCAGGAGATTGGCATTGTACGTCTTCCTTTTTTTGTGACAGGATATAGAGAAGACGCGCTGACGGAAATTGCAGAGCTTTGAACATGTATTGGCGAATATCAACAAACTGAATCGATCGCTGGAGGGTGTCATTGCTGTGATTAGAGCCTTTAGGGATTTGGAAAACTGGCTGATGGCTTGATAGGTCGGAAATGAATTCGGCTCAGTTGAGGCACTATGGTCGCAATTCGAGAATGTGATGGCTAAAGATCCCGACGCGGAGCCAGAAGGACAGGACGAAGAGGGAGAAGATGGACATGGAGAAGACGAGACCGAGTTGAGTGAGGCGCAGGGAAATGGTCGATAAGGGATTCGATAACAAGGCGTTTGGAATTCACGATACCCAGGGAGAGGAAGGTGATGGATGTATGTCTTATTTCTACAAGGAAAAGGTCATGATACATAAGAAAATCCCGTTGTGCAATGCCGGCCCAGGTCCCTATTACTCAGAAGAAGCGACAAAATTGGAAGAGAAACCCAATGTCCAGGAGAGAAGAACAGCAATGCTCGGCCAGATCCATATCCCAGCCATTTTCTGCATTGCTTCGTGTATGCAGTTGAGTCGTAGGTCGTAGCGAAATCGTAACAAGGTCGTAGCTTACAGGAAACGGCAGTTCCGCTTCTTCTTCTTGATCCCACCAAGTTGCGGACCTGATCCTCCTCCAGACGATGATGTTTGTTGTTGGCGTTGGTTACTCCGATCATTCGCGACAACTGTGTTGATAGCCTCTGTGAAGATTTCGTCCACTCCGGTCATCTCCTTACTACTGCACTCCATATATCTCGCTCCCATCTTGCGTGCCACGTTCATTCCTTGCTCTTGCGTAACCGGCGTCAATCCTTGGGTTTTGAGGAGATCGATGCAGGTACGCTTGGTTCGAAGATCTGATTTGAGGCCGACGAGGACGAGAGGAGTGTATGGGCAGAAATGAAGGACTTCGGGGTACCACTGAATTGCGTGAGCATAATCCTTCTAGGATAGTTGAGGCGCTTACCTTGTCCATAACATTGTCTAAAGAGTTGGGGCAATCGATGGCGAAACAAACAAACAACAAGTCGGTCTCTGGGTATGAGAGAGGACGAAGACGATCGTATTCTTCTTGTCCGGCCGTATCCCACAGAGCTAGCTCAAGTGTCTTGCCGCTTGCCTGGTGAGTTGGGTATGTGATGTAGTTCTCAAAGACTGTGGGTACATATTTCTATAATCGTCAGTCTTGTCATTGGATCATGGATAGAATGCCCGTACCTCTGGAAAGTAGCCTTGACTGTAACTGATCAAGAGACAGGTCTTCCCACATCCTCCATCTCCAACAACGACGATCTTCTTCGAATATGCTGGACCCTCCGTAACGTTTGTGACTGCTGACTCTCTGCCTGAAGAAGAGCTCATCATTGTACTGACTGTCCCTTCGCTGGATCTGGCGCTCTGTTCACGACGTGTGGGCTTTCTCATTGGTGCGTCGTACTTTTCCGACATATCAGAGCGCCGGTTGTTGTAATAATCTTGTTGCTGATATTGCGCCGACATATTGACTTGGACGAGCAAGCTCCGACAAGCGGGACGCCAGTGACGTATTTGGCTGGCAGTGAATCTCAAGGTAGGTATGCGGGAGTGCTTCTAATTATGCCCGATGGTATGTAGAAACTATGATGGGAGTTGTCTTGTATTGGGAATGAAAGCGTTGAATGAAACCTGGGGAGGCTCCTGGGTCGAGATGGATGGGATGGGATCTGAATGAGGAAATGTAAACAGCGTTGCTGTATAGCAACGAAAACGCACCACCAGGCACACGCGACGGCTCCTCGGCCCCTGCCACATGGCTGACGATCTGCACCCTCCACCAGCCAAACAGCCCGGCAGCAGCCTGAGGTACAAACACGGAGCGCGGAGCTTCTCAACGGGCCCGAGGCATCGTGTCGTGTCTTGAATTCGAGGATCTGAATGTGGATGTGGATAACGCCCCTCCGCCTGTCAACTTCACGAACCTCCACGCTCCTTTACAAACCATTGGATTCCTCCATAGTGTTCGTCGTCTCACAATTGTCTCAAACATATACTACATGCAGCGACGACGATGTCCTCGACTCCAAAAGGCTCGGGCGGCCTAGAGCTCGAGGCGTTTCCAGATGCCCCGCCATCGATAGCAGTCACCGCGCCAGAAGATGTCATTGATGCGGGTTTGAGAAGTCTAGATCATTGTACGTCTTTGGGACTAGTTTGGCTGTTTGTGCTGTTGCTTTTATTCATTGCTTCGTCCTCTTTTGACGATGTTGCTGCTTGGCCCATGCTGTCTACCCACCTAACCCCCGCATTGAAGCTTCCAGCTAGACTCTCCTATTTGTTTACTTGCGATATCTTCTCCAAGAAAGCATATTGATCATTGGCAGACAAGCGCAGACTTCCACCATGGCGATACAATTTGCGACAGAAAATCCTCCCCCTGATACGATGGGAGACCCCATACTTGGCGTGGATGCAGGATAAGATGCGCTCACCAGCTCTCGATACGTATTTTGCAATCACAGCCAATCTGGGAACCCATACTTTCTTTATGATCTTCCTCCCGATTTTGTTCTGGTGTGGGCATACTTCGGTGGGAAGAGGGTGAGCTATTTCCCAGAACCTTAGAATGACGGCTGAGGGACATAGAATGGTCCATATACTTGCTACTGGAGTCTTCTCTACCGGATTTCTGAAGGACATGCTGTCTCTACCTCGCCCGTTATCCCCACCTCTCCACAGAATCACAATGTCAGGTTCGGCGGCTTTGGAGTATGGTTTCCCGTCAACGCACTCTGCGAATGCCGTTTCTGTAGCGGTATACTGCCTGTTTACAACACACTCACCGGACAGCCAGCTGCAGCCTTCAACAAAGTTGATCGTAGAAATACTCAGCTACACCTATGCGTTCTCCATTATCCTCGGCCGACTCTATTGCGGAATGCATGGCTTCTTAGATGTTATCGTGGGAAGCATTATGGGAGTTGGGATCTCAGCCATTGAGTGCATCTACGGTGCCGAGATCGACCGATATTTGCACAGCAGCTCTTGGATCGCGCCTATGGCTGTAGCGCTTGCCATCATCTGCCTAGTTCGAATTCATCCGGAACCCGCCGATGACTGCCCATGCTTCGACGATAGTGTTTCCTTCGCTGGTACTATGATTGGAATTGAGCTGGGTGGATGGCACTATGCGACTGGAAACTGGGCATGGGATGTTCCCGTACCCGCAACTGTTCCTTTCAGTCTTGAGCATATGGGATGGATCACGGTCATTGTTCGAATGCTGATCGGTATTTTGGTCATCTTTGCATGGAGAGAGGTTATGAAACCTACACTTCTCAAGTGTCTTCCTCATCTGTTCCGGACTATTGAGAAATACGGCTTCATCCTACCTCGAAAGTTCTTCATGCCTGCATCAGAATACCAGAAAATCCCTGCACGACTAAAGGTTGACAATGTCATGCCATCCGTTTCCGACCTACCGAGCCTCCTTACTTCGATTCGTCACCCAGGTAGAGGTCGTGCAGTGTCTGTCGGCCCTCAATCTGCTGCTGATGCATACGAGACTTTGGCCTACCGAGAGAAGAGGCGAAGAGACAGCTTGACGAACTCGAGCGATATCACATCAGCAGTGCAAGCGGCACATTCTTCGGAGAAAGGACAGCAATCCAAGGACCATTTCATCGTAGGCGGTGATGTTGATAAAGATGGAGCCGTGTCCCAAGTTTCTGGAATCTCGGGATCCTTGGGGATCAACAATGGCAATTTACCTACTCCAGCTCAATCTAGGATTGGATCTTATGAGCAGATGATGGGCCAAGGGCATGTTACTTATGCTCCTGCCACACCACCTGTGGCGAACGAAGAGCAGGATGATGATGATGCCGAGATTTCTGTCGGACAACAGAATGAACTGGAGGAGAAGGAGATGTTTTCACGACTGGAGAAGCCTCGTGTGAGGTACGATGTTGAGGTTGTTACGAAACTGGTTATTTACGCTGGTAAGTACTCCATTTTTCTGGTCAGATAACCACTAATTGGTGGAGGAATCGGATGGCTAGCAGTTGAAACCAACCCAATAATTTTCGAGATCCTGGGACTGGGTATGGGTCATCTTCGTCCATTCCACTAGAACTTTTGCTTTTGGAGTCCAGCAGGACTTTCTTCTCGCTTCTTGCATGACCAGGTGTTAGGTTTTTGACGATTGGAACGACTTTAGGATACGATTGCTGGCGTCTAGGCAATTGGGCGGTTTTTTTCTTCTTCACATAGCGGTGTTTCCATACATTGGTGTACAGAGACTGCATTGCAATTGATGTCATAAGAGCCTGTGGACTTTTCTCTGCCTATGTAAGAGGCTGTTTTTCTTTCTTTTTTCGTTCTTCCGTGATAATTTGATTTGGCTTCTTTTGGGAATATTTGATGGCTTAGAACATATCTAGTAGCCTATCACTAGGCTTTATATATCATGGCACATTTTCAATGTTTATTGGGCAGCCAGCTTTGTAGGATTGGCAGATTAGGGTCTCTTAATATCCAGGAAGCGAATCCCTTGCTTGCTGCCTTATTAGGCATCCATCGTCTTTCAGTCGCAGCCAGTGACTGATACGAGGTGCCCGCGAATGCTGGCGGAGAAGCGCTAATGATCATGCATCCCGTCGATCGATTCGCAATTTTCTAAGGGACGTGGTAGGGCTTGTAGAGCCATTCACTTTTGTGTTGCCCTTATTTTCCACCTTGTTGCATTAAGGCAGAAAAGAGGAGAGTAGTTCCCTTCTTCAAGTTCCTTCTGGACGGAGTGAAATCCTGACTTAGATGGATTGGATTTGGGTTTATGAGCATCTATGTTGGAACCCGATTTAACTTCAAATTGGCTGGAAAGTGTTGTGTTCTACATTTTCGCGAACTTCCTCTAGTGGCGTCAGCTCCAAGACTTCAAACATGTCCGACTGCTAACTTGGGACAACAGAAAATGTCCAAAACGTACATCATTTTGCCCATCCAGGCTTGAAAGCGCGAGTCAAGAGAAAGTAAACAAAAGACCCGAGTCTAGCGACCTCCTGGGAGGCCCACTCTCGCTCTCGCTTAACTTGAGCCAAATCCTTCAAAGCGTGAAAACAGATACAAGTAGACACACCAAGGACCGAGTCTAATGTCATCACTACCTCTTGTTCTTCCCATCCCCCCATTCCCAAACACATCATAGTCCGATGCCAAATATCAAACAAGGTTCTCCACGATCTGGATCTCACTCGTAATCCCCGCCCCACATGCCAACTCACCGCCTCCCCGTTCCGCAGGGCCATCCCATTCTAAATTCCATATGCGTCTTTACTAGCCTTCCAAATTCAATGTGATGTCCAATATCACTTTACTTATAGAGATCTGTTCAAGGACAGAGCTTGGGATTAATGCGGGATGGTGTCATTGTTTGGGATGCGGAGGATTTCTTGTAGGGCTGGCTGTGCTGGCTGGGTTGGGGTGGTCAGGCTTCTGTGGTTAGTAAGAGAGCTATCGTCATGTTGACGGCACGGGTTACGCTTTAATATACTATGGAAATTAATGCGCAGCATTATCTTTGGGAGGATGATAGATGCCTGGAGGGTGGGAGTAAGGGTCCTCGTCTGTGCTTGCCACTTCCATTGCCTGTGGCAGGGTAAAGCCAAGAAAGGAAATAAGAAATTCAACGTCAGCAATACGTCCTTCATAAATGACACCTCATGGCCAAGCGAAAAAATCTAGATACATTACAAGTAGATTACAGCTTCAGCCACCATTGTTAACACTACAATGCCGCGTGTTGAACCAAAATCCGCCCTGTTGACAAAAGAAACGCAAAGGCCAAAAAAGCTTACAATCTTACGATATCCCCTCCTCGGCTCGGGACTCATCTCGAGCTCTAATTCCTCCACACCACATCCCCGATTCCGATTGAGTTACATATCTGCTTCCTCACGCACGCACGCACTCAAAGCGTCTACTCTCCTGTCCTCCTCTTACCTCTCACTTCGAACACTGAACTCTAAACCCCATCCCAACCTTCTCATTCCGTTTCATAGTAAGTCATGACAAGACCACAGCACTTTACTCTCAAAGCCGTTTGAACCGAGTGGAGTGGATAGAGTTGAATGAGAGGGCAAGTAGCGGGAGAAGGTTTCATCTTTCTTCTAGGGGCTCGAGGGTGTGCAGGGAATATCTTTGAGTGTTGCAGTGCGGGCGTTGTTTGGAACTTTAACTTTAACTTTCATCATGAGTGCTAATAAGAGCGGGGTTCTTGTCTCGCCTGTGGAAGCTTTTGCTTTTCATTTGGAGTCTTGAGGATGGAAAGGAATGCCTGTTGTAGATAGTAATGGGTGATAGGTCAGGTTGACTTCTGGGTTTGGTGATTATGTCATTGCACATGCAGGGTATTGGGAATGTCCCTTCAACAATTCTCAGTTTAAGCAGACGAAAACGTTATCGAGAGCTGTCGAACGGTGCGTGTGCGTGTGCGTAGATTGCTTCTCTAGTCATACTGGAAGCTTGAGAGGAGTACAATGACGATGCACCGCATGTGTTCGGATAGAGCATTTCATCTCGGATGGGACGGGGTGGCAAGAATATCATCACGAGCTAGACTTGAACCACGCAATTCGATGATGACGGTTTGAATTGTTACAAAACCGCCCAGAGACTTTTAGTCTTCTTGGGGTAATTTCTATAATACAGCTCTAACCAGAAGAGAAGTAATCGCGATCCGAAAAGCCCGTAGCTTGTACTTTTGCCCTTCCTTCGAAGAACCCTCGAACGCCAGGGCGTGATTTCACACCTGACATAGTCATGCCATTCTAGCGTTGGTACCGTAGCAATCCATGCTGTGCTCCGTAGATCTCAATCCGTAAGGAAAGTGATGATGTTTTTGTTGTGTGTTGTCCGTGTCAAGTCCGTCCTTCACGTCCCCGGATAAGGCTTCGCACTTCTCTCCTTTCCACCCGTCAAAGCCCTCAGCCTGCCCTTGAACTTAATGGCCAACCCCTCAACATTCTCCACAAACTCCTTAGGCTTTTCATCCAAGCTCCTCCTTGCGTCCTCATTACTGGTTCGGCCGAAAGTAATACTGCGTCGTCCAACGTGCTCCTTCATGGTAAAGTCGCCTTGCACAGGGCTGCTGCCTCCGTTTGACGAACCGGTGTTCCTCCTGCTACGGCCGGAGAATGTGAAGGACTCAGTCGATGCATTTGACTCGCTGCGTTGTTTGCGCTTCTCGTGTTCGTCCATTTGCGAGAGTATTGTGAGGAGGAAGTCGTTGTCGGCTGTTTGCTGTGCCAGTTCAGCGCCAGTGAGGGGTGAGCCTTCTGTGAATCGTGACTGTCGGCGCGGACGAGTCTTTGGTGTTATGGTTGCGATGGAGGGAGTTGGAGAAGCCATTGTGTTTGGCATAGAAATGTTGGCTTAGTGATGTAGTTGATGCGATGCGATGCGACTTGCACCGTTGTTCGGACGTGACAGTTGCAAGCTGATGGTATCGATGCAATGTTGATGTATTGTTCCGAGAGAATCGAGGTCGTGTGGTGAAGATGTTGATATCGATATGAAAGTGATGATTTGGTTTGGTGGAATACTTTTCAGAAAGAGAGATCCAAAGCACTTGCTCCAGAGACACACCCCGTATATCAAGTGCAAGTGCTTCCTCTCCTGCACCTTCCCTCCCTCCCATGCATCCACACTCGATCGCTCCACACCACCTCCACCCTCTACCTCCCTCCCACCTCCCACCTCCCACCAACCCAACGACGACCAGTGGACCCATGACGAGTCTCAGGCTGCAGCTAAGGGGACCCTGCATCGCCCATCCCTCCCGCAAACAGCCTGAATGATGAATCAGGGGGGGCCTGGACGCCTCTGCGCCCGCTCCACGAATCCAGACCACGCCGCCCCTGTTGTTTTGCCCCCGTCTGATACAGTACGAGCAGTCGACGATCGCAAGCAGGCCGGCAGCACCTGCACCAACGGCACTACTCTGCCTCATGAAACCAGAAACCGGGCATCGTATCCTGGAGTTCGTCTCAGCCGAGATAAAAAATGACCAGGAAGAAGAGAAAGCACACTACGCTACTGCCTCCTGCCGAACTTCTTTTCTACTCTACGGGAGACTAGACCAAAGAGCTGATCCATGCGTACAAATATCCAAGGGGGGCAATAATCGGAGGCGATGATCCGGGTTGCTGCCGCTGCCACGATGCTATCCGATGGACGATCCTGATAACAGATTCGGGCATGCAGACATCGCCAGATGTGGGGCAGGACTTTGTTCATCTTCTTATTAATCCTCTTGTTCCCCCTCCATACTCTCCAGCAATGACGAGATTCATGCCGTGTTCATTAATTCCTGACTCGCTTGCGTATACAGGCTGAAGGCCGTCACGAAGTCAGATGCCCAACCCAAACTCCTTTGGCAGAAGGATGCGTAGTCACGCTTCGTCTTCTGAAAATCATTTGTGTCCTTTGCTTCTTGGTGTATTTTTAGAGTATTCCCTCAGTCTCAGTCACCCTCTCAGCGCGCGGCGCCCGTGTTTAGGGTGAGCGAGTACCGCTCGTTCGTGGTCTTTTTTTTGGGCGGAGTGGATGTCCCGGGCGGCTTGGAGAGGGCTTGAGACAGGACGTAAGTGGCGCGCCCACCTACCCCTGAACCCCTTCGCTTCAGGGTCGAGTTCGTCTGCTCGGTAAGGCCCGGCCGAGGTTTTGGCTGACTACTTCGGGACCGTTCTAACACCAAGGCTTGCGAAGAAACATCTATTAGGCATATTTTGTGAGACCGTAGAAAGGGAGTGAATAATCACTGTGTCTTGAAAGCCTAGGTTCCTGTCCTGAAAAGATTCGATACGTCGTGTGACGGAATGTCGTATTGCTCGCCGTGACGTGTGACTGCACTGACTGGGCGTGGAACTAAAGTCCGAAAGATCCACTATCGAAATTGATCAGCGGCATCCAGGCCCTATGGGCTTTTGATAATACGATCCCATGAGGATAAGATCGATGCTCGATGGCTTGACGACTACTTTATTTTATGGGCCTTGCTTAAAGATTCGGATAACGGTAGGGAACAATAATTGGTTCTGATTGCAAATCTGATGCTCTTTAGGACACAACGACAGCACTTCAGTACTGACATCTGATATATTCTCAAGGATGAACAATGACAACTGGAGAAAGGAAGTAATCGATGCTGTCTGGTAACAGTAATGTATGGTCCTGACTAGGCGCATCGTAGCAGGTTCCTGCATTTCTAACTGGATACATGCGAAATGGTTTCTGGCTATGAATCGTGACAAGAGAATCAAGGGTTGGGAACATAGCGCGAGAAAGATACCATGCCACGGTTGAATGCGACCTGCCAAATCCATTCTCTTGAATGTCTATTGTATGGAGATCAACAATATGATCATCCAAAGGTCTGGCTTAATTGGCTGCATTGGGCAAAACCATCTGCACATTCCCCGATCGCTTGTATTTCCAAGGACCATCATGGCAGCCAACACTTCAGCACTGATCATGACCACGGCCCACAATGTCGAAGTCTTACTACTTCTCACTCCCAAATTCATACACTGTCAACTTATCATCTTCCGCCGCGGGACTTGAGAAGTTGTCAAAGATCTTCGTAGCTCCGCTCCAACTCACAAATCCCACGATCCCACGCAATATCGCAAGTCCCCATTTCGTCTGTGGATTCGCAATTGCTGGAGCTCCTGGTGGCAAATTCTGTGCTTTCTCGATGTACGGCCTCAGATTCTCCTCATACCCTTGGAAAGCTTTCTCGTAATCCATGCCATGCTTCGCAATCTCTCCTGCGAGGACATAAGCACCAGTGATGGCACAACTGGTTCCCATACCTGAAATGGGAGAGGGACAATAGCCTGCGTCGCCGAGAAGCACAACTCGTCCTTGCGACCAGCGTGTCATTTTGACTTGAGCGATCTCTTGCATGTAGAAATCCTCGGCGTTGTCCATACCCTCCAGCACTCGTTTGGCCTCCCAACCCGCGTCTGAGAACATCTCGTGCATCTTCTGCTTTTGCTCTGCCACGCTCAGCTTATAGTAGCCTTGCAGCTCAGGAAGTGGATCCCTCGTCACTGTCAAATATGCTCGCGTTTGACCCGCGTTATCTGGCCTTAGTAGGATCCCTCTTCCGCCCGTGGTATTATACCACTCTGCAAATTCGCGGTCTGACTTCTTATACGGAATGGAAAAGTACGCCGCATACTGATGTAGAGCCTTCATTGGATTCTCAACATCCTTGAATGCAAGCCTTCTTGTCTTCGAGCCTTGCCCATCAGCACCAATAACGATATCAAAAGCCCTCGTCCCACCCTTCTCCAGGAGCACCTCAACCTTGTCACCCGTCCCAACCATTTTCGTCACATGATCCCCAAACACGTACTCAATCCCCTCGACACCTTCCGTAGCTTCATAAAACACGCCTGCCATCTCTCCCCTCAGAATCTCAATCTCACTCGTGAAGCTACGTCCTCCATCTTCCCTAACGGGAAACTCAGCGAGTCGTTTCCCCGTCTCGTCAACGAATGCTAGACCGGCTTCTTTGGTTGTTCGCGAGCGTATCGCGTCCTCGAGTCCCATGCGTTGGACGACAGAGAGACCGGCGCCGCGGAGGTCGATCTGCTGGCCTGTCGAACGCATGCATGGGGCGCGTTCGATGATGGTCGTGTGAATGCCGGCGCGGGCGAGAAAGAAGGCGCATACTGGGCCGGCGATACCTGCGCCGTTGATGAGAACTGTGGGTTTGGCCATTTTGGAGGTATGAATGGAGTGAAATAGGTTGAGAGTAAGAACGAAGAGCTGTGAGAGGAGAAAATGATATTGACTGAAACCGAAAATATGATAAAGCTATCGACTTTGTCTGCAAAAAGTGAGTTGCAAGATTGAATTAAGGGATATCCACCTTCCTATCCCAGGAGATCCTCTGTTATATACTTATCGAAGTCGAATAAGAAAGTAGAGAAGGTTGCCGATTGCAAAGCGTTGGATACTAGCATACGGCTGAAAGTGACCGTACCGGACGGCATTTTCTGAGCAGTACGTCCGGCATATCCTGACATCATTCAAAGCTAACCATTGTGCAGGCTATGAAAGACGGAAACAGGCGGCGACACGATACAGGAGATATAGGGAAAGCCTGGATCGGTGGTACGCGATATATCAGAGTGGATTTCTGAAGTACCTCGGCGAGATGAGGAGTGATTGCCAAGATCTTCGACAATAACACGTGACCTGAATAGGTCAAATTTCTTCCCACTGTTGATGAGCAGATCGGCAGCGGCATATCTGGGGAATTTCCAACATGCATCGATCACAACAATGTCCAGGAAAGAGTGCACGGAGGATTTACAGGGTGCCATCATTCATCGGCCATTTGATTGCCCATGTCAATAACTAAAGTCAGCTGACTGCTCTCTTCATACTGAGGCCTCCTTGGACATATTTTGAAGGTCTTCCATTCCCCTCAGCAAGGGTCTGAGAGTATATAATGAGGTCCATCCAGCTCCTATATATCTCTATTGCCAAAGCCTCATCCAAAGTCGGCGCTCATTCAGAAATAGCATCGATTGAGGACCAAGCTATCGCAACGTCGGAGTTGGAAAATGGAGTCCTGCCTGAGAATCCTTCCAAATGACAGTGGCGTCTCGTGAAAACAATCCTGAGAGACAAAGCCAGGGTGTCACATCAAGCCACATTCATTTTCGGTTGGGCAGTGTTCCGAGCTGCATCTGCGGCTGAGCCAAGAGAGGAACGACAATCGAATCCAGAAAATACCAGAATCGTTTCGTCCTGTGTACCCAAAGAACGTCAGACTTAATGAGTCAAATCCAACTTCTCTCCACCGTGCCCGCGGCTGGGGAACACATGGCGCATGCAATCAGCACCTCAGAGGAGCGCTCGTTAGCCGAGCGCGAGCTCGTCTCCTGGGGCGGCTATGGCCTTCAAATCAGTCCTTGCCCCGAGGGAACTTCATCTTGCGGAGATAGTTGTTGTCCAAGTTCATACAAGTGTTCATCTGCTGGGAATCACAAGGATAATTTCTCTCCCACTGAAGCGATATGTTGTCCTACTGGTATGTGACGTGGGAACAAGAACCCCGATTATTCTCACTGCTGATCTGCCCAATCTTGCAGATGCGGATTGCGCTGCAACTGTAAAGGTAGTACCTGCCTGCGCAGACTCATCCTGGGGCCTCTATCATGCTATTGCAGAGTTCTGTTGTCCGGTCGACTATGTTGGTGTCTATCCTGAGGGTGGCACCGGGTTGATGTGTTTGTCGAGCAGTTTGCCGATACCTTCGGATAAGTTAGCAGGGAGCGTAAGACACCCAAAGACCTGTGTTCTTATGAATGATGCATGGCTGATATGTATTCAGGTCAAGCAAAACACGAGCACAAAAGCTGCTGCCGCCACGCCTAGTCCTGGCTCGAAGACCACCAGCGCAAGCTCAGGCACTGTTACTTCTGGCGCGGTTACCTCTGACGCCGTGAGCTCAGACACAGCTACCTCCGATCAAAATTCTCAGTGAATACCCACAAGCATTTTTAATGCAGCATGTTAGCTAAAACATGATAGATCTCCTACTGGAACAACAGGAAACTCTACCAAATCTGGCGGCCTTTCGAAGAACGCCACAATTGCCATCGCCGTTCTCGCTACTGCCCTTGGGCTCCTGTCCATCTTCATCATCGGATACTGTCTGTGGAGAAGAAAAAGACGGTCGACCAGACAATCACAATCTTCAGCAGATCCTCCAAATACCCAATCCACAAACGCTTATGCTCATTCTTCTACGACGGAAAAGATCCCGGCTGCACAGCCAGCCACAGCGAAGCCTGGGGAAGTTCACGTCAATGAGTTGTTGGGGAAGAATGTTCTATACCCACCTGGGACTACTGAGTTAGAGACTTCTCACCGAGCAGAGCTATATGATACTGGTCGCGTGCAGTAGATCGTTGTTCGATCTTATGCTTCTGTTGAGAAGCCGGATGAGATATGTTTCTTTGGGGCGAGGAATATTGGGTGTCAGGCGCAAAGTGTGTATTTCTCCTACTCTAAGGCAGGCGTTGATACTACGCTCTGGTTGTATTTTGGATAGTTTCAGGAGTGGAGAATAGTACTGGGCTCCGTGCGAGACTTGTGGAGACCGCAGCTCATTGTTGTAGGAAGTATACATATTCAAGAGATCATTGATATTGCAAAGTAATGTACTAGTATACTAAGCACACCTGGAATACTGTTAGATGTTGAGCTGAGCATGTAAGCGCTTCCTCGGAACAAGCTGATCATTCTCTCGTCAGATGTGATGGGCGAGTCGAGACGATATTGTGGATAGCGCGAGCTGGGAGTTTATCAAATGATTTGCAGTCTCGAATCTGTTGATTGCCCGACAGTTCACAATCCAAGAACAATAATTCATCAGTGTTGAAGTCAGCAATTGCTCATGGCGGCCATGTCCTTGGCGTCTTCCTCGCAGGGCTCACTATTATGGGCAATTAAGACTCAATACACAGAATTCCCCTCTAGATCCAAAGAAGCGTGTCTATCATCGTTGGACGGTGAGCTACTGTTGCACAGTAGCAATAGAGTATGGTTCGTCTTGGTTTGGCGGCCTCGCTTAGAGAATGGCTTTGTTTTGGCTATTTCTATCTAAAAAAACATTTCATAAGTCACGTCGTTGTTGAATCCCGGGGTGGTATGGAAAATGATAAATGCTCCTTTCCCACACCACACCAAGACAACTTATTTCTTAGCATATTCCGAGCTGGCTTTCAGATTTGAAAGTCTTCCCTACCGTTAGTCCCTGCCGATAGAGTGTGGCTGACAGGGCGATGGGAAGCTTCCATTCTCTGAAATTCCTATCTCAAGACCTCAAAACTTAACTCAAATTCATTCATGGATTTTTTTTGGGCCTAATGCTCAACGTCATGTCCCAGGACTCATCTTTCGACCCCTAAGTCAACTAAGCGATATATTTCAAAGACACACTTTACATCCCGTTGCGGCGAGCAACTAACGGTTCCAGTAATCGATCGGTCGTATGTACCGGTAGGAAACGTAAGTGCGTTTTGCAATATCAACAATGGAGCAATCAAATTGTGAACTACCTCATTGTTGACTACGAGCAGCAGAATTTTCCCATCTTGTAGAGTATATCGAAATTAAGCACCGTTGTACCTGTTATATCCATCTCACATTACTCAACGCTTGCTGGGCTCAACGGTGGCTCAAAGAGTGGCACTGCTGTAGGTGTTGTACGTAGCTGCATGCTTGCCGCTAGTCTCTGAGTTGCCAGGGTGGTATTGGAGATGGCAAAGACGTACCGAAAGAGAACGATTCAGCTCAGACTTAGAATCACAAACCATAGAAGATCCCAAAGCCGTGGACAACATGGCAGGGTGAGCTCGCCCAAGGTTCCAGTCTCGGAGGCGTTGGGCAACACTTCAATACCACCACATGAGCTTGACAGTGCGCCATTCGTGCAGAGTTGAAACAGAACTGCGTCAACTAAGAGCTGAGCTGCCACGAATCTGACAAGAAAAGCAACTGGATTGCTCAAAGTCGTGAATGTGGACACCAAATGTCCTGTCAAGAAACCACAGCATTCTTTGGCCCGCCCCCCACGTTGAACCAAACTTAATCCATGTCATGCATACCGTAAGCATCCATCCGATTAATCTCCGAGCATCCGAATATTTTCATATAAATCCCAAACGCATCACCAAAATCCTGCCCCCAGAAACGCCAAGCATCAACTGCCAAGCCCTTCTCCCCTAATCCTCACATCTCGAAGCGAGCAGTCGTTCAAGACGTCCAATCAGCTCCTCGACTCAAGTCAACAAACGCACCTCATCCGAGATTTTCATTCTGCCCCACTTCCAGCCCCGGGCTCGTCGCCCGTTCGCGAAAATGTGCACTGGCTGCTTTTGGAAGCGGAAAAGGAAAGCTGGGGAGATATCAGATGATGAGCCGAATGTTCGTCCTGCTGGAGTAGGAGAGAAAAGGTCACCGAGTCCGGGGTCTAGAGTCCCAGCGCAGGTTGCGATGGCGCAGGCGCAGGCTATGGCACAGGCGGAAACCGGGGCTACTTTGGGAACTGGGTCCGCTATTGGAGGACAAGCAGCACCTACTTGACGTCCGAGGTCCTGGGCATAAAAGGCTTGTGGTGAAGATAACGAGAAGGTTGGTGGATGTCACTTCAAGGCACTATTTTGGGCGCCTGAAAAGATTGAGAATTCTGGCGTCTAATTGGCGTTGGGACATGGCGTTGATTCGGTTGATATTGGACATGAGATAGAAGATGTGGAAAGAGTATTAGCTTATGCGCGTTTCGCGCCATCTACTGTCACAGTTCTGCTGTGCTAGAATATCTGACGCTTTAAAACTCTCCTGGTATGCTTCTCTTCACTTGCTCTGCTCTAACAGCCACTTCATCCCCTTTACACAATCCTCCTGGAACTTCACGCTGAAAGCTGCCGTCGTCCACCAACTCCAAAAGCCATGTGGCAATCCAGGGTATACATCAACCAACGTCTTAACACCGTTCTCTTCTCTCAAGATCTCCTCGTATATAAATGCTTCATCGCGTAAGGGATCTAAGCCGCAGATCTGGAAATAGGTAGGTGGTAGTCCAGCGTGAGATTCGAAGAGCATTGGGGTTCGAAGGTTCGAGTTGGGATCTGAATTGTAGTGCTCTGATATCTCAGTCAGTATCTATCCCAGATAGAGAGGCTAAAACTCAGGTATTTCTTACTTTCAAACAAATCTATGGTGTCCTGGTTCAAAATAGGTGCTTGCTTGTTCTGCTCGCGACTCAAATAGAGACTCTTGTATTGCTTCGGCACAAATCCAGGTGGTATGCAGGCAGGTATAGAGAGATATGCTCCCGTCAGAGGTGGAGAAAGCTGGCCGTCGCGATAAAGATGTGTAACAATCGTCCCAAAGTTTCCTCCGGAGCTGATGCCTCCAACCAAGAATCCCTTCTTCGGATTACCTCCTAGCTCTTCGAAATGTGCTGCGGTCTGAACTGATCAGCCAAATATTCCAACAATCATACCTAGGATCGTACCCATTTCAGCGCATCATATGCATCATGGCAGGGCGTAGGGAATGGATTCTCCCGAGCCAGTCTGTAGTCCACATTCACAGCAATACCTCCAAGCTCCGTGAACTTCCTACACAACAAAGTCTCGTTTTCCAAGTTCCCTAGAACGAACCCACCACCATGATATACGACAAATATGGGACAGCCATCCTTTGGCGGGCTTTTTGGCTTGTGAATGCGAACAGCAATGGTGGTTCCGTCGCGAACGGGGATTTGCCGATCCTCTTCCACATAAGTCGCCTCTCCCGCAGGTTCGTTCGCAGCCGTCAATTCTTTTTTTCTTGCAAGCAGTACAGCTCGAAGCTTCGGGAGGTCTGTATTGGCATTCAAGCCTTCAACATAGGGTGAGCTCTTCAGGATCTGCGGTACTAGTTAGTGGGGTTCCTCTCTTAATTGGAGGGTGCAAACCTCTTCCAGTTCTGGATTGATCTTCGCCAGAGCGAGCTGTCCTTCAGGAGTCATCATAGCTGCGGCCTTTCTCGAGTATTATCTCCTCCGCGAATCCGGTTGGAAAAGATGGGATGGCCTCCATCTCTTTTATTGTTCTCAAGGCTGCCCTTATCATCATTGCTGATCCAGAGCTGGCACTAACCTCGGCGCGATTTATCCAAGCGGATTCAAACACGGGCCGACATGGGAAAGTATTCGCAAACATGGCCAAAAGGAGGCAACCTCCATGATGCGTGGGTGGAGATGGGATGATTGATTTCACGATTGGCTGTGAAGGTTGCGGATCTGTCTGCACTACTCTGCGGGTCGTCAAAGAATATCCCTGGCAAAGCCTCGCAATCCTTGTCACGGACCTTAAATTCTTCTTTGGACCTCACTTAATCCTAGATATCCCTCTACATATTTTCCACATTTCACCACTGTTGTTAAGTCTTCATGCCATTAGATTACTACAGTGGGATTTTGTATCAGTGATCCATGGGATCCCAGCTCAGTCAGATGGGTGACAGTGGAGCTTCACATCTATCTTTCGCACGGTGACTACAAACCACAACCTGTCATTCAGATTGCTTCACTCGTAAGGATTACAGTATCAGTTCTAAACAGATGATGTTTACTTCATGTTGACCAGCGTCATATAAAATTCTTTTCGAGGGTTAAATTACGGAATGTCCCTGGGCACCTATGCATGGAAGCTGCGAGCTTGATGAAGCTGTCAATTCTCGTACATGCTACTAGGCTGGCAGAGAAGTGTTCCGAAACGCCGAAGATGGGCAATACAGCCATGAGGAATCACCTTCTATTTATCACATATTCCATTATCATTGCCCCTTTCATCCAATAAAATTGTCCAAGACGACACCATCTGTAGTTCCCCGCACTAAATTGGTTCGAGGACAACCCCACCTCCCACCATGCACCTCCCAGATTCCGGGAATGCCCCAATACGATACCGAGAAGGCTTCGGGACAGGGAGACAAGACGCCTTTCTGTCAGGGACCAAGATACATGTTCTCAAGCTTAACTGGTACCAAAACAACCAGACTTTGTTTACATTCAACTTGTATCTTAGACATTTATGAGCCTAGGAGCTATATGGTCAACATCTGATATCACAAAATGTCAACATCCCGAAATGTGACGTCTTCTGCAGCCCCAGATCGTTCTGCAATCCCGGACAGCACCACGGCTCACGAGAATCCTTGGTATAACCAGGATTTCGACGGGTTTCGAGTTTCCGAACAGCCTCTGTTCCAGCGTCGGCCCATCAGATTAGTATGTGTCGGTGCAGGTGCAACTGGACTGCAGATTGCCTACAAGGCAGAAAGGTTGTTGAAGGATGTCACTTTGCAGATTTATGAGAAGAACAGTGATATTGGAGGGACATGGCTGGAGAGTCGTTACCCGGGCTGTACATGTGATATCCCAAGTCACTGCTAGTATGAGTATCTGCTTCATGAGTAGCATTTGCTAACCTTGAATAGCCAATTTAATTGGCATCGAAATCCCAATTGGAGTAGCTTCTACTCCGGTGCGGAGGAGATTTGGCGATACCTCAAAGAGGTGGCGACGACTTATGATCTGGAGAAATATGTCAAATTTGACACAGCAGTCGAAAAAGCCGTATGGCAAGAAGAGGAAGGCGTTTGGCAACTTACCCTGGTCTCATCAGATGGTTCTCGCTTCGAGGATACATGTGAGGTTTTGGTCAACGGCACCGGTGTTCTCAAGTTCGTCACTTCAGTGGGCCAAATTTGTGAGTTATACTGACTCTCTGCAGCGCTTGGAAGTATCCCGATATACCTGGAATCAAAGACTTCGAAGGGAAACTGATGCACAGTGCAAGATGGGATTCGGCGTATGATCTCAAAGGAAAGACCGTTGCGGTTATTGGTGGTGGCTCGTCAGCAGTCCAGATTGTTCCTCAAATACAACCAAGTGAGTTCATAAATTCCAAATGAAGCCTCTCCTTGCCAATACTTCACTTCCCTATAGTAAGTAGCACTACACTAATTCTCAAGCAGTCGTTGGCAAACTCATTCCCTTCCTCCGATCCCCAGTCTGGATTACCCCTGGCCTTGCGGCAAAATTCGCAGGCCCTGGAGGGACGAACTTCAAATGTACACGTCAAATATGCCGAGCTTCAGCTTTAGCTAATAGATCTAGACTCACTATCCCAGCTGAAAGAATTTAATACCGACCCCTCCGCTCTCGACAAGTATTGTCGTGAAATGGAAGGAGCACTTAACAAGCGCTTCACGATGGCAAGTCTCTACCGCAAGCTCAGCAAGCGAGCCCAGAGCTGATATCAAATAGTTGCACAACGAAAGCGAAGACCAGAAGAACTCGCGAAATCTCATCACAGATCTCATGTCCAAACAGCTCAACAATGATCCTAGGCTAACCTCAAAAATTATACCCAACTTTCCACTTGGCTGCCGCCGACTGATACCCGGCTCCGGATATCTGCAATCACTTACCAAGGAGAACGTGTCAGTCATCACTTCCTCTGTTGCAAAGTTCACAAAAAAGGGCGTCATCGACGAGACAGGTTTAGAGCACGAGGTCGATGTAGTCATCTGCGCAACTGGCTTCAACGTCTCTTTCGTGCCCCAATTCGAGGTCATTGGACGTGGAGGGAAGAGCTTGAAAGAGGAGTTTGGGGAATTACCGAAGACGTACCTGGCGGTGACCGCCCCTGAGTTTCCGAATTTGTTTTGCAAGTTTATTCCTAGCTGCCCAAAGAGCATTTACTGACTGCACTAACATTACTACTCGGGTCAAATGGCCCTATTAGTAACGGCTCAGTCCTCCCAATCTTTGAATGGCACACCCGGTACATGTTCTCGATGATTGAGAAAATGCAAACCGAGAACATCAAATGCTTCACCCCCAAGGTCGACTACGTAAATGAATTTTTTAGCTACACCCATGAACTGATGAAGAGACTCGCCTGGTCAGCATCTTGCAGTTCATGGTTTAAGATGGGGAAGAAAGATGGTCCGGTGACTGCTTGCTGGGCTGGCAGTCGGCTTCACTACTACGAAGTGATGAAGAATGTTAGATGGGAGGACTACGACATTACGTATTGGACCAAGAATCGATTCCAATTTCTGGGTAATGGATATACGCAGTGCGAGCTAGATCCCGAGGGGGATCCGGTATGGTATTTTGATGATCCTTTTGTCAGTACCTAGAATCAAGCCGTCGAAATGCGGCGGTCTAGTAATAAATGGACGATCACGAAGGTCTCGAAGTTGAATGATAGATTTGTTAAAGCCAATCAATGATGCTCAAACAACTATATCCATGTAGCTACATCGCAAATGATATCCCTGATGGCACAAGACTACTGTCAACCAACGACTTTCCAAGCAGATACAATTTCGTTTGCAACCTCTATGCGAATCTCACGGCGAACCAGCCACCTTCAATCCACATCATTCCCCTACGATCAACATCCCCGTCCCCATCTCCAGCCCCTAAGCTCGCTTCCTTCTCGATAAAATTCACCCTACAATCTCTTCCCTAATACCCTCCCTCAACCCCTCCATTCCTCCCCTGCGACTTCAACACTGTATCGCCCGGCAAGCGAGAGCTTGGACTTTCACCCCGATGATGAGATGATCTTGCGGGTCGTGTATTCGGCTCTTGTGAACCTCTCTCTTTGTTCTTGCGCAATTTGCTGAGCATATATACCAAGCACATTTCGAGATATCGTGGAGACTTTGGATGAGGTGGTTTGTGAGTTTAGGTAATGTGATTGGTCGATGAAATGAGGTGAAGAAGTGTGTGGTATATGATTTGACCAGAAATTGATTGATTTGACAGAGGATGAGACGGAAGCTGTCTGTTTGTTGACTTTTTCAGAGCTCTCAAGATGTGGGGAGAAGGAATGTTTATATGCCAAGTTGCGAAGTGGTTACTTTCTTTGACGTACAGGAAGGAAGTATTTTTACGTTAAGATGAGAAATTGAGGTGTCTGCAAAGCCTCAGCTGACACAACTGTCTCATTCTATTAAACGTTGCGAGAATCAATTACTGTTTCTGGTATTCTGGATGCACCTGTCAATTTACGAAATATAGTAACTTTTGGGTGCATCGTGCTTACCCGATTGGGCATGCAGGGAGCAGCTAGCCCCCGTCCAATCTACACCTTCAACAACAACTGGCAATTGAAAATGGAGATTTCTGATAACCAATCGAATTGTTTCAGCGAATTCTATGATATATTAAGCGTCTGATTTGTATCAAAAAGCGACTTCTACTCTCCTCCTATCTAGCAAAAGAAATAGAGCCCATTAAGTCTGCACCACAAATGTAGTGCTCTTCAGAGGCAATCCATCAATGCTCACACAAGCTAAACTCTCTTTCCTCGAAAGCACGAGTCTGAGCCACCACATACTTCTTCCGCTCTTCCATCAACTTCAACCTCAATTCCTTTGCGGTCTCCATACTGATTGGGAAATCATCAACACCCTGGAAGATCTTATCCTTCATCTCGTTGCTCAGCTTTGCCAAAGCCTTTCCGCTTCCTGAGACCTGCCTATCTACCTCCTCTCCCCACCAATCAATCTGTTGAGGAGGTACATTGGCAGTGCTGATGATCTTCATTCCTGGATCGACCAAGAACAACGCAAGAATTTTGCGATGGCCTGGTTTACTTGGATCTCGGAGCGAGAAAGGCTGTACTTGATGCTGGAGGATGTTGGGGAACGTGAGCAGGCGTCCTTCAGAACAGACCACTGAGCCAACTTCTTGCACAGCAGCGCTGTCATTTTCGCAGCCGTAGATCTCTGTCAGCCAGTCGTGAACTCCTTGAGGATAGGGCAAGGTGTAAGTTAGCACTCCTGAATGACAAGAAGAGCAGAACAGTTTCGATGCTACATACCATCTCAGAGGCTTCATCTGCATCGGATTGTTGTCGAAAAGCGAGCTGGCTCGGCATGATATTCTCGTTGTCGTAGTAGTATAATGCTGTTGCGCAGATGTGCTCGTTGAGCTGTCCCTCGACGTGCCAAGTGCCTCCCTCGTACTCGGGGTTTTCTGGAGTAAGCTCGATGTTCGCAAGCCTGGAACGCCTCCTGTCAGCAGAGAGAATATAATCCAACATTACTTGGCTGTCCTACTTGACGATGACTTGGAGTCCACGACGAGCATAATCTTTGACCAGGTCAACAGTCTCTGGTAGTTCTTTCGGTTCAAACTCCCCTGGCTCGGGTTGCTTCGCCTTGCGAATATCGTTCTCCCACTGCTCACGTCTTTCCCAGTAGTCGTCTTCATCTTCGCCTTCTTCTTGCTGTGGTTTGAGGTCTTCGGCCATATCCTCCGGGTCAACCTCATACTCGAGTTGGTACTCAATCCGCCAACTCGTGCTGTAACCTTCTCTGAGAGGTGTGAGAGTCATGTTCCACAACGGAATAGTTCTGGTAATCACGCTCTCAATGATGGCATAGAGCTCCTTGTTCTTCTGAGGATGGAGATTGTTGATGTAGCTCGTAATCCTGAGCATGTCAGCTGTACCCAGATTAATTGGGTAACAAAGATCCGTACTTAGCATTACCGCCTGTGATATCAACCTCACATGGAAGCCATTGAAAGTCTTTACCATATGGCGATGGATCTTCCCCATACCCATATGAGTGGCTTCCTTTACGATCAAGCTTTGTCTCTTTATCGTTTCGAATAGGGATAATTTCGCCTTTGCCACAGCTAGGAATGCAGTCTTCCAAGCCAATCAAGCTATCCTTTAGCACGCGACTTGTACCATAGATCAGAGGGAACAAGGATGGATGGACGAGATCGAGAACCTTTCCGTTTGAGCCAGGGTGATAATCCTTGTAGATAGCTGGGATGTCTTCCAATCTCCGAGCTTGTTCCTGGAGTGCCTTCTTGATGGATTCGGGGATGGCGACGTCTGATTTCACAACGTCTCCATTGTAGACTGATACGGCACCGGTCTCTTTGAAGGTCTTTGCCTTCCAGCGAAGCTCGTCAATCACCCAATTAGCCATCTTCTCTGTCACATCACGACCAGGAGCTGACATTGCTTCGCTCTTCCACTTCTCTGCAATGGTATCATCAAAAACCTAGAAAGATCTTTAGCATGACATGGAATCGCAGAGGGAAGACACGTGAGTACTTTCTCTTCCCATCCAGGCTTGTCCGTCAATGCATTCATGATATGGAGCATTGTGAACTCTCGTAAAGTCGTCAGATAGAGGCTAAATGAGACATTAGTAACGTTCTATGACAAAAGCTAGATCGCTGTACTGGGTATAACCGCCAGAATTGTCGGCATCGTTCAATGCCACTGGGAAGAGATTCTTTCCATAACCTTGGGCAGGCATCACTATAGCTGGCGTATCCTGGTTACGTCCATGGTCATATTTCGTGTATTGTTCATTTGGAGTCCAATTCAGGGGCAGATTCAGCCCAGGCAGGTCGAAACGGGACATTTCCGGTGGAGAGGTTGCCATTGCTATGGTCCTCGATCAGGGTATTACTTTTGGTAGAATCCTCGCGGTTTTCAGCAAGGCAGTGAGCATACAGAAGAGTGATAACAAAAAGTGAGCAGTGGATGAGACTTTATGTGATTTCTGGAGTGGTTGTACAAGTTTGGGCAGAGACAAAGACGGCTGGAAGCGAGAGGCTTGCAAGGGGGAGCAGGCTCCAATCAGGCACCAGACCCAGAAACAGCCACAGAAACGTGATCAAGAGCCACGTGAGTCACAATTCTTGGCTACTGAGGGACCTATCTCCATAATTACCTAAAGGGAATTTGGATGTGGAGTTGCTGTCTTGGGGCGCGGTAGAGTCTCTAGCTACGCATTTATGGAAAGACGTGAATATCTTCTTGCGAGCTGTCGCGATGTAGCAAACTACGCATTCTTATTGGCCATGGAACAGAGGCGCAACGGCAAAGATGTTCGATGGGCTTTGACTATGTGCAAGACTCTTTCTTACGAATCAACTTTTGGATGAATTGGGATTGGGACTATGGGCGCTGCTTATAAGGGTGACTGTCTCCTACTTTCAACTCTTCCTTCTTACACGTCGACCTCCTGTTGACAAGTTAAACATCAACACAACTGCCCAAAGGGGCTAAGCGAAAAACCCCGCGATTGTACCCCACATTCAGCATCGGGATTGTGTTTTTCCGAGCAATAGAAGCTGGAGATTTCACGCAGTAGACTGATTAAATCTGGGAGACTATTAAGTAGCTTCAAGCCAGAATTGACGTGAGAACCATTCTTTTGTCTTTTCGGAAGTGGCGTCAAGAGTTTCGCCGATATTTCTGCTGGTGACTGACCCCTTCATACTGCGAAACACAGAATGAGTTCTATTACCACCGAAGTCATATCGTCCAATTTGAAGGTCAATATGTCAGAAAAGAAATATCTCTACCTGGCCGGAGTCAATGTAACTCACTCCATCGCTCTTCCAATGCATAACCACATCGCCAGATGCCTCTCTCTTCCCTGGACATTCATCAACCAAGAATGTCCCACAATCGACGACGTAATAGCTCTCTTCCGAGCGCCTACTTTCGCTGGCGGCGTGGTTACCATGCCATATAAGAAAACAATTATTCCATACCTCGACGAGATAGATGCTCTTGTTGCCAAGATAGGAGCATGCAATAATGTGTATCTGACTCTGGAGGGGAAGCTAAGAGGTACTAATACAGATTGGAGAGGCATCAAGGGGTGTCTACTTTCTGGAACCAAGTCAGGAGAGAATGAAGGGATGGGAAAGCCAGCTTTAATCATTGGAGCTGGGGGTGCTTCGAGAGCCGCTGTCTATGCTCTGTTTGCCAAGTTGGCGTGTGGGGAGATTTATGTGGTGAACAGAGACCCAGGAGAAGTCGCCGACCTTTTGAGGGATGCTACAGCATATGGTACTTTTGAGACGGACAGACAGCCGAGGATACGACACATCACCTCAGTTGATATGGCAGAGGGATTACCACCCCCATTCTACATTGTCGGAACAGTACCTGACTTTGAAGCCAAGACCGATGAAGAATTAAAGGCCAGAGCGATTTTGGAAACCTTGTTAAAGAAGGACGAGAAAGGTGTTCTACTCGATATGTGCTTTAAGCCGAGAAACACTCGGATACTGAAACTGGGAAAAGAAAATGGATGGAATGTTGTCGAAGGAACCGGCGTGATAGGATATCAGATTGAAGAGCAGTGGAGGTTATGGGCTGGTGCAGGTGAAGGTGGGAGGAAAGCTGTTCCGAAAGAGGAAGCTTGGCGTGTGTTGAGAAAAGCAGCGGAGGAGAGTACTGCTATCAATTTTTGACTGAAATCATTGGGACTGGGATAAGTGGCATTGATAGCTGAAGATGTAAAGAAGTGTAACATTGGCACATAGGTACTGACAAAGCCTGTAGCTTTAGGGGTTCTCGCTAATATTTAGCGACGGCCCACTGAAAAATCAACATAGAACCTGAAGGTATGAGATATCATGAGCAAAGGTTATAAACCCAGCACTGGAAAACGTACTACACCAAGAAAGTACTGTGGGTACCATCATTCATAGAATAGACAGTCTAGACAGCCTGTTGACAAGTTTTAATGCCTATGCTTGGATTTCATTGGCATGAAAGCTCTAGAACGCTTTCCCCAGCTTCCGCTTAAAACTTCAGCCGCCTCTTGCCCCTCCCCCACCTCAACCAACCTCTCAGTGCTTAATTGAAGCTCCTGGGCAAAAATGATGTCTTTGTCTATAGAATATTGTCCACAACATAGAACATTTTGAAACTAATCTTTTGCCCATTGACTACATTGGAAAGGGCACTGGTCAATTGGCACTTTGCCAGCTAAATCGTCCACCTGAAGCAAAGGAACAGCAGACACCCTGCGCCAAGCACAGCTCATCGGGAAATCTACAAACCAAGAAAATGCCAGCCAAAAAAATTCTCCTCCTTAACGGTCCCAACCTCAACCTCCTCGGAACACGTGAACCAGGAATCTACGGCTCCGATACCCTCTCAGACATCGAAACTCGCGCCGTGGCCCAAGCCACCGCAGCAGGCGCAACACTGTCATTCTTCCAAACAAACTGGGAAGGTGCCCTACTCGATCGAATCCACCAAGCAAGGACAGAAGGTGTTGATGCTATAGTGATCAATCCAGCAGCATTTACGCATTACAGTATTGCGTTAAGAGATGCGTTGCTAGGAGTTGATATCCCGTTCGTGGAGGTGCATATAAGTAATGTGCATGCGAGGGAGGATTTCAGAAAGAAGAGCTGGTTGAGTGATAAGGCAGCGGCGGTTGTGTGTGGTCTGGGGACTTTTGGGTATAAGGTTGCGATTGAGTATTGTTTGGAGCACATGAAGACGAAGGAAAAAGTGTGAGGAGGACGGAAGCGAGTTTCTTGTATGAATGCATCAAATGAGATCGATGCCCAAAATTGGGTAAGATTATATAATAAAAGTACAACATTTTTCAGTCAATGCTTTTTATGAGCCTCCAAAGCAGCAGCGATAGCGTGATGGACCTCCTTCGTAGGCAGTTCTGTCAAACCCTTCCCAGTCCACAGCCTATCTTGCTCTAATCCCTGATAAATCATGGCTTCGGTCCCCAAGATAACCTGCCAGCCCAATCTCTCACTCACTTCTGCAATTTCCGTGTAAGGTGTAGGATGATAGCACATCTCCAAAATCGCACCCTTGTCCTCCTTTCCAAGGAAGCATTCAATCACATTCCTCGCCCGAATCTCCTCCGGAGTCTTAGGAGGGAAGTTTGGTATGCAGGCCACGATTGCCCCTGGTGCTGCTAGGTCTTTGGCTTGCTCAATAGTCTTGACATGTACCAAAGACTCTCCAAATCCAGCTTTCTTGCAGTCTGATAGAACAGCTTCAACTTCCGAATCGTCCCGATTTACAAGGTAGATTTGGCTACATCCAAGCCACTTATGCAGTGCATATACTGCAGATCGGCAAGCTCCTCCTCCTCCAATGACAAGACCTGGTCGTCCACGATACAAGTCTTTGCTTGCTCCTTTGGGCAGATTCTGAAGGAAGGCGTCCCGAACTCCAAAGCAATCAGTATTGGTACCGCACATGACCCGCTTTCCATCTTTCTCCTTGAAGAAAATGGTGTTGCATGCGCCGATATCTTTGCCTTCCTGAGTGACTTCGTCCAGATGAGGAATGATTGCCACTTTGTGAGGCATTGTCACTGATGCTCCATAGAACTTTGGGTCTTTAGTGAGGCGAAGAAAGTTAGGGATATCAGTCGAGTCGAGAGGAAGTTGTGACCATTTTAACTTCAGGTTGTCGTAGACTGTCTGGTGAAGGAGTGGTGAAAGGGAGTGAGCAATTGGATGACCGAACAGATAGTTCACTCTTTCGAGATGTGACGAATCTGGTGTGACTGGTGCTGAGGTGGACATGTTGAGATTATTTATCGTTGTCAAATGAATGCTGAATGTTGGAACTCCGTCGAATTTGCCAAAGCAAGGGACTCGTATGAAGCTTCGGTTTGGAGTAAATAAATGCAAGCTTCAAAATGCTCAGATGATGGGGAAACTGTTGAACCGCTTCCTTGATCGTTCAATATGTCCTTTGAAACCAGTTTTGAGGGAGAGAAACAGAAAACGAGGTCTCCGAGACAATGATAAACGAAAGTCTTTATATTCCAAGAACATTATTTGTGTTGTCACGAGAACGCCCAAAGCTGCGGATGAGGGGTCGTCTACGGAAGGGGCTTGGCAAGCGAAATGGCCAAAGTTTTCATCCGCTTCGTCTGAATCCTTATCCGACTGCAACGGCCCAACCAACACGCAACTCCAGGTTCCAAGATGCTCTCCATGCAGAGAAACCGTAAAAATATGTTCAATTGGTCATCACCGTAGGTTCAAACTGCGGGGATGGTGGACCTCAAAAGCCCTGAGCTTCTCCGATGCAGAGGGGCTGATTAGACCTCAATTCCTCTCCCTTGTTCGACGTTCGACCTCCGTCAACATATCAAGCATAGGAAGAATAACCTCATCGAAGATGTCCTACAAGCCTGCCATAGCCTCTATGTCCTTGGGTCGAGCCTGGGTACACAAGCTGCCGTACAAGCTAGACCAAGCTCGAGCCTTCAACCTAACTGGCATCGAAATATTCTTTGAGGATCTCGAATATCTAGCCCGTGAAGAGAGTGGCATATCCGCAGACCAAAATCCCTCCTCAGAAGCACAGTTGAACGCTGCCCACACGATACGAAAGCTTTGTGATGAAAGAGGCCTTGAGATCATTGGTCTCCAGCCTTTTCTACACTATGAGGGTCTGCTCGATCGTGAAGAGCATGCTAGAAAGATCGAGAAGATGAAGCTTTGGTTCAAGATTGCGAAGATCCTAGAGACGGATATCATACAAATACCTGCGAGTTTCTTGGGCAAAGACAAGACTACTGGGGATCTCGATGTAGTGGTGGGGGATTTGCGGAAGGTGGCTGATATGGGACTGCAAGAATCGCCCGTTATCAAATTCGCATATGAGGATTTATGCTGGAGTACATATTTTGATACATGGCAGAAGGGGTGGGATCTTGTGGAGAAGGTGGACAGGCCGAACTTTGGGATGTGCCTTGACACATACAACATTTCAGGGAGAGTATACGGAGACCCAGCAGCTTCGTCTGGAAAGACACCAAATGCAGACGAGGATATCAAGAAGAGTTTGGAAGAGTTGATCAAGAGGGTTGATGTGAAGAAAGTATTCTATATTCAAGTCGGGGATGCAGAGAAGATGCGCGACCCGCTGGTTGAAGGGCATGCCTTCTACGCGGCAGACCAACCAGCGAGGATGAGCTGGTCTAGAAACGCGAGGCTTTTCGCATTTGAGGAAGGTGGGTATCTTCCTGTATTGGCTGTCACGCGTGCGATCATTGAAGGTTTGGGATACAAAGGCTGGGTGAGCATGGAGCTATTCTCAAGGACGATGGTTGAACCTGGAGATGAAGTGCCTACAGCTCATGCCCACCGGGCTTGGCAAGCCTGGGAGAAGCTAGAGAAGGAGATGGCAAATTGGAGGCTCAGATAGTGGCATAGTGTTTCACATTACTGCTCTCAAAACCTTTTATAAGCCTCATGTCACTTTCATTCTTCTTGCATTTCTATGCAGAAGCACTAGAGTGCCTTCTGTTCCTCAACCCACTGCCTTTCCTCGATTTTCTGCTTCGGGTGATCGTGATCTTCAGAGCCGACTGCGATCAGCAACGACTTGAAACACGCCTCTTTGGGATATTACAATAGTCTAAGTTGGTCAAGTGACTTGGAAATCCATCGTGCAAGCACAGTATTTCACCACTTACAACCTTTTGAAGATCCAAATAAAGACTAGCTGCCTACAATATCGCTTCATACAGCTGGACAGATAGGGCTGTTTTCATACTGCTATCATTACCTTTAAGAACCATTAAGCCGTTGAGGTCAACCTCGAACCTTCATCCTCCATTCCACCAACGTCGAAAGTTGACTTATTCATAAGCAACCAACAATACTCCATCCTTTCCCTCACATAGACACGGCCAAAAGAACCACCTAACAACTGTCGGCTTGGCCAAAAAGCCGGCAGCCTCTCGACCTCCTCACCGTCAATTTTCGGTCGTCCACTCGCAGAATGGACACTCCCAGTCCTCGAAAAAGTCCTTGCCGTCTTCAAAAAGCAGATCGTCCATCGCCAACACCGAAAGACAATGTGAGTCTGAATTGCTGATCTGGAAGAGGAAATTCCTCTTTGAAGCAGTACGCTGTTACACAGCTCCAGCGTTGTGGAGCTTTACCGACAAGAAAGGCGGTTGATGCCTTGCCCAGAGAAGGTAAACCATACCTTCTCTTCCTCTATGACTTTGCGAGAGCTTTCTTGCCAACATAAGTTTGTTGACTGTTGCAACAGAAGCCAAAGAGAAAAAGTCGGATGATGATGCGCCCAATCACGCTTGCGATGCTTGCACCTAAAATCTACCTGCTTCGAATTATAGGCGCGCTAAGCTCGCTCCAGATTGGATGGCGATGATTATGATATGTAATGATCTCTCATACAGAAACAGATCTTCGGGAAGTGCGAGGAAATATGCAGAAACCCCATTTGGAAGCGGAAAGAAGATGGAACGAATGAAGCGGAATGGCTCCAACTGATTTCAAGGTCAATTTGGGAGAGGTATTTGGTCGATACACCCATCCCATTACTTGCACGAAAACAAAACTCTTGTGTCTTTCAGTGCCTGAGTGCCGCCCCATGATGATGCAGCACACAGCGACTCGGGAAGATGTCCATTGCTCACTCTGCGTTATTTCATCCTATGTTCTATTTGCGCACGGGGTAATTCTTGTTTGGTGCTAGTCTTGGTAAGAGGTTTTTCCATGCGACAATGATAGGTATCAGGAATTAGTATAGTCGGGAATTAAGCGAGAGTAATCTCTGAAGAGAGGTTAACAGATATTTCGAATTTAGAGCCTATCTGATATGTTTTATGTATTATAGAGATATGGCTTGGATCAGCCTTTGTAAATGTCTATTGCGCCAGATCTCCCGTACCCCCAGCATTGAATGACCTTGAGTAGTATATGTGCAATTATCCTCATTTCCCCCCATACTTGTAATCATGATGTGTCTGTGAAACCCATGCCAAAGAGTATTGCGCAGCTCAGGCTGCTTTCCACTAAGTTGTCCGCCGATTTTTGACATTTGCAATGTTTGTGAGGAATAAAACCAACGCAGAGAGCATAAAGCGGCGCAACTAATAGTACACGCAGAACAGAGCCCTACCCTTACACTTTAAGGTTCTATTCGAGAACTTCGTTGTCATCGGTTTCTTCCTCTGACTAGTAACGAATGTTCGGAAGATTGTTGGTGTGATGCTTGCAACTCGGAGAATGAGCTGTGTTTCCCTCGAGTATGATTCTCTGCCAAGGAGCCAAGCACACATAGCAGAACTCATAACCACATCTGTTGCCTTCGTCGAAAAATTAGCTTATAAAAATAAGAAAGGAGGGTACAGGGCGATCTTACACGACATATGGTCGCAGCCACCTCTCTTTTGAATGCGGGCACCGCAGGAAGGATCAGCACAGGTCTTGGCTGCCAATTTCTCGCGGATGAACTTCTCTGAGGCTGCTTCTTGCTCCATCCTCTCTTTTCTGTCTATTTCGTACTGTCTACAAGTCTGTCCTGAATGCCATGGCATCTTGTGAGTATAGCAGGTTTTGAAGCCACACTCATTGCAAGTCATGATTGGTTGAGCATCTCCACCATCATGGATCTGACCTGAACCGCAATTGGCTCCCAGACACATAGTGAGCTCTGTCATTGCCGATTTTGCAGAGTTTTCATCATACCTGTTTACTATATTAGCATATTGGTCTCTTAGAGCGTCATCAGAGGATCGTAGTACTTCTCAAACGATTTCTTAGAAGCCCACTTCTTGACAACATCGTACTGCAATGCCTCAGAGCACTCTGGGCACTTGATCTTGTCCCAAGCCACTTGCATAATCTGGGTATTAACGCTCTGCTTAATGCAATCCTCGCAGACTGTTGGCCCATGGTCGCATGTCGAAGTGACGTTGGGGAACCGATGTTGAGGGAAGGAGTCGGTACAAACACAGCACTCAGCTCCAGGATACCTTCCCCGCGCAACATCTAGCTGATCTCCAAGTGCCCCAACTGACCGATCCGCTTCTAGCCAGCTTTTGACTATCTCAACTTCCTGATTTGGCAATTCATCTTCAAGTTCAACAAGAATTTCGAGCAGTTTCTCTTTGGTTGCTCCTGAATGTCCTCGTCCTTTGTAGTACCGAAAGACATGGCACATCTTCTTGGCCCGATGTTGAGAGCATCTTAGTCCAAATACGGTTTTAGGGAACTGTAGATACTTTTTCCGGATGCGAGATGAGGCCATTGTTCCGTCGGCGTGGTCGGAGGTTCCACCGTGAACGAAGTTCACTGGGGGTAAGGGTGCGTAAATTCCAGAAGTTATTTGGAGAGAGGGAGCGGCTGATGAAGGTGACTGCCAAGTCACATTGAGGTAATACTGAAAGATGATTTAAGATGATGTTGGAGATGAGAGTGCTTTGAAGGCCTTTAGGAAATGCTGAACTGAATTGACTGTTGTAGCTGAAGCTGAAATAGGTCAAGGCACTTGCAGCAGGAGAGAGAAATTAGTGATAGACTGCAAACAGTAAGAGCCAGATGATGCTATTGAAATATAAACAGTGTTGAGGAGATGTTGCAATGATCGTAGTAACATGGGTTGTTGATGTATTTGATGAGCGAAATATCCACGGGCAAGAGGTATTTGACCATCCTTGTAGGCCTAGCCTGTGCTGGCACTCATAGCCGAAACTAGACATTCAAGAATAGTGTCTTAGCGACATGTGTGCTGAAGTCTGGCATTCACGCCAGCAGTATTCACTTTGTTATTGTCACTTTGTTATTGGGTGAGGACTACTCAAGGCTCATTACTGAGCCATATATATCATCGATCCTGTGTCTTGAAACATCAGTCGAGTAGTCGTTGATTTTTGGGGCACCCAAGTCTTTGAGGACCAATGAGATCGTTCTTCCAATATCAACACGGTCCTTCATCTTCGAACTAGTATGTTATCAGTTCTCTGAATTGCATTGCCTAAACATGTCAGCTTTTCGTTTAAAGCTGAGAATTTAACACATAATCTTCTCCCCAGAATCTTTATTAAATGTGATTGCATTAGTCCTTATCAATGTGAAGAACCGGAGTTCGACATTCGGACCACCGAAGTAGTGGCTTTTGTCGGGTAGATTTGGGTTGCTGCTTTCTTGCCAAACCTAGATGACTTTTTAAAGAAGCTCGTCCTTGGCGAATCGGGTTTCAGGGGCTTCAGGTTACGACAACTGTAGTACATGTACATAGACTTTCTCACTTGGGCCACGCTTCAGAATAATCTTGACTCAGGGAAGCCATCTAGCCAGGTAGGACTCACTGGTTCCGTGTAGTCTGCAACGCTACCTAGAGCAGATTCAGCAGAAGTGTGGGAAGGAAAATATCATTATGCCTTCTACTAACGACATTTCGTTTATTATGAAGATGAATATAGCCAGCAAGCTAGACCTTAGATCAACATTGTGATAGCGTTCGTTGTGTGCGAAGAGACTCCTGTCTGTGACCTAGTTACAGAGATAGCCAAGATCGTGCATTGTTGAAGTGGTTTCCTGAAGGCTTATTGCTTACGAGACTCATGGTAGCTGCTCCGAGTGAATCAGAGAACTCAGGGCATGAAAAAGCTCTTGACACGACGCCATTGATACGATCCTAAGCAACACTTCCAGATACGATATAACAAAGTTCTGCATTGTATTGTTCTAATCTACAGATGATACATTGTCACAGTTTCACAGCAGCAGCCATTGCCATTGCATCGGTGTTTCAGCATCCACCACTTTCAATTTCTCATGTGTAGAAATTACTGATTTGTTGTACAGATGAAGGACCAGGAGAGTTGAGTCCTGATTGCCGAATATAGACTTGTCCATTTGAGGTTCAGAGCTGCCACCCAGAACAGATAGTGACCGCCCATTTGAAGTCGGAAGGTCCAAATCATGGGGAAAACCACCTGTTCACTTCGAAGGACGTCAATGTCACAGGACTGAATACTTATTGCACCTGGTCCAACAGCCATTTCTTACATTCTCACATCTCCTCCATCCTGTAATCGCCAGGGCAACACCAAGTTGTCTCAGTATTAATCCATGGAGCAAATAAAGTGGGTTCCCAAATACGCGAATCCCGCCATTGCGACTGTCCTCCGCCCAGATCCTACCATATAAATGCCCAAGCAAGCGGTTTTCTGCCCCCAACCGCAGCAATGTGTCGCCCACCGACAAAGCGACACAAATTCTGAGCTCAGCTCTTCTATCCTAACATTCTCCGTGGCGGTGAACCACCACGAAGCAGCGCTACCAGGGTTCAATCCTTCTCAGAAGTTGAAAGTCCTACTTCGCCAGGTTGCAGAGTTTGATTCCCAGAGCTAGATCGGTTGTGCTGGGCTAGATCCAACCTGTTGAGCTTTTACTTTCTCTTTCGTATGCATTGGCTCTCTAGGACTATTGAGACATGGAGTTCTATTTTTCCCTCATTCGTTTCTCAGGCTCGCTTCTGGGAATTTGACTTCGGTGGTGTATTGTTTACTTTCCAGGTTGGACCAACACGGAACTTGTCGACCCTCCACCCACCAGTGCCTCACTTCTGATATTTGGATTCTATGCTTCTCTATGGAAATCCATCGACTAAAAAAATTGACCGCCACTAACAGTTGCCCTAATACAATCAATCCCCTGCCTCTTGCTCCCCGGCAAACTCAAAATCATGGATGGAAACTTTTGGAAGCCATACAAGACACGACTTTCATTGGAGCCACCGGAATTGTGAATTCATTGCCTGATTAGCCTTATTGGAGCTGCCTCGGCAGCTCGAAGATTATTGGGATCTTACATACTTGATGCAATCACGTTTAAAGACCGGATAGCTATACTGTAGACCGAAAGCCAAACTCAAACGACATGTCTTCATAGGAAGTATTCATGCACAGCACACTTGTACATTGAGCAAATACAGAAAGTATCGTAGCTCACTTACAAACAAGACTTCATTCATTCTTTATTCATTGATATTTATGTTTCAAATGCCAGCTCATGGGACTGGAAATTTGCTAGTACGTGTTTCCCGCCATTCAGCCAACGCCAATCATGCTATCCATTCCGAGACTCAATATGGTCTGGATCCTGCTGCAGCTAGTCAAAAGAAAACCAGACGCCATTATCATGTTATTTCGCCTTGCACTTCCTCACAAACGGCCATGTCTCAGTGCCAACCTCACGACCAAGTGCATATCCTCGCAGCCTAAGGTAGATTAGCTATTGAAATGGTGTCTATTCCAAAAGCTGGGGTATCTTACGACTTACGGCTGCTGAAGGCGCGTCTCAAAAGCACGCGGGACAGCCACGGCAGGAACGGCAGACTTAGTAGACTTCTTGTTGCCTGCAGGAACGCTGGTCAACGGCCCCATGACAGGTGGCGGAAGACGCTCAACATCCGAAGGCATGACTTGAGACTTGGCAAGAGATGGCCATTCCTTGTCGTTGATCTGAGGCGAAAGAATCTCGGGGCTGATAGAAGATGGATTGACAGCATCGATGCCCAATGTAGGGTCTTCCAACTTTCCCTTGCTTCCCATGCTCTTCACTTCTGGAGAAGATGCAGAGACACAAAGCTCATTTGTGACAGCTTGCGCCAAAGCTCCATCAGCCTTTCTCAAAGAATGATTGCTGGTTATAGAGACGCCACTGGCCTTCTTTGAATAGCCCATTACTGCTCCCTTATCCTTCTTGTCCTCTGTCTCAACTTCCTTAGGAGCTTCGACTGTATCTTCAACAGCAGTCTTTACCTGCTCATCCAATATGTTGGGGTTCTGCTTATGTCCTCGAGACTTGTTGTTCGTCTTGGACTTGAGTTTACTGGTAATTGCTCTTGCAAGGCTAGGTACATCGACTGCGCTTCGAGATTTAGAGATCTTCGCGGAGGAAGCTTGAGAGTGCTTGCGGCCCGACCCGGCACTGAAGGAAATATCTTGTGTCATTGGCCTGGAGTCAAGTGGTGAGAGAGTAGCATCCGAAGTGCTGTCTGTATTGAACGACCCATCACTCTTGGACGAGTCGTGCAGGTTCTTGGGCTTGAAGCTATTCTTCTTGACATCGTTACGAGGATTTTTTCGGGGCCCGTTACCAATTGACGACTTGAGTAACTCGGTAGAGATATGAAGTTTTTTGACTTCCTTGAGATCAGCAACCGAATTGGACTTCACCGGAGTGACAGCTGGTGTAGGTCGGGTGGAGCTATGGATGTGTCAGTCGCCTGGAAGTGCAGGAAAGCAGAGATATGACCTACGTGTTTTGCTTCGAGCCCTTCTGGTGCTTGCAGCTAGACTTCTTGTTGCTTGTGTTCTTTCTCGGAGACACGTTTTCTCTGTTTACTTGTGATGCTGCCTTCTTGCTTGGCGAGACGTTCTCCTTTGTATTGTTCCCAGTTTGGCCCATAATTGGCTGCTGGATTCCAACCACCCCATTGCCCGCCTTGGTAAGATTTTGAATATTGTCAATACGTCCCAGAGGTATGTATACATGACGCTCTAGAGCTGATTGGTGATTTACCACTTCGTTGATTGTGGATCGGAGCTGGTCTACAAGAAGACTCGGAGGAGTATTGGGGCTCTGAACAACGGATGGACGCCTACTGCTGGTTCCAGTATGGTAGCCATTTAAATAATTGCGGAACGAATGGCGTCTGGAGCGAGGTTCGAAATCTCTTGACGAGTTGTACTGCCCGTTGCGGTAGCTTTGGCTTGCGTTACTACCTGCTCGCGGCCGATCCAGATTATTTGGCACTCCTGCGCTAAGCTTGTGACCGGAGGGCAAGACTGTTTGATTATACCGGAGGATGGCAGCTTGTACCGAGCTACTCTCAACGAATCTGTAGATCTGTTAGTCTATGTCTTCTATCCTAAGGCGAGTTTGCTCACGTGACAAAAGCGCGAGGTGCACCAAGAGGAAGGTAGTGGATGCTGATGACCTTGCCGCATTCCTCCAATGACTCCTTTAGAAAGTGATCATAAAACATAGCTTCGTGGAAGCCTGATATATGCAAAGTACGAAGGCTCTCGTAGTCCCGACAACCAGGTCTGTAATGGAGTGTCAGAGAGTTGTTGGTATCATGATGCTCCATCCAAGGATACTCTCTCTCAGTCGTGGCGTTGATTCTAGCATCGTTGCTTTGTGGCTTGCAGTTGATTGGGCTAACAGGCAGGATTCTTGGACCTTGAATAGGGGAGGATCCCGATGGATATCGTCGAGGTGTTCTCGGGTATCCATTGCTTACTGGCGAAGTGGACATGCTCTGAGTGTTGTGGAACTTTCGCTCACGATTCAAAGGGGAGATTACCCGACGAACACTGCCGCCTAAACGCTTTGCAGAGTAGAAGGGAACTGTCGGTGCTGGATCAGAAACAACGCGATTTGCGGCGGATATATGACTCGCATGCTGAATTAGAGGTGATTTTTGACGAACATAGATTGGTTCCTTCGATGGTGTGTTTCCAGATGAATGTCCTTCGATGTCCGATGGATATCTTCGATTATTACCCTGTGAATAAATGTAAGAGAATTCCCGACCCCGAGCATTCTGGGAGCTGTTCGAGAGTCCTCGATGACGCTGCGATCGATGCGCACCTGGAACGTTGTTGGCGTATCCTTGGATCCGATGAACATTTGGAGTGATATGACGTCGAGTATCAAAGCCAACATTATAACCGTGGGCATGATGATGAGCTAGGACATTAGTTCGGAAAGTTTCGCAGAACAGAATTGTGGGATATTACCTTGCTGTCCCTGGAAAGAACTGCGCCGTACGAGTTGCTGGTCTTGTGCTGCACAGCTTGGCACCAAAGAGATGGGATCCTGGCGGACTCGCTGTGCTTGTGGCATAGTTTGATGTACCATTGAGGTCCGATTGAGAGAAACATCTGGTGCTGAAATAGCATAGCCTTCTTGATTGATCATTTGCTGATCATGATATGGGAAGGACGAGCGAGGTTCCATTGGTGTGCGCGTTGACTGAGTAAAGTATTCCAAATAGTGCTGTCTGTGGTAATCCAAACCCTGGTTTAGAATTGTAATCTCAGCCTCAGTCATTCCAATTAGCTCAGCACGATCGACGTCGTTGAAAAGCGTTGTCATCTTCTCAACCTTGAGGTTGGCTCTGACAATAGCACTGTGCGAGCAGACCCAGTCGTTGGCGAACCTGTCGATCTCCAGACGTTGGTCGTGGCTAACTTGGGCGAGCTCTTCGTGTCGAGTAATGTTCTTTCCTGGGGTTTCATTAGAATTGAACTAAGTCTTGAAAATGAATCCGGAACCGCTTCGATTACTCTCCTGTGTACTAGAGTGCTCTGGAGCCTTGATTCGAGGGTGACTGATTGATATTACTTACCGCAGATAGCAAGCATGACATGGAAGCAGAACGTGGCACCTTCTACCCAGAGATCATAACCATCGAAGAAATCGTGGAGTATAAGCCAGTCAAAGGGCACATTGAGAAAATTCTGAGCGTCCGGAAATTCTTCCAAGAGCTGGTTCGATTTGATAGCCACATCGCCGAGAGCATTTGTTCGGATGATCGGGGCAGGATATGGCTGGACTAGTCTGCGCTTCGCACGAGTTCCATATCTTGTAGAGAAGATAGCTGGGGCTTCGGGACGGCAATTGTAGAACTCCACTTGTAGTACCTCCGAGGGGGGCGACGATGATGACAAGAGTGACTCGGAACGTGGGACTGTGACAATGATTAACTGCTGTGCGAGATATTGTGAAACATGTGGGATACTTACCAAATGGAATTGGAGGAGCACGAAGCTGCTTCAGGGGAGAGGTGGTGATAGGCACTTGTGGTGGACCGACATCAATCGGGGCCTCTTGGGAGAAGGGTGTAGGAGCCATTGACTTGGCAATGTTAGGATTGAAAGACATCGCAAAGCAGATCGAGCTGATGACCAACTCAACCAAGCAAGTTTAAAGGAGGTGTTGAGACTAAGAAGAGGAAAGTAAAGTCAAGTTTGCGCAGTGTTGAAGAACGCAGATGAGGTGAGAATGAGATGTTGGAGGAGTTCGGGTCTGATCGAGATCGCGAAGAGGTAGAGTCGAGATCACGAAGAGACGCTTTTTTGCTCGTGGTCGAAGAGGAGGTATGGACAGGAACGACGCGAACCGCGCTAATGGTCGGCTCTTTCCTCTCCTGTGAATCTCCTCTGTTCTGCCAGCTTGAGAAGCTCGCTTTCAAAATGCGACACCCAATTCACCTGAACTAAGAACAAGAGTAGTTTTAATCTTCCCAAACACAGGAGACACTTTGCAGTCGTTGCCTGAAACCTTTGACGCTGGCTGGGAGATTCTTTTCTTGCTCTCCAAGATATATACCATGTAGACACCAGAGAATCCCAGCCTAATTCCAGCATAGAACAGGACGGCACAGGTTACAAACGTAATATGGTGGTCTGGCTGCTTCCAACCTGACAGCCAGGGCAAATGGAAACCCTTTCTTCTGCTCGACTGTTCCACCAACATGCAGTTTCTGCGACAGCAGTTACATACAACGAAGTCAAGCATGATTTTCCGGCATAATCACATCATGAAAAAGTATCTATACAGTGAGACTCTTGATATTTTGTCTCACACAGACATTCTGGATGACATCCTTGCTGACGTGTACAGGCTGAACCACACCCTGAAAGAACATGGCATACCGTCACAATTGAGCGCTTAGAAGTGTGTCTCGCATTCAACCTGGAGACGCATACAGCCACAAAGGATCACCAGGGACGCAGTTCCAGAGAAAATGCATTGCTGAGACTTTGCGAGCTTGGTTACTCGACGAATGTATCTGCCAAAAGGGCTGTGCAAGTATGAACTGAAGACGAAGCTCGCAATCTGGCCTGGCGTCCTTCAGCTCTAAGAAATTCAAAGCATAACATTAAACAACAACAAGACATGCATTTACAAGAATGAAATTTCCTTATTTACGGGGTTCGCAGCCTGTTTATGCTGGGTTTGCTTCTCGTCACCTCCACAAGCCCGCCTCACATATTGTAGAGACAATTATAAGGTATTGGTATCATCAACTCTTACGCCTCTTACTTTGGCAGACTCTCGATCATCTTCAAGATCTCCGACTCATTGTCTCCAGCAACAGCTCTTCCGTTGGCCCAGTCCACCGTCTAGCAACCATTAGCAATATCCCATTCTATTCACCAGTAGAGACATACGACAGGGGTCTGGAAGCTCTCTGAATTCTCTTTCAACTTTCTCATGGCATCTGCCTCATCCCTTGCGCCCTTGATGATTGTGCTCGTCTTCTGGGCTCCAACATATTCTAGGATGCTCTTTAGTTGATCTTGGGTCGGAGGCTCCTCAGTCACTTCAAGCTCGAATTCGGCACGACTTGGCTTTAATTGCGCAGAGTGATCGCTAGCTTGGTCCTCGGTGGCATGCTCGCTAGCATTGGCAGAAGCTTGCTTCAGGAGAGCGTTGACCCTCATGGAAGCTGGAGAGCTTGCCTTGTGGAAGAGGGTAATAACATCCTTAGTTTTGTGCTGAGTTTCGGGAGCATTGTTAGCCCATTTCCCCCCCTTCTGTTCCCAGTATGGCGCAAACAATATGTCAAACGTAAGTACTCACAAATCTGAACATTTTGATTGATTGCGGCTTCAATTGAGGTTGAATGTCGTTGAGACGTCGTCCAGCTCGGAAGAGCTTTGGGTGAAGCTATGACGTTAGTGGACAGCGCTAGAAGGCCCCTGGCGCGGATCCCTGTACCCCCTTTGCCAAGACCTGTCGGCGTTGCTACGGCGAGAGACTTGACTTGACTTTCGCGTAGAGAATTATTTGGGACGTGGACGTGTTGATCTATCCGGCTGTGAATACCTAATTAGCGACCGACATTCAATCCTCATCCCTTGCATCCACATTGTCTTGCCCTCGACACATCCAACCCCAAAGTAGCATCCATTCTCAGCTGCTGCCATGGCACCCCTTATCCTGCATAACGTTCCAGACGATGAGCTCTACGTGGGCGACGACGGCGTTACAAGACCTTATGCTGTGCTCTACCCCAGGTATGCAATCGACATCTGCGATGGCTCACCAGATCCCCGCCCTTCCTGACTTCTCCGTCTCTAACGACAGCTACTATAGTATCGATGGCACTCCTTCAGTATCACGCGTGCGCAGAACAGTCCCCGAAACAGGCTCATTTGGCAAGTCAACAAGGAGGTCGAGATCGAGAACAGGCACACCTGCAGCAAAGCGCGAGGACCCGACCTTAGCAGCCGCCGATGCGATCTTCTCCTCATTCCTTGCCCAAAAGGCCTCCGAGAATACAGAATCGCCCCAGCGCAAACCCTCTCTCACCTCCTCGATCTCTCAGCCTAACATCAGCTCAGGCGCACTCATCACAACCGATGGCAATGCAGGCTCCTCATCGCGCTTTTCCAAGAGCTCCCCCAAGGAGCCAACAGAGGTTATTTTACGAGGTTTCGATTCGACACAGCAATATGCAGTTATTAGAGAGTATGAGAGGTTGGCCGGGCGGATTTGCGAGGACTACCCTCGCGATGCGCCTATCGAACAACGGCGATTCAAGAGCGACCTTCGAGACCAGGCATCCCTTAGACGGAAACCCATGACAGCGGAAGAGAAAGCGAAGGCTCTCAAATTTGCAGGCGGCGAGCACTGGATCAAGGTCACTTTCGAGTCAGCAGATGCGGCGGAAATAGCCATCGAATCATCACCACAAACCATAATGGGCCATTTGATATATGCGGAACTTTACCGTGGGGTGCCGCCAACAGCAGACGAGCCAGTTCCAATCAACGGAGGTAGTTCAAGGACACCCGGAGGAAACAAGTTTCAGGCGCAAAGTGTGGGTGTTAGTTCTGGTTTCAACATGCAATCTGCCAGACGGCCCTCCTCCACCCTCCCTAGATCCTTCACCACACCATCTATGCGGGAGGTCAGGCGAGGAGAAAGCTCACTCTCTCCACCCGGCTCCAATACCTCGTCTCACACCATAGAAACCGGTACAGTGGCTTCCACCATCTCGTCCGCCACAGTAACCGGGATTCGAACACAACAGGAATCAGCTGATGACCAGCTGTACTGCCGAATAATCCCCACCGCTAAACGCATTCAATTGCTTCCTGTCAACCAAGCTCTCCCTCCCAAAGTATCCTGGCAAAGAAGACTTATCAGAATGATTCCCCTGATCGGCTGGTTGACTTCCGATATCTTCGGTACCGAGGTACCGCGAGATGAACAGGGAGAATTCGACAGTAAGAATGCGACGTGGTATTGGTTATTTATGGCATGGATTGATAGCTTGATCGGCGGCTACCTTGGCATCATCAAGGACAACGCTGCATGGAACTAAGGAGGGAAGGGGAACATACCATTCGATTGATGTTTACAGCACGGCGTTTTAAAGGAAGGTAGAGACACAGGGCAGGATATCATGGCAGAGATGTAATATCATGGTAGTCTACAGAGAGAAATGAAAATGAGAACCACCCAAACATGTGTCCATTGCGGATCCAAAACAGCAAAATCTCTATTAAGCAGTATCGAAAGTTCGATGCTTCTTGGGGTATTCTATGCACGCTTAGACAATTCCAACTAATCAGACACTGCACCGTCATCTGTAACACTCCATCTTCTTTCCCTCTGTCTTCCACTTCGGCCACTTTCACTTTCCGTTTCTTCTCTCTCCTTCTCTTTATCCTTGGACTTCGCAGTCTCATCCTCAGACTCTATAATAGCCGTCTCATCCTCTGGCTCCGTAACATGTACAACCGTCCTCGCAGACGCCGATTCGACTCTATCTTCCTTCTTATCCGCGTGATTTTCCTCGTCAAGCTCTTGAGGCACTTCAAAAGCAGGCTTGCCATAGCCCTCCAGCGGATCTCTTACTCGCTCTCCAGGCGTAGGAGAAAATGGCCGTACACCTCTCGGCCTGTTCAAGAGCGCCGAACTGGGCATGTCCCTCTCCGAGAAAATACTATTCACATCCGCATCTCTACCTCCAGAGACTGCTCCCGCAAGACTCTGATATGGCATGCCATCGACCAACAGACTGTCATTTCTGGCGTGTTGCATGCCCGGAGCACCTTCGCTATCCTCTGTGGCGAGAATACTCCTATTCTGGGGTAATATGCTGAAAATCTTCGCTGCGTGATTTGGATGTGCATCTATACCAGCATGCTCCTCATTAGCAAATAGATCCCTCCCTTTCTCCAATAACTCGTCCAAACCACCTCCATTCCAGCCTTTCCTAGCCAGCGCCTCAAAAATGTCAACCTCAGCCCTCACAAGCCCAGCACTACACTCCACGATCCCCTTACTCATCTCCTGGCAATCCCTGAGCAATCCTCTACTATGTCCACCACTCAAGCCTGTCAACTGATCCAGCTTCCCTGTCAACTGCACCAAATGCTCTCTAAACTTCCCTACATCCCTCTTCCGCTGCTTGTGCAGCCTCAAACCCTCCTTCTCCATCTTTCTAATTTCCTTACTCATCGTCTTCGCTTCTCTCTGATACCCAACCTCCTCCTCCTCCATCCGCCGCCTCCACTGATCCAGCTCGTGCAGCAGTGGCACCTCGAAACTCCTGTACACTGTCTCGCTCAGAATCTGCTGGTGGTTCGCTACGAGCTGATGCACGCCACTAGCTGCCATCAGGCTATCCGCCGTGCAGTTCCCTTTCGCGGAGAAGCTGTTCGACATGGACCCCGCCGCGGAAGAAGGCATAGCTTCGCTGCGGGCCTCTTTCAGTCGCGCGCATGCTTCCAGCGCGGATCCGAATGTGGATGCGGATACGGAGAGAGCGGCGAGGGCTAGTCGGTATGCTTTTGCGGAGGAGAGAAGGTCCGAGTAGGCTGTTTGCGAAGCTTCGAGGTCGGCTTTCGTCAGTACGGCGTGTGGGGAGCGCGGGGGTGGGGGAAGAGGTAGGTTGAACGAGCTCGGTATTGGGTTGGCGGTGCTGGCGTATGAATAGGTTGGTGAAGATGGGATTGGAGGGAGGGCAGAGGGACTTGGTGGTCGGCTGTCTGTTGACATGTTGAAGCCCCTCCCTTCCGTCGACTTGGATGTTGATGCCTTATTTGTTTTGTTTACAGAATTTTGATTGGGGTAACTTTAAAGGGATAGGTACCCGTTATATGCACTAGAGGAGGAGCAAGGAATGAAGTCTCGGGATCGGAGAAGTTGTCATGAGAAGCAGATAGATTTGATCCGGTCTCGCGCTCGACTCGTGATAAGAAAGATGGGATGATGATTTCTTGGTTCAGGCTCGAAGTCAGAAGACTGGCTGAACCTTATCCAAATAAACAAGGGCGCGCGCGATAAGGAGCTGACCACTGCAACTTTCTGCAACACCAACCTTCCCTTCTTCCTCAACCTTCTTCCCCTCCTGGTTCATTAACTGTTGCTTCTTCCAATTATCAGCAACCTCTTGACGAAAAGTCTCCGTTTGCAACAGAAGAACTATATCCGGAGTGCCGAACAAGTTCAATCATACAATTCGTCATCTCAACGAACACACCGACCTGCAGCCACAATGGCAAAGCCAACCTCCCTCATCATCCCCGCGGCGACAAAGCATACCGCTACATTAATAATGCTCCACGGCCTTGGAGACTCTGGCGCTGGATGGGTTTCTCTCGCAGAGAACTGGCGCCGCAGACAAAAGTTCGATGAGGTCAAGTTTATATTCCCAAATGCGCCCGCAATCCCAATTACCGTGGTACGTTCACTCACTCAGCTTGTCATTGAAGTGTACCTAACAATTTACAGAACTTTGGAAAGCAGATGCCAGCATGGTTTGATATTGTAAGGCCTCGCGATGCCGTCCGTTTTTGTCCATACCGGTCAATCCATACATCCGAAAGCGGATTTACTGATTGCCCAATAGATTGAGTTCGGTGACCTCGAAGCCCGCCGAGACGAGAAAAGCATCCTCAAGTCCCGCGATTATTTCCATACTCTCATAGCAGCCGAAATCGAAGCTGGGATCCCCTCGAACCGCATTGTTCTCGGCGGATTCTCCCAAGGCGGTGCCATGGCGATTTTTTCCGGTATTACAGCACCAACGAAGCTCGGCGGTATATTCGGGTTGTCTAGCTTTCTTCTACTGCATAATAAGCTCAAGGAATTCGTACCGAGCGATAGTCCCAATAAGGATACAACAATCTTCTTGGGTCACGGTGATAGTGATCCGCTAATCAAGCCAGAGTGGGGACAGATGACAGCCAGCGTTTTGAAGAATAATGGCTGGAAGGTGGATTTGAAGATGTATAAGTAAGTGATAAGCTATATGTGAGCCGCGGCACTTGCTAATGCTGGGACCAGGGGGTTGGAGCATTCGGCTCTGCCGGAGGAGATTGACGATGTCGAAAAATACTTGAATGAGAGGATACCACCTGTCGGAGAGAAGCCTACCCTCTGACTCGAAGGACAGCAACCTACGATGAACAACTACACAATATTGCTGGTATTTTTATTGACAATTGCCACGGCTATTATTGGATGGTACATATTTCAAAAGCCACAGAGGAATATCCCACACAGTGAGAATCGGAAAACCAAATCCTAGTTGCACGTAGAAATGAATTAGAAGCCATTTGCAAATCGGAAGTCACCACACGAACTCGTAAATTTGTTTAGAGACATACGATTTCATATCCAAAGCCCAACGTAACAATCCCACACAAGGCTGAGGATTCATTGGCCCATCATTCCCTACTGATGATTACCAGCACCTCTTACGAACAATTGGCCCCTGTCTCAGCCGGCACCCCACTCATTTGGAGAACTTAATCTCAGCCTCGCCTCCGCTCAACCGTCAACAGACTTCAACTACATTTGTAATACCAATGCCTGTCCCAACCTGCCGCTCTTTCGTATTTCTGGCAACCATACTAGTCCTAGTACTTGCCATATTTCTTTCTCCAAATACAACATTTCTTTCTTCTCTACGCACTTTCTCGTCGAGCGTTTTCTCCAGCTCGGCTCCCACCATAGCTCAGGAATCAGATGGTGACTGCAAAATTCCTCAGGCTGCGAATATGTCTACGACTAGTAGAACGCCTGTGTATTTCCTTAGTCATGGGGGTGTAAGTTGAAAGTCCTTTCATGTTAATTGTATGGTTCATGTCATAACCCGAGAGCAACTGACATGACCCATAAATCTGTCGCTAACGAAGTGACAGCCGAACATAATGTACGATAAAGACCACCCAGTCTACCCACAGCTCCAGAAAATTGGTCGAGAAATCACAGAAAATGTCAAGCCCAAGGCAGTTGTTGTCTTCTCGGCTCACTGGCAAGGAGAGCCGAATGCCGTTGAAGTCAATACCTTCGAGACAACGGAGTTGATTTACGAGTATGTTGCCCCTATTTGCTTCGCTTACCCCCTATTTCTTGGTTCTTTTGTTGATAGTACACAGCTTCTACGGTTTCCCAGACCACTACTATAAAGAGACATATCCAAATAAGGGCTCTTTCCCACTAGCTCAGCACGTCATCGAAGTTCTCACTAAACACAATATTGAGGCATCTGGAACCCGCCGCGGCCTGGATCATGGTGTCTGGGCATCTTTCAAAGTCGCTTTCGACCCTGTCAATAACCCTCTCAGCGTCCCTATCGTTCAGGTATCGCTCTTCGCGTCTGATTCGCCTACACAGCACCTAGCTCTCGGCCGCGCTATTTCATCACTCCGTAGTGAAGGCATTGTGCTGATCATGTCGGGCATGGCTGTGCATAATCTGCGAGACATGCAATTCGGGACTGAAGGTGAGCCGATGTGGTATGGTCCTACTTTTGATGAGGCGCTGAGGGAGGCGGTGGAGTTTGAGGGTGACGTACAGGAGCGGGATGAGAAGATGGCGGAGCTGTTGAAGAGGAAAGATGCTAGAGCTGCACATCCGAGTTTTGATCATCTGCTGCCAGTGCATATTGGGGTTGGAGCGAGTGCGGGAGACAGAGGAGTGAGACTGTGGACGCTGGTGGAGGGGAGCTTCAGTTGGGCAATGTTCAGGTGGGGAGAGCTATGAGCTGTGGCGGAGGGATCCTTGTGGGTGTTGCCGTTCCAGCCCGTGTTACGAGTGACGGTCTGACAAGGTTGGTGTCAAGATGAAATTCGACATTGAGACCCTAGATACTAGACTCTTTCGATACCGTTCCTGCGCCATTAGTCTATTCTCCAGCTCTCGTCCCTCCTCCGCTCAAAGGATCATAAAAGTGTCTCCGTCTCCCATGAAGTCTCTTACAGCCTCACCTTTCATCAGACCATACACATAACATTCGCCAACAAACTTCCAACAAGTGTCTTTCTTGCGCAAAATATAAGGAGTATCGCCGCCAAAAAGTATGCAAACGGTATCTTCGGGACGAATGCCCTTAGGACCCAAACCCAGGTATCCTTGCCTTGTAATGAAAAGCTGTCGTTCCGAACAATAACCTTCCACTAGACGGAGATATACGTCAGGATCGCTTGCCGTATCGATGAGTAGCTCATTGTCCTCGCTTGTATCCACCAGTCTTGGATCAACGTCGATATTCGGGACCTTAGTATCGTCGTCGTCAGGGACCTTGGTATGGGATTCGTCTTGAGCCTTATTGTATCTAGGTATCCTTTCCCGAAAAGCTTTGACGTTCTCTCGATAGTTCGCATCGCCTTCAGCTTCCTTCTGATTCAGCATCAAACCTGCTGTCAGGGTCATGTGGAAAACATCCAGGCGGTATTCCTCTGGATATATGGCAGCACGGTCACCCATTTCCTGCCAAGCTCTATCAATTGCTGTCTGATGAGATTCGTATCCAATGTATTTAGAAAACTCGACGTCGCTTGTACGTGCTACTACGTCGATTTCTAGCCCCTTCACGATCAGAGTGTTCGCGTCAGCAGAGGGACTTAAGCCCAAAGGGTAATCTCCACTAGCATGAAAGAAAACCTCATGATCTCGTCGATCGACAAGTGGAAGCGCAATTGTTGGACAATCCCACCTTGGGACCCAAGATGGAAAGATGACACTCTCATCAGGTGGACCCCATTCGATACTTGATAACGTTTCAGTCCCGAATTCCGTTTCGTTATTTGTCTGTCTCCAGTTCAATGGTGAACGAGGGTCAGGTACCCAACCCACAGCTGAAAGGATCTGTAGACTGCGTTCGTGGTCAATCAGAAGCCGCGAAATGTCTCGATAGGTGTGCTCGAGAGATTTCGAGTAGTAGGGCTTCAGCCTCGGATCGTCACAGTTCTCCGATTCTTCAGCCATGCCAAGCAGTGCAAAAATCTTGTCTCTCGGATCAGTCGACTTACTTGGACGCATTTGCCTAATAATCCTGCTTAAAGGGACACGGAATGAGGCATTGCGGTCCAACTTATGGCAGCCGATTCGATTGGCCCACGCGACGATTCCGATGTGACCATTTCCTGCTGACAAGTGCTTGTAATTCTTTGTTGCAAACCAGCTGGATTCGATATAGACTATCATCCAAGAGATTTCGTAGTCACCGATGAGAGCAATTGCATTGGATGCCACGCGAACTTCTTGAACGATCCAGACACGCCCGAACCCTGATAAGTGTCAACAATAGATTCGCTTGAAAGGCTTTCCCCAAGGCATTAAACAGTCTCTTCGCATGATTGCAGGGAGCTATCCAATAATAAGACCTTTTTGCGGCACTCACATTCACGGCCGAAGAATCGTATAAGACTGTCCCATTCAGGCGAATCAAGAGGCGGCAGCCCCCACTCCTCGTTGTCTTTCGCAGAAGGATATTTCCTCTTCGTAAGCTGCTCTCTATCATCACTCCTTCCCTCCTGCAGTGCCAAATTAAACACCTTCATTATCAGCGGGACAGCCACAGGCAAGTCATTGGTTGCAGGTCCCAAATATACGAGGACTTGCAAAGCTCTACCATAGATTTAGACATGAGCTGTACCTGCTCCGTCCTTTCTTCAACATTATTTTGATTGATACATATGGCATCTACCCAAAGAACTTTCACTTCAGTCTCGTGCCGAACTCCAACGAGTGCTGAAGCTAGATTGGATGTGAGTTTAAGAAATCTCTCCTCACTAAGGGAGATTACGTAGTCGAGCTCTGGACATCCCCAACAGTATGATAGAGCTTCGAAAGGAGGTGCGTTGTCTAGGTTGACTGCTTGGAGCTGGCATCTCCCTGCCTCATTTTTCGTGGCAGGCTCGAGGTAGAGGAGACGTATATGATTCCCGTCCGGAAGGGGTCTGTACTGATACAGCTCAGTCATTCTTGTTACAACAATGTAATGCTTGCTGTCCTCCACAACAATCGAGACCGAGAAGTTTTTGTGACGAATGTTATAAATTGATGTATTGCATATTGCTGCACTTTAATTTGTGGTGACGATCTCAAGCGATGTCCAGGGGTATCAACACTAAACGTGTCAGCAGACCGGAGATCTTGCCAAACAAATGCAATTCGCAGAATTTATACATGAGCAGAAATCGGTAGAGCACCTATTGTTGAAGATGTACTGGCGGAGCTACTGTACCTACCTTAGGTACCTAGGTAGGTAGATTATTTGTATCACGATCAGCTGACATGCTAGATTCACGTGATCTCTGACACAGTCCCTCAGACCTTGGGCTGTTTCGAGCGGCAATGAATAGCTTTATGTAAATATTCTTGCATTGCGAATAATCTTGTGAATGTAGATCTGCGATGAAGCGGAAAGATAGGTATCGGTTCAACCTCCACCCTCTAAACGTCAATTGTCCGCGAGTGACCTCATGCTTTGATGAGGAAACGGCTCATAATCCAAGGACTGCGCGTTTGCAATGCATGCAGTAAACGTTAAGTACCAACAAGAGCTTGAGTATCGCATTTTCAAGAGCCAATGAATTAGAGACCCGATAATGTTTGACAGACAGGCGGCGATCTTGGCGAATCTGCCAATACTCGGCGCCCAGAAATCCAATCCAAATGAGGTTTGCTCGATGCTGGAAAGCTGACAAGCTGGGGACAAGGAGCTGGAAACATTCTGGACTGGTTGGGAGACCCCTCTGTATGATGGCAGTGTAAATGGTAGCATAAGGAATACTGAAATACGGATATATAACAAAAGCTGCCTATCCAAGTTGCTGTGTTCACTTATGTAAATACAATTTCAGATTCTCCAATACACCTACTTCATACACTTTCCTCACTGACAGTATTACAACAATGGAAAAAGTCAATGTATTTGGCAACGGGATCGTCAAGACCATCGCTGCTGGCATCGGGTTCGCATCCGAGAGCGTGAGTTGCTACAAGGAGAAGAAGCTTGAGGAATACAGTTCCGATAAAGGGAGCGTCGGAAAAGCGGTTCGAAAATTAAGACCACCTCCTCAGCAGCCGCCACAGCATTTAGAAATCAACAACAACAGAACATGGGAATTGGACGATGCTCAGGAGAGAATGGCACCTGTGGCGACCCCGGCGAAGACCAAGAAAGAACTGGAAGAACGAGATACCAACAAGATCATAGATTCATTCATCCTCAGACATCCCGCTCCAGAGACACAAGATGGTAAATATCCAGCCCTTCAAAGTCTTTCTCTCCCAGTCATTTTGCCGCAGAAGAGACCAAAAGATCGATCTCGAGGATTCGTCAAAGCATATGCACCAGCACTTGAGCAGTCAGGTATAGACCAAGCCACGTTCCTCGACTTCCTTGAAACTTTTGAGCAAGGCATACGAGTATCTCCGTGGTTGGAAGCCATCAACCTGGTCTCACTTGCTGCATTGTCTCTCCCGATCCCAGAGGCCATGGCTATCGACATAGCTTGCATGGTCGTCGTTGAGACTGCCACCACTATACAAACCAGGACTAGGTTCGTAGCCCAGAAATCAGCTTCGGTGTCTGAGATGTCCCAAGCTAAATTTATCAGGGGAAATGACCTGCTATCGAAATTCAATGTGGAGTTCTTCCAGCCTCGAGGCCTGTTCTGTTTACTCATGACTTTGAACACAGAGACTGGATCCAAGGTGCAGGAGGAGCTTGCTGTCTCGTCAATAGTCTCCAGGGCCCGTACCAGTCTTTATGAGGACAAAATCGCCCAGAAAGCGCGAAACTTACGTCGATCCGATGGATCGACCAGTTCGGCTCCTCAAGCCGCTCCTCTCATTTTCCCAGGGCTGGATGAGCTGGCTGCAAAGAATGACGAGAAATCAAAGAAGAAGAAAGATTCCTTGCAATCTGCATCCGAGTTTGTAGGTAGGTACCTTGATAAGAGGGCTGTGGCAAAATACGTAAGCTCATGGCAATGAAGGATACATGTGGTCTAAATTTGCTGATGGTAAAACAGAGTGTAAAATATCCGGATAGCACCCTCTCTCAACCGAAACCAGTCTTCAAGTCAAGATATGCAGATCCAGCACATCCTGCAGCAAGTGGCAGTTTCAAAGCACTCCTCACAGGTGGGAAGTCCGGTGCTAAAGGACCCAAGTATGTGGAGGCGCGCCAGATTGAAGATGCTACTGGAGAATCAAATGACCCAGTTGAAGAGAAGAAGTTTGAAACCAGCTTGGCCCTAGAGGCTTCGTCTTTTGAAGATGCCAAAATGTTCGAGACCATAGAGCAGAGAACTGGGAATGAGAATAACGTGCAGAGTGCTAGCGGAAGTCAACTTACTCCAGCTAGTAAAGGTGGATTTTTGACCCCAGTAAAGAAAGCAATCAAGAGTGTCCGTGTCTTCCTTCCTATACGAAAAACATAATTCACATGCAGCTAGAACATTATGTATCTGCTTATCGTCAATATGCCAACTGAAGAGGAAATGGCTGCAGCACAAGCTGCTCTCGCAGAAGCAGGAAAATATCAGTTGCATGACGCTTGGGAACGCTGTTGGTCGTCATAGATTATCTCCAGTGATGTAAAGGAAAGTTCGATAAAAGGATTAGAGCACTTGCACAGCATCCTGTTATCCGGAGCCTTCAGAGCTGATTATTCGCATATGCTTGGGGAAATGTCGGTTTCGTTCTCTGGTACCAGTCCGCATCAGAAGTCCACAAGACGTAGACTTGAAAGTACAAGGTGCGTACTTGCACACTTGCACATATTTCCTCATATCCAAATTGAACAACAGTCTCTTTTTGAATCCTTGGGCTCTTGATTATTTCGTGTCCATAGGCTTCTGTTGTGTAGATATCCGCAAGTTATTGGCCAGAAACTCACTCCATCGATTCACGTCCCGTGTACAAGTACATCCAGCCCATGGTCATGACGAACCGCTATTGCATTGAGAAGCTATCGTGCAAGACCTTGCAAAACCCAAATGCCATCCATGCGTGATCCTGCCCCGAACCCAAACCACAAAACAGCAGAAAGAAACCTAATCCCCTTAACGAGTAGAGGCCTGGATCTTCTTTGGCGCACCCTTAGCACCCATCTTGCTTGTGACTCTGGCATTTCCCTTTGCGGCACCGGCAGCGTTCTTCGCCTTCTCAGCCTTCTTTGCGCTCTGGGCAGCAGCTCGCTTCTCCTTGCCCTCCTTGATAGCGGCTTGACGGGCGGCGGAACGGGCTTCTGGTCTTTGACTGCGTCGCTCCTTGATCACATCGAGAGAGGCACCAACGATAGCACGTTGTGACTTGACCGTACGGCGGGATCGCTTCTTGGCAACTTCCTGTTGTTAAGAGTATGGTTAGCCCATGTCCGTACTTCCCCAGGTATCCAGCCTATTATTCTCCTTGCATGCCAGCCAGAATCGTAGGAACATTCGTACCTCAGAGATACCCTTCTTGTGTTGTCTGCGGAACAGGACAGTCCAGGCAATTCGGCGGGGGTTCTTGCGTTGGAGGAAGAGGGATTCGGTCTTTCCATTCTGGAAACGGAAGATCTTGGAGTCACCGCGGACGTAGAGCTTGCCCTATAATTCTTCCCGTCAGCATTCCATTCCATCGCTTTTCCCCTTCTATCCCAATGTGCGCTCTTCGTCCCCTCCTTCAACTGTCCTTCGCCACTCCAGGAAGCGTCGCGGCGCTGGGGACCGTACCTTTCCAGGGTAGATCTTCTCGCCGGAGAAGGTATCGTCGTAAGTACGCATTTTTACTGGAGTACGCCGACTTTGTTGTTGATGATTCGGATACCCAAGTCGTCTATGGGAGATTGATTGTCGTGGTGGAATGGATCTCTAGCTTGCCGCGACTTTTTCGCAATTGCAGTGTGGGCGTCGATTCGCTAAAGGAGCACTACCCGCACACCCTTGTCAGAACATTAAACTCACGTGACACGCACCTGACAACAGAACATCTTTGTGCATGATGATTCTCAAGAGCGGACTCGTCCCTCAAGGAATGCTTCATCAGCCCTGACCTGATCTTGAAGGGTGTTGATGCGTCCGAGGTCACAGAAATGCCCTTTAATCCCGATTCAACTCCTCCTGAGACTTTACCAACGCTTGAAGAAAGCTCTGGAGAAATATGGACTCCTCTTTACACGCACGCCTGCTCGTTTCCTCCAGAAATATTTAGAGAGGTCATGTTAAATCTCATACGCAACCCAAATATCAATTCGAATCATCTATTCCGAGCAGACATATCATTGGATTGTCCCTTCGAAGATGGCGTCATACCCGAGGCAAATATCCCCCCTAGAATCACACAATTCAAAGGCTTCACTCTCAAATCTATTATGGTTCGAACTATGATTCCAAGAAATGTGCTCGTCGATAAACCCTTGGACCAGACATGCAACTTCTACCACCAAGTGAACGAAGACGGAGATATATTATCCCTTGTAATCTACCTGCCACATATCTCATTGGCATCAGAGTCGCCATTCTATCATCCCGCTGTCCATGGGATAGCTTTTCTGCATACATTCAACCCCAAGACTCAGCAAGGAATAGTTGCGATTCACTACTCTTTTTTCGATTCAGAGCCACGTTCAGTTAAATTAGAGAGGACAGCACTACATCTCCTGTCAGTACTTCATAAGCATGGCCAAGGGTCAGTTGCTGGATATGTGAAAAGAGTACAACACGATGTTATCCTGCCTCAAGCACGGGTTCAGAATACATACGCTCGACTCAAGACCAAGTATGCAAGGGATCTCGTGCTGAGATGGGTTGAATCCACGGACCCTGGCAAGCATGTATTTGAGGATCTTAGCATTGCTGCCTTTCTCATTGAGTTATGGGCCGAGATGTACGAAGACAAAGCATTCCCGGGATTCGTCGACATTGGTTGTGGAAATGGACTGCTCGTTCACATTCTCCTCGAGGAAGGATATTCGGGCTGGGGATTTGATGCTCGGAGACGCAAGTCATGGCAATCATGGAGTCCGAAAGCTCAAGGAAATTTGAAAGAACTGGTTCTCATTCCTTCTATCATACAGTCAGCACCAAGTTCCACAACCAAACATGGTTCCACAGTCCAGAATATTTCCAACTCGTCGAGTGGCCTTCAATTACCTGACATCCAGGATCTCAGCGTGTGTAAAACTGAAGATGCACAAGCGACTGGTACCCATGACGGTATTTTCCCCAAAGGAACCTTCATAATATCCAATCACGCCGACGAACTCACACCATGGACTCCTCTCCTCGCCAACATATCCGAATGCCCTTTCATGATGATTTCTTGCTGCAGCCACTCTCTCAGCGGCTCTCGCTTTCGAGCACCTCCTCCAAAAGACGGCTCCTCCCGTTCAGCCTATGCTTCTCTCGTTGTATGGGTCTCCAAACTTGCCAAAGATTGTGGCTGGGAAGTAGAGAAAGAGATGCTACGGATACCAAGCACGCGTAACACAGCTTTGATTGGCAGACGGAGGATGTTGCCTTTTGATGAAGTTGATGTTGTAGATTTGGTATTCGAAAATGGAGGTGCAGCAGGCTGGGAGGAGAACGCATTGAAGTTGGTCAAGGGCTCGGCGAGAGGACATTAATGCATGAGTACACAACGTCAAGTGGAAGACCATGCTGTATCAGTGGAAGGTTTTCTAGGAGCTTATTTGTTGTTGTTCATTGGTTGTTGAAGAATTTGTACAACCACTTCTTCCAATCCAATACAAATGATGCTTCTGGTGATATACCTCTGCTCACATTGCTGTCGTCCCTTGTAGAAACTCACGATAACCTTTATACGTGGTGGAAGCTAGAAAATTTCTGGTATAGGATTCGTCTTGGCGGAAGGTCACAGCTGTGCCAATGTTTCTGGATTAGACTTGGACCTTCGGACTCCTCTCTTCGATGCTCAAGGGCCACCGTCCATTCACGAAGTTCGATCAATTGCAGCTCCAAATCATATTTCCATTATTCAACAGCAAGAGAAACAATATGTTATGCACAGCCATAATGGTGTCTACTCTACCACCCGTTTCGGATGGAAAGCTTCATGACAAGGTTGCCAATTCCGTCCCGAAAAGACAATACATGATTCAGAGCAACATTGTCAAGCCGCGCCATCCATATCGCAGTACATGAGAAGCCAAAGACAAAAATTCGCGAAAAGGAGCCACGACAGAAGCAATAAGAAAGGACAAGAGAAAAAGATATAACGAATGGCCCAACTAATTCCAAGTCTCGTCCCCCGCCCCTTCACTCCTCTATCGTCTTTTCCCATTTTCATTTCATTTCGGGGGGGTTTTTTTTTGTGTTTTTTGTGTTTTTTGTGTTTTTTGTGTTTTTTGTGTTTTTTGTGTTTTTTGTGTTTTTTGTGTTTTTTGTGTTTTTTGTGTTTTTTTGGTTGGCTGTTGTTGTCCTTTTTGTTATTTACCCAATTCATTCACGACTTGTTGTTGTCCAATTTGGTCGTCATCCTTCCGCTGCTACAAGAACTTGTGTCGATAACCCGCAGGTACTGCCGTCCTGCCCCGCCGACTCTGTTTTGGGACTGTATATTACCGTCTCTGCAGAGTCCGAACAATTAGAACACGTGTCGTCCTCGTTGTCCTGGCCTTCGAACTCTCGTTCTTTGAGAATACGATTCTCCTCCTTGATGGCTTCCTTGAGTTCAGGAGAAAGACTGTTGAGGATGTGGCAGACCTCATCGATGATATATGAATGTTGTTGGATTGTCTGACTTTGCTCTCGAATCTTCAAGCTTTTGGCGTCGACTTCCTTCTGGAGCTGGTTCATGATGTCAGAATGTCTCTTTGTCCGCAAATTTGTCCACTTGGCCATCAAGCGCCACGTCTCTTCGTGGCGTTCTTTTTCGTCTGCATGATCAGCTCGGACAGCTTCAAGCTCTTGAATCGTGGCTTTGTAGGACTGGAGAATGTGGATTTGGCTGCGTGCCGCATTCTGGTATTTGGTAGTGATGCCGTCAATTTGCTTCGTAAACTCGCGGCGTTCTTGAGCATCCTGTCTGGTGCGTCGACGTAGGGAACCACGTTCCGTTTGGATGAGTTTCAATCTCTTCGCAAAGCCAGATTTAGCGAGGTGTAGTTGTCTTGCAGTCTCCTGCCCCTTGGCATAAGTTGTTTGGAGAGCTTCCTTTAGAATTCCAACGTGACCGCGGACAGCTTGTACTTCGGTGACGAGCTCACTATTCTTTTGGCGCATGCCAGAGATGAAATGGTGTTTGGCTAGCTCTGCCCATTCAAGTGTACCCACTTTATCTGCCATCTCGTCATATTTGATCCTAGCCTCTTGAAGACAATGCTCGAGATAGCTCAGTTGATAGTGAAGGTCACCGTTCTCTTTGGTTAGATCGGTCCTTTCTTGATATACGTAGAGGAGGATCCGGTGTTGAAGTTTCGCTGTGGATTCGAGTGCGGCAACTTTAGCGAGGAGCGCGGCGTTTTCTTGCTGGAGAACATTTATGTCGGAGGACTCTGGGGCTAGGTCCTGAGATTTGACTGGTAAGGTAGACGTGACTAGTGTTGACCGGGTCATTTTGTGGCCCACTGGAGAATTCTCTGTTGCCTTTGGAGTGGTTGATCGCTCAATGTGAAGATCTCCCTTGGTTGAGCTCCGAATTCTTGGATATCCGACAGCACAGTCGGAGCCCCATGATCCACTCGAGTACTGGGAATTCATTTTGGATTTAGGAGCTTGTGAATCGTTGTTCGTGATTAAAGATTGCTTTTGTGTTTTGAAGAAGGGAAGACTGGATGAAGATCTTGATATTTGAAGAAGTAGTGAAGTGGCTGTGAAGCAGAGGTGTGTGCAGAAGGAAGGGGAGAAACTGGTCTCAGGGCACCACTGCCGTTGATATATACCTTCTGGCCAGTCCAAATTACAATCCTATAGTCTTGATGCTATTTTGTTGAGCCATGAATGAAGTTGCTAGCAGTGCTAGCTTACCTGTTGATGAAGCTTCTAGTGTTGATAGTCTCCCAAAACGTCACGAACTTCTGAGCTACAGAACGCGTACCAAGTGTTGCGAACCACTAGCAAAAAAACATGATAATAATTATGTACGTCTACGGAGAGCTCCTCAGTCTTTGCATGCAGTCTGAAATGCAATACTATGACGCAGTTACTGTGGATTCCTCTGTGACAGGGCGTTGCGTAAAGCCATTTCAGAACGTGGCGCAACAGAGGGACTCCGTTTTGCACAAGCAATTGTGTATGGAATCTCTCTACACAGCCTTTCTGTATGCGGCGGGTGGTCTAGAACTTTTACTCAAATTGTGCTGCTGGTGTTCAGGAGGAAGCCGCGACTTCGCCGCACTCCGCACTGCTTCATGTATGGAGATTGAAAGCGCTCAAAGCCTCAAGGAGCACTGCGCAACAGGCCGCAGGTTGATACCAAGATACTTGTGATTAGTACCCTTGCGTTTCTTATCCCGATGCTAAGAAAAGTCCCGGCCATTTGCTGATTTGGTGAAATCTTTGCGCTTTGAAGAGTACAAAAAAGTCAGGGTCAAGGGGGCCTGCCCTGTATGAGAGTTTCATTAAATCATCATGTTGTTCACGTACCCGGTTTAGTATTACCAGATCGATGCTACCTAAGAATTACACATAAGATGGAGTAGAGGTGTTTGTTATCAAGCTCTCTCAGTCTCCAGCGTCCATCGCCTAAGCTCCAGGGGCAAGTACGCTGAACGTTGGGGGTATCACTAAGATCGGCCATAGCAAACCTTCATCGCAAGGTTTGGCAGCACATAGCGGCATGATTTCACGGTCGGCTTACCCAAGGTATTTCGAGCAGCGTCATTGATTGCTTCAAGTCAAGATGCACCTTTACAAAACAACTTGACTTGCATTATTTGGCGCTACATACAAAAGTTTGCACCAATAAATGGCTAGGTCTGGCAAGCCCGAAATAAGCAGCCACCACCAGTAAATCAACAAGCTGCTTCAAACATAGGAAACAAGCGAAATGAAAATTCTTCAATAGCTTTCAAGTCCACAATCTGGTAAAGCTCTGAACCGGATCTTGAGTGAGCTGGCATTCTTCGGAGTTGCACTCCTCGAAAGCTCACCATTCCTCAGGCTGCCCCCCTGAAGAACGGTTCTTTGTGGCAAAATCGTGCCTAAAGTCAACACATCATGACTTGGTTGAATCTTTGCTGGTGTAAACGCTGGTGCTGGCGTCGTGTCCAAGGCGGAGAGCTGACTGGTGCAGCATTTCTCCGATGCCTTGCTCTCTGCGATCTTTCTCTTCATATCCTCCATCGTGGCTTTTCTGCGGTCGGCAATTTCCTTCTCTTCCTCGATCGTTGTCAACTTCCGCTGCAGATCTATATTCTGCTGCGTCAAAGCATCATTGTGATTTTGAAGAGCACTGCTTCGCGCCTCGGCTTCCTTCTTCTCACTTTCTGCGGTAGCGATCTCGCTTTCTAGCTCTGCCACCCGACTGACGGAAGCCTCCCACTGTGAATGTAGGTTTGAATGCTGGCACTGCTTGCTGGTTTGACTACGTGACATTTCGAGGTGGAATATTTCGTCCTGTTGCAACTCGACTTTCTGTTGTAAAGTCTGCACCGCTAGTTCACATGGACAATTGTTGTCGCTGCAAACCACCGGCTGCTGAGCTGCTTCCAATTCTCCACTTTTGTAAAGGTCGAAAAGTTGGTTCCTCGAAGGCATAGGAACTGTGGCTTGGGTCCCGATCTTGTGGCGGACCGCAATATGTTTACGGGCTAGCATACCCACAACAAATGATGCGTTCGAAGGCGTGAAGTGGATTTGATCGTCTCGCCAGTACTGGTCAGCAGATTCATGATACTCTTGTGTCTGGAATCGGCTAATGCCCCCAAGGATTCTGGGTTGACAGGGTGTAGTATATCCATTGGTGGAGTGAGTCTTAAGCTCGTCTGTATCCGCAGATCGTTTAAAGATATTCAAGGTATTGCTTCTCTTACTTCTAGAACTGTCTGCTGAAAGACGGTCTTGTTGTCTGGCACCAGGGTTTTGCAAAAGTCCAGGCATGGCTGAACGAGGGCTCGGAGCCTTGCTGAAGAAGCCGTTTTCGTAGGTCGCTGCACTTGTTCGACATTCGATGTGGGAAGGCGCTTGGCCGGCAACAATGGTGGATGCCCCGTATGGTGTGGGAGGTTTAAAGTGGAAGGCGGCCGCCGTTGCACGGAGAGCACTTCGAGATGAAATGGTTGCCGGGGTCTTTTTGGTAGGGACGGCCATGGCTGTACTCTCCATGTCGTTGACTGAGTGTTGTTTGGGAAGGAATTTTGTGGATGTATGTGTTTGATAATGGTGACCGTTTGAAAGGATGAGGATATATGACTTGAGTGAAGAGTTGTCTCGGAGGAGGCATGTTTCTCAGAGCACAAGGATTCCTTAAGTATACATTTCACATGATTCAGCTCATATACCAATACGCTATACATATTGAACTGTGCTGTCTTGCCAAATGGACTGCCGTAGCGATTCTATGAATCGCTTCAAATTTCAATAGCTTGACCTCCTAGACAAGCGACCCAAAGTTTGAAAATACTGTACTCGCTTAAATTGGCTGATGTATGTCCGACTTCTCATCATGAAACGCCTCTCCCCGTCAAACGTCATGATCAGAATAAGCTTCTTTAGCCTCATTGAATTGGGCCGCGATGGCTAAAGCTTAGCTCTCCCTATTCTGGGGCTTGTAGAACGCGCAGAAGCCCATCGAACAATTTTTGGCTTCAACCAAGCTAGCGCCCCTGGTTTTTTGGGTCTTTTCTTGTGATACACTTCTTAGCGGACAGATTAAGGGAATTATCATGATTTTTGTTGAATAAATTCAGATTACTAGAGATTCTCAGATGGCAGTCACAACCGGCGTAAAGTTACAATCAACGTTGGTGTTCCATAGAGAGCTCTCGCTTGATACAACCCTGTGCCCCGTTATCATTGCGATGAGTGAGTAATTGCGATTCATTGTTTATTTTGGAAAAGTCCCAATGAAGCCTCTGGAATAAGCTTTGAAGACTGTTCTCGCACGTCACCACAATTTTTAGATATATGTAGGACCTGAAAGAAAAGAATTTCTCGTTGCTCTGAGCTTCCCATCTCTTCTTTCTAGGAATCTAAGAGAGACTAAATTGCACTTCAAATCATCTTGATGTAGGATAGAGTATGCTTCAAGACGCCTGAGGAGAAAATGCGAGGGACCTGCAGTGCCCCCTCGCACTTGCCCTTGCCATTTCCATCAATCACAGGACCGTGCCCGTTCATAACAAGTCCAACACTTGTCTGACTTCAAGGAAGAACTTATGAAACCCACCATTCCACCAACTCATTCTTAATTTTAGACATTGCTATTCCGTGACCATCCACCATCCATCAATTTACTCTTGGACCAAAGAGCCTCCCGCAGAGACGCTCTGCAATTCAGAACCGTAAGCACCACGGGGGCCAGAATATCGAAGCTTGATCATCTGAGTAGGAGAATGAATGCGGGTGTTTTTGCTTCTAGAGGCTGATTCTTCGCACCAGTATCCTCCCTTCGAGTTTGCGAATTGCGCACCCCTCTCACAATTCTCGGTATCGACTACAATGTTGACCCCAATCGGTTTCCCAAGGGCATTCACCCAGCTTGTGCACACCATCGACTGTAAAATCCTCTTTCTGCTAGTAATCACCAGTTACTTAGCCATTACGATGACCGCAATCATCTACAAGAACGCTTGGGCAACAGACAACAGACTCGACACCCGCATGGGCATAAATCTACAATCGCTCGAGCAATCCGAACGCCTCTTAACTGAATTCATCGACCTCAACAGGAGCTATCAGAGACTCACGACCCAAAACTATGAAAAATACAGCGACCTAGCAAAATCATGCTCCGACCATGCTCTGAATAACGACAAATTGATTGAGAACTATGGGGAGATGGTAGCTACGTGCATGCAGCTTGCGGGAGCATACAGACGGATTTCAGAGAACAACGAGAAGATGCTGCAGGGTTATAAGCAACTTTACAAAGAGTACGGGTTCATGGCGATGAATTTGGGGTATGCTTTGGGAAGCCGTGCTGAATAGGCTGAGGGTTATTAATACCCTTCCACGGAGGTCAAGGTTGATCAGATGCCGATTGCTCTGAAATTAGGCTGGGATGGAGATTGCTACATTCGAGAGTCGTGCAGGAGATTCTGAGGTGGATTTGATACCTAGCGGAGCCTTCGATGTGCTCGAAAAGCGTTTGTTTATTAGCCTAGCAGTTGACGAAATGACGAATCCAAGATATCCGCCGCACTAATTGATTTCTAGCTGGAACAGGTCCAATACCCCAGTCATACTTCAAACGGGTCATTGAGGTTTAAATATTTAATATTGATTCGAGTGATCTTACTGAAGCAACACGATCAATTCATGTCCCCTTTGCAGCTTCGCTTACATGTGTTGACAGACCCACAATTTTAGCAGGTTTAATCCTGGGTAAATCCAGATGCCTTACTTCATTAAATATACGCAGTAATTACAAGCATACAGTAATACAAGTTCTGGATCAATGCGGGCACTGACCTACCAAATCTTCCTCTACTTTCACTCTCAATGACTCCTCCAAATTCAATCTCAAGTCAGCCTCACATATTTCACGCTGGCAAATTCTTGACGTCAAGTGAGGCTTTGTAGAGGCAGGACGGACGAGTAGCCCTCTTGTGGGAAATAATTTCATTGCACACTCATGACAACACCTAGAAACATCTCAACATCCATTGCACCCTCCCTATCTTTCCATTCCATGACCCATCTTTACGTATGATATCTAAACTCAGGGTTTCTATACCCCAACGCAATCTTCTCCTGCTCATTAAGCCCAGCAATCCTGTGATCCCTCTCACCCCGTTCTCTCTTCCCATTCTCCCACTTATTGTAAGCGATACCGATACAGGCCAGAGAACAAGCAACGACCTGAGCACCGATATTAATATAATGACCGCGATGGAAGTTCGGCTTGTCCTTCTCAAGGTACGTCCACGTTGCGATGATGGCGCCTGCGCTGCCGAGTGCAACGATGAAGCCACCGCTTACGGCGCGGACGGATGACCCGGCGGCGTTGTTGAGGCCCCATGCTAGGAAGGCTGGGCCTTGTGGGAAGGCGCCTGCTGATGCGAAGAACCTGGTACTGTTAGGCAATGTAGGATATTGAAAGGGAGAGGCCTTACACAGCGAGGTATTTAAGCGAATTGGACTCGACAGTCACCAACATGGTGTATCCTATAATAGAGAGTATCGTTCCACCAACGATGAATATCCCTCGTCGCTTATACACGTCGCTCATTCGGGCAATGAAGATGGCGTACAAACAAGCAACGCAGTATGGTGGGACACTGTAGAATTGCGTCTTGAGAGCAGTCCAGCCAAGGTTGACAAGGATAGTCGGCAAGAAGAGCGAGAACGATTGCACGGAGACATTGATGCTGAAGAATCCCAACGCGCAGATGAGATTGTTGATGTTGAAAATAGCTCGCTTAACATGGTGTTGCGTTGTCGGCTCATTTGCTGATTCCTTATGCTCTCTGTTGATGCGCTCGAGCGCGATGTAGCGATCCCGAGGGGTGAGGAACTTGCACTTGTCTGGAGTAGAAGGGAGAATGATCATGCCGATGCCCGAGAAGATGAGGGTGAATAGTCCTTCGAAGAAGAAAATGTTGCGCCAGTCGTGGATCTTGCGGCCTTCGACTCCCCAGGAGGGAATAGGGGACAGTCCTGCTGCTAGAAGACCTCCGAAGGCTCCGGCCAGCGAAGCACCGGTAATGTAGATTCCCATACGGAAGAGGAGTTCGTTGCGTTTGTAGAAGCAGGAGAGGTAGTAAGCACTGCTGTAGATTAGCAAACCGTACACCAGACATGTGCGACTTGAGGGACTTGCATTCCAGGCATCATACCACCCTCCGCAAGCCCGAGGAAGAAACGGCAAGCGTATAGCCCTTTGAAGTTGTCGATGAAGGCTGTGCACATGGATATAAGACCGAAGGCAATGACTAGAGCAGGCAGGTAATACCTTCCGCAATTAGCTTGTAGATTGACTGTTGACGGGCTGTCAACTTACCGTCCTCCAATCTTCTTCAACAGAATATTTGATGGAATCTCAACCACGATATATGAGAAGTAGAATATCGTAAGAGCCCAATTGAACCGGTAGTTGCCGATCAGATCTAGATCCTTACCCATTCCTTGAATTCGAGCATTTCTGTACCCCAAATGAGACGTAGTCCAAACTTTGTCTCGCAACGCAACTCACCCAACATTTGCTCTAAGTAATTCGTATTAGCATTTGGCCTAGACCACGAGGTGTTGTACGTTTACCTGTCGATGAAGCACAAAAGATAGAGGCAGAAGACGGTTGGCACGATTCTCCAATCCATTCGCTGTCTAATCCGCTTCTCGTCTGCCTCATCCCACTCAATACCGGTCAGGTTTTCCTCGCTCGAAGATACCTTCTCGCTCATCTTCATAGCAGGTGCTGCTTCCTTGTCGATCGCCTGCATTGTGGAAAATTGTTTCAAAAAATGAGAAATCTGCTTAGAAGCTGTACAGAATTCTCCTTAATTGTCCGAACTTATCCGCATGCGTTGAGACAGCAGAGAAATAAGACTCAGAGAGCAAACATAAGGAAACCTAAATGATATATGCCGAAACTTCATCCACATAGCCAAGACCATTGATAGTTTCCTCGTGCATTCGGCCTGTAGAACGGCAGTCCTGATCGTCTCTCATAGGACGACGAGCTGGAAAGTATGCGTACGGGTAATATGATCGTCCACTTAGACTGTTTCCATGGGCGAGGGGTGCATCTCCAGCCTTGGCTTGCGGGGAGGCAACTCTTGTTAACTGTCAAGCGGGGGTGGGTTTTCTTGAATTGCTGCAATGTGGGGCCTTGGACCATGTGGGTGATTTTATCCAACATTTGAAAGATCTCTCGTGGACAGGAGAAGAGCAATAACATTATTTGAAAGCAGAATAATAACATGAAAGGACGGTACGGCGAGGAAGGATGCAACATTTTCATGTATTTCCCCATAATCCGGTAAGATTAGGCTATTCCGCCCTGCCACCTGAAAACCTCCTATTCGTTCCACTCAGGCGGATGTAAGCATAGAATCATACTGTACCACACTGTCGGAATATAACCAGAGTAGTTAGTGTGGTAAGTGTGTAGATCAGACATCTTTCCTATTGGGTTCTCCGTAAGCCTCGAAATTGGGGGTTTTCGAGGCTTGCTGATGGACATGAACAGAAAGACTATCGAGTCGAGGCTAGAAAAGGGTAGTAAAAGCTCACACAGATGTCTTGCCACACCTGAGTCAGGACGTCGGGACTTACTTCTCAGGACGACTCGGACGAGTACGATGACACTTTATGGCGCTATGTCCTATGTCTCAGGGGAAAGCTCTCCAGCATTGCCCAGATGACTGCTGGGCGATGAACTCATGGCAAACGCTGTCGGCACTTGAAGCAGCTGAGAGATTCAGGTAGCAAGGTAGAATTTAAGCCACAAGATCAGCTCCCAAGGTGAAACCAGTAACAAGTTTCGTAACCTGCTCAGCCAGCATCGGATTCGCCGCCGTATTCAATGGACAACACAACTTCAAGCGGTTTTAACCTCGAGGAAAGCCTCATGGTTCTGGCCAGGCTGAGCCACCTGTGGCTGAGTACCGGTGTGGCGAGAGATTCTGACACGTGATGTAGTCTAACACGTGACATAAAGCTGTGAACACCTACCTTAAGGTAAGGAATTGAAATTTGGCGGAGAGGGCGACAGTGGATCAAGCAAGATGCAGCCCACGACTCGCTCAGGGCGCAGCCAGGGCCAGGAGTCATCAAAGAAATGTAAATCGAGGCTCAGCATCACATGCTCGTCGTAACTAGTAAGTACCTAGGTACCTTACCTTACCTTACCTCCGTACCTTCCATGTAGGTTGTCTGGTCTTGTACTCGTAACGGCAGATACTGTACAGTACACTCGCGGAGGTGGACAAACGAGGCAGGAGGACGGTCGATGAACTCTTGGGATTTGGAAAATTCCCATCGGCCAAGACTCCGAAGATGTCAGCGGCGCTAAATCTCTCAAGCGAGGGCCCTAGCGGATCCCCCACCAATGCTCACCTCACTCAGCGCCTCTCACTCGCCTGTTGTTGTTTTTGTTCGTTCTCCTTTGCGCAACGTCGAGACGACGACCTGTTGCCCTCTCCTTTGGCGCTTGGCGCGGTCTTGGTGCGTGTCATCACGCGCGATGATCGCAGACCTCACCGGCAAGATCTCGTAGGTTCGAGGTTCGTTGAGAGGAAAACAGGCCTCTGCAAAACCTTATCACCGTCCTGGCGCTCGTCAAGGGTGGCTTATGGCCCCAAGCTCGACTCGAGCTTGCACTGCCCCCCCTTGGCAGCTCGCTTAGCCCAACCAGCCTGTAACATCTCGAGAATATCCAGATTCTAGACACCGCCGAGGCTGTCAACCTCGTTCTTATTCATTGCAATTTTCAAATGGTCTGCTTGGCCTCCCCATTCTTTCTCCCTCCGTTGTTGGACAAGAGTCTCAGCGTGGTCTGGAGATACCCCGTAGAGCCCGTCCCGTGTTGCAGGTTTGGTTGCCCACTGCGTGTTTGCCCCTCTTCCTACTTTTCCTCTCTCTGGGCACAGTGTGACGGAGCGGAGGCGCTCCGCGAGTACAGTGAGGAATCTACCCTCTCGCTTTCGTAAGATACTCATGAGGCATTTTGCACCTTGGCCAATGGTGTGCTTTAGCTGGTAGGCTGTGCTCTCCCTTTGCCCATATACGTGTGAGACCGCCACGCAGGTCATCTTTCTCTTTCCCCATCATAACAGTCTTCACCGATATATACCGAGACGGGATTTCTCCAGTTGAGAACCCCCCAATCTCTCTTCATCTTTGTTGACAACATCTCAAAAGACAAACATGTCTTTAGGAGTTCCTAAAATACAGACGGGCGGCCTGACCGTAAGTACTTCGAGCCAAGGCTGTGAGACAAGGCTGACCAAACAGGTCCGCGATGATGAGGACGACATATCCGGAGGGCGTCCACGAGCAACTTCAGATACATCATTTCTGAGTGCGCAAAGCGCTCAAACATTATTACCTCCCAGTACACCTGGAGGAGCTAGCATGACATCTAGCATAACATTTCGAGATGTTGACAACGCGCTACATCCCGACCCTGGAACCGAAGCAGATTTCGAGGTGGAAAACAACAAATTTGCCTTCAGCCCTGGACAGATGAACAAGCTGCTGAATCCGAAATCTTTGGCTGCATTTACAGCTTTGGGTGGCTTACCTGGAATCGAGCGTGGTTTAAGGACCGACATCAATGCCGGTTTAAGTATAGACGAAGGGGATCTCGAGGGTTCGATATCGTTTCAAGAAGCCACAAAATTACAATACAACAAGGGCGATAGCTCTCCAACAATACCAACATCGACAGGAGGACAGCCAGGTTCATTTTCCGATCGAATCCGAGTTTTCAAGGCGAACGTTATTCCAACAAAAAAGGCAACACCATTATGGAAGCTCATGTGGAGAGCGTACAACGACAAGGTTCTGCTGTTGTTGACGGGTGCCGCAATTATAAGTTTGGCGCTGGGTGTAAGTAAACTTTTCATGTCCAGATCGTTCAAGTATTAATATCTTTGCAGCTCTACGAAACCTTCCGCGACCATCCTGTACCTTCAGACCCTGTAGAAGCAGCCAAACAAAAAGAAGAGTCAACCACAAAAGTAGATTGGGTTGAAGGCGTGGCCATTGTCGTTGCGATTGTTATTGTTGTTATCGTTGGAAGTTTGAATGACTGGCAAAAGGAGAGAGCTTTCGTCAAGTTGAATGCGAAGGTTTGTAACCCCCTTTCCGTAATGCTATTGGATGGTTCACTGATAAACTCTGCAGAAAGATGATCGTGAGGTCAATGTTGTTCGCTCTGGAAAATCTTTTGTCATTAATGTCCACGACATCTTGGTTGGAGATGTACTCCACCTCGAGCCCGGAGACATGATTCCCGCAGACGGTATTTTCATCGGTGGCCACAATGTCAAGTGCGACGAGTCATCAGCAACAGGCGAATCCGACTCTCTCAAGAAAACGGGTGGCGCACAAGTATCACGACTCTTGGAAGAAGGACACACCAACCAAAAGGACCTTGACCCATTTATCATCTCCGGCGCAAAGGTATTAGAAGGTGTTGGTACCTACGTTGTTACATCAGTCGGTGTAAACTCCAGCTTCGGCAAGATTATGATGTCAATGCGAACTGAACCCGAGGAGACACCTCTCCAGGTTAAGCTCGGTAAGATGGCTGGTGCCATCGCCAAACTTGGATCAGCGTAAGTTATCACGGTCTCATATGTAGGAAAATAGCTGACAGATCCAGTGCCGCTGGTTTACTCTTCTTCGTTCTCTTGTTCCGATTTTGCGCCAATCTTCCAGGTGACAAACGTACTGGAGCCGAGAAGGCATCGTCTTTCACTGATATCCTGATCGTCGCTATCACTGTTATTGTCGTCGCTGTTCCAGAAGGTCTACCTCTCGCAGTCACGCTTGCACTCGCTTTCGCCACAACTCGCCTGCTTAAGGAGAACAATCTTGTTCGTATCCTCAAGGCTTGTGAGGTCATGGGAAATGCCACAACAGTATGCTCGGATAAGACCGGTACCCTGACCACGAACAAGATGTCAGTTGTTGCAGGAACTTTCGGACCAGAGCGATTTGAGGCTGGTGATGTCGCTGCTTTCGCCCAGAAGGTACCCAAGGAAGTGAGAGAGCTCATTGTCAAGTCTATTGCTATCAACTCGACTGCATTCGAGGGTGTCGAGGACGGAGTCCCAACCTTCATCGGATCAAAGACCGAAATGGCACTTTTGAACTTCGCTAAGGACCACTTCGCCATGGACACTCTTACCAACGAGCGAGCCAATGCTGAGATTGTTCAACTCTTTCCATTCGACTCCAACAAGAAGAGCATGGGTGCGGTGATCAGACACGGCAAGGAATACCGTCTCTTCGTTAAGGGTGCTTCTGAGATCGTCTTGGATGCATGCTCTTCAGTTGCGGATGTTACCACTGGCGAAATCTCCGACATCACTGGAGCGCCAAAGCAGCGCCTTACCGATACCATCCAGACCTACGCACAGAAGTCTCTTCGCACGATCGGCCTTACCTACCGTGATTTCCCATCTTGGCCCCCAGCTGGAACGCAAACATCTGCCGATCCATCTGCAGCTGAGTTCGACCAGGTCTTCACCAACATGGTATTCAGCGGTGTCGTCGGTATTCAGGATCCAGTTCGACCAGGTGTTCCCGAAGCCGTGGCTAAGTGTCAATTCGCTGGTGTCAAGGTTCGCATGGTCACTGGTGACAACATTATCACTGCCCGTGCCATTGCCAGGGAATGCGGTATCGTTAGCGCTACCGATGAGGCCAACGACATTGTCATGGAAGGCCCTGAGTTCCGCAAGCTCTCCGACGAAGCCATGACCGAGATCCTTCCTCGGCTCGCAGTTCTCGCTCGCTCTTCTCCACAGGACAAGCAAACATTGGTACAGAAGCTTCGATCTTTGGACGAGACTGTCGCTGTGACGGGAGATGGTACCAACGATGGACCAGCTCTCAAAGCCGCAGACGTCGGTTTCTCCATGGGTATTGCCGGTACCGAGGTTGCTAAGGAAGCCTCAGCAATTATCCTCATGGACGACAACTTCGCCTCAATTGTCAAGGCACTCATGTGGGGACGCGCAGTCAACGACGCTGTGGCGAAGTTCTTGCAATTCCAGCTTACTGTCAACATCACCGCTGTTCTCCTGACCTTCGTGTCCGCAGTCTCCAACTCCGACATGAAGCCCGTGCTTACAGCCGTGCAACTCCTCTGGGTCAACCTCATCATGGACACCTTCGCGGCCCTCGCTCTCGCCACCGACCCTCCCACCCCTGCGATTCTGAACCGTAAGCCAGCTGGCAAGAGAGCCCCACTCATCACCATGAACATGTGGAAGATGATTATCGGTCAAGCTATCTTCCAGCTGACAGTCACCTTTATCCTCTACTTCGCCGGCATGAAGATCCTCCGCTACAACCCTCATGACGAAAAGAAGCAGCTCGAGCTCGCCACCATGGTCTTCAACACCTTCGTCTGGATGCAGATCTTCAACGAGTTCAACAACCGTCGCCTGGACAACAAATTCAACATCTTCACCGGTATCCACCGCAACTACTTCTTCATCTGCATCAACTGCGTCATGGTCGGTGCTCAGGTCGCCATCGTCTACGTCGGTGGCAAGGCTTTCTCCATTACCAGGATCGATGGTAAGCAGTGGGGTATCTGCGTGGTCCTCGCTTCGCTGTCTCTACCTATGGGTGTTCTCGTCAGGTGCTTCCCGGATGCGTGGTTCGCCAAGATCGCACACCATGTTGGAGGACCATTCCGCACTCTCTACCGCGCCGTCAAGCGATTCTTCTCTCGTGTCTGGGCTAAGACCCCTAGCATCAGGAAGAACAAGAAGACTGCGGTTGAGGACGAACAGACCCAGGAGACTAAGCAAGTTTCCGCCGCTCCCCCAGTCATTGTCACTGAGGATGTGCCTGAGATCCTTGTTGATGGCGAGTCGAGAGATGTGGAGAAGGGAGAGATCAGATAAGAATCTGTAGAGTTGTGGTTCTTTTAATTTCCTTTTGTCTGTTATGTTTTTGGTCACTCACTGATGGGTTATGAAAATGGACAATCTGGAAGATATGGATGGATTGGCGTTGGAGGTGATTTCATAACGAAATGCATAGCAGTACAGCACACATGACAGCGACGAGCCTGTAACAATAGATACCTATAGACATAAATCTTTGAATGTTAATTTAGCGATCATCAATCGTATCTGTGTTTACCTGAATGTGCAAAGTCCTCAACTTCACGATTGTGAGAGGGCGAGGTGACTGGGGCTGAAGGGCAACGTCAACCGAGGCTTGGCGCCGCCTGATCAACGATGTGCTGCATCCCGCCCCCGTCCCGTCGCGGAGAGGGCCGCCACCCCCACTTGGCGTCAACCTTGATCGATCATAGGCCCCCCCTCGATGCGCCTTGCCGTGCGCCTCGAGTCTCACTTTTCAGCTCCGCCAACCTCGAGGCTCTGTCCAGCCTGACGTCGGGACATCAAGATGTTCATATTCTTCGAGCTGAGAGGACCGTCCGAGGCTCTGAACCCAACCCAGGAAGCTTCTTACCTTCCTTTGACGCTTCTTGATATTCTCGCTCTTCGAATTTGATTGATGCTTAGGCTGGTGGCTGATAGCCGCTGTACGACATGGCTGAGCCTCTTGCTGTCGCCACCTCTGTCGCCGGAGTTGTTGGAAAAGCTGATCAGGTGCTAAAGGCAGTGAGAGAGGGACGACAAGCCGAAACCCCTGAGGTCATTGAGGAGTTTCGAGATTGGGCTCGACACAATGCTGTGTACGAATGGCGAGCCCCGGATGAAGAGCAGCATCGCGACTTCGTCCCCGCCCCTCTAGTCCGCCAATAATTCAGGGAGAATGACTTTGACAGGTTACAGCGGGTCTTGAGAGCCCTCGGTGACGATGTTGCCAGGCATAGCGCAAGTATCTATGCGGACTCTTTCCGAGTGCTATGTATCTTGTTGGAGATAGGAGAAATCGGTCAGATGAAAACGTTTATTGCTTCCAGGATCAAAGACTGTAATCTCCCCATTGGTCTAAATCGAACTCCTTTCCCATCAGAGAATAAATCAGACTTCTGGAGTATTTTTTATGAACGTCAGTGGCGATATTGTGTTCCAGTATTCGATGGACGGTTGGTGGATAAGCATTTTCATCACAGCCGTGTACTCCCTGTCGTGAGTAAGGAACAAATTGCGCAAGGTGCGACTGCGACGACATTCAAGATTCAAATCCATCACATGTACGATAGATTTGAGAAGATCTCATGGGTAAGCGGGTACTTTGACATCTGCACAGTGTCCTTTACTATCACTTCTGACGTTCACCGTAGTCCCAGAACGCGAACATCGCAAGTACATATGCCCTCAAGAGTTTTGTCGGGCGAGACTCGCAGTACTACTTTAGCGAGCTTGAAACCTATCAAATCCTACCTCAATCTGGCGACCCCAGCTTGATTCACTATTATGGTAGCTACAGGCAGGACGATACATACAACATCGTTCTTGAACTGGCGGATAGAGGCTCATTGGAGCAGTACTTGTCCTACTGTCAACCTCCTGCTAGTGGCGCAGACATTCTCCAATTTTGGGGAGGCCTGTTCAAAATCGTACATGGATTGGTTTGCATACACAACGTTGGACACCATTCACTTCGTCATGGGTAAGTACCAAATCTCTACTCCAATGTTATCCGACAAGAATTAACGCCTCAGTGTCCATCAAAACATCAAACCTGCAACCATTCTAGTTAAAGACAATGGTTTGGGCTCACAGTACGGTTGGGAATTTAAACTCGAAGGTCTTGGATTTTGCCAATTTAGCTATGATGGCAATTTCCCGATCCATACCAAATTTGGAACTCGTACCTATGGTATGTCCACCTTCTTACTATTCTCATTAGCAGTTATAGTGAAGGTGCTAAAACATTATGACAGGTAGCCCAGAATGCTATCTAAAGAGGCCAGGGTCAAGTGTCAGCTTCAACCAGAACATTGACATCTGGTCGCTTGGCTGCGTATTCAGTGAAGTAGCTGTGTGGATTGCAAGCGGATACCATGGAGTGCAAAATTACCGAAATCTTCGAACGACAGAAGCGGCTCACCAACTCAGCGACTCCTTCCATAATGGCAAATCGGCTCTCGGAGCTGTTAGGACAACCCACCTTCGCCTAACTTCAGGCTTACTTGGATCGGATACGGTTACGGCTGCGGTTATATGTCTCGTGGAGGGCCACATGATGGTTCCTTCAGATCGTCGTATGACCGCATATCAAGTCTGGGAAGAATGTCAGGGGATACTTTCGCAGGCTGAAGCAGTCCTAGAGCGCAGGAAAGACAAGGCACCCCAAGCGAAACCACTATTAAATCTTGATCGAGAACGCGATTTCGACCGAACTAAACAGAAGTCCGGTATTGATATTTCTCCAGATACGCTTCCAAATAAGCAAGATCAAAGGAGTACCCATGATGTCCAAGCTTCCTCGAGAATACATCAACCAAACAAAGATGGGGGCAAGTTTTCTTCGCCTCTCCAGCAGTCTTTGCAATCATCACATCACTTCCATCGTGATGGACGGCCTGAAGATCTTGACGAAAAAGAAGACTTTCTAAGCAGGCGTCCCAAGAGGTATATGGGTGAAGCTCCGTATCTGTCCGTTCAGCAAGCCTCTGGGTGGAAAGATCAAGCCAAGTCCTTAGGTCGCAACAGCCTGGGTAGGAGGGTCAGGGCCGAGCCTCCTCCTGGATCAAGCCTTCAAGGACTTCCGCATGACTATCTCAGAAAAGAGCTACAAGAGAGAAAACACGTTCGTAGGGACTTTCTCTTTTGATACCAATACTGACTTGAGCGTTCAGGTTTTCTTGATCGACAATACTAAGACGATGAGACCCTACTGGCAAGAATTGACTACCCTAGTTGGATTGCTAGCATATATTTTGAAATCAGAAGACTATATCGAGATGTTCAACAACAGCATTCCCCCTCTAAAATCGCGGAAGTCAACCACACTGGTGGCGTCCCTTATGAACTGCGGTTTTACGCCAATTTCAAATATTGCTAATAGGCTGCGGAACATATTTGATGGATATGTAGCTGAGCTCCAGAGAAACCCGTCCGTCAAACCGATGAACTTGTATGTCTTGACTGATGGCATGTGGGGACCTGGATTCGATGTGACCGTACCGATACGTGAACTTAGACAGGAGTTGCGTAACCGTTCCTTGCCAGCTGATATAGTTGCAATACAATTTATTAAGTTCGGACACGCCGGTCCGCAGCTGAATGACATCAAGGATTGGGATACCATGTAAGTAATTTTCCACCTCGCCTTTGAACACCTCATTACGACAGTGAGCTAAATGGCAAATGTATGGTTTTAGAGACTCTGAGTTTGTTAAATTGGAGTACTCCAACGGAAACATATGGAAAATGCTACTGGGAGCCACTGATTTATTCTTTGACACATCCAAAATAGAAGAGACTATTCCCCTGAGACCTCTAATGCCTTTTGAGTTCCGGGAGCAGCTATTGGAAGAGCGCCTTAAGCTTGCACCCGTGCGTACACTGCCGCCATCTCCAGTTCCTGGTGTCGGTACAGACAATGTACAAAATATCCATGATCCACTGTCCTCGCATGGGACGGATAGCCCATCCACCGTTCTAGACCCGACCAATGAGCTGGTACCATTTTTCAGAAATTCCAATGTGGACTCGGGACCATTTCATGACTCTGGTTATGAAGGCTCTACCGAAAGACAACGATCCGTCATTGCAAGGTCACTACCCGAAAGTTCTTTCATAGGAGTGCTTTCTTCTCCTGGCACAGAGGGCGAAACAAAGAATGTTGGCTCTGTCAAGCCTAGTGAACAGGAAGTTACTTTGCCAGAGACGACTATGCTACGGGACCAAGAGTATGATATACGGTCCATCATTTCTGACGACATCGATATACAATCGAAAAGATCATCGAAAGCCACGTACCAGGAACGCATTGCAGAAGAGAATTTGGGGTATCTACTTGCCCGAAATCCACAACTCAGACCTTTGTCTGAAGAGGCTCTGCGCCGGGTTGGCAAGATTCGGTTTGTCGATAACCTTCGGCGACTGCTGAAACGATACTACATCGAGCTCCGCCCCATTGCAACGACGAAACTGGAGGTTGCGACAGTGAATTTACTGAGAAGCAGGTACAGCAGAGCGAGACTTTCACAACAAATGTCCGACATATTGGCTCCTGAACATGATGAGGCGGATGAGCAACAAGTTCAACAAGCCGCGATCACACGACAAGAGTTGGAGAATTGGATCGTTCGTAATCCAGAATTTGTCCCTCAAGAGGAACTCGACGACTTCGATCTGGACATTGACGAGTCAAGCTCTGACGACGAAGAACCTGTTCAAGTTGCAAAAATTCCGGTGGCCGAAGTGCACGCAGAAATTGAAGAACCGAATCTGCCGAATCTTACTCAAATGGAGAGCTTCCTCTTGACGTGCGGGGGTGGAAGTCCTTTTCAGACACTCTCCACGCATCTCCGGATTTTCCTCCTTCCACCAACACTTGGTCCACTAGTTCGAATCCTCATGTCTCTACCAGCGGAGCGTGTTTGGCTAGACGACCAGGACGATACATCGTTTTCGAACAAGTCAAAGGCTTTTATAGAGGATGTGACCGAAGAAAATTGGAACTGGTGGCCCCTTCGATCGCGAATGCGACCATTGGGCAAGGACCAGATGCGACTGAATTGGATATGTGTAAGTCTTAATAGTCCTCCGAGATATTCGTAAGCTGATGTTGCTATAGCACTGTAACACCCATCTTTGGACAGAGCTGCCTAAGCTCACCGCTGAAAAGCTGCAAGCACTGGTCCAGGGCAAGCCGCCGAACACGCAATCACTCCATCTGTGCGCCAAACGTTCACGATATTCAGTATCAATGTACGCAAAAATTATGCAAGCTGCTGGAGTTGCGCAAAGCTCTACTGGCACAAATTCGAATCATTCATCTTCAAACGCAGCGACTGCCACCACTGGTATACAGCTTAGCCAGTTGGGACCACCCGGACCAAGCAGGCCTGTTGCGTCCCCTCCAGCCGCAGGTCCTTCAGTCTCAGGCGGCCAAGGCGTTCAATTGAACATCAACACCGGCACTATAAGCGACTTGTTTGTCTTGTTCGGAATCAAAGGTAGTCGCCGTACTCTTGACCTGGCCCAGATCGATGTTTCAAAGAATAAAGAGGACCGTATTTTCTTCCAGGATCTCCGCCGTGAATATCGACAGCAAAGAGGATTCTGGAGATATTGGTTCTCTGTCTGGAAGCTCCGTCATTGCGACTTTGTCAAGGTAAGTTGCTGACTCTACTACATCAAAACGCTCATACCCTAATGTTGGCTGTCACAGTTTGAGAAAATTCGCGCCAATCGAATCATCTCTAATGAGAAACCTGACCTGCCAGTCAACCATCTCTATGTATACAAGCCCAAACCTCCGAACGCAGATATACCACCAATCGATCCCCACGAGTTCGAACTCAGCCTCTCGCCATGCAATTCGTTCTGCATGTTCAAGCCATTCCACGATTGCATCGAACCTCCTGACGGCGGCTTAGCACTTGAAAGGATTCCAAAACGGAAAGAGGCGCTCGAGCTGAAAGTTGGGACTCGAGAACAGGCATGGGGTCTACTAACGCAGTATTCGATCTCTGCTCTACTTTTGCTCGTCTATCTCATTATGTGCTTCACACCTTTCGTGGGATTCTGGGCTTGGTGGCAAGTCAGACATCCGGATGATCTGCAGAATGCGTCTACGCCTTTGATGGTTTTTGCTACTTTGCTTTGCGTGTGGTTTGCTTCGCTGGTATATTTAAAGGGCCAGTGATATGGGTTCCTGATTTTGACATTTGGAGTTCGGAAGTGGTGTCCGTCGCGGAAAATTTGGGTTCGAGTAATACCATATTGATTTTGGATATGAATTACCCAAGATATTCTTCAGTCTTCCTCAAACTATTTACTGTAACATCCATTTCTTGGCACTTGTTATCTGCTTTGATTACAATTTTCCAATCTCAAAAACCGTGAAAACAGATTATTCCACAAGATTTCCAAGACCTCTCTCTTTCTCCACCTCGCCTGTGCAAAACCAGTGCTGCAAGTCCATTCACATAACCACCTGAGCAAATCTCCTGCCCAGATATCCCATTCCACCCTCCAAATCTAAGCCTCCACTCTCACTCACCCCTTTCAACACCAAAACCTAACAATCCAACAAAGCCCCACACTGCGCACAATCTACATAAAATCGCTTCACGGTACATTGCTTAAAACTCCCCGTGCAAAAGGTCCTTTCGCTACGGCGTCGAGTGGAACACAAGTGGCCGCTGTGCATTATCACCTAGACTCTGGTTTCTTCGTCTGGTTGTGCCTCGCAGTTCCCATTTTACCTTTTCATTTTTGTTTTTGCTTTAGGGGGCCTTCTTTTGTTGATTGTTTAGTTCCCGTAAGCGAGGTGGTCAGAGTCTACCTACCTAGCTAGAGACGCGAATCCGGAGGCTCTGCGCAGAAAGTGTAGATAGCTGGAAAGGACACTTTGACTTCGAGATTGTGGATTTTGCTTTTCACTTACGGTACCTACTTTGAGCAGTAATGCAAGACTGAATACAGATTCTATGAACGCTGGACTTCTGGCCATTGTCCCAGCTTGACATCCACGATGCGCTCTGAGCCTGGGATGAGTTCTGTACCAAAGCTCTCTGACAGACTGATTAGAGAATCTTTTCTCTTTCATGTCGTTAAACAGTTTCCGACAATCAGCTCCTTCCAATTTCAGTTGCAATTTCGAATATTTGCTTCCTGACAGGCACAGACATGCAATATCAGTCACCTACTACAACCAATGATCGAATGGGTGGTTAAATGATGAAATTCATGATTCGTGCACCGGTACTATGCGCACCATTCCTCTGTATACAGTTAATTAGTTGCCTCGTGTCACAGTGGCGTTTGTTTACTTACAAGCCCCTTTCCTCTCGCTTAGATCCCAGCCTCGGCCTTCCTTATCTCAGGTTCGAGGATACAGCAGGAAAATTGTGCGGTTTGTCTGGATGTGTGGATGTGTGGATGTCACTATGTAACCAAGGATTTGCGATATTCGCAGATTATGTCCAAGGCAATTGTATCGAATCGACGAAATAAGTGAATATTCTTATCGTCGTTAACCCCCAAAAAGCTTTCAATCTATTGATAGTGTATGCGACGGGAATAAGCCGCCCTCTAGAAGCTCTTAGCTGAGCCTCTTCCTTATATACTACTAATCTTCAAATATATTCAGTTGACCCGGATATAAAGCTGCACATCTTAACTCGTCTCCTGCCCACCCTCACCAAATCCACTCCCGGCATTCGCACCGCTACCCTCCTCCACATGCTCATGGCCGTGTCCATGCCCATGTCCATGACCATGCAAATGCGTATGCGTATGAAAATGCAGCGTATTCCCATGCCCATGCCCATGATTAAGCGGCAACCCAATACTCTGCGCCAGCTGCCCAATGAAAGCCTGCACCTCCTCCTCATCATCATCCTCCAACTCCTGCTCTAGCTCTACCTCCCAGTAATTCGACTCTATATCCTCCTCGGAAGCCGGACCGCGCTTCTTGATCTGGTCGCTGACTTTGTAGAAGGCTGTTGGGCCGGCGGGGCCGTGCACGTCGTGGTCTTTGTCGAACCAGTGGCCGAGGACGCCGCGGGCGGATTGGATACCGCCGATTTGGATGCCTTCGCTGCGCCAGCGTTCTTCGCTATCTGGGGCATCAGTATTTGCTCTGTTCATCGTAGGAGAGATGGAGAAAGATGAACGAGTACAAAGGGAGGACTTCGGTACTTACCCATTATACACACTAATACTCTGCCACCTCACCTCACCCTCCTTCGTCATTCTCACATTCCCCCGGATGTTCGAATTGGCATTAACATCCCACGCTGAATGTAGACTGCGGCTCACACCCTCGAAATACACAACAGGATGTTCTTGGCCATCTTCTGGTCCGGGTGGCTCGCTGTGAGTTACCCTTAATTCCATGGTAATGAGACGGATGGCCTCGGTTGTTTGGAGAGCTGGACGCGGTGTACCGGCCGGCATGGTCGGGGATGTGAAGTTGTATGCGAAAAGGTCGTGGAAATCTAGGAAACAAACGACCTGTTGCCGAATGTTAGTATTTTTGTGCTTGATATGCTTGATGATTTCCAGAGATGGGTTTGTATGAGGATGACAAGCACTCACCCTCATCCACGTTCCCGTGATATTATACGGATCCTCCACAACCTCACTCCCCTCCCCTTCCTCACCGTCACCATCGCCATCCTCAACCTCCTCCACAACCTCCTCCTCATCACTATCCTCCCCCGCAATATCCACACTCCTATAACTATACGGCTGGGCCCCCTTCCACCCTTCCTTCCACACCAACCCCCTCGGCAACATCTGCTCCCCAATACTCGCCCTAAAACTCTCCACATTATGCCCCAGCACCAGCATCACCGCCTCCAGCTTCTCCCAGTCTACGCTCGCCTGCCCGTCGCCCATATACGGACCCCACATCGTCGCTTCCGTGTAGTTCCGCAGATCGTACACCATCGATACGGCGTAGGGATAGGGAGTGTTGAAGTGTGTGCGTCGGGGGAGCAGGATAGGTTTGCCGTAGAGGACGTGTAGTTTCGCGGAGGCTTGACGGTGGGGGAGAGATGGGAGAGGTGGGTGCGAGTGTGTTGCTGCGTGGGGGGAGAGGGAGGCGCGGTTGAAGGTTACGGATTGGGAGAGGAATGCTTCGAGGTTGGTGGTTGAGGGGCGGGAGGAGCTGATGTGGGATTTGAGGAGGGTGATGTTAGAGGAGGTCGGGCCGCCGCTGGCGGTGCGGAGGAGGGTCGTGGTGAAGTCTGCTATGAAGGGGAGGTGAATTGCCTGAGGGTTGGTGTGGTGTTAGTCTTGACGCAATTATGACGTTGATGCATGATGATGAACTGAAGACGTACTTTCTCTGATGCGGACGCAGAATTGTTGAGGATATATCTAAATCTCACTAAATCTTTCAAATTCTTTTCGTAATCAATTTCCCCAACCTTCTCTTGGGTCGGTTTATCCTATTGAGGTCAACATCAACGCACCGAATTCCAACTCGCCAGCAGGACACTTACGAGTATCTGGCAGTACACCGCTCTGTACAATTGCCCATCGCTTGCGATATTGGAGTTTAGAGATTTGCAGCTGCGTGAGAGATGTGCGAGGTCGATTGGATCGACATGTTTGAAAACATGATGGAGGATCTCATTCGGGAGCGCAATCAAGTTCGTCATTTTGCGAGGAGCATCGAATTGTCAACACACGAGCGAGATACCCATGCAGATAAGGATAAAATTATTAATTATTTGCAAGGCACAAACAATATGTAGATAGATAGTAAATGGAAGGACAGAGCTGTGAGAGTCAGATTTCGTGGAGCTATGGAGGAGAGAGACGTGAGGATCCGAAGGTTGGTTGAATGTCGTCGTTGATGACCGAGCAAGCGTCAAATATCACATCACATCACTTCAGGGCATATCTTATGTCCGGGCAGGGATGATGTCGAGTGGGGGGACCAGTGACCACCGGCCTTCGGAGCGGGGTAATTCATTCGAGTTGGACTGTCTTGGCATTGGCATTGGCACTGGAGACCATTGAGGCTTAGGTATCTTCAATATCTGGTCGCTGGAACAAAAAAGAGTATCGTGATGATAGCATGGAATTTAGAGACGGAATATACCTACCTAGGTGGACATACTTGAACGGCATCGTCCGAGGGCTAAACATTTGGAGAAAATGCTGTAGCCTCGGTTGACCAGTTCAACGCAAAGGGTAAGCTGTCTGACTATCTCGTGTTGGGCATTCCAAATAGTTACAAAGTCATCTCAAGCAATAAATAGGGACGGGCCGTAGAAACCGCAAGGGATTGTGAACCCTGTTTGCCGTGCTCCTGTTTTCAATATGAGGCAACTGATCCTTCTCTGGGGTACAAAACGTGGTGCAGGGTTCGATCAGCCAATAGAGGGCATTCGTGAATCTGATGGGTTCGGTTGAGCCCCTTTTTGATGCGAGGCGAGACTGCGGTTAATTCTTTTGTTTGTTTGTGTTTATGTCTGTGTCCGCAGGTTTGAAAATGTCTTAAATTATTAGCAATCCATGGGGGCACGAGTGGCTGAGATGGGATTTGAATCATTCGGGATTGGGATCAAGAACAATTGGTCTTAGGCACGTTCGATGCGGGAGTACGGATCCTGCCCGAGACAGTCTTCTCTTGTTTGTTGAGTCTAAGGCGATGTGAAGATGTCTCACATCTCGAGTCCAGCATGTCTCGGGACTTGCAACTTCAAGCCCGTTTCTAGTTATCGATGCCGCTATTGTTGCCTGAATCACGGGTCAAACCTTCAGAGAATACGACATATGAGACTTTTCTGTTAAATCCTTGCTCTGAATTAAATACTTTGTCTTTCTGATGCACCTATCCCCCTAATGTGCCAGGCTAATCTTACAGGAGCCTCCCTCTCTGCACACAGCTAACACGTAGTAGATATTAACTCCTGTATGCAAATTCGCCCAGCCACCAGCATGTTCCGCCGGGGCAAATTCGCCCAGCAACATGACCACCTAGCAAGCAGCGCTGCCTCCCTTAAGTAAACCAACGCATACGGGTAAAACAATAAAGGGAAAAAAAAGGCGATTGCGAAGCGAAGAGAACAATAAAGCAAAAAAACTCCACCAAACACCAATGTTCTGCCGTGAGGCGTGTCCTATCTAGTTCTTTTACTCCTTGCTGTCCATGTTTCCTTCCAGAGCCAGTGCCGTGCGCTTCCCGTAGAAAATAAAATCACAAACGAGAAGGAAATAAGAGTACAGGCCAGCCCGCCTCCAATGCAATGTCCCTGGCTTATCGAGCACCTCGAAATGCGATTTGACCATATTCCACAATGGCTCCCTTGGAAGTCGAAAGTGTCCTAGTGATCAGGAGAGACTAGGATATCGACAAAGTCTCCCCGGCGCTGCTTGTTTCCAAGAACGTACCGGGCATTCATTTCCAAGGTTGATTTCGCAAGACTGCCAGAGAACATATTCCCCACGTTTTAATTATTTCGCCTTCCGATCCAGTCGGCCCAGCATTCCCCTATCGATTTCTGTATCCGGTCGTCGCTCCATGATATTGCCTAAGCTCATAGGATCGCTTCTCGACCCTTCGCCGGGGCTTGAACGTGGCGGAGGTGTTCGTGACATTGACGGAAGGCCGGATTGTTGCGGGGGTTGGAGACCTGATTGCGAGGAGGTGGAAGATCCAGGAGAGTAATTTGCTGCCGTTGTGCCTGTTGGTGTGACAGGAGGCAGACGCAAGTCGTCCTCTACGGCTTGACGACGGTTGGCACTGTCGGCGCGGGGGTATGGTTGACCTGGGATTGGAGGAGGGAGGATGGATGGATGAGGATCTTGTTGTTGGCGTTTTCGAGATTGGTCATGTGGAGGTTGAGAATTACGGTCTTCAGAGAAAGACCCGTACGAGCCAGTGGGTGATGGAGCGGGGTATTCGTAAGGTGAGCTTTGTTGCGGAGGAATAGGGCCTAAAGGCTGGCCATGCGCTCCGAAAAGCTGAGTCCCTTGTGGGTAGATCATGGGTCGAGGCCTCCCATCAGGTCCAACACCCATGTTCCGCATACCGGGATAGACAGCATGAGCTGGAACGAAGGCCTGCGCCTGTGAAGATACGGGGGTGAAGATGCATTCTTGCTGGAAGCGTTGACAATTTGAGCACCGCCCCTCGGGATTCTGGTCGAAACCTGAGCAACGGATCTAGAGATTGTCAACCCTGTCTCATACATAAATTGGACTAGAGAGATGTGCATGTACATATTCGAGAGTCATGAAGATTGAAGAATAAGGCACATAAGGTGGTCGGGTGATAATTAAACGTACCTTTCTTCTCCTACAATATCTGCATGCGATTGCCGTCCTCTGTCTGGGGGCAGATTGGGTGAAAGCCATGTTTTGCGCACCACCTCGACCATAATCTTGCTGATAACCTCTGTCATCTCGGTATTGTCCAGGAGGAGCTCGGTATGGGTCTTGTTGGTATCCACGAGGATCCGCAGGATATCCATTAGGGGGAGGTGCGCCATAGTGGTCGTAGGCCGAGATAGAAAGGAGGTTGACGCCGCCACCGCTTGAAGCGCTTCGTTGATGATATGCTGCTCTTGCGCGGTCATCTTCTTCCCCTGGAGGAGGTGGGTATTGCGATTCCTGCTCTCGAGGCGGCGGGTAACCGCTCTGATCTTGGTACGACATTTCGGAACGGTAGATCGCCACGGTGACGGTTTGCGAGGATCTGTGTTGTGGAGTTGGACGGAGTGACTTTGAAGAGAGGTGAATGCTCTTCAGAGTCAAGTTAGAAGGACCGAGTCGTCGACAAGCTCGAGACTCGGGGTGTGCTAGGATAATGTATGCGGGATGAGGGGAGGATAGAAGGGGTGAGAGTGATGGTGTAGTGGGGGGGACGGTCCGACAATTCCAGAGCGCCCGAGTAAGACTTGTTTGGCTGGTGGTCCGTCAAGTGGAGTAGCTTTTCGGACGGCGCGTTTTGTTCTCTACGAGCCTCTGGTAGCGCAAGTCCGGCTGCCGCACTGGGATTAATGTCCTGACGAAGGGCCGTGTCGTGCCTTCCTCTCCCGCGGTCGCAGTTAAGGTTGCAGGGAGGATATGCAACGCAGAGTATGTGACGCAGAGCGATCGGGCCCAAGGGCTGCACGATGAAGATGGCGGCCTGTTATAACTCTGACTATTCTGACGTGCCGAGTTTGTGTATATGTTCCTGTCGTTCTCCTTCTGGTTCTGCTGAAGTGGTTCACTTCTGCCTGGTTCTACGTGCGAAAGGGAGGGATTTGAATTCACTGAATCAGGTAGACCCGCGTGCCGTGAGACCGGCCACGTTAGATCAATCGGCGTGTGTCTGTCTGCAAATGGCTTGACCTATTCACAGATGTCAGTATAAACTTTTATCGCTGGTCAGATCAGGGTCTGACCACCACACAGCGAGAGAGACATATACGTGGTGCGCGAATTCCCAAAAAGGGGTCACAGTCACAATGGGCAGGCTTTCTTGTGCTGCCCCGTCCTGGGCTGTGCAGGTGTATGTGTTTTGCGGTGCAGTGGGTTGGGGCGACTTACCTCTCAGTCTTAGAAGTAGGAGAGACACACACGCTGATGGTGGGCTGGACTCGAGTTGACTTTGCCCCTCCTTGATCCGTGAAGGGATTTCTTAGCGGGGTACTCGGGACCAGTGCGGTGGTGAACGGCGAATGGCAGTGCAGTACCGGTCTTTCGGTCCCAAACTTTCAGCAGTACGGGCCACAAATAGCTTGGAGTTGCAATTGAGCGGTTCACGATGTTCTGGTGCGAAATTTGAAGCCCAATCACTCCTTGCTCTCGAGACTTTCGGTGGAGTCCTTTGGGATTTTTCCTGGTTATTCCGTGTAGTTCTCGTGAACTTGGAATGAACGAGATAAGTGAATGAGCGTTGTCTGTTCTTTTCGTTGTTGCGTCTCCCTGCGCAAGCGTTGCAGGCTTCCTGTCGAGTTCACAAGTCAAATCCTGGCGTGCGATGTCACTGTCGTAAGTGCGCAAATCCTCCCACTTCTAATCCAATCCTTCTGAGCGTCCAGCAATTCCTGTCACACAAAATTATGGCTTTGGACTGTATGGACCGACGTTTTCCTGTCGCAATTGAAGTTGCAGTCGAAATTGGTCGAGTTCTTATGTCTTGGGACTGGTCCCAAACGAATGACTAGGCGGTCTCTGTCCTGCGACCCAAGAGGCGAGCTGCGGGTTCTGTGCTTCGATGCGGTACGATGCGATGCGGGCGCTTTTTCACGGTGGAGCTGGGAACGAATGAGGAAGAACAACCAGCAGGGCAATCAATTCGACTCGATCGATCGATGGCTGGAATTCGCGACCGGGCAGGGATGAACAGTGTCGTATATCCGAAAAGGTTCGAGGTCGAGAGAGTCCCGTTCACCGAGGTTGAGGTTGAGATCGTGGGGTGACGAGAGAAGAGAGGAAGAAAGAGTGCAGTGCGGTGCGGTGCGAGATGATGACGGATGGAAGGAAGGGCGGCGGAAGAAAAGGGTGCGTGAGTAAGAAAGTGTGATGTGGAAGTGGATGTGGAAGTGGATGCGGATGCGATGTGATGAGACTTGGGATTTGGGGTCGGGTCGATTTGGTTTTGTGAGATGGATGGTACGGGAAGTAAGGCAGGGGCACGCAGGGTATCCCTCAGGGGGGGGGGGGTGTGTGGAGGGATGAGGGATGAGGGATGAGGGGTGTCCGAAACTCGGTGTGGGCTGTGGGAATCTGACACGGGGCGTTTGTTCTTGCTGCTTTGCTGCTTTGCTGCTTGCTTGGGTGCTTGGGTGCTTGGGTGCTTGCTTGCTTGCTGGTGTCCCCTGCGCCTCAGGTTCCTTGCTTCTTCTCAGAAATCTTCAACGGGACAGGGAGCAAAGGGTCGGCTGGCTAGTACTGTACTGGATGGTTCTCGGGCTTGTGGGAGGGTAGCGTAGGGTCGGTAGGGAGGGGGGAGCGCACGGTAGGGTTCCTGGTACTGGTACTGGTACTGGTACTGTAGGTAGAGGTAGGGGCGGGCGAGGGCGAGGGTGTGGTCGATTGCTGAGGCCGTGCGCGTGTGCGTGCGTCTGGAACAGGAATGGAAGAATGGCTGTGTTCTGCTGGCGTCACTCTGTCTTGTCAGGCCAAGTCAGCCTCGGTCTGCAGCAACGCTCCGTATCACGGGCCGCTTTTGAGCAGATAAATAGCCGTCCGAAGAAGGGAAAGGGAGGGAGGGGCAGGAAGGGAGCGAGGCAGAGGAGTGTGACCGAGTGGGTGACTGACCTAGGTAGGATATATTGCCGCTGTGCTTTGCTTTGCTTTGCTTTGCTTTGCTTTGCTTTGCTTTGCTTTGCTTTGCTTTGCTTTGCTTTGCTTTGCTTTGCTTTGCACTGCACTACACTACACTTCCAGCGGGGACCGAGTGAGCTGAATTAAAGATGCTGAAGTACCCGTAGCTGAAAAGAAGGGCCAAAGAAGAGAGGATTTCAAGCCTGGTGCTCAGGTCCTGACCAGGTCCTGCTCGCTGATGCTAAGCTGCCTGCCTACTTTACCGGATGCCGACAGAGCTGCTTGAACTGCTCCGCAATGTAAGGGTACGAACCGTACCGTCCGTCTGCCTGTCAGGGAGCGATAGGACACGATAGGATGGATGATAGAGAGTGTTGACAGAGACTATGCTGCACTATGGCGTGTCTTGGTAGTGGCTAGCCGAGCGAGCAGAGAGGCGGCGGCGTGGATGTGGTGCAGCAACGATAGCGCGGTGCAGCCAGCCGTGTTGGTAAATTGTGGGATGATGGGATGGGATGGGATGGGATGGGATGGGACGTGTCCTGTTGCGACGAAACGGTGCTAAAATGCGGTTCGGCTACAACAGCGACTGGATGTATGATTATTTCGTTTTCGACTTGCCAGCGACGAGCCTATGAGGCCTCGAGGATTGAGAAGAAACGAAAAATGATTCCAGGAAACCAACAAGATGAGGCAAACTATTTCGTAAAATGCAGCGATGTGGTAGGGTACGGGGTGTCTGGGACGGCGACCTTCCGCGAATGGGCGCTGCGAGAGCCTTGGTCAATGAGAGCGCAGAGGTCGAGGTCGCCTGAAAGTCCAACACCAGCCGGGATGCCACGCGCTGGCAAACACTCCACCAAGAAATACACAGCTGTTCTTCGGGTTTGGGTGGATGGAAGAGTGGTGGCGGGAGGGTGGGTGAGAGACTCGAAATGTATGGTTCGAAGAAGATGGATGTGGTGGAAGAATGAGATGATATTGTTGGCTTGCTGGGTTCGATGCTGAGCAGGGCATCCAATTAATAATGCAAAGATTCGGATGGGATGGAATCTGGCAGTTGGCCTGATATTTAGGCGAGGTAGATGACCGAAAAGAAGGAGGAGGAGGAGGAGGAGGAGGAGGAGGAGAGAAACAGGTGGACGATGATAAGGACGAGGACGAGGACGAGACGGATATGGATAGGTTGGGTGGTTCTGCTTGTGATCGGTGGATAGACTTTCAGTCAGGTCTTGTCGATCCTAACTTATCCTCTCTCGTCTGGCTCGTCTGGCTCGTCTTCTTTTTCTCCTTTCCTTTCCTTTCCTTTCCTTTCCTATCTCGATTATTTATTGACTGACTTCGACCATATCTTAAGTTTCACTCTGTTAGGCCTTGGCTGTCCTGTCCTCCAAGTCCAAGACAGTGGAGTTTGACTTACCTAGGTGGGCAGTTGTTCCTCCACGCGAGCCAAACCCAAAGCAAAATACAACCCTGGCTAGGGTATCGACGCGCTGCGAGATCCCTGTGCGATGCTGCCGATCTTAGACAGGCGTGTCCCTGTGTCTGGGGGGGCCCGCCTGAACACAGCCAATGAGTGCGCGTAGGTCGGCCCAAGGCGTTTCTTCCTGCAGCCGGATTAGGGGCAGGGTTCAGGTTCCAAGCTAAGTCAGGCAATTAGGATAGTATCCGGCGACTATCCGCTGCGCTGCGACACGAAGGGCCAGGCCTTGACTTCCGCTCACGGAAGCAGACGGTGGGAAGGTAAATTTAGCAGGCAAGTAAGCAAGGCAAGCAAGCAAACGCCGTTGACTAGCGAGACTTGACTAAGTCAATTGCGGCCTCTCCGCTGCACTGTGCTGGTGACCTCACCTCCCCAAGTCGATAGGCGGGCGGGCTTTGAGGACGAGGATAGCGAGGATGAATGGAAATGGACGTGTAGGTGGAGAGCACCGGTGCTGGTAGGTAGGTGAGTAGAACCCACTGAGGACACGAAAGAGTCGGCGATGAGACAGTGCTGAGCAAATTGGTCCAGAAATGACGAGACGAGTTAGGGGCGTAATTACTACCCAACGGAGAGCGGTTCAAGCGAGCAGAGCAAGAGAGTATAGCCGATTCCACATGCGAGAAATCTCGTGTGGTATGAGAGTGAATCTAGCCAGAGATCGAGGGATTGCGGCAAACACAGAGTAGATATGGTCTTGACGTGTTTTTGGGTGAGGCGACAGACCGAAGAGAGTGATACGTGCTTTATTAGGCGTCTCTGACATCACACCACATGCATTCAGATGAACATGAACAGTGGAAAATGAGGGGGAGGGCCTTGTCTTACAGTATCATAGAACGTTCTGCGGAAGGCAAGGACCGGGGGAGGCTCAAAATCTCCCAATGCCAAAGGTTGGAGAGGGAAATCTGAAGCG